TGTCTGCACACAGGTTTTATCATATAAGAAAACTAATTAAGTAATTCACAGCTTTTCTCCGAGGTCTCGGCCTTCACTTAAAAAAAAAACTAAGCATAGAAACCACAAAAGAAGAGAAAAATGAATGAATAAATAAACAAAACCAAGAATTAAATAAACATTCCAGGCTAAATCTGTCACCAGGAAATTATTAGCAGGTGTAAATGGTAAATGAGAGTGGAGATAAACTGGTATAATTCTATATGCAATATTTGCCAGAATCAAAAAAAAAGAAGAAAAGAAAAGGTTTAGATACAGTGTATTCTAGACATATACCAACTGATCAGCAGCAAAAGTCTTGGTATATCACCGCCAGCTATAAAGCACTCTGTAAGTGTTTGTTTACCTGGTGTTTTTGAATCAACATTAAACATCAACAATCAACAGTGATATGTATAAAATCAGATTCTGTTAAAAGCCAATATCTTCAATTTTTCATTACACGTTATCAAATTTTCAAACACAAATATAAATAAGATAAAAAAACTTCACACAAAAACACACTGAAGTTTGAAATGTTTTCCTGTATTGATGTGTAATGAAACAAATAAATGTTTCACTCAATTCTGACAATCTAACATTACCCAACATAGGGATATTCATGATATTCATGAACTGATAATATTATTCATATCTACCCTATTATGCATATTCATGCAGTAAACAAACTGGGTTGTAAATAATAACATTTGTATAATGATGATATATGTTACAGATATCATCATGTGAGCTGCACCGAGGCCATGCTAATTCTTTAATCATACAGAAAAATCCCTTTTTGACTGACACATCTACCCTTAGCTTGATGTGTAAAGTCAATACATACATTAACAAACATTTGTCACCTTTAACTTAATGAAACAACATGTACCGGGCATTATCAATAACTATAATATTTTAAAATAAATCTAGACTTAATACTGGCTTCCCGACAGCTGTTTTGATAAGCCAAGAGTGAACATTATACCAATCATTTAACAGAAAATCCCTGATACAACCAATATCTGCCATCATGCTTTATCCTATAGGATAACTGTAATACTAGGTACTACCAAAATCAATCGGGGAAGAAAATGTTTTAGATCATTAGGCATGTTACTACGGTAGCACAAGAAGGGCAGAGGGGAGGGCCAGGAGGGTGCTTACATTTCATATTAATTTTCCGCTTGTAATCATCACTATCAAATGCTAAAAACTGTTGGTTAAATATATGAAAAGAGTTTTTTTCTTAACATTTCAAATATCGTACTAGAAAGAATTTATTGAACTGCCAATGAAATAATGACAATTTTTATCAAACTTTTCAAAAAAACTATTTTAATGATGCCTTATTGGTGTTTTGGTGTGAACTGATCATTATCTGTTTGTCTAATATTTATCACACCGGTACACTTAGTACAATAGATGTGTATATCTATTTCCTTATGGAATATAAACCTCGAGATTCTAAGTGTTTGGGAAACAAAAGTAAAAAGGCTTATATCTATATTCTTACCAAGTATACATGGTTATGATCAATATGAATATATGTGGATGATTATCAAATAAATATATTTATATAAATGAGCGTGTTCAACTTGGAAATTACTCCAACATATCAAGTCACTCTGTGGTAAATAGAACAATATAACACTTCATGTTAACGTAGCTGAGAAGTTTTATAAGTACAGGTGTAGCCAATAAAAGATGAGGTCAATGAATTCACCTCTGACCTCATACTCTGGCCTTGACCTGTAGGGTAGCCCAGACAAGGTGTAAAGAGAGGCACACATGGACAAAGTGGTTTTTACAATTACTTCACGAGAAAACTGTGGCCGATATTTTTGTAACAGTACCATGTGAAACTTTTTGGTGTTAGTTACGCTTGTAAAACAGCTTTCCACAATAACATAGAACTTTTACATTACCTTACTGTTAAAAATAATTTGTTTTTGACAAATTCTTCTGTTTAAAATGAACCCTTAATTATATGAAAGTCTCTGTAATCACACCTTAGTTAGACACTGCATAACTTGAGAAAAAAATGATTAAACTTTCAAATTTGAAAACAAAGAGAAACAATATTTGATTACTGCAGTGCCCTGGGACTAATTACAAACAGAGATTCAAGGAAACAAAACACAACACAGAAGATCAATGTTGTTTCTTGCTCAAATGCATCGATAAAAATACAACACAACTCATAATAAATTTGAATATAATACTCAGTATTAATAACCAAAATTATAATAGACTGGAATATAAAAATACAAAAAGTGTATATTCAGCATGTAATGGACGAAAGTGCGAGTTTAAGCATCAATACTTCTTTGGTTTTTACTATGTATACTCAAAAAAAGAAACTTTCAGAATTATTGAAACAGCAAAATCATTCTTACCGGTGTAAATTTCTAATTAAAACGTTTGAAAAAAAGGTATATCTTATGTTTTTTATTAAGAATATTTACCATGTATGATTACACTACTGGGACTTGAGAGATTTCAAAGACGATTTGGAAAGTCCCGAATATGTTATACTGCATCAGAAGAAATAAGTAGCATTATTGTTCATGTTAACTCCAAGATAAAATGTTCAGAAAATAGACTTTGTCATATCAATTTTACACATTGTACAAACATCAACATCACTTTGTGATTGAAAACTGGATTCCCTACCAAAATATACAAAATACAAATTAATTACACACAACATTTATAACAGATATATGTTTTTCAATGGAATATTTGTGATGGTTGCAATATAGCTGCTTACAAAAATATTGAATATCTTGACAAATATTTTTGCAGACAACTATATTCGCTATCATCGTAAACGTTTCAAGCAAGCAAGTGTAATGCAAGCTGTCATAAACATTTCAAATATGCATTTCCTTCAACATCCTGTAGTTTATTTGACCAATGTCTGATCGTAACTACCAAGTTTGGTCAAATCAGATTCTAAATGTGACTAAACGTGAGATTTAAACTTAAGGACATGACTTCTATGTATGACTACTCAATTTAGAGAACAGTCTAGATTTAGCAGTAATAAAAGAATATTTTATAAATATATTATTTTGTGTCTGACAGCAGGAATAAACCAGAAACTATGCACTACATTGTACATAGATATATTGTAATATACAAGTAAAACAAAACGTTTTTTTAAACAGGACTAGCGACTATTTTCCTGAATACTGACACCAACAGAGAGCAATTTAATTGTCTTGTATTCAAAACTTTTGATTTTGTTTCTAATCATCACATAAACCTACAGTACAGGTTAGCTATTGATTAGGGCATTACAATAGCAGATTATGAAAAAAATCACGACATTCATTTATAAACATACAGACAAAGCATACAAAATTTTAAAAAGAATCGGGATTTTTATCAAACAATGGTCTATATGACCTGTATCCCACCTGAGTGTTATCTGAAGAAAAAAAAATTTAGCTATTTCCCATTCATATGTATGCAGCAGTTTAAGAAAGTCCACTGAAAATGCATCCCCCAATTATCTGTCTTCCATTCGTAAATCATACTCGTCTAAGGCTGTTTGATTAAGTAGTTTATTAGAGATGTATTCCTGTTTCCTTACAATCTATCTTTCGACTCCTATCCTCGGAACTATCTGAATTTTGAAATGAACAAGTGACTATCTTGCAGTCATACACGAGTATGGAAACATCCAGTTAATCAGAGGTGTTACCAGTCAACTTCATTAAAGTATTATACCCTCAGAATGTATTCCTAAGGTACAGACACCAGCAGAACAGGAGGTGAACTGTATAATATAACGGAGTACAGCAAAAATATTGCAGGTCATCTGGGAGTGAAAGATCTGCATTTATTCATCTGCATCATACAGGAACATTTCAGCAGCAATAACAGGATAGTTCGAGATGAACCGAGTAATCAAAAGCAACAATTACACATGTTTCTAAATGGACAAAATCTGCCTCATACTTCTTCAAAAAAAATGAAACCATGTTTACAGATCTTCCCTAACAAATTAAACAAGGTTTGTACCTTTCTCCAAACAAATTATACTACAATTATATATACCTCAAACAAAATAAACCAGGTTTACACATCTCCTCAAACAAAGTAAACCAGGTTTACATATCTCCTCAAACAAAATAAACCAGGTTTACACATCTCCTCAAACAAAGTAAACCAGGTTTACATATCTCCTCAAACAAAATAAACCAGGTTTACACATCTCCTCAAAAATAAACCAGGTTTATACATCTCCTCAAACAAATTAAACCAGGTTTACACATCTCCTCAAACAAAATAAACCAGGTTTATACATCTCCTCAAACAAATTAAACCAGGTTTACACATCTCCTCAAACAAAATAAACCAGGTTTACATATCTCCTCAAACAAGATAAAACATTCCAACAAACCAATAAACCAGGTTTATAATCTCAAACAAAATCAACCAATACATCTTCTGAAAAAATTAAACCAGGTTTATACATCTCCCTAAACTAATAAACCAGGTTTATACATCTCCCTAAACTAATAAACCAGGTTTATACATCTTCCTAAACTAATAAACTAGGTTTACACAAACCAAAACATCACCAAGACACACTTAACTGTGTACATGTCTTAAACAAAGTTTGCTAACCAACTACAAGTATAAATAAACCATTCATTACAATGTAACAGTTTGAAATGGAAGGAAAACAACCTTGGGAATGCAAGGAATTGAAGAGGTATTTAGGTTAGAATATCTCACAAGCAATTCATTCTATTTTAGAAGCCAGTAAATGCATTAATTAAGATCCAAATATCTGGTTTTTATTTTTTTTTTTAGCCCTCAATGGTATCATAAAAAAGGCCTGAAAACAAGTTACATGACCGAAGCTAAATGTTATCTCAACTTTGGTGTTTGATAAATATGAAATGTATTATAAGTGTTAAAGTAAATATATATATATATATATTTCAAAACTAAACAAACACAACACAAATATATTTTTCTACATACAGCTCCAACAAGTAACAAACATTAATTGATAAATAAATAAGGTACAAAACACTTTAATAGTACTTCTGGTTGATACTATTCATAGGTCAAACCTTGTATGAAGATTTCACCAGAAATGCACGATGTAGTTATAATTTATTACAATGAGCACCTCACCCTTAAGTCAGCAGGGTTTAAGTGCAAGATCTGTGCTGTAGCACTTCCCACTTTCACGATACTTTATGGCAAACATGCAATAATATAAAGCCATTATGAAAATAAAAGTATATTAAAATAAGTGTTTACAGTATTTTTGTACATCCCTGCTCAAGGGATGTTTGTGTCACTTAGAAAAGTAAGGAACATATGTCCTAAAACTATCAAACACTTTCTCCCTTTTAAACTTTTCCAAGTTTTATTCTCAAATGGCATCACTCTCATGCACAGCCTCATTCTCTTTCAACCTCACTTTCAAACACAGCCTTAATCACAGCATCGTTTCACAACCAACATTCCAGTCTAGCCTCATTCTCAAACTTAATCTACCCAGCAAAACAACAAACCAAAACTTCAGATACTTTCATTTTCAGAAGAATCAAGAATTGTGTCTCGTTAAAATAAAGATAAAAACTTCAGGTGCACACATCACAAAGCCACATATGATAATCCACACGTGTGTTTTAGTACAAAGGATGCAGATTCACACTCAAAAGGCATATGTGTCTCCAATAAGCACATGTAAAAATAACACTTTTGTCTTTCATTCTGTGATAAAAAAAAAATTGAACACATAGACACATGCAACTTCACTGACGTCTTGTCCGGTTTTCAAATATACAATGGTGTAGAAATGAATGTGTTTCACTTTAGATGTCAGTCTGAGGACCTGGTTGCCATTGAACAGAACCTTAGTTATAATTAAGTTATAAAACCAAGATCCAACAGAACATGGTGATGACTTGATGAAGAAGCTTATTTTCCATCCATGACTTCTCCTCTTGAATTGTCAAAATCAAAATTCAGTTATAATGATGAATGAACTGTGAGATCAATTTATTTACAGAAAGAGCTCACTTCAGAACAAAATCCAAATAACAGAACAACATTCCACCATCAGCTTTGAAGTCCAATCATATGAAGCACAGTTAGTAACGGAGAGATCGTGAATACCATCTTCACTGTAACAAAATGAAAAAATAAATTCTATCAGATGATGCAAGTCACAGCCTAAACAGTCATTTGAATTTCATTATTGCTTTTTCATTGTTGTAACACGGTAAATAAAGATGTGTGAACTGTTGTCAGATAATGATACATAATAACTATCTTTATGGAAGATTGAATTTTATCTGGAACTTTGAAAAAACTAAATCTTCAAAGCTTTTACTATAAAATTTATTTCAGCTCTGTACAAGACATCAAGAGAGGCATCTTTTAGTTATTGTCTAAGTGATCATCCTTGTGAAAAGACTTTTAAGTTCAATTCCATTTTCCTACATGAGTTTTATCCTACCCTTCTAGAGGAGCTGTGGAAAGTATGCAAACCCTAATGTTTAAAATTGTCATGACAGGAAAATATTTCAGCTAAATCTGATTCACTTTGTATTAAAAACATCCAAAATCTCTCCCCGAAGAATGTCTCCAATTAACATGACCAAAACTATTCCATTCTATCTATTTGTATGGTACCCATATCCTAAAAACCTTGATTCATAAAACTTCTGCAATGTATGAAGGTACATTATACCAAAGTACCATTTTTTATATCATACCTCCACCAGCTGGATGTCTGTTTCATCGTGCGGGGGCACCGGCATTGTGGAATATTTCAGGCCGAGAAGATCACCCATCTCATTGATGATAGCCAAGGCCTAAACAGCAACCAAACATTAGACAAGCTTTTAATAATTTTTTTTTCAATTCTGTAACAGTTAGCAACATGTATTCAGTATTTCAAAACGTATTGTATTTTGTCTGTAATACCAGCTCACTGATTCTCTTATTTTTCACTGAGAAAGCAGAAAGAAAAATCAGCTGTCTTTATCAGAATATAATGCTTACCTTGTCCAACTGTTCTTTGGTGTGAGCAGCTGAAACACAGAATCTGGCTCGACATTCAATGATGGGTGTTGCTGGGAAACCTACCACAACTACACCCAAGCCTCGATCAAGACACATACGTGCGAATGCTCTGTAACAAGAAAACACATTTTACATGTTTAATATCATGAATTCTTAGCTATGTTATCCAAACTGAGGAAACGTTGAAAGCATTTCATTGTGAATTATTTGAAAGTCCTACATCCTAGCCTGCTACAGATTGAATATTATGACCCTAAGGTTTCCGGTAATTGTGAAACATTTTGAAGATCTCAACACACAAAACACCTAAAATGACAGGCATCTCAGCATGTTATTGGGAAATAACATGACCCGAAATATTCAACAGATTTGGGTTGTCAGACCTTGAAAATCATTGAAGGTCATTGAACAAACTATCAATTTCATCCCATTCATCAGGGGAAGTAATCAATGCTTTTCCTTCTCCACATCTAAATATGTGAATACTGTTGATTAAAGTTAGATGCTTTAAAAGAAGAATTTCAACATAAAATATTGTTACTATATCCAGTTAATTGTGTGTTACTTGATCGTTATCTCAAACAAATGGTTTTGTCCGATATAAAACATCTTGTTTATTGACGTGATTGCAAATTATTGTAATAAGTTATTGAACCACCATGCATCATCACACAAGTCATACAATATCTGTTTTTGTTTGGTAGCTTATTTCCGAGAAGCAGGAATCTTATCACAAGTATAAAAGTTACTTACGCAACTTTTGTAGGCATAAACATCAGCAGTGGTACCACAGGGGAATCTTTGTTTCCATAAATGATGAAGCCCATTTTGTGAAGTCTGTGTCTGAAGTACCTCGTGTTCCACTTCAGCTGTTGAATCTTTCGTTTTCCTATATAAAAAATAAATAAATAAATGTAACTTAAATAACCTTCACAGTCATGTAACAAAATTAGTTCAGTTCAGATTAAAAGAAAGAACTGGTGATGTGTCGATGGAACATTAAATTAATCTGGAAATAAAATGGAACACTGACAAAAGTACTAAATAAATCATTTTCATTAACAAATATAGACAACTGACTTTTATTTTGAAATACAGCTTGATCTCAACAGAACAGGGCCACTAATGGTTACCTTCCAGTGTGTTGTCTAGTCCCATCACAATCTTCATAGAGGAAATGACTTGCTGCGTGACACATGGAGACATGGAGGTGGAATAAATTGCGGCATGAGAGTTCACTCGCAAATGCTGCACCAATTTCTGCAGAAACCAAATCATTAACACTGTCAACTGGATTCCCAGTGAAAATAATAGATGAAATTTCATTCCAACCTCCTTGTCCACAGTTTGTCTCTATTATTGATTTTGACCGGGTTTCATATTTAAAAATTGTGGATCTTGGGCATAAATAGCTTACATATTTTTTTTTTTTGTTATTGAAGCTGAAGGTAGGTGATATTACCTTGGACCCACCAATGTAGCCTCCAGCTGCACCAAAGCTCTTCGTAAATGTCCCCATCATAATGTCAATGTCACGAGGGTCAAGCCCAAAGTAGTCGACCACACCTTTTCCATTTGGTCCCAGTGCACCAATGCTGTGAGCTTCATCTAAGTAGATGTAGGCTTTGTACTTCTTTTTCAGTCGGATTACATCTGGGAGGCGGATAATGGACCCCTCCATACTGAAATGATAAGTTTTCAATTTAGTAATGTCTACCAGGAATTATAAATCATTTTTTCACATTTAGTTTTATTAGTTCAGAATTTCAGATCATAGCAGTAGCTGCAAGGAAGTGACCTCTAAATTACCTGTATCCTTTGAGACACATGTATTTCAAAATTAAACCAAATACTTGTGCTGATACGAACTCCTACCTGTAAACTCCTTCCACCACAATCAAGATTTTTTTCCAGGGTCGGCGTGTTCTTGGCTGACCCTCAATCACAGCTGTACGCAGTTTATCCTCCAAATCATTCATATCTGGAGAACCAAGACAAGTCAACATGTTTTTTTCAAGTTCATAAAAAACAATTTGTTCACGTTCACTTTGTAACAATCTGTTCATGTTCACTAAGTAACAAAACTGCTCATGTTCACTTTGTAACAATTTGTTCATGTTCACTAAGTAACAAAACTGCTCATGTTCACTTTGTAACAACCTGTTCAAGTTCACTAAGTAACAAAACTGCTCATGTTCACTTTGTAACAATCTGTTCATGTTCACTAAATAACAAAACTGCTCTTGTTCACTTTGTAACAACCTGTTCAAGTTCACTAAGTAACAAAACTGCTCATGTTCACTTTGTAACAATCTGTTTATGTTCACTAAATAACACTGCTCATGTTCACTTTGTAACAATTTGTTCAAGTTCACTAAGTAACAAAACTGCTCATGTTCACTTTGTAACAATTTGTTCAAGTTCACTAAGTAACAAAACTGCTCATGTTCACTTTGTAACAATTTGTTCAAGTTCACCAAGTAACAAAACTGCTGCTCTTGTTCACTTTGTAACAATTTGTTCAAGTTCACTAAGTAACAAAACTGCTCATGTTCACTTTGTAACAATTTGTTCAAGTTCACTAAATAACAAAACTGCTGCTCATGTTCACTTTGTAACAATTTGTTCAAGTTCACTAAATAACAAAACTGCTGCTCATGTTCACTTTGTAACAATTTGTTCAAGTTCACTAAATAACAAAACTGCTGCTCATGTTCACTTTGTAACAATTTGTTCAAGTTCACTAAATAACAAAACTGCTGCTCATGTTCACTTTGTAACAATTTGTTCAAGTTCACTAAATAACAAAACTGCTCTTGTTCACTTTGTAACAATCTGTTTAAGTTCACTAAGTAACAAACTGCTCATGTTCACTTTGTAACAATTTGTTCAAGTTCACTAAATAACAAAACTGCTGCTCATGTTCACTTTGTAACAATTTGTTCAAGTTCACTAAGTAACAAAACTGCTCTTGTTCACTTTGTAACAATCTGTTTAAGTTCACTAAGTAACAAAACTGCTCATGTTCACTTTGTAACAATCTGTTTAAGTTCACTAAGTAACAAAACTGCTCTTGTTCACTTTGTAACAATTTGTTTAAGTTCACTAAGTAACAAAACTGCTCATGTTCACTTTGTAACAATTTGTTTATGTTCACTAAGTAACAAAACTGCTCATGTTCACTTTGTAACAATTTGTTCAAGTTCACTAAATAACAAAACTGCTGCTCATGTTCACTTTGTAACAATTTGTTCAAGTTCACTAAATAACAAAACTGCTGCTCTTGTTCACTTTGTAACAATCTGTTCATGTCTGATAAGTTGAAATCTGTTAGGATTGCCAACTGTTGAATATTATGTACACTTACTGTTGTGTTTGAAGGTTCTAATAGTGGCTCCACTCAGTCTGGATCCTAGCACCAATGAGGCATGATTCAGCGAATCACTCAGAATCAAACTTCCCTGTGGAAACATACAAACAAAATGTGACTGCTTTCTGGAAACATACAAACAAAATGTGACTGCTTTCTAGAAACATACAAACAAAATGTGACTGCTTTCTGGAAACATACAAACAAAATGTGACTGCTTTCTGGAAACATACAAACAAAATGTGACTGCTTTCTGGAAACATACAAACAAAATGTGACTGCTTTCTGGAAACATACAAACAAAATGTGACTGCTTTCTGGAAACATACAAACAAAATGTGACTGATTTCTGGAAACATACAAACAAAATGTGACTGCTTTCTGGAAACATACTAACAAAATGTGACTGCTTTCTGGAAACATACTAACAAAATGTGACTGCTTTCTGGAAACACACAAACAAAATGTGACTTCCTTGTAGAAATATAGAAACAAACAAACTTCTCAGTACATAATTTATACAGATTCAGATCACCATTTTCCTTATTCGAATTTTTATTGTGATCCAAGTGAAAGCTTCCTACATGTATTCTGTTGGACAACTATATGGATGTATAATATGTCCACTCCTCTATCAAGACTTGAAAAACTGACATTCTTGAGAGAATCTGAACTTATCTGATGCACTGGTAATGTAACAAGAGAATCTAACCAAGTCATTCCCAGCTCTAATTTTTACATAGCATTGATCTACATGTCCATTGAGTACATACCTTACCAACAAGACAAGGCATATTCATTGAGTTAGTTGCAAACCCCATGGGCAAGGTAAATGCTGCTTCTACGCCAACAAATTTGGCAACAAGTTCATCAAGTTCCTTGTGTAATTCAGAGTAACCTGAAGACAAAAAACCCAACAATATATGATCTGTATACAATAAAACACATCAAATTTTCTTCAGATTATGTTCACATAAAACAAGCATGTTATAGCAATTACATATATAGCTATAAAAGCGGGGGACCTAAACTTTTCTGTTCTTAAAAGTTTCACAGTTGTTTGCTACGGATTGAATATCTCTTTCTCACATGGGACAGGGAAACACAGCTCGTACATGCTGAGATTATTCACAATGCAACAGGAAAACACAGCTCGTACATGCTGAGATAATTCACAATGGAGTAGGGTAAGACAGCTCGTACATGCTGAGATTATTCACAATGGGGTAGGGTAAGACAGCTCGTACATGCTGAGATTATTCACAATGGGATGGGGTAAGGCAGCTTGTACATGCTATGAGATTATTCACGATGGAGTAGGGTAAGACAACTCGTACATGCTGAGATTATTCACTAAGATTATTCAGATAATTCACAATAGGGTAGGGTAAGGCAGAGATTATTCACAATGGGATAGGGTAAGACAGCTCGGACATGCTGAGATTATTCACAATGAGGTAGGGTAAGACAGCTCGGACATGCTCTGAGATTATTCACAATGGGGTAGGGTAAGACAGCTCGTACATGCTCTAAGATTATTCATGATGGGGTAGGGTAAGGCAGCTCGTACATGCTCTAAGATTATTCACGATGGGGTAGGGTAAAACAGCTCGTACATGCTCTAAGATTATTCATGATGGGGTAGGGTAAGACAGCTCGTACATGCTGAGATTATTCACAATGGGATAGGGTAAGACATCTCGTACATGCTGAGATAATTCACAATGGGGTAGGGTAAGACAACTCGTACATGCTCCGAGATTATTCACAATGAGGTAGGGTAAGACAGCTCGGACATGCTGAGATTATTCACAATGGGGTAGGGAAAGACAGCTCGGACATGCTGAGATTATTCACAATGGGGTAGGGAAAGACAGCTTGTACAGAATGATGACCTGCTTAGGCAAAACAATGGGCCATGATGTAAGCACCAGTACAGACAAAAACAATAACTCTACCAGTATATATTACATAGATACTGACCTAACTGCTGAGGGCTGCTGCAAAAAGACATTCCATATTTTCTGGTAGATTCTTCAGCAGCATCTGCACATGGACCATAATTTTGAGAAAATCCAAGATAATTGTAGGATCCCAAATTCATCACCCGAATCGTTTTGCCAGTATTTCTAGAAAAGACAAGGAAAATATTGTCCTTTATTGTCAAGAACTCAAAATCATCATTAATTATACATGCACGCCTGAAATTGATTAATATCTCTTTCAATTAATCCATCAGTATACCTAAAGCATGCTGTACACTTACGTAAAATTCCAGCCATTGTCATTAGACACCCTTTCCACAACATCTAATTCAGCCCCAGCACCACTTGCTACAGGTCTGTTCCAACAGTCACGTATACGGCGATATATATTCCTGGTATAAAAACTCTCCCAGCTCTGATACAGCGGAACGAAACCCTGTAACAATTACACCAATACACTGTTCTTAATACTAAAAAATACCAAGATGTCCATGGGGCCTGCATTATGTATTGATCATCCATCATTACTTGTATCTTATACCGCTGGTAGGAAACAAATTCACAAAAGCCCAAATAGTCACCCTTTGGATGACCATTAAGAAATATGCCTACAATAAATAAAATCACTTTTGGCAAAGTCAGTAACAGCATTCAGTAAAAATGTCTAAACCAATGAGAAATATGATATAAGCCATCGTAGCAACACTGCAAGAAAACATCTACACTTGTATATCTCATACTTACAGGGAGCTTTGGCTCTGTGCATGATTTTATCTTTTCTAGTCCAATATTTCTTAAAAAGTCACGGATGTGTCCAAAAACCACGAGCAGTCCAAAGCAGAAATACGTGTATATGGCAGCAATGATTGGAGTCTCCTCGAATGATTCCCAGAAATCATCCTGCCAATCAGCCATCTAAAACACAATGTTGGAATATAAATCATCAGTTCATTGAAAATGCTAATGTGATGTCATGTACTTTACATGTACAAATATACATCTAATATAATTATGTATCATTTATTTTCTACAGTAGAAAACAGAATCATATTTATTTTTTGTAACATTACTAAACATCAAAATGTCGATCAAAGGATAAAACTAGATAAAATTTTTACCTCTAGTACCGCAGTTTTATTTTTATTTCAGAAGTGTTAACTTTGCATATAGGTAAATATGAAATGATACATCAGAGAATTTCATTTCATAAATGGTTGAATACTAACGTTACAGCTGGACAAGAATGAACATTGTAATAATAATTATTGTATACATCACTGTGCTTCATATGACACAATTAAATTTTAGCGACCTATCACTATTTAGCACAGTGATGATTTCGCTCATCTACATTAACTGCTTTCTAAACATCACATATAAACTGTGAATAGTGCTGTAGTAAGGTTATCACTAAAGTATGTATGTTTGCAACATGATAATCATACGACTGATTTCTTATAGTTTTGCACAAATATTACATCAACTCCAAAATTGACATCACCAATATGCAAGGTTAGTATCATGAATTTAGCCCCAGTCACTTCACCAGCTGTCTGGTATTAGTAATCTTATTTGATGCACCAGCAGTTTCAATTTCAATTTAAAAGAAATGTGATAAGCCAGAATTGCATATACTGATGTGAGATACATATATTAACTGTTTATGTTGTTGTTAAGTGTATATATTCAACTAAGGAACGGTTGTCGTTGTAAAAATAAATCTGTTTGTTATTTTTCTGTTGGGGTTCAGTATGATACCACCAAACACTAACACTGCAACTTAATGTTATGACAATAATTGAATAATGTTGCCCTGGAATCATTCAGTAATGCATACATATATTTGGACTGCAGAATCTATGAAGGGAAAGGCAGGATTTCTTTCCTCTGACAATATTGGCAATATGTTTACACAACTAATAAACTAAAAAAACTGCTACAGATTTATAGAGAATATAAACATAATGAGCTCAGAATATATTTAACTGCTATGCCTTGATAAAACAATGCCTTTACTGACCAGCAGGCAATTCCCTAGGACTACTGGCCATGATAAAACAGTGCTCTTACTGACTAGCAGGCAATAACTTAGGACAAGTGGTAATGATAAAACAGTGCCTTTACTTAGCAAAAATTTGGATATCATTGGCATTTTCCCAATTTTTAATGAAAAGGGCTTTGATTTTTTATGAATATTTACAAATATTATCAAAAGAAACAACTATTTTTACATTAATTTTGAATGAATATTTCATTTGCTGTCTTTTATGCCCTTTTACTTCATGAACCATTTTCTACAGCTACCTTGTTCTCTTTAAGAAAATTGGGGAAATGAATTTGGATGTATGCAGAAAATAAGATACTTTTGGAATGTGCATAAATGCCTTGACCTTGTTTTCTAGGTCTACATTGACGCCTTTTAAAATAAGCTACATGTAATATCATTACATACCTATTTTTAGATCTATCATAATTAGATTTCTAAATAAGCATTGCTTGTTTAAATTTCAAAAGTTATATCCATATTACATTATGAACATATGTATGTTATTTTTCTTACATCTTAAATCATTTGCCCAGATTCACCTTTGACAAATCATTCAATTGCCCATCATATTTTTTGAAGTCCTGTTATTGTATTATGTGTATTGATCATTATTGCTATGGCGTGATATAAGCAATATTATATTTATATACACATAGTTATACATAATGGAAACAAGTCAACGATGAGTTTTTAACTTCCTGTCTGCAGATCGACCTACCATTAACCTTACTCTATGCAAAGAAAACAATATTTAAACGTTCTATCAAAAGACGTCTTTAAAAAATAATATTCATAAACATGATCTGCAAAATAAGATTCACTAAAAATATTGATTACACAACATGCCTTAAACACGACACACTTTTTGACCTTGTTTACCAACATATAAACAAATGGTCAATGTTTACTTAATCGCTTGACAACTGATTTAATAAGGGACGTTACTCTGCATTTCTGGCATGATCGGTGGGCGTGGCTTCAGATCTGCAGTGATAATGTTGTGAAAGTTACAAAAGAAAATAAAACGGTGACACTAGTTGATTTGATTTCATACGATTTTTCATCTCTATTGGAACAGGTTTTAGAATAATGATAAGAGTTCATTACATCGATGCCATGGAAATACCTATCATATGAGTGGGAGTCCCACCCAAAACTTAGTGCCCATTTCCTTACGCAATCCTAAAAGGGCATATCCGACGGCATTACCTTTTTCGCATCGCCATTCTTTCCATTACTCTTGTGTCCATTTTTGTGGTGATGAAACCCGTTTGTTTTACCGTTTTTCACGTGATGTATAGAACCGTTTCCAGCTCGGACGGCATCATCACTAGCCATCTTGAAGGGTTATGATATTTGTTAAAGTAACAATCTGTAACACGTTCAGTGATTGGTTAATGAGATACATTAAAAACCAATGAAATCGGTCCTTTGTAAGAGTACGTTCGGAATTTATTTTCGGGATACATTAGTGTGAATTTCTTCTTTAATCGATTTCAATAAGTAAACCTGCCTTTAAAATGTTGTAATAAGTTGTCGATTGATTGTGGACAATTATATGTATAGTTAGGATTCAAATAATGAAATGCATTGCATAATTCATCTGGTAAAATCCAGAGAGATCCCGAATGTACGTGTATTAGGCGCATGACCATTACGTCAGGTCCAACTTCTTTCGGATCCAGGTCTGGTTGCATGCAACAGTGTCGTGCGGTTTCAAGTCGTTGGTGATACAAGTTATTAACCTCACCAAACGTAAATCTAATAATGGCGGATTTATTAGGAGACTTTCCACGTAATTCGGAGCAGGGTTATAGCGACGACTTCGAGAAGGTGGATAAAATTCCAGAGCAAGACGAGGCGATAACCACGACGTCGTTTACCGGTGAGGAAGCAGAGGAGGATCGCTATGAATCTGGTACATCTGAGGCAAACGCCTCTAGTCCTCTCCTTAACTTTGATGATGACCTGACACCTCAAGAACCCCACACTAGAGAACCTTTAATTATTTTCGGTTCTCAGTCGGGCCCTCCCGAACCAACAGCGCCCCCTGCACCACCAACGGGAAGTGAATTCACAAGTGGGATGGGGGAGACCAATCGTGGCCTTGAGTTCGAACTAGAGGCAGAACCTTCACCATTCACACAACCCGATCCAAAAGTAACATCAGAACCTGTGTCAATCTCCAAACCACCGGCAGGTAACGAATAACCAATCGTGAATAGATGAGCACTTCTTGCATTCGCGTTCTCACTATTCTTGATTGTAATTATATTATCATTTGCTTAAGTGGGGAAAATTATGCGTCTCTCTACTGTATTCACTTGCATCCAAAATAGCGCAATGAGACACAAACGACGAGTTTCACCACAGAAAATTATCTAATAGAGATATCTCTTACAAACAGTCAAAAAGATAATGAAAAAGATTTGGATGTAGATCAATGAATTTAAATTTCTGTATGACACATGAGGATATTGGTAGATTTGTGGACTATATAGAACATTAACAAGTAGAAATCCTATTCATACCCTGGAAAAATGAGGTTATCTTGCATAATTTTGAGAAATATTTTTTTTCTCTTTGCTTTGTGTGCAAAGATCATGGTCACAAAACTTGCTCATTAACATTTGATTAAGGAAGCTGTCTCAAAAGAATTAATTAACTTGTGGCAGTTATAATTAGATTTAATACTGCTGCTGTCATAGGTGTTAGCTTCAGTATCACAATGTCATTCAATCAATTCATATTCAAAAGTATTAAGATTGATATGTGGTATTACATCCTATTGTAAACTCACCATTTGTGCCTTGTATCATGGTGGATATTAGTAGCAATTCTGCAAATCTAATTATCCCCCAGAATGCTTAGCTGAAATCTTAGTTTTCTTTAGAAAAATCAGCCTGTCACTATTTATACCTTATAGTTCTGCATCATTCTTGGCTTATCTTTTCTGATCTTTGTTGCACAAGTTTTCTATGAAATGTTATCATTGCCTTTATTAGGTCACCTGAGACAAAATCTCACGGTGACCTATCCTAATACCCTTCATCCAGTAGTCGGGGCGGGGGGTTGGTTGGTTGGAAACTGTATTATTCACAATTTTTGTTCATCTTAGGCCAAGGAAGGTTTCTGCAAAATTTCATTGAAATTAGATCAGAAGTTTTGAGAAGTAGAAAGTGTTAAATTGTTTATGGGCGCAAGAAAATTGTGAATTTCATGGCCCCTGGGTCTCGCATTTCCCCATGGGGAGGAGGTTCTGTTTAATATAGTTTGTATAGGAAAAGTAGATTTTTGAGTATAATTTGTTTAATTTCCATTGGAATTATTTCAAACCTGGTTAGAATTATGAGTGAAGGATAACAGCTTGATGTTATGCCCATTTTGATCCTGAATGACCCCCAGGGGTTGATTGGCGGGGTCATATTGACTTAAATTTTAAAAAACCTCTTCTCAAGACCCAGAATATTTAAGATGCTTTAATTACCAAAAGAGTCTCACATTTTTTTTCCCTGGAGAGGAGTATGTATTTTAGACTTTACTGTAATTTTCTTTGAAAAATTGTATTTTGAACATAATGTTGGTTATTACCCTCTTGAAATAACTTCATTTTCATTATAGGATGACAGTTTTTATGGTATGCATGTATTGACACAGTGAATCAGTGTCACAATTTCTGTTTCATGACACTTGATATCTGTTCTTTCACTTTTATATTCAATATTGTTTATCTCAGATGACGTAAAGGCTGTTAGGCCTCTTGTTTTATTTAAACCACCATATAGATGGTAACATTGGTGTAAATTGTATCATTTAACTATGAGGTTATTTATTTTGCAACCGTTACGAAACAAGCTCTCAGCTTATATGAATCCCGAATTGAAGCACTTTAAGTAAGGTGTATTGGGAGGAAACTTGAGTATCTTGGAGTACTCAGATGCTAGACAGGTGACCCCATACCTTTCCATGTCCCTACCAGTGGTACCACCCAACCACACATGTTATGATTTTGTTAAGTGCATTCTAGGATAATGTTAGATTTAGTTTTCATTTCATATGAAAAGTTTTGACATCAACAGTATTGTAGTAACTTGTCCATAAACATATCACTACATCGTAAAATAAAGTAAAAATTTGGACATGTTCAGAACTGGGAAATAAAAATGTAGGAAGCCTTTGGGCTTGTTTCCCATGAGGTTTAACTTTATATATATTGCTTACATTCAACCTTTGTTGAAGCCGATGGTGATGGTATCTTTTAGTTTTTGTCAATCCTGGATACACATTTGCAAACATTATATGTCATTTGTACAGAGATAAAAACGCAGGGGCCCTGGACCCAAAAAAACTGTAATTTCCCCCTTCATTTTTCATAATATAGGCTGGCACACCTTATTTTTGAAATTGACTGGGGATTGATGACTTGATATTTGACTGAAAAAGTTCTTAATCATGCCAAATGAGATCGATTTTATCACTTAAAGTTGACAACTGAATTAGTGAACAAAGATAAAATCCTTTTATATGTTAGATAAATATGAGTTTTTTATATGTTAGATAAATATGAGTTTTACACTAAATGTCAATGCTTTAAAGACAAATGTGAAGTAAACAAAAAGGAACAGACTTTTAAGATTTTTTTTTTGTATTAAACAAACAATATTTGAATTTCAGCATTGATAGTTATGGAAAATGTATAGAGTGGAGTTATTTAACTTTTCCTGATTTCCTGACCACGTCACAATTTCCTTGTTCCCATTGAGAGATTTCCTCTCAGTAAAGCAAACCTGAGTCAATAATGTGACAAAGACAGACCACTTACAATTTTATATAAATGTTTTTACTATACTTTAAAATGGATGGTTAATGGTAACAGGAAACATATCATCTGATGGTTCACTTCTTGTAAATAACCAGTTCAATGCGGAGAAATTTCTGTCTCAATTGGCAATTACCCTTTTCACAAGAACACTTTTTTTGTTAGAAACAGAATTGAAATGATCGGAAAGTCTGCTGTTGCATGTTGTACAGAAATAGACAAGCATTTCTATTCTTCATTCTGCATTTGTCAATGACACAGTAAAACTGAAATAAAACATTGTCAGTCATGTATAGGATAAGGAGCTGACAAAGTTGCTGAACCGTCTTTAACTTTGCTGTGGTGCACTAGTCAATGTAAAATATGTGCTCAATCTAGTGTGATAGGGTGTCTGGTCTAGTACAGGTGTATTTACAAGTTACACAGCTACTGTCCATATTATATATATAGACACTGTTCATGTTAGAAGTAGACATTTGCCATGTGTAATCTGCAATACATGGTAATCTTAAGTTATCACCACCTGTTTCTTATTTACTGTTGAACAGTTTGTACTAAAGTTATTCCTAACAATTCAGATATGTATATATATACTTGATAGTATACTTTTTGGTGTGTCATGATATTGACATTCCACAAGAGATTGTACTTGTAGACTGCATGCACATAATGTGATTACTTCAGAAATCTGTACACATTGTAGAAAAATGGGTGTTGGTCATGCATGGTTGACAAAAATATGATATTCACATCCTAGAAGGCCGAGTTAAAATATTCAGATTGTCACAGTAGCTTTTTTTATTCTAGCAAATTATGAATTAGGAGCTCACTTGTCTGAAAGCTAGGACAGTATTAAGACTTGAAGTTAAATATTCCTATTGTCATGATAGAGCATTGTTTTTTCTTTTTTTTTGCAAATTAAAAATTATGAGCTCACCTGTCTGAAGTCTGAAGGGTGAATTGATTATGATGAAAACTGCATCACGCATACTTTGGAGGACTGCATTAAGTATTCATACACGAATCAATTTTATGTTATAAATGCATCATATATAGCTATAGATAATTATAGGATGGATCTTTGTAATGTCTTCTCTGTTGTTATCACAACTCAGTTACTTCATCTCTAATTACATAAAATATCTCTGGACTGATGTTTTCACAAATACTGATAGGCACATGACAATTGTGTGAGTATCTGTTTACACATATATGCTGTAGTGTATAATAGAATTATTAATACCACCTTTGATGATACCCATCCCACGGGCCTTCAGAAATGTAATAGACATATAGTATAACAACTCCATGTACTGTAGTGGCATTCATAGTGACTAGTAACATGCTGACAAACCATTTAGCTCTGACATAGAGAATTGTTGATGTTCAGTCTACAGATCGGTACTGGCTCCTGCATAGAGCCACACAATAATGTACATGTACCCTTTTCATTGGGTTGAAATCTTAGCTTTAATGAATTTCAATGATTGACTGCTAAATTATTCAAAATCTCAAGATCTGAAGATATCAAACATGGGCTTGCCTTCACTAATTATTAAAGAGCGTTACACAGTACATGAATTACCCTTTCTGCAGGGATAAAGCTTATAAGATACTCCAAACTAACTAGCCCACAAAAGTTTCCAAAGTTCTGCCCGGGTATCAGTGTATGTATACATTTCCTCTGACCCTCCCTTTCTACTGAATGATACAATATGATTATGTTGCTTACAAGCATTTTCACACTTGTCCAACATTTCACTGCACATTAATCAGGTACTTATGGATGTCCTGGCTGAGTCACATTTCTACACATGTGATTGGGACTTTCATATGTCCAGCACTACTGCATTCTAGATGGAAGTAGGTGCTAGCTAGCATGTCCACGTGAAATGTTTGTTGTGTGGAAACTGTAAACAGACCATGTGTATAAAATGCACCAAATTAAACTTTAAATGAAAGAATTATGTGTCCAAAGTTCAGTGATATCTACGAAATTTTACTGCTGAATTGTCTGTGACGAGTATAAATTAAGACTTGTAACATTCCACTTCTGTGTAAATTTTAACCTTCAGTCTGGATTACTTTTAATATTCATGGTCAGTCTGGAATACATCTTGGTTTCTGTCAGCAAAAATATTTTAAACCACCGATTTGGATTAAATTGACAGTTGTAGCCATAACCAAAATGGTAATTTGTACAGTGGTCTGCTGCAGTAGCGAATCTTTGCTTGACAAATCTCTCTTCATGAACTTTCTTCTCACCCTCTGTCATCCAAGTCCAGAGACTTTTGACAAATCACATATCTTTAAGAATGGCATGCTGTTGTTACAGTTTCTAATTGAGTAGCATCCAGAAGTAAACAAATCTTTGTGTCATTTTCATTTTTAGATTCATTGTATTTATTGATACTGTATAGTTTTCAATTCTTATGAAACATTCCTTTCTGAAAAAATATAAACAAGATGCTTTTGGAAAGTGTATTACCCAGCTTATGATAATCTTAATTGTCAGGAATGAGATGGTTAACATATAGACATTTCGTATGTTTTTATTCACCTTTGACCTTACTGAAAAACACTTACATTGATACATGTCTTTTTTGCAGATACATGGTTGAAGAATGTTGACCCTAGAGGTAAGGATTTTTGTTGTTGTGCAATATATATCTGAACACTATTATTCACATGTAGTGCAAGCTGTTTCAAGTTGTATGTAAACTAAAATGTATATATATATATATATTGTTATACCTGACAATGTGTTAGGATCACCAAAATTGAAATACATCTGTCAACAAACAGCTCCTTCATTTCTAAACTTGTGATGAAAAATTTCTCTCACTGGATATATCCTAATAAAGCAGTGAAGGGTTCAACTTGTATAGATGATGTTGACCCTCACCTCAACCCTTTGTTTCAGGGCTGAATGATGAAGCCTTTGTTCAAATATGTGGTGTTGACCATCATAAATTTTCATGCGTGCCTACCATACTGGAGAATTTATTTTTATTAAGTAATATGCAACATTGTCAAACATAGTTCCTCTGTTATGAAATGACTACAATTGATGTTGTTGAACTAAATGGATTTTTTCATGAGGTGCATGTAGCTTAAGCATGCCTGTTGGAATACTGATACATGTTTAAAAAAAGAGCTGTGTACAGACATTATAAAGCTCCACTCTTAATATAACAGTACCCTCTAGTAACAATCAATTATTCATGATTTTGTACTGGTTGGATGATTGCTTATAAATAGGTCACCCACAAATATGTGTACATTAATTTATCTATATAGAAATGGTGTAATTTCTGGTAGCATTTAATGCCCCAATAATGTAAGTGGTATTTAGCTACAAGTGTAAAAAGTCATGTGTATACGCCCACATACATAAGTGATTCTGTAAAAATTCTGGTCAGAATGGTGCTTCTACAAATTAGCAACATGCATACATATGGAGTTTAATGTGACCATGTAAAGTTAAGTCATGAGTAGAATACTACCGTGTAATAATGATTTAAGAAAATAAAAAAAATCTGTACCTATTCAGTATTATCATGGTAAGGAATCGGAGCATGGTCGCTTCAGAAAAATTATCCATTATTCAGGAATACAGAACAAGCTAGTTATGCATGCACTCATGTATAAAGACCAGTTCAGTGTTATGGATTAATGCAGATCCAACGAGGAGAAGATAAGTGTTTATGAGTTGGTGTACTACTACAGAGGTTTGCTGGCTCTAAAACTATATAGTGTGCAGACAGGCAGGTTTACTGTACTACACTCATTATGTACAAAAAATATCATGGCTTAGCTGTCCAAAGGAAGGTACACCAGTGTGCTTACATACATTTTTTCTTTCTTTTCTGAGTAAGAAAGGATAATTTAAGTAAACAGGCAACTATTTATGTTAGGGTAGCAGCAGTATACATGTATCGTTTTATGGTGGTATTAAGTTTTATATTGAGATACATATATGTATACATATCACATTTCCACTTTGGGCAGAAAGGTCAAGGTAATTCAGTTTATTGTGTAGTATTTATACATAAGTGTTCCACTCTGATGACTTGAAATTAGGCCCTGCCTTCTCAATTTCTCCCTCCATGCTTTTTAACACTTACCATTATTGAAAGAACAAAAAATGGCTTAATTAATGGTTATTTTATCAATATTGGAAAGAGACATAATGTGTGAGTTTCCTTTTCTAAGGTAGTAATTTTGTACCCAAATGTAGTTTTCTTCCAGTACAGTTTTAGGGTATATTTGCCCCTTCGTTTTACCATGGACATACCTGGCAGTCGATGGATATATACTCTTATACTTAAGATATTACATGATACCAGGATATTGTTCTTTCTTCTTTCTGTTCTGCTCTTAAAAGGACAGTCTCTCTTTCTTCCTAACCAGGACAAGGAAAATTACGGGAATGTGATGGACTAGAGATGAAGCAGTGTAAGTCATGCTGCATGGTACCATGGCTTCCAAGTGTAACTAGTGCATCTCTAGAATGTATCTATATGTATGGGAAAGCGATCAGTCTGGCATGATGTGTGATTGGTGGTAGGTGTTAGAAACTGATTACTCATCGGTGCTGGCTTCAGATTATTGTTTTAACACACACTGATGTACGAACAGCAAGATTCACGTAACAGTTTTCCATAAAGCATGAAGAACATCTATGTATTAACTTCTGAACATTTGTACTGCCAAGTTCTTATTTCACCTTACCCGAAGGGCTGTATATGTTTACTATATGGTAAAGTATTCATTTTGTTAGCAATTGTCTTTGTCCATCCTCTTTACAAATATTTACTGTCCCTGGAGAGCTAAATGCTATATTGATTGCAAAGCCATGGCTTGGCAAGGTCCAAGCAAAAGACGTAACAGCCTTCTAGGCCTTTTGTGTTTTACACTCATAGAGTTATGGAACAGAAATGTATATAGCACACTCCCATTTATCAGGTGCTCATGTGTACTGTATAAGTCAAGCCAATTTTGCTTTATAGAAGTCTTTGTAAAAAAAACACTGTCAATTTTATGTACAGATATGTGTGTGTGATCTAAGCACAGCATCAGATACAGATATAGCGTGCCTTTATTCCCCACCTCAAACAGTATACATACCTCATATTTCAAGTATTTTACCAGCAGGCAGCTGAGACATCACAGAGAAGATAATCCTATGGCAAGTGATTATAATGTACTGAAATAGCACCAATTCATTTGCTTCTTTGCCTAGCAAAGAAAAGCAACTGAACAATTTCAATTCTTGCTAAAATAAAACCCAGAATAAAAAAAATTCTTGATGCACATCTATTGTGTTCTGTAGGTTACATGTAGCAAGCTTTAATTGTTTTTTTACGTGTACCGTATTTTCTGGGTTATAAGCTGCTGCGTTTTTCCTCGGCAGTCAAGCATGCAGCTTATATGTGGATGTGAAAAAAATCATCAGAATTGAGAAAAAAAATGAAGCGCATCGTCTAGACATTGGTTCTTAATCATTATGTATTTTGGAAGAGCCATCATGCACTATTGACCTGCATGACCTCGCACGTTGATATTTTTGGTTGTTGTTACATTTCATGCTTCCAGGAAGAATAAAAATAGTGATTAAAAGCAAGGATACTATTGAACCAGTATGAGATGTTGGTACCAAGTTTATTGCGAGTACCTGTCAATCACATGTTTGACTGAAACAGATTGTGTAGAACCATCATTTGCAACGGTATACAGGATGATTTTAAGATTGAAATAAAAATAACATTCTTGTGGATTTAATAATCATACATTTTAATATGAATCACAGTAACATCTTCTGAACTTGAGTGGTTGCTCGGGAAGCCATAACAGAATTTTACAATAGCTGTGCATCCTGGGAAGGATAGGTCATTAGGTCAAATTCTAGAACGACTGCCATGCTTGTTTGCGATAAGAATGGCTTCGTGTATCTTACAAGAAATAATGTGGGACTATAGAAATTTTGTCAGCAAGGGCCTTCACTTATATTTAACAGTACAGACATTGATTGAGACATTGTTTGTAAACCATACGTAACGTCAGGCCCTATGTCTGCATAGACAATCTTTGAAGGCTCCCAAGCCAAACAAGTTTGATAATTGCTATTTTATGTTTTTAAAACAAGTCAATGAAACAAAGGATTATTTGTGTATAATTCATTCGCGAACTTCTATTACATGTTTTGACGATGATCTTGGCTTTTGTTGTGTGTTATATCAACAAACTTTGGTCAACATAACAGTTACCACATTGTGAGAAATGGTGCAGCATATATGTAGATCAAATAAAAAAAATGCTTAAAACTAGTCCTGTGGCTTATACTCTGGTGCAGTAATATGGTATGTCAAACAAGCATTTGTAGAGTTCCAAATTGTATCACCTGCATGTTACTAAACATATACTGTAGTACCAATGTATACAACAGAATAAAGACTGAGGATGGAGTTACAAATAGTAGCAAAAATAAAGACTGAAGATGGAGTAAGAAAAAGTAGCAAACAAAAAAAATAATAGATTTGTCTAAAATAATATACTTCATAACAGAAACAATTTTTATTCAACATTAATGATTCATGCAACATTTGACACAATTACAACTTCATACACATTCAGTAATCCTCAGTCAAATTTTTCATCATATCTAACGATGACCTTTTCAAAGCAAATGTTTTCCCCCAATTTTTTCACTGAAGGCTGTAAAACAAATTCAAAATTTTGCAAATTGTGGTATGTTGGTGTTGGGTAAACAAATAAAATGGTCAAAATCCGTAGCATGCCACACATGTTTCTTAGCTGTAAAACCAAATGCTTGTATATACTGGGTCACTGTACCACTTTTAACCCTAATAATTCTGTTTGAATGGATAGATATGTGTACAAGGTTCAGCCGCTGTAAGCAGATAGGTTTACAATGCAAGGCCACTCTAAGCAATACAGCACTCATATATATGTCGCCAGGCCACACAGACTATGCTTGTGTATGCCTGTCTCCTTAGTATTGATGTGGTTGTTTTGAATGAGATGTGTAATACCAAAGCAGATTGTTCTAGTGTTTTATAGGCGGTGCAGCCATGCCATCAGAGATAGATTTGTTGCTTCAATCTCGATCAATACTGGTCTCAAGCTCAGCAATAGAATGGGAAATGATAGACAATATTTACTGCATGGATTGGGTTAGTTAGTATATTTGTGTTCAATTGAACCCATCTCAAAGGTGCATATGGTATGGTTGGGGTGAAAATGAAGTAGAAATCAATCGGTTGTTTTTGTTGGCTCAGTGATGTTTTTCACCAATCATGTCACGTGGGGGAACAGAACAGCAACACAGCTAATGTGTTCCACATATGTGTAATTACCTGATGTTGGTAGAATTTAGCCAAATCGGTCCACAAGCTCAAGCTATTGAGCCAGAAAAGGACTTGATTAGAGTAAGCTGATAGTATCTAGTTGTGATGGAATTGTCCATGACAGCCAATCTAATGGATCCTCCTGATCATTGACCTCTGTTTAGAAAAGTGGTTTTGTTTTTATACATAGAACCTGCAGATGTATTAACCAAAGAGAGTCAGCTATAAGTGAATTGTAGAACAGAGATGAAGAAATTAGGCAGAATTTTGTATCAGCTGCTGACAAAGAGGTGTGAGTGTATTTAAGGTCTGTCATTCCTCATTATTTTTAGATTATTTTCATATTGATTTGTAACTTTTCACTGTGACTGCAAGTTCCAGAGGCCAAGCAGCTACTGCTTCTGGTGGATCACCTGTGTTACATTTTCAGCCACTGTAAGACACTACGTCGAACACTGAGGTGATCATGGCTCTGGTTCCTGTCATATACCTTGAGAATTCCTTAATGCAGAGAGAAAGCATTTCAAGTTGGTATTGATTGTGTTGGCTTGGTAAGCAGCTTGATGCTGGTGCCAGCCTAAGGCTTATGAATGATGCCATAGCAGTATTGATTCTTTGTTAACCGTACTGAAGGAAGGGTCATATTAGGCTTCCTACATCAGTCTTATATCCTGGTGGTTCATACGCCAGTCACTAACAACTCGCTCACCAATATAACATTTACTGATGCATATAAAGTACTGATGGAAAAAACACATAGTTCTAACCAGCTGCAAGTTAAAGGTTGTGTTCTTAAATGGACCAATATTTTTGTCCCTTGAATTTCTATGGAAGTGTCATGAGAATCTTTCACACTCTCCTGACTATTTCTCATTTGAAAATATGAATTCATGTAGGTTGACATCAGTACATAACAGTGCAGTCTGGTTTATGGCTTGATTCCCATATATCACAATTCCAGATAAATGAATCATTTAGAATGACCTCTCTGCCTCAAGTTTTGATAAACTGAATATCCAATAATTTTTGTAATGTGCCAACACAGTTTGGAATGGGGTGCCGGTCAATGTTACTGTCATCACAGTTTGATTTGTGGTCACATTTGTCAAAGTCACTTATGTTAGACTTTACACATTCAGCAATGTTTACCATATCACCACACTTAGTGACTAATTTATTGCCAATTTTTACTTAACTTATCATGGACATGTCCCTTTATAACACTTGTTTTTATGAACAATATGTGATTACTATTCAGCTCCTATGTGTTTACGATGTGTGCACTGATTAGTGGGATATTTTTGCATTTTTTATTTTGGCAATTCAGTAGGTTAACATGTAAATTCCTAAAATTCAAATTGCGTAAGATTTCCACTGTTTCCTTCAAAGACACCAAAACATTTCATCCTCCCCCATTTTGTGTTATACATTTACATGATCTATGGAAGCAGTTTGAACCTCCTGGTTTAAATACTGGTCACAGGGTCACCTTCACAGTATCCACATCTGCTGTTAGCTTGTCAATTCTGGTGGAATATTCAGTACTGGAAATAATATGCGAATCATTTTTGTAGACAGTATTTCACAGTAGAAGGTAAAAAAAAGGACTAGCTCTTGGTATATATTGGGACATTTTCCAAAAACAAGAGGTAAAGACTAGTACTATGATGATATCAGACCAAGTGCCAATATGTAGAGCTTGCCCGGTCAAATACACCATAATGTATGTGTGAAGTACCAGTTGATCTGACAGTGTATTATCTGCGGGTAGATTCATCACTATCTAGTACAGATATACACATACCAGCAGCCTCCCATGGCCCTTGTACCAGTTTGATAGCAGAGTCCACTCTGTTTGGCAATCTGGTTCCAATGATGTTTGGGTTCTGGGGGATAAAACATTACAGACACAGCCACAGTGTTGACTGAGACACACCACTACAAGTGTACAAGTCCCTGGTGTGATTTCCAGCTTGCTCTACAGTAAATTGGGCTGATATCTGTATTGCTGTCTGTCGTGTAGTTACCTAGTGGCAGCCATACACAATGCTGCAAATATATTGTGAAACTTTAAATGATGAATCAGTATTGGCCCAAGGACAGATTAGGGCTCTGATATTAGAGGTAGACTGATGAAAAAGGCATTTACATGAAATCTCAGGTGCTGTGTACATTTGGAAATCTGTAGACAGAGTTACCTGGTTCTGATCAGAATCTGCTGTTCAAAATCTGATTTGTAAAAATACCAGAAGTTTGTGGAAAATTCATCTACACTTGTATCTATCTTGCATGTCTTTTAGGTAACGGCTAAATGAAAAGTTAAATGATTGTAAATGATCCAACAGCTCTCTATCCCGTGATTGTTAAATATAAGCCGGCAATGCAGTCCTGTACTGTAATGAATTAATGAAAGTAAGCTTACAACCTTTATGTGACATGGTTCTGATTGACAATACACATAACAGAGATCTGTACTTATTGAGGATCACGATTCACAAGCTGACAATGCTTAAATACGATGCAATCGATGATTTATAAATCAAAGATGACAAGAGCCACTCATATACCATATTGTTCTGTGATATCCAGTCATTGATGATTGTAGTTAGTCACTCCAAAGGTGATGATTATTCTGAAATTTAAAGTTTATAACCCTACATGAATAAGAAACTTGTACTAGACAGATACTAACAATACTTGACCAAAGATTTGAGGAAGTATTTCCACAGTCTGAGATCACTGACACATGATGTGTAACTAAGGCAGGCAGTAAGGTTAGTCAGCCTGCTGCTATTTCTGTATTACCAAGTAATGGATCAATATTCTTTGTATCTTGATGAACTGGTAATGATATAACAATTGCCTGTAAACAGTAATTCTGTACTATATCATTATAACTACACGTATCTGACTTTGTACAATGTTATCACAGTTACCTGTACTCTCTATATATCACAGTTACCTGTACTCTCTATATATCACAGTTACCTGTACTCTCTATATATCACAGTTACCTGTACTCTCTATATATCACAGTTACCTGTACTCTCTATATATCACAGTTACCTGTACTCTCTATAAATCACAGTTACCTGTAATCTCTATATATCATAGTTCTGTACTGTATCATTATAACTACACGTATCTGACTTTGTACAATGTTATCACAGTTACCTGTACTCTCTATATATCACAGTTACCTGTACTCTCTATATATCATAGTTACCTGTACTCTCTATATATCATAGTTCTGTACTGTATCATTACAGCTACAGGTATCTGACTTTGTACAATGTTATCACAGTTACCCGTACTCTCTATATATCACAGTTACCCGTACTCTCTATATATCACAGTTACCTGTACTCTCTATATATCACAGTTACCTGTACTCTCTATATATCACAGTTACCTGTACTCTCTATATATCACAGTTACCTGTACTCTCTCTCTATATATCACAGTTACCTGTAATCTCTATATATCATAGTTCTGTACTGTATCATTATAACTACACGTATCTGACTTTGTACAATGTTATCACAGTTACCTGTACTCTCTATATATCACAGTTACCTGTACTCTCTATATATCATAGTTACCTGTACTCTCTATATATCATAGTTCTGTACTGTATCATTACAGCTACAGGTATCTGACTTTGTACAATGTTATCACAGTTACCCTTACTCTCTATATATCACAGTTACCCGTACTCTCTATATATCATAGTTACCTGTACTCTCTATATATCAGTTACCTGTACTCTCTATATATCACAGTTACCTGTACTCTCTATATATCACAGTTACCTGTACTCTCTATATATCACAGTTACCTGTACTCTCTATATATCAGTTACCTGTACTCTCTATATATCACAGTTACCTGTACTCTCTATATATCACAGGTACCTGTACTCTCTATATATCATAGTTATGTACTGTGTCATTATAACTACACATATCTAACTTTGTACAATATAATCATAGGTCCCTGTTGCCTCTGTATACCAGTTGTGTTCTATATCATTATAATAGAGTTATTAGACTATGTACAATATTATCACAGTTACCTGTACTCTCTGTATGCAATAGTTCTGTACTGTATCATTATAGCATGAGTCATAAAAAAAAGTAGTGTTGACAAATTTTGCTTCATAGCCATTCAAACCATCCAATATTTGATATTGATCGGGAAATGAGCTAGCCTGCAGCAGCAGTGGAGCAAAAGAATAAATACAAATGAGGAACGGATATCCAGGTCAATTTTTTCTTTTGAATTATAAACACAATTTTTTCACTCATTTTCAACAAGTGTTCTTATAATGAGTGATGAAATGATGGGGCAAACTTCTCTATTTCTGATTATAATTCGGTGGCAGATACCTATCAGGACTCAGTGTCAGGTGATCACCATCATGTCGCTGACTCATACATACAGGATTATTATGGGATGTGTGATGAAGCTAATATGATTATTTCTGTTACAAACACAGTATTATCGCTTCGTTACAGAAATAGAATTGATTCAATTCATGGTATAGGCTAACTGAAATATGTTATAAAAATTCCAGTAATACCTGATAATGGTTAATTTGTGTGGTCTTCTGTTCTTTGAAGATACATAGATGTAGTAGTTGGTTTGTCTGCTGTATCCTTGCTGTGGAGATGGTTGTCGCTACATAATAAACTATTTATTATGTTCCCATGATTATCGGTGGTTATCTTATTACTCTACACTATACACTCTCATATCCATAGAAAAAAACAGTAATGGAAAGTCCATTCTGTCTGCCTGCTCTATGTTGAAGCATATTTTATAACCGAGGTTTAGTGGCCCTTAGAAAAACTATGTTGTGACTGAAATTTGCATCATGCTTACTCTAGAAGGTGTTAAGGTTAAATAGGGATTATCTCAAACACTAAACATATATTGTTTTTGCAATTTTCATTACATGTGCTGAATCACAAAAAATCCTTAAATGAATAAAATTTAATAATAACCAAATATATAACTGAACAATGGCAGAATCTTTCATTACAAAAAACGAATTTAACCACCAAAATAAAATATTTTGTTTCCAGTCAACATTTTGATTAAAATATTTGCATCTGTTCTTTTCAGTGTTGGATCTTGTGTACTGGCGTGATGTTAAGACAACAGGGGTCGTATTTGGCTCCATGATGTTCATTCTTCTGTCTCTGTCTTGTTTCTCTGTGTTGAGCGTTCTTGCCTACTTATCTCTGGCTGTCATCACCGTCACACTCAGCTTCCGCATTTACAAGAACGTCCTCCAAGCTGTTCAAAAATCTGGAGACCCACACCCTTTCAGGTAAATATGAAGAAGCATTTCATGCATTCAGATCAACATTTCCAGAAGTAATGTCCCTCATTCTTTGTAAGGAGGTGGCTATATTGTCTTGTGATGTTTTTTTTCGATATTTTCATACATAATAAAGAGTGTATTACATACTTGCAAGTCAGGCAAGTCTATGAACTGAAATTAAAAGGGATTAGCTGAGATAATCCATGAAACATTGATAAGGATAATCACCCAAAGATCTCTAAAACATTATGCAATCCTTCATTTGATATAGCATATGATGTATATCTTTCCAAGTTCTTTCAGCAAAGGACAAAGTTTGTATTTAAAATCCTTATGAAACTGAATTCCATCGTATTTCTTTTGAATAAACAATTCTCTAATGAAATTGGAAATATCAAGATCCTTATTTGCTTTCCAGAAGCTAATTAAACAGCAAGGCAGTAATACCAGTGAATGTTAGCATGGCACTCTAATCTGTATCGCTATAGTGACACAGCCTCTGAACCAGCAATTTAGAAGTCATTGTTAATCAATGTGGTTTCCTAATGGTGACCCAACTACATGTCAAACACGAAATATTTTTAAAAATTTATCATTGGAATGTAAAAGATGGTAAAAGACTACATCAAAATATCTCAAAAGATTGTATTAAAACTTGATTCATTCATTGGATGGTATTTTCCAATATGGTACATGCAATTTATGTAGAATTTACTACACTTGATGAATGCTCTGAACATGTTCCAGTCTTAACACTAAGTGGCCAGCACCCCTTAAGGCTGGCAACTAATTGACCAATTTTATACTGACCAGTGTTCATATTGGAATGTCTGCTATGTTGATCTACACATATTTATGGGCCAGATGTCTACACAAGCAGTTTTGGGTTCACAGTACTTGGTCAATAGCATCCTCTATCATCATGTATAACTGCTGAGTTATTATTCACAGCAAACTTTTGTCCAGTAGATGATAAAGATCATCTTTGAAGGTCATAGTTAACCATACTGCTTATTTCTAAATTTAACAATACTGCTTGTAGTTAACTTACTGAAACTGCTTATTCTGTACATGTATAAGAATTAATGGCCTGGCCTAATTCCCATCTTAGATTTAGTGAGCTGTTCAAATCATGTCAGTAGCCCATTGTATGTCCATTCTTCCATCTGTAATGTAATTGCTGTTTCTTGAGAAGCACTAGATGGGTTATTTTCAAATTTCATGTTTAAGTTCCCTTTGGTCCCTAGTTGTACATGGATAGATTTTGGGGGTGATCTGAAATACAAAATGGCGAACAGGTGGTCATCATTGCTTTTGACCGTCATAGTTTGTTATTGTTTATTCACAAGAGGTACTTCACAGAATATTTTCAATGATAATGTTGGGATTTTGTGCTGAAGAATTGACATTAATTTGCAACTTTCAAGATCACAGGTGTGAAATATGTTGCGTATTAGCAAATTAAGGGTTACAATGTTTTGCCATCAACTAGCTGGCATGAGTTTTTAGAAAGCTTTCTTTAGAAGTTATGGCTGTAAAGTAAATCACAGTTTCATTTTGTACACCAAGAGGCAAAGAGCCATTGTCACATATAAGAGGTGTACATTTAATTGCCAACAGTGTTGAATCATTGGATAGAACTGCAAACCCTGTTTAGACATGGGTTTCATGCAGGCCTTTCGAGTTACAACAGGTGTAGGGATAAGTATCATGTTAATGTGTTAATTACATGTGTTACAGAGTGTATCTGGACATGGATATTGATGTGCCTGAAGACAAGGCTCAGATGGCTCTGAAAAACATTACACGACATGTGAACAACACCTCCCGTGAGCTGCGACGTCTCTTCCTTATTGAAGACCTTGTTGATTCTCTTAAGGTATATTCGTGTTTTATTGCTCTGTTTCCTTGCTAAAAAATTGCAAATGATTTTAATGGATAGCATTTCATTTACAGTAGTTTTGAAATTAACAGGGCAGACTGCACCATTTGGTTCCAAAACTATTAGATTAATTTTAAAGAACTATTTGGGTTAATTTTCAGCTCATAAAGGAGATAAGTTTATGTATATGAACATTGATTGAGCATTTTCCGATCTGGATATCACCGCTGGCAAAAAATGAAACTTCATTTTCCAGACAAATTAAAGCACTTGGGCTGCATCAAAATACTGGTATATATCAATTTGTATAGATAACAGCAGACTTTTCAATATATTGAGGTTATTGGAACAGTAGGCCTACAGTTGGTCAGCAGACTTTTCAATATATTGAGGTTATTGGAACAGTAGGCCTACAGTTGGTCAGCAGACTTTTCAGTATATTGAGGTTATTGGAACAGTAGGCCTACAGTTGGTCAGCAGACTTTTCAATATATTGAGGTTATTGGAACAGTAGGCCTACAGTTGGTCAGCAGACTTTTCAATATATTGAGGTTATTGGAACAGTAGGCCTACAGTTGGTCAAAAAAAAAAACGAAGAGATATTCCTAGTGATATGGTTATTTGTTTAATAATGCTTAATGCTATGATCGGGAGAACAAGTTATGTCATCATAAAATAGTTATTAAGAAAGAAAAAATTCTGGTAAAGTCATAACATGTCATGTGAAAGATTCTTTCATTGGTATTAAAAAACGAACATTGGAACATTGCATTCAGATTTTATTTGAAGAGATATATTATTGTGACAATAAATTGTGACAATATGTGTTGATGTAGACTTTACCCAAGGTAACAGCGCTATTTCACAGAAGTGTATTAGGCTAACATAAGATGCAATGTAAAAATATTTCATGGTTGCCTGATAAAATATTTGTGCATTCAGGAAAATCCTATTCCTATATGATCCTGATTCCTTAGTATGCTATATAACCGGTGGCTGGATCAAGAGACAACTGCCAAATAATTTTAGTGGAGTATGCTATATAACTGGTGGCTGGATCAAGAGACAACTGCCAAATAATTTTAGTGGAGTATGCTATATAACTGGTGGCTGGATCAAGAGACAACTGCCAAATAATTTCAGTGGCAGTGGTCAGATATTTAAGAACCTTCCACCAGAAAATTATTTTGCGACCATATTTTCACATTCAGGAAAAACAAATACCTATGTTAGTCTAATACAATCCATACTAGTCACCAACTCCTGCAGTATTACTTTATATGAAACAACTAGTTTATCACACACTTGGTAAAACTTTGCAAATTTGAGACTGTCTGTAATTAAGTGTGCTTTAAAATTGCATCAATGTTCTCTGCCATGAGATGTATTAGATAATGGGAAAAAGAAAAAAATGAGGGGAACATATCAAAGATTTGATTCCACATTAGATGAAATGTATGCCTGTTCAACAAAATATACTCAATATCTATACAAAACCAGTGTTCAGGGAAGTCAGAAATTGATTGTGCTCTGTTTTGTCTTCTGGAATGCACTTGAAGAGTTTAAGGGACATGTAGATAAGATTTTAGTGGACTGGTGTATTGTGACCACATCTGAAGAACACTTGTTTCTTTTCTCAGTTTGGCCTGTTGCTGTGGGTGCTGACCTATATTGGAGCCTGGTTCAATGGAATGACACTGATCATCCTTGGTAATTTTAATACCTTAGGGATAGATAAAAGGAAACATGAAAAAAAAAAAAAAAAAATACTGGCAGATGATCTCAGTTTTTTTTGTAGAAATTCGTAATAGTTCTCAATTTCATTTCTCTTTGGCATAGATGTTTTCCTCAAATTTGATAGGGAAAAAAACTGAAAGAATAAAACTATTAGAATTAGTAAAATGGTCCTTATCAAAGGTAATGCACAGTAAACTGACTGTCTCTAGGCTTTAAGTACAGTTCTACATGATACAGAAAACTTCCCCTGTACATGAAGACTGATAAGTCCTTTTGTAGGTAACTCATCCAATGAAAGTGGATTTAATAAATGTTACACTTTGGGAAAGTATGATTTTGTTGCTGAATATAGCTTCTCTCATCTTCTTATCTTAATACACATTCTCAACATAATGATGTTAGTTACACAATCTCTTGATATGACAAGATCAAAATTGATTTAAACACTGGTTGAAGACAGATTTCTGTAATTAGTTATGTACAGAATTAATGAATTACAATTAATTTCTTTACAGCTGTGGTGTCTGTTTTTACACTACCTAAATTTTATGAAACTTACAAGGTGAGTATGATTTTATAAAATCATCATAGATCCATGTGCCTCCACTTTTTGGCAATTGTTGGGGTTTTTGTAGAGCTGTTCTTATGGTCCTATGTCTAATACTTAGTCACAAAGTCTGAGTGTTTAGCCATTACTTTGTCCATCAGTCTTTGTTATATGTTAGAGGGTATAAAGCGTTGTGGATACTTACAATCACCCTTTATTGCTTCGTCTGTTATCACCTCACGCGTTTGTTATAAAATTTGGTCATTAAAGTAACTTCTGCTCTTTGCAAATAATGAAATCTTGATTTAATTTCTCGACACTGTCTAATGATCAGAGAAATTGTGTGTCTTACCAGATTGTACCAGTATTGTAAGCAGTCATGAATTTTAAGATTTCATTATCATATACTGAAAAGAATTTCTTACCACCAATGCTTATGAAAAACAAACCCATATTATATCTCAAAGAATTTACCTTATATATCCCAAGACTTGGCCCCTCCCTTATTCTTTTCTTCTACCCTTCACCGTTTTTCATCACTACATCAATTTAGTTTGTTTGTCGGGTGTTATCTTTATTACTAGAACGAAAGGTGATTTTATAGTTTTAGAAAATGTTTCCTACAAAAATGACACCATGATTTTATCCACTGTTCCAGGTCCAGATTGATAACTACTTCAACATGATCTGCTGTCAAGTGGACGGTGTTATGAAACAGTAAGCTCTCACTACATACCTTTCTAAGTATTTCATTGTTATGCATTCACAAAAAATTACAAAGATTACCTGCAAAATGGAATTCTAATGATACACCTGTACAACAGAATTCTAATGATACACCTGTACAACAGAATTATGATGATACACCTGTACAACATAATTGTGATGATACACCTGTACAACATAATTATGATGATACACCTGTACAACATAATTGTGATGATACACCTGTACAACATAATTATGATGATACACCTGTACAACATAATTGTGATGATACACCTGTACAACATAATTATGATGATACACCTGTACAACAAAATTCTAATGATACACCTGTACAACAGAATTCTAATGATACACCTGTACAACAGAATTCTAATGATACACCTGTACAACAGAATGATACACCTGTACAACATAATTATGATGATACACCTGTACAACATAATTATGATGATACACCTGTACAACAAACTTCTAATGATACACCTGTACAACATAATTATGATGATACACCTGTACAACATAATTATGATACACCTGTACAACATAATTATGATGATACACTTGTACAACAGAATTCTTATGATACATCTATACAACAGAATTCTAATGATATACCTGTAACACACCTGTACAACAGTGTTGTAATAATACACCTGTAACACACCTGTGCAACTGAGTTGTAATTAATACATGTACCTGTACAACAGAGTTACAATGATACATGATACAAAATGTTACTTTTCTATTTTACAGAGTGCAGACCAAACTACCATTCTTGAAGAAGAAAGAAAAAGCACAGTAATGAGTGCAGACCAACAGATGTTTTGGTTACACATTACGTTTTTTTCCATAATAGAAGATGTTTCAAGACTGAGATTGTGTTGCACAAGGTCAATACAGTGTATGTTATCCTGAATATGGAACTTACATGTCACTGCTAGGAGACAACCATGACAACAGCAGGATGACAAACACATCTAGTGTGGAATAGTGATGTTTACAGCATCCTTAAACAGACTTTGTGGTAGATTTCATGTTAAACCAGGACGTACTTATCAAGGTTAAAACAAATTCACTGATCCACTAATAACAGCGATTGTTTTGATGCATGCTTGTAGAGGTTCTTATCATATGTAGTACATAAAATCGGTATTTTCTGTAGACATTTCCACAGTATATGTGTTTGTTCTGTTGATTGGTGACAGAAGCTGGTGTTGACTTCTGTGTTGTGAGTGTGGGTACTCTAGAGTGACATTTCTAGGCCACACTAAACATTAACAATAAATTAGGATGCTTGGTATGAACATTTGAAATGAAATTACAAGTGAGATGCTTCCTATAGAAATTAACATGGAATTTTTTTTTTAGATATATGAAATATAGAAGCAAAACAGCAAGGAAATGAAACCTTGGATGTACAAAGTATTTCGTTAATAATTTCCTTACTGGTAAGAGTGAAAAAAGTGTGTGTTCATCATAATTGTGGGCTTTTCCCTCATTTTTTACCATTTGATTTCCATTTGAAAGTCATCCTAAATTTGAGAAGAACCACTTTATCATGTCCCATCTCATTGTCATTTGTAGCTGGGTAACTTCATTGTCACTAGCTTTTATGAGTGCTCACTGGAGTTTTGTCTCACAATTGTCTAGGCACGGGCAAGTATTTTGCCATGTTTTTGATCTCTTGATGTACCCAAACAAAACGTTATTGTGTTAGGGCTGTCACCAAATGATGTTGTTCTGGGTATCTAAAACAACTCTGTACAGTATTTATTGTAAACAAGACTTGTATGCATCAACCATTGTGTCATATGATAATTTATACCCAAGATACTGTAGGATTAATATTAGAAATGATTACCTGGTGTCCTTTAGGAACAAGGAGTTCACAGTTGATATATTGATTGTAAATTTAAGAAAAGGAGAAATTTATTGTAAATCCAAGAAAAGGAGAAATTTATTCGGCAAAGGAACCTGCTTTCTACGAAAGGGGATCTAAGGGTGCAAGTTTTCAGGGTAACTAATTCAATGTACAAACAAGAACAATTCTTGTGTCATTTACTAAGTTTTCAATACAACCACTCTTTGAGTTATTGGGAAAATTTACTGTTTATTCAAACATCACCCTACTACTGAAAACTGGGGTTTGATTCCCAAATGGACTGAATGCATTATTGTTCCATTAACTGAAAGCCTATAGATAACATATGTACAGGTTGGATAACATCATTCTGTGAATATTGCTAATGGTGACCTATATTCTTAATGTTGTTTTGTGTCCTTGTCTGGCAGTTTATTTAAGCTTGATTACAAAAAACCTTTTATATGTATATACATCAATTATGAGAAAATTTCCATTGTATACAAACTAGAAATATTGTGTTCACAGTGACTGGAGTTACTTAACAGTAAAATATATGTTGATAGAATTAGTTCTGAACTTACGATTCCAACAAAATAAATGGTTAACTATCTCTCTAGAATTGTGTATAGAAAAGTTATCACAAAAATCTAGAAGAATATACAATATTCATTGGTGATTGTTGTTCTCACTCAACTCTGTTTTTTTCTCTCTCTTAAAGACATCATTTCACCTGTATTGTGTAAGTCAGGCCTTAAAGTTGAGGTCATATATTCTTCTACTGTCCATTCTTTCAGGTATTTTGAATCTCCTTATAATGGTTCGAGGTAGTAAATGGAAAGGTTCCATACATAGTGTACACCTTGCCTGAGTGTTTAAGCTTATTAAAGTCAGTAATTATTGTTTTCCTTAGCTCTTTGTATTTTGTTTGGTAGATAATACTACCAGTCTACTACCGATGGTACTCCTTAATGCTCAGAATTCAATATTTCATTTGAAAAACCAGCAATGTCAAAACATTTTGTATTTGATTGGCAGAAATGTTTCAATCTTACTGCCTGGAGTACTCTTTGCATAGAAATATTTTTACTTACAGAATCTGTGCATAACTGTTCAGGACATGGTAAAAATATTATTGATGTCCTTTGTCATTAATGAACCATTTTGCACATAAATGAGATTCTTATTTTGGAACAAATATGAAATCCTGCATGGCAGTCATCTTAAATTCAGTCTTCTGTGAGTCTGATTTTGCAGAAACTTTGTGGAAATGACATCACATGATTTTGACCAAAAAACAATAGAGTATTGAATTTCCTTGGTATGATCACAGTTTCATCCCTTTTTTTGTTAATTAATTGAGATCATGAGACTACTTTGAATGTGAAGGGCCCCTTGTGCCTCTTGTTTTGTTTGTATTTGTTGTTTTGAAATCTGACCACGAACACTCTAGAAGAAGCTCTATTCTGTGGTTGACGATTGATATGGTACACCTCTCGATGTCTACATATAGGTGTTTGCTGTAGTGTGTACTGTAGGTATTTTTGTGGATTGTACGGATTTGTTGTCATGATAAAGCAGTATTGTAATGATATAAAAGTATTTATTACATGCAGAGTATATAATATATGGATATTTCTTATTTTATTCTTTAGCTTACCTGGCTCAAAGAGTCACAGGGACTTGTGCTGTGGTGCAGTGTCAACATTTGATACAAAATATTTTGTTATAGTCATGAATTTATCCTTTTGAATAAGTTGATTCAAAAAGGGCCCAGACATTTTTGACTGATTTTTAGTTCCACAGGTCAATTTTAATCAGCCATCATTTCAAACATTAATCCAGGTGTTGTTGTTCAAAATCTTGTGATCATTAGAAATCTGAGATGCCCATTGTGGTCTTATCTCAAACGTCTAAAGAATAAAAGGAAACCAGCAGATGGTACAAGCCTTGTGGGCCTCTCTTATTGTAATCATGAAAAATGAGATTATAGAAATTTTTGACCTGAATATTTTTGCGAGAAAAGAATAACACAAGTGGCCTTTTTTGTGGGATATTTGTTATTGTTTTGTCTGAACATTAGAATAAAACTGATTTCTTTTCACATCTATTGAACTGTGAGAAGACATCTGTATGAACTAGGGAACTCCAGATAGAAGTATGTATATATAGCAATTATATAAAAGCTGTATATTTGCAATAGTTTGTTTTGGTATTAAAAGATCCTCAGGAGAATATCAAATTATCAGAAAGTTGTGTTGTCTTCCATCACCACTACTTAAAACTTCAAAACGAGAGTGAATGAAAAAATCATTGCATGTAAATGCATCAAAGAAAAGCATTATTTGGGATCTTCTTGGTATAACTGAAGAAATTTGATATGATTTTCTTTTCTTATCAACATATTTTGGTAATTATTCCAACTGCACATGTGTGTCTCCTACATTATTTTCTTAATACTGATTTTGTGTGTCACACATTTTTGACCGAAAGTGTGCTGTTTGCTACCGTTTCTATATGTTGCTTCAATTGACTAGTATTACCCAATCATAAGGTATCATGTTACCTATTTCTGTATTCTAGTGTTTATGCAATATTGTGATACTTTGTTAACTCCTGTAATGCCAAGCTTACCAATGTAAGCTTCAATTTGTACAAGATAATTACAGCTTGTGACTGGAGTCAATACAGTTCATCTTTAATTAAAAGTGAATGTTATGTCAAGTGCTTTTGTCTTCTTTTTCACGAGGATCATTAGTCCTTGCTATATTTTGTCTCAAGAACAAGATCAACATGTTTTTCTTGTATGACCTGTAGAAAACTTCCCCATCCTAGGGGCCAAATGGGGTCCCAAATGGTGTAATCAGATGAAATCAAATTTAGATAAAACTTAACCTCCTTTAAAGGGGGAACAGAGAGGCCAGAACATCACAAATTTTGGAAGATTCATAAAATCCTTGTATACAAGTAAATGTGAAAGCGTTGGTGATGTTGTCCTTGGCCCTTGAATTTCATGGTTTTTAGTTGCCTTCCACCAATGTTGATTATGGCCAAACATGCTGTCTATAAACTAAAGTGATATTTACCCCCATCTTGGAGCAGAATGAGTATGAATTTCACAATTATGGTAAGTTATTGAATACTAGTGAAAGAAATACATGAAACAAAAGTGGGGAAATTTTAGAATATTGATACATCATTATGCCGTAGAATATAAATACATAATTGTTTTAAGAAAGAAAAGGAACAGGAAGGACAGTACCTGACAGCATTTCTGTTGCTACCAGAGGATCCAATTTGCTGAACAACAAAGGTGTGATATTATCGACATGCCAGAAAAACAGTTGTATGGAAAAAAAGTATGCAAACCTTGAAAGCTTGCTTTCAAGCTTGCAAAAATTATTTAGAATTTTAAACCTGCAAAAAATGCTGAAGAAATTGAATTTAATCCAACCAGAGACTATGGTGTATTTGAATTAACATGCAGGATATTAGAGCTGAATACAGTATTAGATTAACCAAAGTAGGCACTGAGACTAACAATGTTAAAATGAACAAAACAATTTGGGTAGGCGATGTTCAAACCCTTTGGACCTCATTATTTCATATTGTAGATTATTTCTCTTTTAATGTGACCACACTTATCGTCAACAGAATCTATTCTCATCGGACATTCACAATGTTTTGTCTCTTATGTCAGCATCTTCACTATTTCTACCTTAGATAACTCGGTCCATATCGAACCTCCAGCGTCACTGAAATGTTACAACACCTACAGTTACGCCCCCTCTCAAACAGACGTAGAGATGCACGTCTTACATGCTGTTCAATATTGTCAATGATAATGTTGCCGTTACGAAAGAAAACCGACCCATACCCCCAGTCAGACATTCTAGACACAATCATCCACTGTCATTTCAGCTACCCCATTGTAAAACCCAAATAAGAAAACAGTCGTTCTTTCCCCGAACCATATCGGAATGGAACCAAGTCCCACCTGATGTTGTCACCTCCTCCTCCAAAGAATCTTTTAAAACTGCAGTCTTCAGCCACTTCCTTAAAAATAGTTACCTTTCTTTTAAATGTATATTTTTATTGTATATAATGAATTTTTGTCCCTTCTTACAACTCCTCTTCTGACATAGTCTACAACTTGTTGAAGTTGGTCAGTATCAATTAGAAGTAGAAGTGAACTGGGCTTTTTTTCAAATGATAGGTCCAGCTAGTGTTAAAATGCAACCCAATCACACAGATATATTTGGTCTTTAGAAGTAGGCTAACTATCCTATATCACAAATTAAACGACCAATTTCTATGGTTCTGTTTAGGCCTTTCTCATTATAGTTTTTGGTTCACTGTTAAAAAATCGTAGGCGAAGACTTAAATTTGGATTTCCCGCGGGTTGCATTGGTTTGTTATATACCGCAAAGCATGCCGGGTATTGCCAAGATACATATAAACTGTCATGGCGGACTAGAGCGGTGTTTGAACACGACCACTAGTATTATGTGAATGGTAAAATAATTATTGAGTACAGGATGGGTTGTCATTGACATAAATCGTGTACTAAGCTAGATAAATATCTATTGAAATTCCATCTAGGTTTCAACCATTTCATTCGCATTGTAAGACTGCCTTTCAAAACATATGCAATAGAAGCGTGTACGATAACTGGTGATAATTCAGCATCTCTGTATTGGGTTCCTACGAAACAGAACAATTTATAATATTTCGTATTCATACACATACCTTAGACGTACATCCTTTTGTCCGAAATTAATATATAAGTTAAACACGGTGGTCACTGGCTTTGCTCCATTAAAATGTCTCCATTTATGACAGCTGTATTTAATGTAAACATTGATAGGCCTAGATATATATTCGAACACCGATTTTTTAAAAATTGTCAAACAAATGGAATTTATATCAATAGAGAAAGAAGAACCGAATACCGTTAAGATTATTGAAATGATTTTTCCAGATGACTAAACATAAACGTGTGTGAAAGGATACTGAAATTACCAGGATGTCTGAAGCAAGAGGCGAGTCACGGGCTAGTTATGCCAGTCAGAGCCAATATTCTGAATCAACCATCATCAACCAGGATATCACTGATCAGGACCTTTTAAAGGCCCACAAGACAAGCAATCAGGCGTCTAAAGTGGTCAGTTTTGCTCCCGGATCAGCTCTAGAACGAGCCAAAACTGTAGAGGAGCTGGGAAAACAACAACACAAAGGGATGCATGCAGGAAAACATTTAGATCTGATGGAAAGACTTATAGACAGGCCCCACAATTCAGATGTGTTCAGAATGGTGAAAGCTTCACCCCGGGAAAATAAACAAGAACTTCAAAGTACAGGCACTTTAAAATCCCAGCCTATTATTAACGGCTCTCAAACCCCAACAAGACAGGTACTATAAAACTTGAAGTGAGGCTTTGCAAAAGCGGTCCTGAAGACCTGTTCAAATATGATACTAGACAGATGATTTAAACAATATTAAACTACAAAGGAAAAAGGCAATTTTGCTGAGGATTTATAGCATTGATTTTCAATTATTTTCATTTTACCAATATTATAATCATAATTATTGACTGCAAGCAAATCCAGTTTTACTTACAAAAAAAAAGAAATATGAAAACTGATTTTTTTTTAAATATTTACAGAGTCCATTGATGCCTCGTCCACCTTCAGCTAAAATGAGCAATGGTGGTGGTTCTATGACAAGTTTCAGAACAACAATATTTAAAAGGGACTATCAGAAGCGTCAGACAGATATCAATAAACGTAATCAACAACCTGCACTGGATCCACCTAAACTCACAGTCAGCATGTATGTATATATGTGACACTAAAACCCGATAGTGTGTGAAATATGAGATAAAACTTATATATATGGAGTTTTGGTGTAAAATTTTGCTTCCTTTTTTAGCTGAGCCCATTGCAATTTTTGAATATCTTAATGGAGTTGTAGTTTGACTGTCCTTCTCACAAATAATTCATAAGTCTCAATAATTTACATATTTTTTTAAGTCTAGTGAACTTAGATAAAATATTCTATTCTACATTGATACCAAGTCTTATTGAATGTATATATTTCAAATATGATTTATCTGATCAAGAAATATATTTTTACTAATAGCCAACTTATTTTAGTTTGTAATATTATTTTTATTTTGCCTGTGGTACCTTATAATTGTAGCCACTAGTGGTAGCCCATAAATTAATAATTGGACTGATAGCATAACCTGCTATGTAATACCTTCAAAAAGCTGCCATATGTTGTGTCACTTTGATTAGTCATGAGCTGCTATAGAAATATCTTACTACAGTGGAGAGGAGACAGACTGAGAAATTTTCATGATTTAAAACTTGAAATGCTTCTAGGCTCCGCAAGAAAAGCCCAAAGGTAGTGTCTGTGCCTATCACTCCAGCAGAGGACATGGTATCTGAAGGTGCAGAAGATCTAGAGATCTTGGCGGAGTTAGTTGAATTGATGGGGGAGACAGGAGGAACTGACACAGACAATGTTGTCCCAGGTATGAAATTGTTACCTTAGTAACATAGACTTGATGAGACAGGAGGAACTGACACAGACAATGTTGTATTAGGTATGACATTGTTACCTTAGTGACATAGACTTGAGGAGAAAGGAGGGGCTGACACAGACAATGTTGTTCCAGGTATGACATTGTTACCTTAGTAACATAGACTTGAGAAAGGAGAGGCTGACACAGACAATGATGTCCCAGGTATGACATTGTTACCTTAGTAACATAGACTTGAGGAGAAAGGAGGGGCTGACACAGAAAATGTTGTCCCAGGTATGACATTGTTACCTTAGTAACATAGACTTGAGGAGAAAGGAGGGGCTGACACAGACAATGATGTCCTAGGTATGACATTGTTACCTTAGTAACATAGACTTGAGGAGAAAGGAGGGGCTGACACAGACAATGTTGTCCTAGGTATGACGTTGTTACCTTAGTAACATAGACTTGAGAAAGGAGGGGCTGACACAGACAATGATGTCCTAGGTATGACATTGTTACCTTAGTAACATAGACTTGAGGAGAAAGGAGGGGCTGACACAGACAATGTTGTCCCAGGTATGACATTGTTACCTTAGTAACATAGACTTGAGGAGAAAGGAGGGACTGACAAAGACAATGTTGCCCCAGGCAGGACACTGTTCCTATAGTAACATGGTGTTGGAGAGACAGGAGGTGCTGACACAGACATTGTTAAACAGATTGTTTGTTTGCCTGTTTATCTCCCTGCAATCAGCCATGGTAGCTTTGAGGCAGGATTTTCAGATATCATCAGCTGTTCACCTGAGATTACGTAACTCAAAGCATTGATTGACTGAATTATCGTTGCAATCACAGCCCCTTAGTTTAACAGATAAAAAGATTTCATCTGTTAGCCAAAAGAAAAAAAAGAAACCAACAGATCAAGAGTGGCTCGTCTTGGTGAAAGTGCAAACAAGACTTTTGTACAAGGTGGTACACAATTGTGTTTCATATATAGTTCTCATAGTAGATTTAAGTGTAGTATATCAATATATAAATTGAAGAAGCCCACACATTTCACACGAATAAAAACCTTGAACCTGTTGCGATTGACTTATATACTTGTAGTTCTCATAGTAGATTTAAGTGTAGTATATCAATATATAAATTCACTTTCACCTTGGCTTTGAACTCTCTTATTTTGACCTTTGACTCTTTGATGTCATTCCACGATGCACTTTCAAATATTTAATTAGGTAAAGCTTTTATGACCTTTTAATTGCGCAGTATGTTAATAAAAAAAGAGAGCACCACCCTGCATTATAGTAACATTACTACCAATCAGCTAGCATACAAATATATAAATGAATTAGCATTAATTTCAAACATTCTGATTTATCTTCATTAGGATTTGGAATAATATGTATATATTCCTAGATTTTGTCTAATTTTAATCTAAGGGTCTGAAGAAGAGTGTGAGACACCTAAACAGCCGAGTGTTCCTGAGGAGAAAACTGTTACCTTCAGCAAGGAGAGTACCACCAGTTCTCCAACCAAATCTTTAGCCTCCCGTGTGTCAACAGGAAAATCATTTGATGATGGTGTGACAGAGGATGATGAAGACATTGACGTGTGCCTTGTTAAATATCCCGGAGGAATACCTATCATTGACACTGTAGCTCCTCCCCCTGTCAAAGCTCCACCCACTAAGGACAAAGCACCAATAACAGACAGATCAGCATCAACAATGCCAACTCATGTGGTTTTGAAGAAGAGAACAAAATATGATGATACAGGTAAGTTTGACTTTTTTTATATAAAGTTTACCCAAGAAAAGGAATGCATTTGTAGTGTATACATTAGTCAGAAACTGAATTCATGTGTGTTTAGAGTAGAAATACTTTTGTGAAGTAGATTGCTATTTAACATATACATGTATGTATATTGATGATTTGTTCTTTTGGTTTTTGGTCTAACCAGAGACGTATACATCTCTGGTCTAACAAACTAGATCACCTTGAAATCTAAAATCAATTTTACTAGATGTTTGTAATCTGTTGTAGCTGCTGATAGATCCATGAAAAAACAGATTAGTTAGGTAGGCAGAGAGCCCCATGTGAAAGAGGGGCGGATACTTGATGTTTTAGTCCAATCAAACAATATACAAATAATGATCAGATGTGGTTTCATAGTGTCCCAGATTTTGTCTTCTTTTTTTTTTCATAGAAAAAACACAAATATTTTGTCTTCATCCTTCTACATTTTCATAGCATTCATGAGCTGTTTCTACTGTCTATTGTTTTGTAGTAAAATAATTTTCAAATATTGTTAGAAATATAAGTGGTGGAAGATAATGTTATTTAACTCAATACGACAGTAATAAAGCAGGCTCTCGATCTGCCAGATTTGGAGCCGATATTCGGCCCCATTCCCAATGCAAAATAGTATCTTTTTTCCCAATTTAGACCCCAAGTTTTCCCAATGCTAAGGAAAACACCATTATTTTTCCCAATTCAAAGGGCCACAGGCCCCAGTCACAAAATGGGGTGTGAGAGCCCTGTAAAGTCAGTAATAAAGTTAATGCTGACCTAGTTTAGTGATATTGAGACTGGCTATATATCATTTACAGAGTATCTGAAAAAAGGGAAAAGTATTTATACCCCTTCATAAACAACATGTATATATGTATATATTTACATCACCTTTAATAGAATTTAGCATTACTTTAGAAACTAAATGACATGAATGCTTTCTTAATAGTAATGAACATGCTAAAGCAGTTTGTATTTATTTAATACTGTAGTCCGCAAATTAGATGGAATAACCTTTGGTAAGAACACTATCTAACACTGTATGGCATGGCATGACTTTTATTCATATAACAGGGCTTTTTTGCATTTAAAAAACTGTTGTTTGTTTCTTTAAAATTTGATTGAAAAATGTTGTTTGTTTCTTTAAAAAAATTTACCCGATTTTTTTAATTTGATTTCTGCTTTTGCTGAAATGAATTTCAGAGGTCATTGATCCAAAAGGAATCTTTAAAACTACATGTCTTGATTGTGTTGTGTGAATCAGCACCACAATGTTCCTGTTCCTTTTTAAATGACTTTGTGAAGATGTTTCAGGTCACCAAATGTAATTTCAATACTTACCTGAATATTGGACCAGCGATCCATTTATGAGTCTAGATGCCCATTTACTTTTGATAGAGTTTAAATAGAGGTTACACAACAAGTGGTTGTTTGTTTGTGGCACTTATTTCACTCTTGTTAATTATTTTTCAAAAGTTAAAAAAAAAATGAGCTTTAGTGTGTTTTTTTTTTTATTCATTTTTGAAAATAACTAACAAGATTGAAATAAATACTATAAACAAGAACCATAAGTTTGTGTGACCGGTTTCTGCCACAAGAAATAAAACATTCTACACATGGAAACTATTGACTTTGTTTCAGAACTTGCAACACAATAATATATGACTTTAAGTAAAATGCTTCTAATTTATAATTTATATCAAAGAATGGCAATTCCAGAATTTTTTTAGAAATATTTTAACTTTTTACAACTTATAACAAGAAATTAACAAATACAGTATTTTTAAGGCTATTCATTATACGATAGAAATACGTATGAAAATTAAATGACGACAAGAAAAATATAGAACTCTTATTCCGCGCTTGAATTTCTGTGAGTGCGTGAAGTGCCATTTCGGTCAAAGTTCATCCTTTTAGCCTGTTGGAACATGCAGTATTGTTAAACCACACATGGTTTACATTTATGTTTATACGATTGTTGAACCGATTATTTGATGCCTTGAGAGGGAATAACACCAACCTTTTGTGGTAAAAACATAGATATTGCCTAGATTTAGACCCTTCCCCATGTTTCCATGGTCTGCTACTTCACTCATATCCTCCTCATCTTGTTCTCTTTGATGTAAATAAATCTACTGTGACCAGTTAACTGATTCATTGTGAAAAGTTCCTGTCTGTGATGTCCTTGTCTTCAAAGTCTTTGTTGCCAAAGTGCTTGTCTTCAAAGCAAATACATCCAAGTCTTGTTCCCAAAGTGTTCATACCCATATTTTGATTGTCTAGCTAACTAACCATACCTTTTTTATGTTCCATGCTTGAGGGTTTGTTTTGGATTTATTGGGAAAGTTTGTTAAAATGTTTTCACATTTGTATATGTTTGTTTAAAAACTAGGTTATTGGATGTGTGAATTTTGTTTTCTTTCAAATTTTCATGAAATATTGATACAAAGAAAGAAATATTGTACAGGATTTGTTTTCTTGTTCAAAAAGTTTTGCAGTCTCAACAGCTTTCAAAAGAAATAGTTTTGTTTAATGTAAATTTCCTTAGATTTTGTTGCCAAATGAACATTGTTAGAAAGAGGAAATGGTGTATGTCTGTAGGGGAGATAATTGACATGTTGTTTGTCCTGACTTGTGTCTCCTCATTTTTGTACAGTCCCAGACAATGATGATATGATTTATAACTTGATTCGTCTGCGGGAGCGCCTTGGCTGGGAGTCGGAGATTCCTCGTCATGCCCCAGGGTGTAAGGCTAGCATGATGACACTACGTAACATTCCCGAGGAAGAGGAAGAAAATTCTGTATGTGTTTGAATATCTATTTCTTGTTTCTGTAATGATCGGGGTAGACTTTCTGAAAGATTCTTCACTATGAATCTTTCATTCTTGACAAGAGATGTATTTTGATATTTTACCTCAATATGAAATTTGATGGTAAAAAACATGAATATTCATTGAGATAGAAGCAAATGAATTGATTGGTCTATAAACATGGATTCATGCGGTAGATCTGATAAAAGAGCTGTGTTGGTATAAAATCAATATCATAAAAGTGAATGAAGACTGTGCTTATGTTTGTAGATTGATTGCTTTATTGATTGATTGATTTATTGATTGATTGATTTATCTGTTTATTTATTTATTGTTGGTAACTTTTGCAGGTTGGATCAAAATACAAAGAGGACGATGGAGAGTTTGTATACTGTCTTCCTACATGGCGTAAAAATCGACGAGCTCGATATGATCCCTATGACCTCCAGGTTGTATCAGCCAATACAGCAAGAGCGCACAAAGTCTACTACACCGTGACAGCATCTTTCATTACCATGGTGAGATCAGGTCGTCATGTAAAACAATTCATGGTTTTGAACACTAACTTCTGTACATTTAACAATACATGGAAGATACTGCATTATGAGAGAAATCCTTAAAATCATTGTTGAAGTAAAGTACATGTATCACATTACAGTAAAGTATGCTTTATCTTGTCTAGTTCTCCTTGCTTATGAGATTTGAAGAAAAATTCTACTTCCTATCGTTTTTAGAATACTGTATCAGAATTTGGTCAAACTGTAAAATTTGTTGACAAAATTTAGTGGTACATAATTTTGTTATTATGTATATGTTTGGTAATTTAGCATTATTAACCAGGGCTCTCACACCCCATTTTGGGACTGGCTCCCAGGGCCCTTAGAATTGGGAAAAACAGCGGTGTTTTCCTTAGAATTGGGAAAACTTGAGGTCTAAATTGGGAAAAAAAGATACTATTTTGCATTGGGAATGGGGCCGACAAATCTGGCAGATCGAGAGCCCTGTTAGCTGTTGCTGTAAGTTTCCTGTTTAGTACAATTATAGCTTTTTTTCCACAGAATATATGTATTAGTTTCCTTATTTTTCAGTGCACTCAGAAAGAAGATGGAAGTACAGAGTCGGTAAACAACCCTGCCCTTTGGTGGCTATGGGAGAAACGCCTTTTCTACATGATTTATCAACTTCCAGTTTTTGTCAAGTTCAGGTGAGTATCTGCTACTACCTCCTACAGCTGTGAACGAATTTATTTAAGACATCAGTCATGAAAAATTTTGCATGTATTCAATGATTAGAGAATTGGTATGGAACTAAAAGAATTGTAATTGTCAGTGGTGTTTTTGGAAAGTTGGAATATAACTAAACTCTAGTTTTTAAACAGCTTTTGTACATGAGGAAGAATAAAATAACAGTTATCGCATTTATTCTGTGATTTTGTGACACTGTGTTTGGAAATTTCGTTGAATTCACCAGGTTCATGTTTCACAGCACCATAACATGAATGGTATCTCATACAAAAGAATGCACAACTACTTCATATTACTTGAATTTAATACTGATATTACACATATACTGATGATGTCATAATACTCTGATGTCACAGAAAATAGACATCAAGTTCCCAACAGTTGCCATGGAAATATTAGTACACATTTAGAAGAGCCTTACATTAACGAGATTTTTCTTGGTGATCTTGCCATCGGAACTAAATCTCAAAAATGTTTGTCATGCTATTTGTATAGATGAATATTTTTCATCAATTTAAAAAAAAAAATAAGAAATGAAAGGGTCTTGAAAATCCAATATACGTGTAAAATGACTTGGTAAGTTCAGGAAATCAAACTGTGGGGGCATTGTGTTAGCTCAGAATTTTACAGAAACAGAACATCTCTACAGCTCCAGAAACATTGAGATCTTCAGCAAGTACAATAATGAGAGAATTTTTAGTAACTTTTTAATAAATTTTTAATTGATTTCACTAGTCTAGTTTTAATTATCAAATACAGATTAAGTTATTGACACATTTGATTTAACATAGTAGCCTGAACAGTGGGGTGTGCTCTCCAAACTACTGATGGAAACATAGTAGGTATCTCCATATCTGTAGTTTGGAACAGATATATAGAGTTCTTTGTACAGCATTTTCTGTAGATGTTATTTGGTCAACATTGTCATTGACCAAATAAGCACTACATACCCCAGGAGCTTTAGTTGTTTTTTTTTAGAAATATGTCACTTGACTGCCATAATTGATAATTTGACTTAAGTTTTCAAAATCTAAAATACAAACATAAGGATCTCATCTGCTTCTCTGTTAAGTCTTTCCATTTAATTTGTATGAAAATACTTTCTTTTTCAGATTGTGGAAGACTTTCAAGATGTGGAAAAGAAATGTCCGCTTACAAAAAAGTGCCCAGAGCAAGTATGTGTAAAACAGAAATAAATTTACTGTGTTAAGTTGACTTACCATTGAACAGACTATCTATATTCTTAGTGTACACTGTCAGGTACCAGATATTTATTGCTAAGTAGACTGATTTACATACCAGCTATCACATGACTCTAATCAGCATCAAATCATCAAGAGGATGAGGTATGGAGGTCAAATTATCACTTCTGTGTTGTGTGGACAAAGAATTCTCAATTCTGAGGGTTCGATTTTTATACCCCAACATAGTGTATTTATTGGGGTATATACTGGAATCAGGTCTGTCTGTCCGTCCGTCCTTCTGTAGATGCAATGATTGTACTGGCTACTTCTCCTAAACTACTGAATTGATTTCAATGATACTTGCTGGCTATAATCCTTACACATTAAACATGTGCACAATCTATATTAGGTTTATCTACCTCTCCTATTTGGAAAATTATGCCCCTTTGACAATGGCTGAAAATGGGGGTGGGTCATTAGTTGTCCCCCAGATGACAGTTCTAGTTAAAATTAGAAATTGATAAAAGACTTATGTTTATTGATAAACTTTTAAAGTTTTCTATGCAGACAAGGGTGCTAGATTAAATCAATATCTAAGAAGAATGTCACAAACTGGCCTAAACCTAAAAAACGTAAAACTCTGAAAAGAAATGATCATAACATTATGATATCATGTATCAGTTCAAGTTCTGTAACAGACATGAAATAACACTCATCCTTTACATGGATATGTTATACTGTTTCTGTGTTGATATGAAACATATGGCAGACAAACTATGACTTTTTTTTTACAGAGTGGTACTTTATAAGAGCCTGTTTGTAGCCAATGAAGTCCTCCAGGGCTGCCTGATCCATGTGCGAAGCCTTTGTGAGGCCGCCTGTGGTAGCAATAAGGGTATCGGAGAGGGTGAGAGTGCTGTATCTCTCATCAGTATGGACCGAGCAGCAACTCTTACTCTACAAGAGTTCAGAGATATGCAGGAAAAACAAGGAAAGCTTGCACTGGAGAAACTCAATGCACTTCGCAAGAAAATCATAGATATTGTCTGGGAATCTTGTGCAGTAAGTAACCAAATATCTGTGTACCTTCGGACTGAGGGAATCAGTTATCTTCTATAAAACATGCTCATAGCAAACCACAGGGGACTGGTTGCAGGCACAGAGACCTGGCATGAATTCCTGATCAGCAATCCATATACATATAAGGTTGTAAATAGATTTTTTAAAGAAAATTAGATCTGTTCCTGAAATATGAATTATTCATTATAATCCTGGACTGGGTTTTGGAACCTGGGCCAAGACTGGGTATGGTGAACACCAGTGATCAGCATTATAGAAGAAAAGATGGTGGTTGTGGTGGAAGAAAGTGTTATATTGGATTTCTACATAATATCAGATATGACAACATCAAACGATATTCTGTGTGGACAAGGCCATGGATTCTTATACCGCCACATACATAGATTTTGCAATTGTAGCATAGATGTGTTTCAACCAGAGAGGGAAATGTCTACCTAGCCATTTCTACAGATAATTTTAGAATTTGTCAGGTCACCACTTGGTCAATATTTGGTCAGTCTTGTTCATCAAATACTCATTGGAAAGATAAAACATTTCTCTTAAACGTAATGTACATGTTACTAAGATCTGCATGCCTCAGAATATCAAAAAATATGTATGTATGTATAGACATTTGGCTAGGAATTCCTGTGATCAGAGGATTTTGACTCCTGACTATAAGGGGATGTCTTGAGGAGTTGATAAAATCATGTTCAACATTTGGAACAGGTAGCTTTGTCTCAATTACTAGAATTGTGTTTGGGAAAAAAATGATATTTGCATGTATACTTTTTATTTCAGACTGTTGCTGAGATGGAAGGTATAACTCATGGTATCAGGACTGAGGGGGTTAAAAAGGTGGTGCTTAAGGAACCTAAGGAGGAAGAAGTAAAGGTCACTTCAAAATCCAAGTTACGATCCAAGTACGCTAGTGATATACCACTACCTGAGACTAAAACAAAGAAGAAACAGGACGATAAAAAAGGTTTGAATCCACAATCTCAGAGCATTTATTAGGTTTCATTATCATGTACTGGACATTTTATATAAGTAGTTTTTAAAATTCTTGTGTTGAAATTAATGAATATGGGTTTTTGCTCCTATTTTTATTTGACAAATTTAAAACAGTTTTGTTTGTTTCTATAAATTACTCACATATATATATCTGTCTTTTTTCATGCTTACCATATCTACAGATTATATAGACACTTTATATACAAGTGAGCAAATATTGACCATCTTTTACTGTAAGTTCCCTGCAGTTTAACTATATTCAAACTTTTCTCACATTATTTTGGCTTTTTCTAGCAATAAAGCCCCTGTACGCTGAGATTGCAGAGTGGCGCAAGATCCTGAACAGACTGGCTGGATTCCTGCGGTCAGTCGACTACCTGATGCTGGAGATGTTACGGAGGCTGGTGGTCACAGCCGTGAGAGTACTGTTAGATCACCTTGTGTCTTCTTACAATGTCACAGACGAGGATGAAGAAAAGGTAAGATTTTATAAGATAGCTTGTGTTATGGATCATAGCGATCAGTTAAGGGATGATTCAGGAACTGTTTAGTTTTCACAGTCACTATAAAAGCCTACACTATAGAAGATAAAAGATTCTGTTTGGCACCAGACAGCAGACTGAACTCTTGAAAGGATGCCATTTTTTCACTGTAGAAGTCAGCATAGTAATTCCTACAGATAATTAGTCAGAAGTAATGATTAACATAGAAATAGGCCATTTGTCTCTTTCTTCAGCACTGATCACTCCGGTGGCCATTCAGTGGGATGACCTTTAGGTCAGTGGAACTAAGTGGGATAAGCTGTAAGTTCAGTGGCCATTAAGTGAGATAAGCTGTAAGTTCAGTGGCCATTAAGTGAGATAAGCTGTAAGTTCAGTGGCCATTAAGTGAGATAAGCTGTTAGTTAAGTGGCCATTAAATGGGATAAGCTGTAAGTTCATTGGTCATTAGATGGGATAAGCTGTAAGTTCATTGGTCATTAGATGGGATAAGCTGTAAGTTCATTGGTCATTAGATGGGATGACCTTTAGGTTCAGAGGCCATTAATTAGGATGACCTTTAGGTCCAGTGACCAAATCAAATGAGATGACCTTAAAGTTCATTGGTCATTAGGTGGGATGAACTTTAGGTCCTAAGGCCATTAAGTAGAATGGCCTTTAGTTCCAGTGTCCAGTTTTAGTGGGATGACCTGAAGTTAGTCCTTATGATCCTTATTGCTCGAATATATTGTACATTTTTTTAAAAAATGTAGAACAGTTTTATCAGAAATAGTGTTTCTTTTTTCATTTCGTGCAAAATCAACTGTATTTTGATACTATCTGTATATACAGCCCAAAACACCCCAAATATCGCATATCAGCAGAATTACAGTAAGTATTGTCAAGAACCTGTATCTATTTCTCACCAACTCCCCTAGTAACATGAAAATCTCATACCATAAACCAAACCACAGTGTACTTCCCCAATCTTGTTACTTAAAGACAAGTTAGTATTGTCAAGAACCTGTATCTATTTCTCACCAACTCCCCTAGTAACATGAAAATCCCATCCCATAAATCAAACCACAGTGTACTTCCCCAATCTTGTTACTTAAAGACAAGTTGGTGCTGATTTTCTAGCTTTGAAATTTCTCTGAACACCACCAACATTAAATTCATATAATTAGATCAACATAACAGTTACGTTTATCGCAGCTGTAATGCAGTTAAAATAGTTGTCTTACCTCCACTGTATCTGGTAAAGCCTTGATCACTTGGAAATCTAGTAACAGTATTGAAAAGAAAAATGATAAATATTTACGTGGATATGCTAGAAATCAGCAGGAACCTGTCTTTCAAAAAACACTGTCCGAAATGGTATGAACAGGTCGCAGTATACAGACACTTAAATTGAAAATTGAATTATAGTTTTCATAATTTTTCTTATGCTTAAATTCAATTCAAAGTTAATCTGATAATTATAAAATAATCTGTAAGGTTTGTGTATCTTTTATATACTTGCTTATATTTAAATTAGTTGCAGGTATAGACGATCTTTGATAATTTTCATTAAATCTTTTAATTGTAATCATAGTTAACCTTTTCAGCAGTGTTGAAGAAAACTGATATGGATAGTGTATCTTCTTACTTAATCACTTCCTGGAATGTGTTGGATTAGTCCCCTTCCCATTTGCATTGGTTGTCATAACAAGATCCTATCACACTCATTGACTTTGACCTTTGACCTTCCCTCTGTCAATTTCTGTATCAGGCATCATCATATGTTCCATCATCTAAAAGCAGCAGTCCTGAGCCTGATGAGGATGAGGTTCCCCCAAAACCCATCAAAACGGTACACCAATCAGGGGCAGTAACCCCGGAGTGTTACATGGCTTTTATTGTTATATAATACAGTTGATTATATTAACTTTGATATGTTTGGTTTGTGCTCCAATTTAACAGCAGATAATGTGTGTTATAGTTAAATACAGTTAATATTTCATGTTTCTAACACTTATTGTGTATATCTTGCATAAATCAACCATTTGCTCCTTTCATATTGAGTTGTTTTTTTTCTGACAGAAGTCACAGCCTTTGTCCAGGATATTTATCATATCCAAAAAGTTACATTAATTATAAATTCAGTACCTATGTAATCCGTCTCATAAGTGTCAATAAAAAATACAAGACTGGCCTGCTGAGGTAACTATGGTAACTAGTTACTTACTTAATCAATTTTCAAATCTACTTCACATTTTCAAAATATTGTAAATTTCCATAGTTCTTCTCAATCATTTGATTTCTTAATGAAACTTAGTAAATAAATTTTGTAAATACACAATTTAGTATTGACCAACCTTAATTTTATTTTGCTTAAAGTGTCCCCAAATTTTTGTGATGAAGATTTTTTGTAGTTCTTGGTTAGAACCTTCTTGTTGATTTACCTTGTCTCTTTTAAACTGAATCATCAAATAATTTAATATAAAGTTAATTTCAGCGTCAGACATAAGTTACACATCACAATTTTAAAATATCCCGACCCATTCAGATATTTTTGAAGATTTGAACATGCAGTTTTCTTTTTCTTTTATGAAATAGATAGTATCATATTTGACCTCTACGACCTTTATGTAAATAAGTTTGGAACCTAGAACTTTGGAATGTTATCTGGTCTTAAACACCATCCTGAGTGTGATAATTTATACTGGCTGGTTAACCAACATGCTTTTTACTGATACATTTGTATATAGTTGTATATGTATATATATCATATGTGATATCAACACTATTGTTTCTGGTTATATATACATGTATTTTGCCTAAGTGATACAGATGCTGTTTGTGTTATCATGTCATAACCCATGTTAATAATTTTGTTTTCGGCGGTCCCAGGCCAATAAGTAAATATTGGTCTTGGATGATAAAGCTTCATTCGGGTTCTAGATAATAGGTAATAGAAACATTATTACACAGTATAGCAATTTTGATATCACAAATGTATCAGCCTTCAATCAGACCTAGCTCTAATGCCTTCAGCCTTTGGACTGATATCTCAATCTCGGGCTGATAAAGGGAACAGGTGATATTAAAATGATTCCATAAATAACCTGTAATAACTGTATAGCAGGTTGAATGTTTTAATGAAACTTACTGTTAGAAAATAAAAATTTCATTATTACTTACTGTTTATTATAAAATTTCTTCATCAGACTATTAGAATCTATTAAACACATGTGAAAATTTACTTTTAGGTTATGAAAACTGAAAATACTTAACAACTGTTAATATCATATCTTGTCTAATAATTGGAATGTGACATTAAACACTATTTCATCTGTAGTTGAACGTGGTGTGTTAGAAAACTGGTCTTGATAAGGTTTCCTTTTTATAAAAGGCAAACCTAAAGATAAAGTTTTATTTCAAATTGAAACAACCAATTGATCACATGTAAATTCCTGTACATTCTATTCTTGTTCAGTGTCATATTTATTCTGAAGCAAATCTCGTACAGTAAACAGATTTGCATGAAGTACTGGTGAAGTAAGTATAAATTTTACGAAATATATTTACATGTTGTACACAAAGTAAAAATGTTACAATATATATGCTGTAGCATATTGTAAAAGTTTGAATGTTGTGATTTGTAGGGAAGCTACCATGGTTCTGAATATGATGATGAGACAGAAACTTTGTCTACAATGAGTCGACTGGATTTCTCTAGGTATGTATGTTACCTTTGGAAAGTTAGAGAACCTATTTCTCAGGAAGTCATGGTTACCATCGAGCAGTTCATCAAGACAAATTAATAACTGGGAAACTGCTGTAATTTGCTCTCCCTATAACTATACAAAATTTTGTTAGGCATGAAGTGATATTAATAAAATCATGCTGTCCTTGTAGGGTGTTTATATATTAGATATGTCCACACCTCCCATTTGACAAAGTGTCTATTGGATTTAAGGAGGTAACTTTCAGTTAAGTTTTTAAAACTTCTTCTCATGACATGTTAATCATATTTCACACCAAATATCCTGATACATGTATTCCTTAAGACCAGAGAAACAAACATTATTTATAGAAAGGAATTTTGTCCCCCTTACAATTTGGAAAAGTGGTAAAAACTGTTAATATCTTTGTAATTTAATCATAGCTTATGACGAGATTGTTGTTGTTGTTTTTACCTACAGCTGAGTGATGCTGACCCCTGTTTGTCACGTTCAAAAAGTACTTAAACACCAAACATATTCTAATGAACTGATTTTGCAGAAATTGTATAGAAATAATATGTACAGGGATCAGACCACTTATCAGTACTGTTAATTAGAATATGATCAGAATGGTATAGAAATGATTTAACGCAAGTTTTGTCTTTCCTTTGTTTATATGTACTATAAGCCCAGGTGCTGTAATAGCCCCAGTCACCTTTGTTACAGTGGAAATGCCTACAAAGGCTTCCTGAAATGAGCCCACCTTCCCATTTTTCTTTAAATTGATAAATTAGGCTGTGTAATTTGTGTAAAATTTAAGGCCCCATTTGCCTGGGTGCTTTTTTGTTTTTTTTTGTTTTTTTTTGTCAAGACGTTATATTCTATTTCAGAAGACAGAGGGATCGAAAGTAAATACAATAAGTTTGGACTTGTTTACACAAAGCTATTAGTTGTTTTCCTTTTTCACTTTGTTGTTGTTTTATGTTAATTACACATCGTAAAACAAACTGTGTGGTTTGACTAGCGAGATTAGTGATGTAGAATATATTACAATTTTTACTGTGTGTTGACAGAGTCAGTTTGAGTTGATTAATACTTAGGTCAGGCAGGCACTGTAGCAAATAACATATAACTCTGAAATATATTACGATTTTAATTGATTTATTTGAATGTAAGTTCATTAATGATTATAACAGTCCATTAAAATAGTTTAATGGTTAAATCAGTATATATTCTGTATACAAATTACAAATTGATTAAACTATTAAAAAATGTGAAAATTTGAAAGAAAAAAAAAAATTATGGAGAATCTTAGATGTACTTTACTGTCTTGTCCGGAGATATGTAAATAAAGAGTGTTTTCAACTCCGAGATAATTTTCGTTATGCATATGTATAAATTACTGCACACTAATAAGAGGAGTTGTCGTGTATCCTGACTTGTAGATCACAAAGTTAAGAAGTTAATACAACTTAATATGTTTTTATTGTTTTGTCATCATTTAATTTCAAGTAAAAAAAGTCCTGTTGAGACTTTGAGGTTGGATCCATTATGTTCAGAAACTTTCAAGATCATAATATTCTGTGCAGCAAAGAAGGAATAGTCATGTTCCTTTTTATACACAGCACATATATTAACACTTAACATGCAAGTATAATACTGTGAGTTTCAACTCCACTAATTTGTGTGATTGTGTAATGATATCTGTTCAAATAAAATGTTTTGTTAGTATGGTATGTTTGATTTAATAACTATGTCCTGGATGGGATATTGCAGATAAAAATATCTTTAAATGTTATTTTGTAGTGACACTGTATTTTGTATTTAGTTTTATTGAAATATTGGATCTGTCTTACATTTTTATGCTACAAAAAATATGTCGAAACCCATATTACATCCTTATTTAAAAGAAAATAATTAATATATCTTATACCTTGCAGTCCTTGATAATTGTTATAATTACCTCCACCTCCCCCATCCCCACCCCCACATTGTTAATATCACACTCTTTTTGAAGACATGTAAAATCCAAATACAAAGGGATCTAAGAGACATCTTATATGTATGTCATTCAGCTTTCTTTTTTAAAAAAATCTTTGAATGTTTTCGGGGCTTTGTGTATTTTTTTAAGGGGAGAGAGGTGGAGGATCATTTTAATGGAAATTGCAGTCTTTCTTATCTGTATGGTAATACTTTAAAACTCTTTCCATTATTGTGCCAATACTTCAACATCTGATTCATCATGTTGTATCATCATTTTTCAGGCCCATTTCTGCAGCCAGTACATCTAGTAATATACCCCCTTACGCTCGTAAACAACAAAAATCACAACAGGGATACCTGATTCCACATTTTGATTTTGACGAGCCAGAGCTGTTTGAAGGACCGCCAGATGCTGATGAGGTATGGTTTAATTTGTAGGAATGTTTACGTCAGAGATGTTGTCTGACAAAACATGAAAAACACAATAACAACAACAATAATGTGCTGATAACTTTCTTGTTGTTTTTCGTTTTTAAGAAGTTGTTTTATCATTAGCCAAGATTAGGGAAGTCAATCAGTCCAGAACATTGTTGGGGACGACACTGATAACTTGGCGTGATCTGGTTGTGTGTTTAATGCTGACCAATTCCAAAAACTTAGAAATGAAAAATAAAGCTTTAACTAATATATACTTTAAATGTCTAAATACCTAACTGAGGATTAGTATCATAAATTGTCAAATAGTTCTGATGTTTTGAATTTATTTATCAATTGGAAGATTTAAAATGTTAAGAATTTTTTGATGGAAATAGAAGATGAAAGGAACGCTATGTGTTGATCTCATATTTCTGTTCATCTGCCTTTAAAAACATCTTATCATTGATCTCAATTAAAAAAATGTTTTGGTAGATTCTGCGTGAGATTCAGCATCGTGATGAGGTGGAGGAGGTGACAGCATGTGTTTTCAGTCTGCAACTGATGCTGAATGTGCCAGGAGTGACAGCACCTCTGTCCTCATCACATCTATCCTCCAAAGTGGAACGCGCATCTATAAGGTCCAACACTTCTTCTCGTGTCAGACTTGATGGCAAAATAGACATCACACAGAAAAAATCTGTCAAATTTACAACTGACCAGGAAAACGAGTCAGGTGAGTGCATATCATAATACATGGACAGACTTGTTCATCTGAATAAATCTTGAGAGGTCCAGTTGTGTCAGGCAACAGTCGTCTGAACTGTAAGACCTATCCAGAGTAATACCAGTAATAGTGGTGAATATTAAGGCTGATGGATCTCTCGTTTTTAATTAAGATGGTGATGACACCAGTGAAAGTGGTGAGGAAGAAGACACATCCGAGGAAGAGTATGATGAAGATAACGAGAGCAGAAACCGATTTGCTTATGCCTACCAGGATGAGGAGAAAAAGTAGGTCCCCATAAAATCTGTTCAGAATTTCCTCATAGTGAGATATCCCTATAAGATTAAACACTCCATGACCAGTCCATAAAGTTATGCCAATATTCCCCATAAGATTGCCCTTATATTTCTATGTAAAATCACTCCTCCAATATGTTTCCCATACTGAATGTCTTCCCCGTAGGCATATCAAGATATTCCAACAACATTACTCCACATTTTCTCCATAAGATTATGTTGAGATATCCCCATAAAAATTAATACTCTATATTCACTCATTAAGATTGAAAAATATTCCCCATAAGATTGTACTGATATATTCCTGTAAATATACCTCATTATTTTCCCATTAAATCCCCGTAAGTTTTTTCTTTATAACCACCCTGTTAAATTACGCCGACATATTCTTGAAAGACTTTCCCGGGTTACTAATCATCTGTTTTGTTTAAGTCCCACTTATTTGCCATTATACACATTTATCTGCAGAGAGAAGTCAGAAATGTCTAGGTCATTTGTCAGTCTGTCACCCAATGAGAATGAGTTCAAGTTTGGCATCAGAGATGTCATCTCAGGGTTTGAGAGCACTGTTGGTAAGTATAGATACTGTAAAACTATATCTTTTAGTTGGGTATGATTTTTCTGGTTTTTAGAAAATACAACTTTATGTGGACATTTGATTTTGTGGATTAATATTGCTCAGTGAATGTTCTTATACTGATTTTAGCAGTCTAGAGACATAGGTGTTCATAAATTTTAGAGTACCATTGAAATCATTGAAAATAAATCACCCACAAAAATGGATGAATCCACAGTAATATATATAGTAGTTTGTATGTGTTACTTTGATAAGAATATTTAAGGTGTCTGTTATTAAGTCTCCTGAATGAAACTATGAATCAAAAGTTACCCCCAATTGTAGGTAAAATGTAGGTACGCATGTAAATTACCAGATACAAGTCAATAAATCCTAATCCTTAACCCTAATTCTGTCCTACCTAGCCAATCAAACTGTTTACCAATTAGGGAACAGCAATGTACAAAAACTATAAATAATCAACATTTACAAAACTTATCAGTCAGGATAAGATGAAATTGTGTGAAAGGTAAAAGATTAGTTATGTCAAATACACTGAGAAATCAGAAATTTTCTTACATTCTTCTTGGGACATTAGTTTGAAATGAGTTTAACTTTAAATCAATTTTAATGAATTGGTTAATTGATTTTTAATGAATTGATTTTTAATGAATTGATTAATTGATTTTTAATGAATTGGTTAATTGATTTTTAATGAATTGATTAATTGATTTTTAATGAATTGATTAATTGATTTTTAATGAATTGATTTTTAATGAATTGATTTTTAATGAATTGATTAATTGATTTTTAATGAATTGATTTTTAATGAATTGATTTTTAATGAATTGATTAATTGATTTTTAATTAATTGATTTTTAATGAATTGATTTTTAATGAATTGATTAATTGATTTTTAATTAATTGATTTTTAATGAATTGATTTTAGATGAATTGATTTTTAATGAATTGATTAATTGATTTTTAATTAATTGATTTTTAATGAATTGATTTTAGATGAAGATCTTATTTATGGATGATTAACTCTTCTGATGTTGTTGTGTTAGGTGCTGTGGTGTCAATGTTACGGGAGCCAAAGCTTGCTGTTTTCTACTCCCCACCTAAACATGATTTACGTCTAAACTTTGACGATGAAGAGGAACTGGAACGTAAGGAAATGATGCGACCTTGGCCTGACCTTGAGTTTGTGTTTGGTGATGACCCAGAATATCAAGGTTTATTGGCAGAGCTGGACTCCTATATGACAATGGAGATGGAGCTTGTGAAACAGTACTCTACAGTAAGTCAAAAGCTTTATGTTTTGCAAAGTGAAGTGATAAAAAATTAGATAAAAAAATTTCATCACCCATCCTTTGTCTTCTCTTGTGACCTCACATCAAGGTTAGTCCTAGATTGTGGATGAAACACTATGAGAACAATGAGTCCTTATAATAATCTATTCCTTCTTCTGATTAATATCTGTAATGAAATGTTAAGGATTTTCATTCTATGGGATCAGAAAACAGATGTTTTCCTGTGGAACACGTCATTTAGGTTCCATGTCATTGTAATGAAGGAGATATTAGACAAGAAATTATGATAAATAGTCCTTATCTCACGTAGTTGTTCACCTACATAACAATTATTCTAAAATGACTGGGGTTTGATTACCTAAGTTAACGTATTACCTGAATTTTACATTTTTAATTCTTCATGTTTTTAAGACACTTGTTTTACTGAATAACATACTCTTAAAGAAAAGTTCTGTGTGAAAAAGATATTTTTATATCAGAATTTAAAATGAGAAAATAACTTTTATTTGATACCAATTGTTGACCCATATTGCAATTCAAAACTATAACTTTTTCTCAGAACTTTGATCACTTCTGTGTAATGGTGGACAAAGCTAGAATCCTGAATGTCATGGAGTCGATGGCCAGACGGGAATGGTCAACAGAGGAGTTTCATCATGTCCTCTCCACATACACAGAAATGGTAGGTCAAGGTCATTCATTAATGTAGTACACATGGTAGGTCAAGGTCACTCGGTAGCATACAAAACATTATAGTTCTATTTCATTCAGTAATTTAAATACAACATTAAGGTCAGATCAGAGTTTATTTAATAAACACCAAAATATTTGTAGACTGAAGTCGTAGCCATAGTTGATGAAATTAGCGATTATTTAATCCACTTTTACAATAGATTAAAGTTGTCTTCTTTTTCAAGGTCACAGTTTCCTTCAATATGTAAAAAAAAATTTCAAGGAAAGATAAAATATCTATCCTCTTACAGATAAAATTGTTAAAAAGTCACATAAAAAATAATTCTGATAAATTAAAGGTCAGCTGTAAGCATTCAATAAAGACATTAAAGGTCAAGGTCTCCTAGCTTTGAAATATACATGGTTGATGAAAGTTACATATTTGTGATGTAGATACACAGTCAACAGACACAGACATGTGTTAGCTGCTTTCTTAATATGGTTCTAATTTGTCTTGTTTTTATAGATCCACCAAATGAAGAAGATGACAACTGTGAGAAGGGTATCTATGATTCAAGTGCAGAGTAAACGCTTCAGGGAAAGTTGTCTCCCTTACTGTGAAGAAATTGTGTCAGACTCTCACAAACAGCTTCCACTCATAGCCAACAAACGCAATGAAGACCTCCTCACAATCATTAAGGCATGTTATGATAACTTCTGCTTGAATCTATTAAATTATGGATGGGAAGTACATATTTACTGACCATGCAATGTTTCTTGTTTGTAAGCTAAATCAGAATTACTGAGTAATGTGATAAAAATGTATAGTTTTAGCTATTTTTACCATGAATAAATAAAGTTTGTAGGGAAATCTTATTTCTGAGGTTGAAAATGTAGGTAAACAACTGTAAATATCTGTTTTCACTGAATTAAGTGACCAATATTTCAAAGTGTATTTCTGCTGTGTTTAGACATCAAGAGAATATTAAGTTGGTTAAGAAGTCATCACATGATCCATGATAATTTGAAATGTCTGCCTAAGCATCTGATTGGCCAACACACATAGTGTTTTCTGATTTTCTTAAAGCTCACCTTAACAGAACCTGGAATACATGTAAATTTGTGATTTTATTTTCATTGTTCGAGATTTCTTAAAAAGATAGAATTTTGGGTAAACTCCATTTTCTTAGGTTGCTTCGTCAGAAAGTTTTTGGTTTACACTTCTGATATATACTTTCCCAGGGAGCATCCAAGAAACTTGAACATTATCCAACCTCGGTGGAAGACTTTGTGGAACATCTGTCGTTTCTGGGGAAGATGGCTACAGAATTACCTGCCCTTGATAAGGAGTTCTTCATTGTGAACAAGATGTTTACTATAGCGAAGGAATTTTCTGTGAAAATTGATCCTGAAGATTATGCACTGTATCAGTTCTTAGGACCAAGTTTCAGGCATTTAAAGGTAAATTCAAAGCAAATGATATGTTATAAAGCAAGTAGAAAAATAATTATGTGTTTAGTTTTGTAAGAATGGATCATTAGTATTCGTTGTGTCAGCAAATATGTAAACGGTAAATGGTTAGGCTTATTGAAGTGGTACTGGTAAATGGTAAATGGTGGTAGGCTTATTGCAGGCTTATTGAAGTACTGGTAAATGGTTAGGCTTATTGAAGTGGTACTGGTAAATGGTTAGGCTTATTGAAGTAGTACTGGTAAATGGTTAGGCTTATTGAAGTGGTACTGGTAAATGGTTAGGCTTATTGAAGTGGTACTGGTAAATGGTTAGGCTTATTGAAGTAGTTTTTAATGAAGGCTCATATCAGGAGGGTTTACGTATTCTGTATCTGTTATATGGTTGATATCTCTCACTTACGAAAGTTTCTATTTCTGAATATTGTATTAATCATACTGGTATACATATATATTGATAGAAAATATAACATTTGGATTGACGAAGCCTTCATTGTTAGGGGGGACGGGGGGGAGGTATACTGGAATCAACTTGTTCGGCTGTTCGGCCATACAGACACACATCCATAGAGAAACATTGTCTAGCTATGCAATTCACTCGGTTTACAATGAATCTTTTAAAAATTTATGTCAATGGTCAGTACAAAATCGAGATGTGCCGCCAGAAATGACTTTGCTTTCAAGTAAAACTTTATTTTTGAAACAAGATGTCTGAAATGACAATTTCTTTAGGAAACTTTCATCAATACAATATTGATTTATTCTTCCAGTCAACAGTGCTGTACAGTGAAGCCAAAAAAGATGAAAACATTCGTAAGTTTAGTAGAGACCTGGACAACCTCATCTTTAGTATTCGGACCAAGATCATGGATCTCAAGAATCGGATCCAGGACCCAGATCTCCTACACATGGACACTATGAGCGTAACTGCTCTAGAGACAATCCGTGACCTCCAGGAAGGTGTCCAGGAACTATCCATCAAGGCACGAAGCTATGCTGCCTACCAGGAGAGGTTTGGGAGCTCACTGACCACCAGCAGGAAGGGCATTTATGTGGAAATTGAGTAAGATCACTTATGCTTTGTGTAGAAGTGCAACAGAGATACACAATATGTGTATGAATTATTTTTGTCACCCTGGACCTTGCTGGATCAAGAACAAAATAAGTGCAGGCTTGTAAACTTGTATCAAAACATAGATATATTTCAAAGGAACTAGGTTACAGAAAGCAAAAAATAGTTTTTAATGGAAAAATCACATAAAATTTCATTGGTATCCTCCAGTGCTGATTGTTGGTAATGATACTTTGAAGAGTCAGTTCATCCGACTGTCCTCTCTTGTTCATCCACCTGTCTTTGTGACAAAACATGGTAAAGAATTTAGTAAATCTATCAGAGAGGGTGGTCGGATAGCACAGTAGTAACGCACTCACCTTTCACCTAGCTGACCGGGGTTCGATTCCCGGAACGGACATGAAAAGGTAAGGGGTCTTGTGGGGGATAAAACATCCGGGCCAACAAGAGTGATTAGTATAAGTTGACATAACTTGTTTCGCAATTGTTGTAAAAATAAATAAAGTTTATATTATTATTATCAGATTTTAAGTTTGGATTTTTTTGACAGGGAATACCTGATGATTGAGAAACGTGACAACAAGAGTGCCCAGGAAATCCAGTCAGAGCTCAATGAACTGGAACATGATATCATGCTTCGTCGAATCCTCTGGCAGTCCCAGGAGGAATGGACAAAACTAGTGGAAGAATGGACGGCAACAGTGTTTGATAGTCTGAACGTTCAAACCCTACAGAAGAACGTGAACCGGTTTACACAGACAGTGTATATGTTGGATAAAGGTCTACCACACAATGAGGTAGTGCCTAGACTCAAGGAGAAGGTGTTAGACTTCAAACAGGGAATGCCTGTGATCACTAGTCTTAGGAACCCATCACTACGGCGACGCCACTGGGAGAACATCGAACGACTCATTCAGAAATCCATTGCCAAAGACAAAGCATTCACTTTAGGCAACCTGCTAGAAATGAATGTAAGTAATTAATTGTTTACCACACCATGTACAGTAAAAACTGTACATATCCAGTATCGGAAATCTTTCGCACAAGTCATATTGGTGCAGTTCTGTTATCGAATTTACTTTGTCGTGTGTGATGAAAAATAATCTGGAGGAAAATTTCCTTCTTCCAAAGGAATATGTATTTTTTAGTAATTTCTTTGTGACATATCATTTACAGATCTTCAAACACAAGGAGAAGATTCAGGAAATCTCCACTAGAGCTAGTAATGAGGCCACATTGGAAAACATGCTGCAGAAGGTGAGAAAATATTAACATCTTTGAAAAGGGACAGAGTCTCTTACTAGGCTACACTGTGTTTAACATTTTGGCTGATTGTTCATGTACTTATGTAAGATAATTCTGTACAAAAAATGTCTTCAACCAGAGTATATTATTAGTCCTAGCTGCTACCATCAGAAAGCACTGTTCAGGTTTGTACTCATTAGTTGGTCCACATCTGTCAGGCGTCATTTTGTCTATATCCCATAATTTTATCACCTACAATCACTAGATTTTAGATCTGATAATCTGTTGAAATGTCACAAATAATTCACAAGACAATTTCTTGCTTGGTATTTTTTCAGTACCCAAAGCTTGTTGTAAATATTCTTTATGATATTAAAGTTGCCAATGAAAAGGACTTGTGATAGATCAATGTTCCATAATGTCACTCTCTTTTTCTTGTGTTTGACAGATCATTGACCTGTGGCAGAGCATGGACTTCAGACTAGTGGCTCATGCTGGTCGAGACACCTTCATTATCGGAGGAGCAGACGACATTCTGGCTCAACTAGAGGAGAGTCAGGTAACCATAGGAACCATCAGTGGATCAAGATACGTGGCACCAATCAAGGTAGGGTTAATCGCCGTGGGATGCAATAAATGAGTGTGAAAGTTTTAGGTTGAAGCCATAAATTTTATCTTGTAATGCTGTAAGCATTACATGATGTTACAGATGTCTGTTCATTTGCCTTGTCCATACAGAGCTAAATCTTATCTCACCAAGCCAACTTGTCTGATGATAAGAAGCACACATTTTTGATAGGTATAAATTTTGTTGTATTTAAGCATTCCTTAATTACCAAGTGACCCAGGATCATGATATCAGGTCTGTTGCATGTTGGGATGAAGAACCATTGACTTGGTTCAAATGAATGACCTTGATAGTTTTTGCATGGTTGTGTAAGAAATATAATCTATAACCTCACAACAAAGAATTAATTTGATATATTGCTGGGTTGTTTGATATATTGCTGGGTTGTTTGATATATTGCTGGGTTGTTTGATATATTGCTGGGTTGTTTGATATATTGCTGGGTTGTTTGATATATTGCTGGGTTGCTTCTTATCAAATTTATTTACACAGATTTCATATTGGCCAATTTTTTAATGTCATGGCTGTGAGGTTGATTTCCCATGTGAGCATTACAGGCCCTTTGGGTCTCGTATGGTCATCAATTTCAACAAGGATGTGGTGATTTGTATTTATAGAACCAAGTGGAAGAGTGGGAGAGGAAACTGCAAGCCTTTGCTCGGACATTGGAAGAGTGGATGAGATTCCAGAGAAACTGGCTGTACCTTGAACAGATATTCAGTACTCCTGATATCCAGAGGTAAAGGTTACCAATCTGTTAAAACAAAAATTACAAAATTTTTTTCAATATCCACAAGCTCCAGAACAGGTGCTATTACTTTATACTACTGATGTCTGATTTCAATTGATGTCTGTATTTTGAGGTGATTTTATTTGACAGACAACTTGGACCCGAACACAAGATGTTTACTGGGGTAGACAAGGCATGGAAAGACATCATGCGTCGTGTGGAGGACCGCCCTAACGCCCTCAAATCTGCCCTCGCCTCTGGAACCCTGGAGACTCTGCAAACTGGGAATGGAACATTGGAAAAAATACAAAAGAGTCTTGAGGCAAGATTTTTATAATTCAACCTCCTCTGTCATCATAATTATTGAACAGTAGTAGTTTCATAACATGTTAACAGTAGTTCCTTGTACACAACTATAAAAAACTGATATCTGATTTTGTCTTGTCCAGATTGCTGTCAAGCCTTTACTAACAATTATGTGGTTTTTGCTCGTCCTTGTTTCATTTCACTATTAAATTTCATAATATCAATCAGATGTCAATTAGATATCAAAAAGATGAAAATAATATTCTTTATTCTTTGTGTTTATTTTGGTTGTTTATTTGTATGTCTGTAGGAAGTGAAATAATCAAAACAAAGTTGTTGTAGCTTGTATAATGTTTTGATATACAAATGTATTCTTTCATGTATACAGGACTACTTAGAGACCAAGCGTCTGCTGTTCCCACGATTCTACTTCCTGAGTAACGATGAGCTCCTGGATATCATGGCCCAGTCAAAGGACCCTAATGCTGTACAGGTAGGTAGTTCTGATATACAACACTGTACAGGTAGGTAAGTATGATGTGTAACACTGTACAGGTAGGTAGTTCTGATATATATCCAGACATTCTGAAACAACTCAGGATTTCAGTCAAGACTGATGTTGTTTTTCTATCATCACAATGGCCAGGGATGATCCTGAATTTGATAATTCATGATTTTTGTTGTTATCTGTCATTTGAAGGAGAAAGGGATATTTTGTATTTTGACATTTGTTTTTATAAAATTTGATGATGTTTATGTATAATTTGTTTCCAAATTGAAAAGTAAATATGATTATTTTAGCCTCATCTTGGAAAATGTTTTGGAAATATCAAATCCCTGAATATCAAGTCCATGCCACGCCAAGCAGCCATCGTGAAGTCCATGACGTCAGCAGAGGGAGAGAGCGTCAACATGCCAAGGTACAGTATGAACATGACATTTTATCATGATTGGTCAGAGCAGTTAAGTGAGAGAAGCTCATTACATGACATCTGTCATTTGTCATGCGTTTTTGTCAAACATTTCACCCAGAAAAGTTTGTGTTGTTTTCTAATAGTATCCAGCTCAGCATGTTCTATATGTAGGCAGCTTTCCAACATTTTCACTATATAGACAGCCATCTGTATAGACAGCCATCTGTAAAGACAACCATATATATATATAGACAGCCATCTATATAGACAGCCAGCCATCTGTATAGACAGCCATCTGTATAGATAGCCATCTATAGATACAGCCATCTATATATACAGTCATCTATATAGACAGCCATCTTTATAGACAGCCGTCTATATAGACAGCCATCTGTATTGACAACCATCTATATATACAGCCATCTATATAGACAGCCATCTTTATAGACAGCCATCTATATAGACAGCCATCTGTATTGACAACCATCTATATATACAGCCATCTATATAGACAACCATATATATAGACCGCCATCTGTATAGACAACCATCTATATAGACAGCCATCTATAAAAACTGTCATCTATATATGCAGCCATCTGTATAGACAGCTTTCTATATACACAGCCATCTATATAGACAGCCATCTGTATAGTTACTTTATTTACATTACATCTACTATTTGGAAAAGTTACTTATTTCTACAGAAGCAACTGGAGCAACAGCCAGTCCACAACAACAACAAAAACAATTAAGTCAATTTAAGAAAAATACTGATTTCCATAATTTTTATACAATGCTTTACAAGTGTCTCATTAGTATACTCATAAATCCTGATCATGTCACATTGTTTACAACAGGCGATGGTAAGTCTGCACTGGTGATATATCACCTGTATTTTGTTTTGAATTTCATCTATGCTTGATTATCATTTTGTTTAATTTGTTGTGATCACTGATCGTGGAAGGTTAAACGTTAATACATTTTCTGACTTTCTTTAAAGTTTCTTCATTTCAAGGTTGTTTAAGGAATCCAAGTTTCTCAACTTGAACATTATATGGAAACGAGAAATTTTATTTTGTTGTGTTTTGTTCATTTCTGTGTTTCCTTACGCACCTTGTTTTTGTTTAAGTGTTCACTGTGGCTAGATCTTACGATATTTACAATGTTAAGACCTACCATGATCTTCTGCATGCCAACTTTTTAGACTGTAAGTCACGATACTAGACAATAATTAGTTAAAACCTACCAGGGTCTTCCCGATTGACAATATTTTAGACTGTAGCTCAAGATTGAGCAAGAGTGTATTTTACTTTACACAATGTGTTAAAGAATAATGCTTTTAGCCCACCATCATCAGATGGTGGGGTATTCAAATCACCCTGCGTCCGTGGTCCGTCGTCCGTCGTCCGTCCGTAAACAATTCTTGTTACCGCTATTTCTGGAAAAGTACTGGATGGATCTTTCTCAAATTTCATATGCAGGTTCCCCTTGCTCCCTAGTTATGCATTGTACCTTTTTTGGATTGATTTGAATTCAAGATGGCCGACATGTGGCCATCTTGGATTTTGGAAGTAAACGTTTGTTACCGCTATTTCTGAGAAAGTACTGGATGGATCTTTCTCAAATTTCATATGCAGGTTCCCCTTTGTCCCTATTTGTGCATTGTACCTTTTTTGGATTGATCAAGATCGAATGGCCATCTTGGATTTTGGAAGATGTTTGCGTTATTTCGATGGATCTTTCTCAAATTTCATATACAGTTGGTCCTCTTGGATTTTGGAAGTAAAAGTTTGTTACTGCTATTTCTGAGAAAGTACTGGATGGATCTTTCTCAAATTTCATATGCAGTTTCCTCTTGGTCCCTTGTTGTGCATTGTACCTTTTTTCTGAGAAAGTACTGATCTTTCTCAAATTTCATATGCATGCATTGTACCCGACAGGTGGCCATCTTGGATTTTGGAAGTAAAAGTTTGTTACCGTTATTTCTTGGAAAGTACTGGATGGATCTTTCTCAAATTTCATATACAGGTTCCCTTTGGTTTCAAGTTGTGCATTGTACCTTTTTGGACTGATCCGAATACAAGATGGCTGACAGGCAGCCATCTTGGATTTTGAGAGTAAAATCTTGTTACTGCTATATCTGAGGAAGTACTGGATGGATCCTTCTGATATTTCATAGATATTGGTTTCCCTTGGTCCATAGTTGTGCATTGTACCTTTTTTGGACAGATTTGAAATCAAGGTGGCCCACAGGCAGCCATCTTGGATGTCGACAGTAATACAGCACAAGCATATTGTCCATTATCCACCTGTAACTGACTGCTATCTAATAATACTTTGGGATCTTTTTCAAATGATACTTGCTAATAGGTGCTTAATAAAAATATCTTGTGCCATCATTGATAAACATTCAATGAGGACCAGTTCATGAACATTTACAACACCTGTAACAAACAAAAAAAATAAACAAATCTTCAAGAACTGAAATCAGATCCTCAAATGGTGGGCGCCAAGATCCCTCTGGGATCTCTTGTTGAAGGTCAAATGATTTATCAAATTTGTTGTTAGTTTGAAATTATTGAAGTATATAATGCTATAAATGATACATTGATGAGTTTTCACGTACGACCATTTTGGAAAAAACATTTTTATAACTAAGGTGTAATTTCAAAACAAGGCAGACATCTTTAGTTTTAATCTAGGCTGAAAATCCTTCTTTTTTTCCTACCCTGTTCAGTGTATGTTTAGAACCTATTACAGAGGTTTATCTGGAAAACAAAATAATTATCCAAAAAGACATTGACTTTGCAGAATTTCATTACTATGATTTTTATTTGGATAGGAACTTGAGGGTACGAGGTGTTGTAGAACAATGGTTGCTGGGTGTCGAGGCAGGAATGTTTGAAACAGTGAAAAGGTAGGTATCTCTTTATCCCTTGTTGTAATGCCAAAACAGACCAAATGTATATACACCGAAGTCTTTCTAAACTCCCACATTTATAGTTTGTTTGGAAGTAACCAATGAATTCAACTTTTACTTTCATTTTCTTGAGAAAGTTTGCTTTGTTTTGGACAGTAACTGTTTGAATTGCAAAATTTCCATTTCTGTTTTCTCCCTCGAGAGAAATCTTCTAATCATACAAGTAGGTTGAGAAAGGACATCTATTTCACTCAAGGTTACTTATTTCATTATGATTTTCTAATGATGATTTGATGTAATATCTGAAATTGATGAATGCTCTTTGACTTCCATAGCAACAACTGATGAATTGGTTATTACACGTTTTGTGACTGGGCTTTTTTGTTTTATAGACATTTGAAGGAAGGTTTGGCTGGATGGACAGGAACAGAACTCAAGGAGTGGGTTCTTCGTCACCCAGGACAAGTAGTTATCACTGTGGTATGTACTTTTTCACTAAGGCATTTTTAACTTATAAACATTTCTTCAAACTTTAATTTATTCAAAAACTATTAGCTTAAAAAGTTTTTTACCTGCTTATTTATTTTTTCGCATTTCTACGGTTGATGGGGGTCTTTTTAATCAATAAAAAAAGAAATTTTGTGAGAGATTTTTGTCCTTTTTTTGGAAAAACTGCATGCAAATTTTACATTTTTGTTTTTACTAGGCCCAGATCCAGTTCAACAAAGATGTGGTGCGATGTTTTGATCAGACATTGCCAATTGATGCCCTGGTTCAGGTTAAGGACAATATGGTGGACTCCCTTAACTGTCTGGCTAGTCTTGTGTCCAGTGACATCAAGTATCACCAGCGGTCAAGCATAGAAGCCCTGCTCACTATCAATGTCCACAACCGTGATATCGTCATCATGATGATTGACGACAGAATCACACGCAAGGATGACTTTGATTGGAACAGGTATATTTACCATAAGTGGTGCCATATTCTGCAAGGCCAGTTAGAAATGACTGCAACAACTTTATCAATGCTGTAAGGGTAAAGTCATCTGTGATTGGCGTAAACAGAATCTTGTACTTGTGATTACATGATATTTTTTTACCAAAAGTTGCAATATAAATAGAAGGAATAGCATATTACACTGATAGTTATATCATATTGACTTATTAGTCACTGCATAGAGAGTAGGAGAAATAGAATCTTAAACTTGTAAATATATCTGACTTGCTTTATCCTACATTACAGACGGTTACTGTACAGAATGGAAACTATACCATCTTATCCTTGTAATTATAATACTTATTTACAGAAAACAGCAATTCAATTAGCAGGAATAGAACCTTCTACTTGTAACCATATGATAATATCCTGAAAACTGTAGTGTGAGTGAAGTGAATGGAATATTACACTTCTAACATTTTTCTGTTGTGTTAATACTTGTACTTTTAAGTGTATTACATTCCCCTTTCCTAAAGACAGTTGCAGTATGAATGAGAGAAATAGAATCTTATACTGGTCGGTCGCTTTGAGAAATAGAATCAGAAACATGTAACTGTATCACACCTACTTTTTATCTAACATTACAGACAGCTACGATATGAGTGGGATGAACAAAGAAACAACTGCCTGGTGATGCAGTCTAATGCTTCCTTCCAGTATGGATATGAGTATCTAGGCTGCTCTTCTCGTCTTGTCATCACACCTCTCACTGACAGGTGCTATCTCACACTGACTGGTGCTCTCCACCTACATCTAGGTGGGTCTCCAGCTGGACCTGCAGGGACAGGCAAGACAGAGACCGTCAAGGATTTAGCGAAGGTCAGCAAACCTCAGGAACTCTATTGTGATACCAATCTGATAAGTAGTAGTAAAAATATATAGATCTAGAAGATATACAAAGGTTGTCTAATTTTAATATTCCATGTCATTTTGTATGTAAAATAGAAGGGAAAAAATATTTGGGAAAATTCCTTGTTTATGTTTATAGTCGTTAAGTAAAGTTTTCTTCTAGGGACAGTGTAAGGTTGATAAAATATACGGTATATTAAGATTCCCAAAATTTGCAATTTTCTTATAAAACTGATTTCCCCATGTTTTTATCCCAGAATAAGATGACAATAGCCTCATTCCTCCACCAGATTGAGGGAAATTGTCCCCTTAAGTTTTGACAAATGATTATTTTCTTTAAATTTACATCAAGATCTATATCTATAGCTATAGCTATGCTATCTTCATTCTCACAGGCTGTGGGGAAACAGTGTGTGGTTTTCAACTGCTCCGAGGGTCTGGATTATAAAACTCTTGGAAAGTTTTTCTCTGGGATCGCTCAGTCTGGAAGCTGGTGCTGCTTTGATGAGTTTAACCGTATTGATGTGGAGGTGTTGTCTGTGGTTGCTCAACAAATCCTCTCGATCAAGTCGGCAAAAGACTCCCAACTTATGAGGTTTATGTTTGATGGGAAGGAAATCAAACTCAATATGACGTGTGGCTATTTCATCACCATGAACCCTACGTAAGTGTTTTGTATTAGTCAGGTATAATTCATAGATAATGATAGTCAGTAAAAATATCTTACAAATGTTAAATGGCATATACATATATTGACAAACATTGTCTTTTCTGTATGGAATTATGTGATTTGAATGCGTTAAGATTTCAGTAATAATTACAACAATATTTATCAGATAAATTTTATAAGCATATTGAAAGTCAAGAAAATATATGTAAAAAATTAAAATATTTTCAAGTTTGTATTTCCTCTCCATCAAATATGGATTCTGTAAATGTTGTAGGTACCTGGGTCGTGTGGAGCTTCCTGATAATCTGAAATCCTTGTTCCGCTCTGTGGCAATGATGGTTCCTGATTATGCGATGATAGCTGAGATCATGTTGTTCTCTGAGGGATTCATGTCGGCAGCACTGTTGTCACGGAAAATTGTAAATCTCTACCAGTTGGCAAGTCGTCAGCTTTCCCAACAGGATCATTATGACTTCGGTATGAGGGCCATCAAATCGGTCCTTGTCATGGCGGGGCATCGCAAACACCAAGCTCATCATGTGTAAGTAGCTCAGCTTTGAATGTGTGAGCTGAGAATACAGGTAAGGTCACTGTGACCTATATTTAATACATGCCATTCATGGATTCTCCATCATACTATCTGTTTAGCTCCTTGTGAAAGTCACTACCAGGACACACTGTGACCTATATTTTCTACTGTTTGTCTTTGGATACTCTGTTACACTATGTTTTTAGTTAGTTGAAATGAAAATTTAGGTCACTGTGACCTATATTTTCTACTGTTTCTCTTTGGATATTCGTTTCACTCTTGTTTTATTCAAAAAGGAAAAAAATCCCCATTGCATTAAACCATCACTGACAAGTAGATACAAAATTAATCTTGTTCATCATTTGGATTCACTTTTTCTTTTTACCAAAAAATTACTGGCACTGCAATGATCTTTTATTCCTCAGCAATATATTTCTATAGTTACATTGTACTACTGGTTTGTTTACAGTGGTGACAATGAGATCCAGACTCTGAATGAGAGGGATGAATCTCACATCCTCATTCATTCCCTACGTGATGCCAATCTTCCCAAATTCCTGGCTGAAGACGTTCCTCTGTTTGAACGAATCCTAGATGATCTGTTCCCCAGCATAATTCCACCTGATCCTGATCATGGTATCATTGAGGTAGGATTCAGTAGAAGATAAGATATACCCAAACATCTAATACCTTGGTGATAAGTGTCCTGATAGCTGATAGAAAAAAACAGAACTAGGGAATTCAAACAGGATATGTTTTTTTTAGCATATCATCACAACATTTTGCACCTACTATTTTACAGTGTTACCATTCTGTCCTATCCCACCGTGTTCTGAATCAACATCACATTGAGAACGTCTGCACAGATTTTGCTTCATTTTTACATCATAGTATCATTACATCAAGTTCTGCACCTGATCATACTAAAGTGGTCATAAGTCAAGATAAAAGGGTCAAAGGTCAGATTTTGTAATATTTGCAATATAGAGGTCCCTGAACAAGATTGGTTCATATTTCCATAGGAACAGAAGGAATTATATCACACAGACATCTTCTAGTATTCATTTTATCTCATGAAATACAATTGAATTGGTGATCCAAACTATCATCCTCACAATTGTTTATTGATAAAACGTTTATGTTTACAGCGAGCCATCAATATGGCAATCCGTGACCAGAGTCTCCTTCACTGGCCAAGCCAGGTAGAAAAGATCAAACAGCTATACAATCAGATCCTAGTGCGTCACGGTGTCATGTTGGTCGGCCCCACTGGCGGGGGAAAGACGACTGTGCGTAACCTGTTACAGAAAGCTCTTATCCTTCTACCAACCATCTCCTTGCAAGAAAACCAGTCAGATGCGACGAGTCGCAAACAGAGCATGTTCCAGGTATGATAACAAATGCATGTTGATCCAGAAATTATATCTGTAAACAAATATACAAGGAAGCTTTAATCAGTATCAGGAGTATGTTTTTTACTTGGTTTAACAGATATGTGTAATGGATTTTCAGTCAGTTAAATAATGTAAAAATTGAACCAATCAGTCAGAAAGTGATTCATTCAGCGATTTGTGTTGAAGACATTTGATGTCTTATCTTTAAATTATTGTAATTTGTTATCATTTCTAATTGCTCTGACCTGAATTTGTAGCATAACCGAGCTAAGAAAGGCCATGTAGAGGTTTTTACCATCAACCCTAAGTGTGTCAAGTTAGGCGAGCTCTATGGAGAGACTGACCCAAACACTTTTGAGTGGACAGATGGCCTCATTGCCACAGCAACCAGGAAATTTGCACGTGAAAATATGCAAATTCCAGGAGATGAAAGTCGGCCTGTCACTGCTGCATCAGGAAACACCCAGGTAGGACGAGGAACTTGATCTGTATCATTCTGCGTGTGTGTGTGTATATATAATCACTTTTTATTGTGTTTTGTGATTTTTCAATGTCCTCAATTGCTAATTTTGATTTGTAGAAAATTTTGTGTAGTTTTGTTTTGTCTAGGATAAAAAGCTCTGTGTGATTTAGATATTGTTGTCATTTGATTCTGTTAATAATCTATCTCATTTTCTTTTGAATTGAATGAAAAGAGAACATATTAGTGTATCACATTGAAGTTTTGCTGATAAATTTCATATGCATTGTGATTTGATGGTCACATAGATCTGCACTTTAATTTTTGAATTTCAGCAGTTTGGAATCATCATCTATGAATATTTTGAATACATTGTTTGATAAAAAAAAACATGATCTAATTACATTCAGCGATGAACAGTGCCATATTCATCCTTCAATAAGCCAAGGGACTAAAATATGACCTCTGACCTAGTGTCGAGGATTGGCTTGTTACAAGACAAAATAGTATTTGTTTGTAATTCTACTGGATCACAAAAGATATGGGTGGGCTTATTACCAGTCTTGGTCTTATTGTTGGATGGATATGGGGTTAAACACTTTTTGAATGTTGTAAATGTTGTGACATCTGTTGATTGTTGTGTTGTTACGACAGGGTGTGGTTGCTGGTATAATTGGTATACGTAAGGTGAGACAACGGTCGCGGCTTGGACCCTTTGTATTATTCTGTTGCTTCGTTCTGTTTATAGTTTCGCAGATATATTTAGTTCTGTGTATAGTGTTACATCCTCTTACTTCTGGTGCTTATTGACTTGGAACTTTCCATCTTTGTGGGATTTCCCATCATTATTTTTCAGCATCACATTGAATAATTAAAAAAACAGGAGAGAAAAAGAAAATCATTCATTTGCTCAATTTACAACAGATCTTTTAAAGAATTTTGTGGGGATGGTTAGTACAGTATGGAGATGTGCCCTCTAGCTTGACTTTGCATTTTACCTCCCTCTTTAGAGAGTTATCACCCTTTTATATGAAAAATGCATTTAAAGAAATAGCTGTTTTCCGAACATCCAATTGAATTTGGGGTCACACCTTCGCTGAACAGTAACATTTAACATATTAGCGAGTTTCGTCCTTGTGACATAGCCATTACTCCTGGTCATTCAACATATTCTGTTATTTGACTATGGTCAAATGGGAAGACTCATTAAAATCTATAGTAGGAGACATAGATATTTCAAAACAGTTAGCATGTCAAAGCCATCCTGGCTTCTGGATTGGTAAAAAATTAGATATTATCCCATTTTGTCATGACAACTATGCTGAAGCAAATCATGGCCCCTTGTTGGTTAGAATTTAAATATTGTCTGATTTTTATCTTATTTTCTTTTTGAGGTTTTAGGGAATGCCAAAAAAAAATTAATTTTCAGCTTTTATAATTTTTTTTCATGGAGTTTTGACCAAATTTGGTATATAGAGGTCTTGGCATCTGCAGGGGGTATCAGCTATCCTTAGGATGACAGGATGCTAGTTTGTTCCAATACTGATGTGGGCAGCCTCATAATCCAAAAAACTTATCCAGAATTAGTAAAGGCACCATCTTTGATCGTAAATTTCATGATTTTCAGAGTGATCATGTGTCTGTTAGCCATTATCCAAAAAAATTATAGTCCAGGGTTATTAACAAGAAGATAATAAGGATACTCACTTATACATGTTTTAAGTTATCATAATATAGTGGAGAATTTCCTAAACATAATCTTAAAGATTACTAGTTGCTGAACCTGATTAGGACAATATTTAAAATAAAGTTAGAGTTAGAGATCAGAGTTACAATATTTAATGTTCGTGAATGAGCTTTAATGCATGAATGATGATATTACATATTAAATGTGTTCATATATATTCTTATATAGTTGTTCATTCTAATGCAAGGATATTAGGGAAATAGTTTACCAACTTTGCTACAGTATGCCTAGATAGTATGCCTAGATACACATTTAGAATACATAGGCCCTGCTTATGTATAATTGAATAAGATAGCTAATACGTATTAGGTACAGAAATGCTTCTGAACATAGTCCAACCAAAAAAGCTCATCACATTCGACTTTATCAGGAATATTTTTTGTTTGATGAATATATTTGTTACTTGGCTGTGTCCACAGTTATAAGGTGTGTTTCACCTGTAGTAACTTGATAACCAGTCCTTTAGAGCAGTTTGACCACCTATACACCTGGTATAGATATTGACCTGTAATTGATGTCGTAATTAATGGAAGGTAAAATCAACATATTATTCTGGTTAATGAAAGATTAACATGACGCATAATTGAAATGGTGAACATGACACATCACTTTGGTAAATGAGAGATGAAAGTCACACATCATTCTGGTTAATGAAAGATTAACATGACGCGTAATTGAAATGGTGAACATGACACATGACTTTGGTAAATGAGAGATGAAAGTAACACATCATTCTGGTTAATGAAAGATTAACATGACATATGTTTCTCAGTAATGAAAGATAAACGTGACACATCATTCTGGTTGGACTTTATCTTACCCTGTACTAACAACTGCAGTCCTCGCCCTATCCCTTCAATCCTGGCTTAATGATGACAGGAAAAAAGCTAAGCTGATAGCTATACTCCTGTCTTGATCTTTATACTCTCCCCTTATTTACCATGTCTGGTGTTTGGTGCTAATCATACCTGTTATACTTCAATATTGTGGTGTAGTAATTCATTACATATATATATCATTCTCTCTTCTATAAAATAAAGTCTCTAGCCTTATGTTGTTTATAATTTTAGACAGGAAGTGTGTCACAGAAAATTCTGTCTAAACAACCAGTGATTGTAACAGATTTTCAGATTTCATAGATTAAATACTGGTGGAGGTACTCTATAACTGGTTATTTCACCATGTGCTAATTTCATCATTTGGGAATTATACCATTTGGTGTGAAAACCATTATAGATTAATTTTAGCCTTGTCATACTGAAGAGCTAAAAATAAAAATCAGTAAATGACAAATTTCAATACAGAAATTTTCATCACAAATTCTCTTCAGTAGATGTGTCAATGAAAGGTTCATATTATCAATCCAGTTTTTATTCCACGAAAAGAATTTTTATTTTACCAGAATATCCATTACCTTTATTTTCTTGAAAACTGTGAGTTTTAGACTGAACTGATTTTCATTGGTATGATCATTACACATGTAACACAAAAATATGCATTGAAAATATACTTCATTTTTGTGGTTACATGAATATGTAGCATGCAATAATATTTATGAAAATGTTTAAACTCGACATTCCGCCAACATGTTGCTAATTGAGAAATTTGAGCCTCTTGGTTAACATAAGTCTTTCATTTTTTTCTCTTTTTCAGAGCTACTGATATTTCCATTACATGTATATTGTATTGTGTTTGTATATTCAGATATACATATTGCATATTCTCATATATTCCGGGTAAACGTTATCTTTACCAATATTAATTACATTCCCTTCCCCCCCCCCTCCCCCCTACCGTTTTATTCCTAACTGCATACTTAGCGGGTAACCTTTGAATTGGGATATAGAAACGACCTGATGAGGATAAAGAGGAGGCAGAATAAATGTGGTTATAACCCGGCTTGAACGCTTCATATTTTTAATGATTTTGCTTCTCTTTGGCCATTCTGACCAACTTTTCTTTTTTGGGAATCGATGTCTGCTCTCTTCTGTCATAGCTAGTCCATTTTGACCTATTTTTTACTACATTCGATAATATGATAATGTTTTCTGAGAGCTATTGTTGTGTTGCAGTTTGTGACTGATGGTCTGTAATTTTATTTATCTATATGTATTTAGTAAATCTGGTAAATATTTATCGTATTGCTTTGCCTTCCCATCAGGGCACCTGTTGAGCGTGTCATGGGGTTTGATATCTTTGGGGCGTATTGACTTGCTTTGTGGGTTTTTGTTTTATCTGATACTCAAGTATATTTAGCTTTTGAAAGATTGCATTGCATACAAAATTCATGGTTCTGATGTAAATAGATTTTTTTTCACACAATACTGATAATACGGATACAAAAGATACCATAACTTTATGGGGGGCCTTCCTCCTCCCTTTTCCTCCTCCCGTTTCCTCTTCATTCTGTGGTTCATCAGGTCTTTATCAGTGTCTTCTTGAAAGAAGCATGTAATACATGCACGTTAAGTATAGGAGTCTCCAAAAACTATATTTTAGTGTCAATCCTTTTCAAACAATGGGTTGGTGGTAAAACAGTCATGAAGATTAAAGTCAGTCGTTTTCTCTCCCCTCGTGATACTTTCTGAACTGTTTTACTTTGAACTCCCTTCACCTATCTAATGACCCTGAAATAACCCCAATTTGTCCCAAATCTGATGGCAACTTCCTGACATATTACAGGCTGCGGTGCCTCCAAGTGTCCAGAGTGCTCCAAGTGAGCCAGACACAGAGATGTCGGAGAAGAAAGAGGATGATCCGCTACGACAGGATTGGCGCTGGCTAGTCCTGGATGGGCCCGTAGATACGCTGTGGGTGGAAAATCTCAACACCGTCCTGGACGATTCCAAGGTGCTCTGTCTGGCCAGCGGTGAGCGCATCACTCTGTCTGGGGGGATGAGGCTCATCTTTGAAGTGGACAATTTATCCCAGGCTAGTCCGGCCACCATTAGCAGATGTGCCATGGTGTATATGGTAAGTCGTGCCTGTTCCTTTATAATGATAATAAGGAATCCTTTTGCCATAATAAATATCAACATACCATACTTGATGAATATTGTCCTGAAACACTCATCAAACAACGACAAAATACTTTTCAATTGGAAAAAATAATCAATAAAGTAGGAATTGTTTTGTTTTTAAATCAAACAAACAAACACACGAAATCATAATGAGTAAAACATATCGTATCCATGGTAATTGTTGTTGTTTTCAAAATCGGTAAATTTCTGTTTTTCACCAAGGACATGAAAATTATGAATTAGTGCTGAAGTCTTTCAAGCCATAAACAAAAACTAATTAAATGTGAAATAGAAAAGTTTGACTTCGTAACAACGTGTCCATGTCCACACACACCTGTTTTTATGTCTCCAGGACCCCGTAGATCTAGGTTGGAAACCATTTGTGAAGACATGGCTGTCCCGTCTGCCCAGAGAAATGCCGGAGAGTGGAAAACGATATCTGCAAGATATGTTTGATCATACGATCGAAAAGGGACTGAAATTTGCACGAAAATATATCAGATTCCAATCTATTCCTGCACCAGAGATGTGCCTTATTTCCTGTTTGTGCCATATTCTTTCTGCATTCCTCGACTTCATGGCCAAAAATGGTGGATTTGGAACCCCAGGTAACGATTCTTCTCTTCTTACTTCATATATATACCTATCATCCACAGAGTTATATTGATAAACTAAGAACATTTCTTTACACAGGTCAGGAACAAATGATATCTCATTGGTTTCTGTATGTCAGAACATTTGGTAAATCCATGTAGTATGCTTGTTTCTTGTCCTTACCTGAGTTTATAAAGAGGCGTGTATAAGGGTACACACACCCTTCTTTTACTACAAATCATGTCACATTTTATCCAACAACTTTGTTTCTTGATACAAAAACAAGGTTGAGACAAAAATGAAGGAGAATGCCCTTGGAAGAAAGTGTATTTTAATATTCCAAGGTCAGGGCCACTTAGAGGACTCCACATGGATACTATTGCCCCACAGGACTTTTTTTGAAATGATATTGTCATCAAAACTTCACTCACGACAAAGTTAAAAAAATATATACGTGTCTTCAAATGTATTCAGATACTACATACCATACTATCAATATTGTGTCATATTTACATATTCTATTTATAGAATCACTTTACTTGATAAGTTGATGACGTACGTTTACAGTTTATCTTTGTTTTAAATGTTACCAGATAAACGGAATATTCCGAGTAGCAGAAAATCAAAAAGTACATTACTTTTACTCTGCATGGTTTTAAGATTGATTTGAAATAAATAATGAAGATTCTCATTGCATGTTTTGATATGACTTAAGTTAGTGAATCATAGAATGAAATTTTCTCAGCATGCCGTGATATTTTGAAGATTAAATGTCTTAACATTTTCATTAACAACTAATATTGTATAAGGTTTTTATTTTCGCCAGGTTCCATTTCTTGTTATTTTCAAGGATAAAAAAAAAACTTCTTGAAAAATGCTATTTTTTTTTTGTTTTGTTTTTGCTTCAAGTTTTTGGTATTAGCAAGAAAATTGAACCAATTGAAAATAATAAACTTTGCAATAACTGTTTTTGATTAAACAATGATATGAAATAGGATTGCTACTGAGTTTTGTAAAAAAGACACACAACTAATAGCTGATTAGTTGAGATTGCGATTCACTAACAAGCCATTTACAAGAAAGTGATATGAGTATCTTATTTATTTTGTACAACATTTTGTGTTTTGTATTGAAATTTAAATGATAAGTTTAATAAAAAGATAAATTGTTTAATATTATATAAAGAAATTCCTCATTTTTTGTAATGGTGAATCTTTATCTTGGTAAAAAAATAATTAATTTGCATTAAAATAATATACATTGATAAAGTAAATGTTACTTTTGAAATAATATGTTATTTGAAGTAATTAATAATGAGATATATTTATTGGCTGTTCTACCTGTATTTTCCCGGAACAGTGTGAGTGAAACACTTCATGCACATCAGAATCATTTCATGTCATGTTGCATGTCATGTCACATATAGGCACACGTCATATGTCGTGTTGTACATAACACAATTTCAACATGTCATTTGTCTCCATTATCTTTTTTCATATACATATTTGTTAGAATAAAATAACAATAAAGATAAGATAACAAAGTAATCACAATTAATTAAAATCCAATTAGAAATTAATTCTTAATTAAGTTTCAGAAGATTTTTTTTTTCAAATTTCTTTGTGCTGAAAAAAATATCTCAATTGAAAAATTCTTTTTAAGGAAATGTTGTAAAGTTCAGAGAAACAAATTTTGGAGAGAAAAAAAAGAAGAAATTCAATTGATTTCATCTTTACTTTTTGATAGTGCGGCGAAAAATATGGGATATTTTTTATGGAGGTGACAGACATCATAAAAAAGAGAAAGGTATCTGAAGTTACAGGTGTAGGTTGTTGTGTTAGTTTGTTTGTATCACTTTTAAAGTGTACAATGTAAGCTGTTTGACTGTTGGATTGTTAAGTATAAAAAAATGTTAAATTGACACTATAGGTTGTTTGAATGTGGGAATAGTCACTTGTCACATTAGAGTTTCTTCCCCTGATTAGCTCTTCACAATATGAGGGGTCTTTTTCTTGTCTGTCTGTCTGTCTGTCTATCTATTTCTTTTCTTTTTATCACAGAAGTAGAAATGTATAATTTGACAACATTAAAAATATCTTTTTTTATAAAAGTGCTTATAAATTATACAAAACCATGTGAGTGGTAAAATTGTTATATGACTCAAAATGTTAGAGGTGATGGAATTGTTGTATAGGTTTTTTGAGAAATAATACGTTGCATCCAACTGCTCGCTGTAAAAACATCTTTAATGTTTTTCTTTACCAGTTATTTTCTGGGAGTTCTTTTTATTTCATTAGTTTAAATGTAAAATATTGGTCAAGGCAATAAGATAAGGTCACACAGTTATACTGCAATCACATCACTCTGTCTGTCTGTCTGTCTGTTCCTATGTCTGTCTGTCTGTTCCTCTGTTTGCTATATGTCTATCAGTCCATATGCATTCCTTTGTGCAGGGCATTTACTTTACATATATATATTGTTACCTTCAGATGTTATAAACCCTTGTTTTCGTGAGAAAAACAAAACAAAAAGTTTATTTTGAAATTGAAGAATATTGATTTCTCTGTATGTTTTGTTTTGTTATCCTCGTTGTTTATATTTCAGATGTTTGTAAGTAATATTGTAATCATGTTGTTTTGCATTCACACCTTACCTGGATTTTAAATTTGATTGGCTTAAAACTTTTTAACCATATCTAGATCAAACAAATGAATTCTAGATGATAATTAAATTTTGATTAAATGCGGTCGTTGTAAAGTAATTCTAACAAATTTGGTATTGACTTTATTCAATTATTTCATTTTCTTCAATAATTTTTGCATCAATCAAAAGTGAATTTTTCAACAGCCTTTATTTCAAATTTTTTAATGGAAGGATTTTTTTTAAGAATGAAGTTAAATATTAACAATGTACATATATATGTGAAGCCTTAAGTTGTTTTTATGTCTGATATCTCTAGAGGACAGTGATGCTGTATTAGATCAGGAGTGTAAAATGTCCTAGTAACCCTTAGAGAGACTTTGATAAATTGTTTTACTTCAACTTTACTGTAAATATTAAATATTTTCCACCAGATTCTTGTCTTATATGTTGGGCTATAGTGAAATTCTACACTCCTGTATAGCATACAGTATAAAGTCTATGTCATGTGTTCTGTTGTCGTTAACTTCACTGATTTTTTTACATCTTTAGAATCATTAGAAAACTATTTTCATTTTTAACTTTCTCAGAATTCTTAGAAATATTTCTTTGAATAAAATAGGTAATAGTAAAACATTTTCATTTTGATTGAATTATCTGTTGTACATTAAAATTTTATTCTTAGGAGAGTTGGGAACCAATGAGGAATGTGTGTCTCAAAGCAAAGGGGTTAAAGGGGTTGGAGATTATACAAGAAAATGAAAATTTAGAAAAATATGAAAGGCTTATTATCAGACATGAGTCTTTGACTTGATAGAAAATGTTACTTCATTGTTAGGGTTGATGAAACACATACAATTAAATCTTGTTTTTAGGAAATATATTACAAAGATATACAAAAAGTTTTTTGTTGTAAAGTCTGACGAAAATTTAGTTTTATACCACTTCATTTCTAGGCGATGAAGTTTTCATCATGTTGGCCTCAGGGTCACATGACCTGATCATTGCTTCTATAGATAAATTCATGATCAATGGTTTCCATGGTTATGGTTATTATATCTTTATCAACAGATAAAGATGATGGAGGTCACACAGAAGTATCTGAACGTTCCGAGAGTCAAGCCTCCAGCCATAGTTCCTCACGCACTGGGTCCAGGAGTACGTCTCGTACTGGTCGCAGCAAAAAGCGCAAGAGCAGGGCCTTTCAGTCTAAGATTAAGGAGGACTTGGACACAATATCAGAGACACATTCTACAAAAAGCTCAAGGTTCTCTAATATTCTGATACCTTACCTTAACCAAACTCCGCTGTCACTTTTACAAAATAGAAAGGGTTTTGATATCACAGGGTCAGTTTAATGATCAAGTTATCAACATGGTTCACACCAATTTCTTTTACAGGTCTTTTTATATTAGTATTGTTGATTTTCCTCATTTTCTAGGTAAAAGATTGTTAAGTATCAACACATTTCAGGCTTATATGATACTGCTTTGACCCTAGGGTATGGCCAGATAGAATTATAATGAAGGATATTTAGAACATGTTTAAGTAAAATTTAGATCTCTAGTGTATGACATAGTACACTTAAGGTAAGATGAAAATTAATGGAATGGACTTATCTTTGTGTCCCATTTCACATTCGTGTTTTGTTTTACTTATGCTGACCTTTGATACCTCTGTTGACCTTTGTTGACCTTTGTTCCTTAGCTCTTCCTCATCAGAATCTGAGGACTGGTAAGTAGTCGGAACAGTGCACAGCTTGAAATTTAGCAGGATTGTAGTCCACACCGACTGGCTGATTTGCATTGAATGATCTTTGAAATTTAGCTTCTGTATTGATCTACAGGTCAAAATCCAAGCAAGGAACACAATGATTACTGATTGGTAGTGTTTGTTTTACTTGTAGATATGTTTAGAGACTAGCCAATCGGGCATTGTTACAGACAAACATGTGTTGTTAATTTTACCTAGGGACCAAAGATTGAACTATAAAATGTTTTATTTAAAGTATATGTTATATACATTGTCAATTTCACCCTGATGGTGGGTGTGTGAAGGTCTGTAGTGCTTGTTAGTTGTTTTGACATATCATGTGGACTGAGTATATGACATGGTGCAACATGCTCCAAAATAATCTGTCCAGTCAACTGTCCTTACGCCATAATGTTTCTGTGTTTTCCAGTCCAATATAGAGACGTGCCATCCAGATGTTTTGAATGAAATATTGTCTGTGTTCAATGTTTATACATGTGGCACTGCATGTTGAATGTTGGCTACACAAGCTAGGACTTGGCTGCACATTGTTTGAATGGCTAATTATGCATGTGTTCTTCATAGAAATGAATCCAGGGAAAAATTACTGAGATATGGTGTAGAAATGTTCACTTTTATATAGCTAGGTACCAGGTTGGCCTGGAAAAGATCCTGAATCATTACTTATTTTACAGGGCTCAAACTGTCTATATATTTTGGAAACATTTCTGATTTAACAATTACTGAACTGTCAATATCATGGCACGGTCCTTGTTGTGACCTTCAGCCTAGCTGGTTATAAACACTTGGAGATCAGGTTTACCTATGATTACAAGCAATGACTAATTGTGTGGTAGAACTGTGTTGTAGTAATGAGTGATTGTAGCTGTTGGATAGAGATCATGTCATTATCGTCGTCATGGTAACAAATTTTTCCCCAACTCAAAGAAACATGTAAATGTAATGGTTTATTTACCCCAAATTTCATCTTGTTGAAGGTCAGTATGTAGACAAATTATGTGGACAGTTTAAAGTTCATAATCATGTATTTAATTGTTGCCATTTGAAATTTCTACACCTACAAATTGAAAGTTTGAAATTAATAACATTTAAATCTCAAACACATTGATGCTGAAATTTTCTCTTCAATTTTCAAATTTGTATTTACAAATTGACGTTTGTAATTTTAAACTGAGATGCTGTCAGACCAACCTCCCTTATCCTTAATGATTACACTTACAGATTTGTATTGATGCTACAGATTGTAAGGAAAGTGGTGGTTACAAATATATCATGGTTCTTATCTTCGAGAGTCCTAGAACATATACAGCTTTGGAATCAATATAGACGACATAATTATGTCTGTTTGTCCTTCTGTCTGTCTGTTCATCTTTTGTAACTTCCAGATAATTTGGTTAAATATTAAATATGATTTAACTTGTCTGTTATGACCAATACTAAATGTATAGACTACACTGAATATTGGACAAAATGTGTGCTTAAGTAATTTGCATACTTTGCCTTGATTGGTCAACAGTTTCCATTTAAATGAGACCTAATCATTTATTTATATTTGTAGTTCCCAGCCATTAAAAGAGACCTACCTACAGAGGAACCCTTTACAACTTTTAAACATTCTTGGAAAGATGTATGCATTTGCTTACACCTGGAGTATTGGGGGTAATTTCAAACGCCAGGAAGATGTTGATGATGATGACAGTCTCAGCCGTAGAGTTGGGGACAAAGATAAGGGTGAAAGAGGCATCAACATTTGTAATGAGTTTGATGGCTTCATGCATGACTTGTTTGACATTGAACCACCTCTAGGTAAGAAACAATGACAAAGAGATGAAAATACACATCTGTCTGTACAGATTAGATTGTGAAATTCTTAGAGCAGTCCGGAGGTCTTTTATCTAAGCTTAATAGTAATTCAGTACAATGATAATGTTAGGTCATTGTAAACTGAAACAATGATACTCCTGTTTGTAAGGCAAGAAAAGGAGATAAATCTAAGAAATCATCCTATAACTAACTTTAAGTAAAGTTACATCATCTTCTTCAGAACTGTATGTCCTTATGTCCGTCTGATTATTTGCAGATGTGATACTTTTTAGATCTCTTGGTTAGAAGCTCAAGAGGCAAATACTTACAGATACAGTTTAATTGTTTCTTTATCTATATTTGTGAGGCTCTTTGGGGAAAACTTACAGACCCAATGTTCTACTTTTTATATCCGTAGTTGTGAGGCTCCATTGGGGAATATTTACAGACATATTGTTACATCTATAGGTGTGGGACTCCATTGGGGAATATGTACAGACATATTGTTTTACTTTTTACATCTATAGGTGTGGGGTTCCGTTAGGGAATAAAGATATAATGTTCTTTTTTTAACATTGGTAGGTGTGAGGTTGCCAACAGGAAACAGGAGTATTTACAGCTACTTTATTGACATGGAGTCAGGTAACTTTGTTCTGTGGGATGTATTGGTGCCACACACACGTTCTCTCATAGAAAAAAGTGCTGTCATTACCATTGGAGAGACGATGGGCATCCACTCCGAACACAAGAAGAAGCGAGAGGAAACTGACATCACTCCAACAGTGGACATCGTACGATTCTCCTTCCTGTCCAGTCTCCTCATCACAAACAAACACCCTGTCCTTCTCACAGGTATTTACAGATTTTGTCTCATCACAAACAAACACCCTGTCCTTCTCACAGGTATTTACAGATTTTGTCTCATCACAAACAAACACCCTGTCTTTCTCACAGGTATTTACAGGTTTTGTTTCATCACAAACAAACACCCTGTCCTTCTCACAGGTATTTAGAGATTTTGTCTCATCACAAACAAACACTCTGTCCTTCTCACAGGTATTTAGAGATTTTGTCTCATCACAAACAAACACCCTGTCCTTCTCACAGGTATTTAGAGATTTTGTCTCATCACAAACAAACACTCTGTCCTTCTCACAGGTATTTACAGATTTTGTCTCATCACAAACAAACACTCTGTCCTTCTCACAGGTATTTACAGATTTTGTCTCATCACAAACAAACACCCTGTCCTTCTCACAGGTATTTAGAGATTTTGTCTCATCACAAACAAACACTCTGTCCTTCTCACAGGTATTTACAGATTTTGTCTCATCACAAACAAACACCCTGTCCTTCTCACAGGTATTTAGAGATTTTGTCTCATCACAAACAAACACTCTGTCCTTCTCACAGGTATTTACAGATTTTGTCTCATCACAAACAAACACCCTGTCCTTCTCACAGGTATTTAGAGATTTTGTCTCATCACAAACAAACACTCTGTCCTTCTCACAGGTATTTACAGATTTTGTCTCATCACAAACAAACACCCTGTCCTTCTCACAGGTATTTAGAGATTTTGTCTCATCACAAACAAACACTCTGTCCTTCTCACAGGTATTTACAGGTTTTGTTTCATCACAAACAAACACCCTGTCCTTCTCACAGGTATTTAGAGATTTTGTCTCATCACAAACAAACACTCTGTCCTTCTCACAGGTATTTAGAGATTTTGTCTCATCACAAACAAACACCCTGTCCTTCTCACAGGTATTTAGAGATTTTGTCTCATCACAAACAAACACCCTGTCCTTCTCACAGGTATTTACAGGTTTTGTTTCATCACAAACAAACACTCTGTCCTTCTCACAGGTATTTACAGATTTTGTCTCATCACAAACAAACACTCTGTCCTTCTCACAGGTATTTAGAGATTTTGTCTCATCACAAACAAACACCCTGTCCTTCTCACAGGTATTTACAGATTTTGTCTCATCACAAACAAACACCCTGTCTTTCTCACAGGTATTTACAGGTTTTGTTTCATCACAAACAAACACCCTGTCCTACTCACAGGTATTTACAGATTTTGTCTCAACACAAACAAACACCTTGTCCTTCTCACAGGTATTTACAGATTTTGTCTCATCACAAACAAACACCCTGTCCTTTTCACAGGTATTTAGAGATTTTGTCTCATCACAAACAAACACTCTGTCCTTCTCACAGGTATTTAGAGATTTTGTCTCATCACAAACAAACACTCTGTCTTTCTCACAGGTATTTACAGGTTTTGTTTCATCACAAACAAACACCCTGTCCTACTCACAGGTATTTACAGATTTTGTCTCATCACAAACAAACACCCTGTCTTTCTCACAGGTATTTACAGGTTTTGTTTCATCACAAACAAACACCCTGTCCTACTCACAGGTATTTACAGATTTTGTCTCATCACAAACAAACACTCTGTCCTTCTCACAGGTATTTAGAGATTTTGTCTCATCACAAACAAACACCTTGTCCTTTTAACAGGTATTTAGAGATTTTGTCTCATCACAAACAAACACCCTGTCCTTCTCACAGGTATTTACAGATTTTGTCTCATCACAAACAAACACCCTGTCCTTCTCACAGGTATTTACAGATTTTGTCTCATCACAAACAAACACCCTGTCCTTTTCACAGGTATTTAAAGATTTTGTCTCATCACAAACAAACACCCTGTTCTTCTCACTGGTATTTACAGATTTTGTCTCATCACAAACAAACACCCTGTTCTTCTCACTGGTATTTAGAGATTTTGTCTCAAGAAATACAGATTTTATTCACTATGAACATGAAATAGCTCGGTTTGATGCAGTTCTTGAATTTTGTGAACAATTGTATATATACCCAAAAACAAAAACAAAAGCTCACCTCAAAAATAAGCCTAGCCTTCAAATAAGCTTGTTAGTTTCTTACATAAATAAATTGCCTGAATTTGAAAAATTATATATATATTTATATTTGAATTATAGCTGCATTACTTAGACTTGTGTAAACTGATACTATGTGTAACATGTTTAAATGGAATACTTTTAATCTGAAAACCTGTATGTAGCTTCAAGTACCAGATACTGAAATCTGTTCACAGGCGGCAATGAAAAGTTATCTCCCTTTCTTTATCTTTACATTTATGATTTGAGAAAGGAACGGTTGCTTTGTGTTCATGATGTTTGTTTGTAAGGCTGTGTATGTTATATATCTGAGTGAGTATGTTTCAAGGGTATTTACCTGTATCTTATTAATAGGATCTTCAAGTTTGTTTGTGGTTGCATCTTCAGAGGATAATGTATAGTTGTACAAGAATCAGTTCACTGTGACCCATATTTTAATTTTGACCTTCAGAGGGCAAAATTGTTTTCAGAGCATTCTTACAGATTTGTGGGTAGATGGACAAGGTATCTTGTACCCAAAGTAGGTCACTGTGATAGCTTTGTTAACTTTCAACCTTTTTTGCAAAATTAAACAGGTGACTCGGGCGTTGGTAAATCTGCCTTGATTAACTACATGCTAAGTCGCCTAAGGCGAGATGGTGGGGCAGAGATCAAGAATGGTACAGTGCTGGGAAACGTATTCTGTTACTCCGACAAACATTCATCTCTCCTGGAGAATATCTCAAACATCACAAAGTTCGGACAGGAGGATGACAGTAATAAGAACCTTGACTTCCTCCTTGGTATGAGATCTTTCTTTATGGTTTGTCTGGTAATTAAGTGAGACTACAAGTTTATTTCTGAAGCCAATGAAAGCCATTTTGAGATATTGTAATAAATATAAAATCCATTATTTATCAATTATCTGTACATGAATGATCTGAAATTCTCCTTGTTTGAATCCAGGTGGCTATTAAACCATTGCTTTATATATAGAAGAGCTAACTATCTGATATTTAAAAAATATCTCAAAACTTTTAGGTTCTTCAAAGATAAAACCAGTGACTGGAATCATCAGTTCTATGATCCAGTTCAGCGCGCAGACAACTGCAGGACGTTTCCAGGCTCACATCATCCATAAGCTTATCAAGAAGGGCAAGGATACCCTTGGGGCTCCCAAAGGAAGGAAAGTTATTGTGTTTGTGGATGATCTGAATATGCCTGCTCCAGAGGACTATGGGGCACAGCCACCTTTGGAGCTTCTCAGGCAGTTCTTAGAACTGGGTGGCTTCTTTGATACCACCAAGCTTGTCTGGAAGGTAAGGACAAGGGTTGTAGGTGACAGTATTTAAACTTAAGGGTGTATATTACCTTACTACATACAGGAGATAATATTTTGAATATTTCAAAAGAGACTATGTTGGCCATCTTGAATTTAATGCATGGTAAGGATTTTGCAATTACAATTTCAGATAGCCTAACCTTTCATGTTTTGAAGATCAAACACCACTGTTTGCATAATTCAAAATAAATAAAGGAATACAGAAAGTAATAAATTATCGAAACGCTATTTGAATACTTTTTTTATAAAAAGAATATGGCTAGTATTTCCTTTCATCAATGACGTTGTGTTTTGTATGTTTCAGGACATTTTAGATGTAAACCTTATTGCAGCCTGTGGACCGACAGGTGGAGGAAGAAACCCTATCAGTCCTCGCCTCCTCAAACACTTCTGGTTAGTCCCTGTGTTATAGCTAGGTGTACAGTTCTCAAACACTTCTGGTTAGTCCCTGTGTTATAGCTAGGTGTACAGTTCTCAAACACTTCTGGTTAGTCCCTGTGTTATAGCTAGGTGTACAGTTCTCAAACACTTCTGGTTAGTCCCTGTGTTATAGCTAGGTGTACAGTTCTCAAACACTTCTGGTTAGTCCCTGTGTTATAGCTAGGTGTACAGTTCTCAAACACTTCTGGTTAGTCCCTGTGTTATAGCTAGGTGTACAGTTCTCAAACACTTATGGTTAGTCCCTGTGTTATAGCTAGGTGTACAGTTCTCAAACACTTCTGGTTAGTCCCTGTGTTATAGCTCAGTCCTCGCCTCCTCAAACACTTCTGGTTAGTCCCTGTGTTATAACTCAGTCCTCGCCTCCTCAAACACTTCTGGTTAGTCCCTGTGTTATAGCTAAGTGTACAGTTCTCAAACACTTCTGGTTAGTCCCTGTGTTATAGCTAGGTGTACAGTTCTCAAACACTTCTGGTTAGTCCCTGTGTTATAGCTAGGTGTACAGTTCTCAAACACTTCTGGTTAGTCCCTGTGTTATAGCTAGGTGTACAGTTCTCAAACACTTCTGGTTAGTCCCTGTGTTATAGCTAGGTGTACAGTTCTCAAACACTTCTGGTTAGTCCCTGTGTTATAGCTCAGTCCTCGCCTCCTCAAACACTTCTGGTTAGTCCCTGTGTTATAGCTCAGTATGATGTACAGTTCTCAAACACTTCTGGTTAGTCCCTGTGTTATAGCTAAGTGTACAGTTCTCAAACACTTCTGGTTAGTCCCTGTGTTATAGCTAGGTGTACAGTTCTCAAACACTTCTGGTTAGTCCCTGTGTTATAGCTAGGTGTACAGTTCTCAAACACTTCTGGTTAGTCCCTGTGTTATAGCTAGGTGTACAGTTCTCAAACACTTCTGGTTAGTCCCTGTGTTATAGCTCAGTATGATGTACAGTTCTCAAACACTTCTGGTTAGTCCCTGTGTTATAGCTAGGTGTACAGTTCTCAAACACTTCTGGTTAGTCCCTGTGTTATAGCTCAGTATGATGTACAGTTCTCAAACACTTCTGGTTAGTCCCTGTGTTATAGCTCAGTATGATGTACAGTTCTCAAACACTTCTGGTTAGTCCCTGTGTTATAGCTAAGTGTACAGTTCTCAAACACTTCTGGTTAGTCCCTGTGTTATAACTCAGTCCTCGCCTCCTCAAACACTTCTGGTTAGTCCCTGTGTTATAGCTCAGTCCTCGCCTCCTCAAATAAAGGCATACTTTTCAATGACTGCCTTTTCAATACTCTGAATGGGATTTTTAATCTTGGTGTGTGCAGATCTCCCTGTCGTGACCCCATCCACCCACCCACTCTATTAGGACAGAGGAGAGAGGCCTTCTAGTCTGCTCTAGTGACCTTTCTGTGGTGTCTGATACCCACCATATATGTACTGTACAGTTTATGTCTTCATTTCTTGTAGTATGTTGTCACTACCCCAACCATCGACACGCTCACTCCAGCACATCTACCAAGTACAGCTTGGAAAGTTCTTCATGGAAGGTGACTTTGCAACAGAGTTCAAAGACCAGCTAATGCCGTTGGTGTCTGCGAGTATTGCCGTGTACTATCGTATGTGCAGTAACATGTTACCCACGCCCACCAAATCTCACTACAACTTCAACCTTCGTGATCTCTCTAAGGTACACTTTCTTTCTTAAGACTTTTATTGAGTTTCCTTATAATGAGAGTTTAAATTGATGTCTCCTAGACATGTCACCATGAATTTATCCCTTAATATCAGATGAATATTTTCATTAGCCCTTTTTTCCCTCCAGAGAATTTCTGACACTTTTCTGACCTTACTATCTATCGTTTTGTGCCGCAGGTGATACAGGGATTGTTACAGGCCCACGAAACAGTCATTATCAGTAAAGACAATTCTGCATTGCTGTTTGCACATGAGGCGACACGTGTGTTCCATGATCGACTTATTCTCCACGAGGATCGTGATATGTTTTTCCAATTTCTGTCTGATATCCTGCATGACTACTTTAAGGTAAGCCTTATCTACATTGCCTTACTGTAAGAGGTTTTCCTTTCAGGAAGACTTTTATTTGACAGAGTACCAGCCAAAATAAAAAGAATATGTAATCAGCATTGCTTATATCTCTTTGATTAAAACAAAAAACCCTTTCATAACATGGATATTAGGAATTCCAAAATTTGTTCTGAAAGTCATGCCAGGTCCCAATGCCCCACTCTGATAGGAAAATGATTGCAATGTCAAAATCATATCTTTTTTCATTTCCTTTTTTGTTTTGTACAAAATAGTGTTGAGATCATCCTGACAATCTTTTGTCTAGAACTTGATAATAAAAATTTCACTTCCTAATTAAGAACTGAATAGGAAAAAGTGTAACTGTATCAAAAGTTGTTCCATAGTAAAGGCACACTGTTTGTGGTACTAGGTAAAATGGACGAAGGAGATGTTGATGAATGAACAAGTTTTGTTTGGAGACTTCTTTGAAATGGAGTCTACCTTCCATGTGTATCGGCCAATGTCAGATCGTACGAAACTGGCTCAGGTGCTGGAGGAGTATTATATGAGGATGAACTATGGAAACACCAAGGTAAGAACGGCTATAGTGTCGAGGGGTGATATTTACAGTTTTGTGATTGGGATCTTAAAAGATGTTTTGTGACTTAGTTATGGGTCTTTGGGTTCATTTTTTAAGAAAGTGGCAAAAAATTAGAAATTTACTTTTTTTTAACTTTTTCCCTATTGTTATTCTAAAGAAATAAATTCATCAAAAATAGTCACAAGGAAGATTGTAACAGAAGTAGATCTGTCTCTCGGTTTTAACTTTTTAATTTCAAAATACTTCACTCATCAGAGAATCCAAAGGACATGACCTTTATCAAGTAGCCTGATAAGATTTTCAAATAAGTTAAAATCTTCTAACAATGATAAATGAAGTTCAGAGAAAATGTTTCATCTGGGTCATGATAAAAAACTTGGTCACAGTGACATATATTGATTGAACCTTTTCACTTTATTTACTTGGTGTACTTTCTTGATGATATGGTGTGACATATAATTGAACAGATTTAAATGAAATGATGACACCGATACACATACGAATCAATTTTGCATTTTGAATATATGATCAGGTGTAAATCATTTTATTGTATGTTTGTAGGTGTTTGTAAGTATTGTTCACAAACAAACTCTTTTTTTTTTTTTTTTTACATTGAGTGGCACTTCATTTCACATTTGTTTGTTTAGCCTGTATCACAGTTTGCAGGCACAATATTACTTATCATGATTTTCTCATCCATCTCACAAGATGTTAAGGCAGATTTGGGTTATCTCCCCTTCCACTACTTTTTGCAGCCATTGTCAGTCTAGTGAATATGGGGAGGAATGTGTCATCCATTCTTGTATCTGCTTTCAAATCACAAACTTTGTGTGACACAGAGGTTTATGCTTCTCAATTTCATGTCCTTGAATACTTGCAGACATATATTGATGCTGACGTGAATTTTCATAACCTGAATTCTTGACTGTCAAATATCTGAAATGAAAATCATTAAAAAAAATGTGATTTAGGATGTTATTGTAATAAAATGACTGAAAATCATTTTTAAAAATGTGATTTAGGATGTTATTGTAATAAAATGACTGAAAATCATTTTAAAAAATGTGATTTAGGATGTTATTGTAATAAAATGACTGAAAATCAGTCCAAAAAAATGTGATTTAGGATGTTATTGTAATAAAATGACTGAAAATCATTTTAAAAAATGTGATTTAGGATGTTATTGTAATAAAATGACTGAAAATCAGTTAAAACGTCTAGATTTTGAATTGCATTTTGGCAGGAAGCCTATACTCATGACCTTATGGTATGTGGTTGAGTTATATCTGGTTCTAAACGTTGTACATTTTGTTGGGTTTTAAGTTTTGATTCACACTGCAGAGGTATCTCTATCACAAGGAGTCTGAAAAGACTTTAGTCTTTCAACATAAGATAGTTCAAATCGCCCTTTGTTCGTGGTCCAATAACCACAGCCCATCAGTCCCAAAACAATTCTTGTTAATGCTGTTCCAGGAGGGACATGGATTAAGTTCCCCATTGTCTCAAGTTATACACTGGTGATTATGGGACTGATCAGGAAAGTAAAATGGCTGACAACCAAATTGGATTTGACAGTCCTAGTTGGTTGGCTGTTTTTTGAGAAGTGCTCAATGGACCATGCTAAGAATTCATTTGTAGGATCCTCTTGGTCTGCAAATTTACATAATCCATTTAGGAACTGATCAGAAAAAACACTTAAATCATTCCCCTGAAATCTAGAATCTTGAAACAAATTGAAGAAAAGAATTGAAAAGATTTATTTTTTGAAGAACTAATCAAGATCATACAATTGTGGGCTTCAATATCCCTTGGAATCTCTTGTTTAATTCCATGACGAGTAAAAGGAATTATTTGAAAACAGACCTAAGAGAAAGAATTTTTTAACATTATGAAAACTTTCTGTCCTTTTATACATATTCAGGAGAAAATAACCGTAAATAAACAAACAAACAAAAATAAATATCTTGAGAAATTATTCTCATATAGGCTTCTCGCTCCAACATTGGAAGAAATTTTGAAACATTGATGTTGGTACTGACAAGGAGCTACCTCTGCAGTGTATTTCTTTAAATGTAAGGAGACATTTTTAGCTTGCCTATTCACAGAATAGGGCTGATTTATCTATCATGTTGAAAATATTAATGTCATCTTTTCATTATTATAAAGCATTGAGGTGTATGGTTTTTTTTAACTGTAAGCAAAGTCAGTTTTATATTGGACTAACAATTTAGTCAACCTTGTTTGTCCATTTATGGAGAAGGAATGGTTGTTAAAATGTTTCCAAGGCCAGTTGGATTATCAGCGTTTATAAATCATGACTATTATTTTCATAGCATCAACTCAAAGAATATTTCAAGCGTAACGTCTTCTTAATTTCATATACACATCAGTCATGTGATGTAATATACATCAGTCATGTGATGTAATGTACACATTAGTCATGTGATGTAATATACATATCAGTCATGTGATGTAATATACACATCAGTCATGTAATGTAGTATACACATCAGTCATGTGATGTAATATACATCAGTCATGTGATGTAATGTACACATCAGTCATGTGATGTAATGTACATATCAGTCATGTGATGTAATATACATTAGTCATGTGATGTAATTTACACATCAGTCATGTGATGTAATGTACACATCAGTCATGTGATGTAATGTAGACATCAGTCATGTGAAGTTATGTACACATCAGTCATGTGATGTAATGTACACATCAGTCATGTGATGTAATATACACATCAGTCATGTGATGTAATATACACATCAGTCATGTGATGTAATGTACACATCAGTCATCTGATGTAATATACACATCAGTCATGTGATGTAATATACACATCAGTCATGTGATGTAATATACATCAGTCATGTGATGTAATATACACATCAGTCATGTGATGTAATGTACACATCAGTCATGTGATGTAATATACACATCAGTCATGTGATGTAATATACACATCAGCCATGTGTAATAGTGGCTGTTATGATCATTATATTATCATTTTAACTATTTCTTGTTGCCATGAAGACTAAATGCCAAAATCACAATTTTAACTGATTTTGGAACAAATCTTGAAACCTGTTAAAACCAACATTTCCTGTTCTTGACTTTTCATTTGACATGAAATTGTAAATAAAAATAACTGACAAGATGAATTTCTGAAGCTTTAACTTGCCTGTGACAAATTCTTGCAGGAAACAGTTTATGACCAACATCCTCATATTTTTGTTTACTTTTCATGTCATTCACATGACTGAGAGAAGATGAACGAATTTCAAATAGCCATTTCATTGCATTAATGATGAAAAGCTCCAGTTTGTAAATTCCATGACAACTGCTAGGAGTCATCTTACCGCTGCTCTGAAAGAGTTAGTCTACATGCCAGTTTGTGAAGTTTGTTGTGTTTTTTTCAGCTACAACATTTTTTTGTTAGTTTGTTTGAAGCAAGCATTATGTTTTTGAGAAAGTTTTTCAACAGTATAAGATCAGTATGGTTGATGAAGCTGTCAACTATTGTAAGACTAAACCAATGATAGGGAATATATTCTTAAGCTCAAATTAGGATTACCATATCTTATAGATCAAAATGTGTGTACTGGACTTGATTCAAATTTTTCAGGAATTATTTCTTAAATTGAATTATAACTTCACTCTACTGAATATGATTTAAGTTCTAGACGACAATTTATGTATTTCTAATGGTGTACACATGTCATCAATAAGTCAACAGTATTTGCAGGGCTAATATTTTGTGCTTGTTTGGGACAAAGTTTCTGGCAATGCTACATAAATAGTACAAGATGTCAGCATATATTTTCTGAAAATTTGATAAATTGTGAAAAAAATTGCTTGGTGCCTAATTTTGTGCTATCATTAAGGACTGCAAGTGTAGCAATATTTAATCCACCACAAATATTTACGACTATTCAGTATGTAGTTCTCCAGTGTTTTTATGGCACGTTATTTCCTGGAAGTTATTGCCTTTATTTGTATATGTAAACCTCATGATTATTGTTTGTAGGTTTACGATGATTAAGAATCTTACCTTTACACTGTCACAGAAAATTAAGAAATTAAGATCTTGCATTTCAGCCATCCTCCGAAAAAGACATTATGGTACAAATACAAGTTGCTTTCTGTTTCATTTTGGTTACAGATTTTGTTGGGTTTTTAAAACGCTGTTGAGGTAGATCCATGACAATGGGCTAGGGCATTTTATTATTTTTATTTTTTTTTTTTTTGGATGAGGTGTAGGGAAATTTCATAGGAGAACTTTCCTTTTTGAAAGAAATTTTGAGCAAATATTGCAATCAGATAAAAGCAAATTTTGGAATTCAACATCTGTATGGAACTTAAGAAGTAAACACTGATAATGTTGGCAATGGCTTATTATCTGGGATCTGCCTCTACAGTACAATACAGTAAGGTTTTCTGAAGCTGCTTGGTTTGGGTTTTAGCTCACCTGCTTGAAGGAAGTGAGCTTTTACAGAACCAAACATCCATTATCTGTCTGTTTGGCATCTGGTGAAATCAAAATTATTCTTGTGAATAACCTGGAAGCCTAGTGGCAATAAAGATAGCATATAGTGTTCTTTGGTGAAGGGCTATCAAGGTTACTCAAACAAATGGCCTTGACCTACTTTCACTAAAATGAGATAGGTTGAAACTTGCAAAAACTTCTTCATAACCAAGAGTCTTGTTGATGATGTTTTGCTTACCGGTGTAGTACATCTTGCTTTGGTAAAAGGGCAGTTAATATTTCTGGAATGAATAACCTTGATCTACTCCCAAGGTCACATGGGTCAAATGTGTCAAAATCTTTAAAAAAAAAACTTTCTCTAAGGCTGGGGACTAAGGCTTGTAGAATGTTAGACATAAAGGCTTATATGCTGAAATTAATGATATAACACAGGACATATCCTACAAAGTTGTAAGCCTGGATGGTACAATATCAAAAGTAAGTTATTAAAGTACTGAAAAACAGGGTAAACTCACTCACAGATGTTACAAGTTGGAACTAAGTTGCTAAATGTCAGCTAGGTTGAACAAAATCCCTTTAGGATTTGATAGTTTATACTGTCATCAAACAGAAAATTGTATCGAAGCAATGTGTTTGAAGCTTTCAGAAAGACACTCCAAGTATCTCCTAGAGAATGTAAGTCAGACATATGCATGGTTTGATCAATTAACATTGATTAGGTACTATTGTAATGTTTACAAACTTATATAGTTTTAATATGTAAGTAAAAAAAAAGACTTTGCAAATCATGCTTTTATTAACATAAAATGTAATCTGTGTGCAAAATACAAAATAGTGTTGAAAAATTACTAGCATGTTTTCAGTGTATATTCATAACTTTCAGCCTTGGAAAGCCAGGACAAGGCAATAGTTAAAATGTACTATTTATAACTCATAGCATGTGTCACCATGGATACCAGTATCAAACCCAGGGGATACAGCACAGTCAGTTCTAATTGACCACTACAGGTCATTCTTTCTGTAACTTTTGTTAAATGACGGGTCAAAAAACGAAACAGATCTCACTTTTTAAAACAATGGTCATATTACAGGGATCACTTTAAATTAGATAGTGACACTATCAAAAAAAGAAAGAAATAAAATTGTTAATTTAATGATATACTTACACTGGAATAGTTTTAGTAATTTAGGAATGCCAAAAATAACTATGATTTTGTTCTTTGATCTAGAATAGAAACACATGAAAGTGGCTATCATATTTCAACATTGTTGTTTTTCCCCTTTATTAGGGCCCCGCATCGTGATGCGGGTGCCCTATAGTAATCACCTTGTCCGTCTGTCCGTCTGTCCGTCTGTCTGTCTGTCCGTCTGTTTCCCTGTCCGTCGATCCATATATCTGTCCATCTGTCCATTTTCATTGGATTTTGATGAAAGTTGCTTTCAATACTTGACACCTGTCCATATATTTCTTAATATTAAGAAACTCAATCATAAGGGGTAGGTATTATGCGGGGCCCTTCCTCGACAATGGTCTAGTGATAATCTATCTTTATTAAGTGAAGAATAAGGATGGCCTGATTTGAAGAAAAGAATCATTTAAAAGTTAGCCAACATGTAGAATTTATTATAAACTATTTTATCATTCCAGTTAATATTTCACATCAGTTATTACCATTTTGTTTTCCAGTGAATGTCTGTGTGATCTGATTGTGTTTATTTTTAATCCCAGTGTTTGTGAGAAATGTTTCATGTTACACTGTTCACAATTCAAAAGTCAAAAAATCTGCTGTGGCTTTTATGTAACCATATCATTTAATCCAGAGTTTGTTGATGACTGATTTGATAGAGAAAAATTATAAATGCATGCTTTATGCATGTTTTAATGTTTCATTATTCATCAATTTGACTACATTTTGTAATTTTATTTGCATGAGGAAATGTACTGAGTTTTTATATACCTAATTTCTTTATTCTTATTTCTGAAGATATCAAGAATAAGCTTAGTTTGTTACAAAGGATCACTTTCTTAAAAAGAAATTTAAACGACTTTTTTTTAATACACATTTTGAAATTAAAAATCACATTTTTTTGAAAACCCTTTTTATCCACATTTATAGATTGGAAAGTACAAATTGTATTATTTATTTTCTGCATTTTAATTTAACAAGCATCACTTTATTTCTGTACAGGCAACTCAGATGGTGTTCTTCAAGGATGCAGTTGAGCACATCACGCGGGCAGCTCGTGTATTCCGACAGCCTGGTGGTCATATGATGTTGGTCAGTATAGGAGCTTGGCTTTGTTAAAAATTAATCATATTAAATGACCCTTGGCTTTGTAAAAAAAAAAAAAAAAAAATTCAGATATGAGTTGATAGTAAAATTTACTAAGCCCTGAAATTACCATTTTAATATTGTAGAAATTGACATATTAATTGACATATTATGGAAATTGACGTATTATGAAATTGACATATTATAGAAATTGACATAATGAAGAAATTGACATATTGATATATTTTTGTTTTATCTCAGTTTTTAATGCAGTATGAGAAATAAATATGATTTAGTTCCAAATCTTAGTGTATATTTTTAGAGACAGTACGTCAATTTGTCTTTGTTTTTTCCAGGTGGGATTGGATGGGACTGGGAAAGCTACTGTAGTACAGCTGGCTGCTCACATATCTAACTGTGAACTCTTCAAGCTCACACTCCAGCGAGGATATAACTTTAATGAATTCAGAGACGACCTCAAAAAGCTGTACCTTAGTAGTGGCGTCAAGGGCAAGAAAAATGTGTTTTTACTGACAGACGCTGACATTGTAAAGGTTAGAATGTTGTTTATGTCACATTCCTACTTCAGTGAAGAATATCTCTTACCATATATGTTTCACAAAACTTCAGTTTAAGGTCAAACCCAAAGCAGTTTCAATTTGATTGTTTTGATGAAGATGACAGCTGTAGATGTGTATTTGTTCACTATAATACCTGGTCAACTGGTCATTATGAATGTTCTTTAAAGAACAAAATGAAGTGAAGTATGAATACTTGATACTTTTTGTGTGTTGTTTGCTCTGAGGACAGTTGCCATCCTAGCCATTGACCAAGAAGCATTTTATGTTTTTACTGATACATATATATTGGAAATATTTTATTTTTTAACTTGAAATTAAAAAAAAAAAAAAGGGAAAAATTATTTAAAAAAAAACCCAGAACACTCCATAGTATGGTGTTATTTAGAATACCATGTGGTATGGTGTTATTTAAAACACTGTGTAGTATGGTGTTATCTAGAACACTGTGTAGTATGGTGTTATGTAGAACACTGTGTAGTATAGTGTTATCTAGAACCCTGTAGTATGGTGTTATCTAGAACACTGTGTAGTATGGTGTTATCTAGAACACTGTAGTATGGTGTTATGTAGAACACTGTAGAATGGTTTTATTTAAAACGCTGTGTAGTATGGTGTTATCTAGAACACTGTGTAGTATGGTGTTATCTAGAACACTGTGTAGTATGGTGTTATCTAGAACACTGTGTAGTATGGTGTTATCTAGAACACTGTGTAGTATGGTGATATCTAGAACACTGTGTAGTATGGTGTTATCTAGAACACTGTGTAGTATGGTGTTATCTAGAACACTGTGTAGTATGGTGTTATCTAGAACACTGTGTAGTATGGTGTTATTTATTTGACAGGAATCCTTCTTAGAAGACATCAATTGTATCCTGAACTCAGGTGAAGTCCCGGACCTCTTTGACAATGAGGAACTAGACGGGATCACAATGGACCTGAAACACGCAGCTGCTGAAGCAGATATTCCAGACACTCGTGCATCTGTCTACCAATTCTTTATTCACCGTGTTCGTCAAAATCTTCATGTTGTTCTGACGATGAGTCCTGCTGGAGGAAAGTTTCGTCAGCGGTGCCGGATGAATCCTGCCCTGATAAACTGCTGTACCATAGACTGGTATGATGAATGGGAAGAGGAGGCTATGCTGAGTGTGGCCCAGGTCTTCTTCCTCAACGCTGAGTTTATTGCAAATGAGAATTATGACCTTGAAGTAAGTATACTGGCTGCTAAATTCATAAAACAATCTTGATCAAATTTGCTTTTTTAGCTGTATATAACATTTATTTGAGAAATGTTACTTGTATGTTACCTGTATATATCTGTACTAGTAACTGTATGTAATTTGTGTGTACCTTTATGTAACTATATGTTACTGGAGTTACTGGTTATGTTATGTGTAATATTCCTATATGTTTTCTGTGTGTTCCTGGGCCTTATCTGTCTGTAACATGTGTAACTATATGTCACCTGTATGTTATGTGTATATACCTGTATGTTTTGTGTGTATACCTGTATGTTACCTGTATATTATGTGTATATACCTGTATGTTTTGTGTGTATACCTGTATGTTACCTGTATATTATGTATATATACCTGTATGTTACCTATATGTTATGTGTATATACCTGTATGTTACCTGTATATCATGTGTATATACCTGTATGTCACCTGTATGTTATGTGTATATACCTGTATGTTACCTGTATGTTATGTGTATATACCTGTATGTTACCTGTATATTATGTGTATATACCTGTATGTTACCTGTATGTTATGTGTATATACCTGTATGTTTTGTGTGTATACCTGTATGTTACCTGTATATTATGTGTATATATCTGTATGTTACCTGTATATTATGTGTATATACCTGTATGTTATGTGTATATACCTGTATGTTTTGTGTATATACCTGTATGTTACCTGTATGTTATGTGTATATACCTGTATGTTATGTGTATATACCTGTATGTTATGTGTATATACCTGTATAATACCTGTATGTCATGTGTATATACCTGTATGTTATGTGTATATACCTGTATAATACCTGTATGTCATGTGTATATACCTGTATGTTATGTGTATATACCTGTATAATACCTGTATGTCATGTGTATATACCTGTATATTATGTGTATATACCTGTATGTTATGTGTATATACCTGTATGTTATGTGTATATACCTGTATAATACCTGTATGTCATGTGTATATACCTGTATGTTATGTGTATATACCTGTATAATACCTGTATGTCATGTGTATATACCTGTATGTTATGTGTATATACCTGTATAATACCTGTATGTCATGTGTATATACCTGTATGTTTTGTGTATATACCTGTATGTTACCTGTATATTATGTGTATATACCTGTATGTTATGTGTATATACCTGTATGTTTTGTGTATATACCTGTATGTTACCTGTATGTTATGTGTATATACCTGTATGTTATGTGTATATACCTGTATAATACCTGTATGTCATGTGTATATACCTGTATGTCATGTGTATATACCTGTATATTATGTGTATATACCTGTATGTTATGTGTATATACCTGTATGTTATGTGTATATACCTGTATATTATGTGTATATACCTTTATGTTATGTGTATATACCTGTATGTCATGTGTATATACATGTATGTTACCTGTATGCATCTCAAGGTGACCTGTATGTACTACGTATGTTACAGCTGCTGAAGCGTAAGGTGGGAAAAGTCTGTGTAGACATACATAAGAGTATAGGTGTAATGTCGACGAAGTACTGGGATGAAATGCGCCGCCATTACTACTCGACACCGTCCAGTTACATGGAGTTCATTAGACTTTACTCCAAAATGCTGCGGGAAAACAAGACTGAGTTTGTCAACAACAAGTATGCGATTTTAAATAATTGAAATTCTTTCATTGTCGTACTGTTCTCAGCGAAATCATCATTAAATATCAATGCTATTGTTGTGCTGATAAGGTTAAATATCTGTTGGAAAAGAAACTTCCTTCAGGTCAAGATCAAATGATGAGTCTTTTGATTTTTCTGCCAGGAATCGTCTGGAGGTTGGACTACAGAAGTTGTCCGAAGCAAACACATCTGTTGGAACGATGCAGGAGATCCTTGTCTCCCTTGGACCACAGATTGAAGAGAAACAAAGGGTACGGACAAGCTGATAACTCCTGTTTGTTAAAGACTTGGACAAAATTAACTTATCTCTCAGCAAAGCAATGGCTGATTTTACCTAATTCAATTTACCATATATTATAGTGCTACATGGTAGATGAATATATTGAGAAACCAAAGGGCCACCAGAGTGTTCCATCATGTAGTCATACATTTTAATAAATGATACGGATTTAAGGTTGTGCATATTTTTTTCCATTTTAGGATACAGAGGTGCTGCTACAGCAGCTGGAGAAAGATAAGGTCGCTGCGGAACAAGTGCGAGCCATCGTCAGAGAAGAGGAAGAGATCATGCAAAAGGAGACGAAGATTGTACAGGATTACGCCGATGTAAGTAGAATGTAAAGGATGTTTATTGTACGGTGGAGAGGGAGGTAGGAAGGTAAACACACAATCATCCCATCCCATCATGTCATCAGTCTTTTAACTTCATCCAGTAGATCCAGCAGTTTCATAGGGATTTCCCTCAAAATCCATTAAATTTCAGAAATGAAATGTACATGAGATATTATATAACTCAAATGGCAGGCAAATCACACAAGGACTAGGAAGTTGTTGTAAATTTCTGACTTTGGTTTTAGTAAAACAGAGTTGATATTTTTAGGGTCTGTTTGGTTCAATTTGAGTTAAATAACTCAATGTCTGACATTTTATCTTCACAGGAGTGTCAGCGAGACCTTGCCTCCGCCCTGCCAGCCCTACAGAATGCTGTTGAGGCCCTAGAGACACTAGATAAAGCCGACATTGCTGAGATCAGGGTTTACACAAGTCCACCCACCCTTGTGATGACTGTCATCTCAGCAGTCTGTGTACTGTTTCAGAAAAAGACAGACTGGGGTACTGCCAAACAACTTCTAGGAGATCCATCTTTTCTGAAGAAACTCACGCAATTTGACAAGTCAAGCGTGCCAGAAAAGGTAAACTTTGTTTTCATTTATTGGTTGTTTGTCTAATGGATCTGAAAATGCTAATTGGTAGTGGAAATAGAAATAAGAATGTTTGGAAATTTCCTAATAATGAAATTGAAAAAATTGTTGATGGTTGATTAAATTCTAATTTTTTTTTTTTTTTTCGTTTGATCTATTAATATGTTTTTCAGGGTTTGAATCCAGTTGATTAATGGCCAAATTGATAAAAAAATGCAAATTTCTAGTCACACAATCATCTTAGTTCACTTTATGTGAAGTTTGGCGTTCATTATATTTTCTTTAAGCTTAAAAAATAGATTCAACCAAACTTGATGTGCTGCATTATCCATACCAGAAAATAAAACTACATGTATTTAAAATAAGTTTTTGTCCTTCTTTGTGTGGATGGGTGAAATTCAGTCTTCAATAATCTTCTTTTCCTGATGGGCTTGGTAGAATTTAACCAAATTTGTTATGAATTAATGGTGTTAATCACTAATGATTTTATATATTCAGACATTCCACAAGCTGAAAAAGTACTCCAAGCATCCTGACTTTTATCCCGAAGCTGTTGGTCACGTATCAGGTGCCTGTCGCTCTATCTGTACATGGGTGCTTGCTCTGGAACATTATAATGATGTTTATAAGGTAAGCATGGCATTCTTTGACCCTTTTAAAGTTTTGGATTTCAGATGAAATAATTGGTTAGATTTATTGTATGGAATAGCAGTCATATAGAGAAAAATTTAACAGAAGCTTTGGGAAAAATAAAAAAAATAAAACAACTGTTGGTATCTTCAATTTATTCAATCCTATGTCTTTTGTTCCCCTAGATGGTGAAGCCTAAGCAGAAACGGGTAGCAGAGGCCAAGGAGGCTTTACAGATGGCCCAGGACAGCCTGGCCAGTAAACAGGCCAGTCTTCAAAAGGTAAGATGATTGAGTCACTCAACAGGTCAGTCTTAAAAAAAGTTAGAAAACGGGACCAGTTAACATACAAGTTTAAAAAAGTTAGATAATAAAAGTTAGATAATGGAACCAGTTAACAAGCCAGTCTTAAAAAAGTGAGATAACGGGCCCAGTTAACAAGCCAGTCTTAAAAAAGTCAGATAACGGGCCCAGTTAACATACAAGTTTTGAAAAAGTTAGATAATAGAACCAGTTAACAAGCCAGTCTTAAAAAAGTGATGTTCCGAATAAGTTAGTTATAAGAGTTGTCTCCCTGTCACTAAAACTTGTCATGTTCTAATACTGGGAATGAGTTTCATCTATTTGGTTTAAATATAGGAGAGGTGGGGGGTTTGTGGGGGGCACGTCACTAGCTGAGTCATCTTTATGACCCAATTTTAACATCCATTAAGAGGTAGAATGGATGAAATATCAACCGTCCCATAGACTACTGGCAGTGTAAGAGTGTACTACATGTGTCATGACAATCTGACAACTGTCTGTACCCTTTCATTCATTCACTGAATTGTTAATTGTCATCAGGACTCATTCGCACTCTTAGCTTAGTAAGGGAAACAGACATTTTCAAAAGCTTGCAAAATACAGTTGCTGTTTGTTTAAAAAGTTAGACATATTCTCAAACTTGTCTCGTTCTAGCTACAAGATCACTTGAATAGACTGGAACAACAGTATAAAGACAGTGTTGACCAGAGAGAATCACTGAAACAGCGCAAGGTCACAACAGCACTCCGACTTCAGCGTGCCTCTATACTCATCGACGCACTCGTTGATGAAAAGGTTTGCTCATTTGAAACATAGATACTCAGTCTTTTCAAAATCTGTCACCAACATCATATTGATGTGTTAACTGTATTTTTTTAAACACCCCATTTTCTCTGCAGGATCGGTGGCAGGACCTAGTGAAAGAACTGAAGGCCCGTCTGCATGGCCTGGTGGGTGACACTCTGGTAGCAGCAGCATCTGTGGCCTACATCGGGCCATTTACTGCTAAGTACAGGAAAGATTTAATTTTTATGTGGACTGGCTTCTGTCAGGAAAACGACATCCCAATCACCAAAGACTTTGAGCTAATCAAGAGCACAGTGGAGCCATATCAGGTACAATTGTACTGCTAACTAATGAATATGTAGGTCTCAAAGAGTAGACATATAGGTCACAGAGAGTAGAAATATAGGTCACAGAGAGTAGAAATATAGGTCACAGACTGTAGCTAAATGGATTTTACTGACAGTAGATATATACATCACAGATGGTAGCTAAATAGGTCACTGACAGATAAAAAGGCCATTTATGTATATAAGATATATATATCACTGACAGTAGATATGTAGGTCACTGATACAGTAGTAGATATATAGGTCACAGACAGAAGATGTAAAAAGTCACGATGGTATACATAGTTCTGTTTGTGGAATAAAGATTTGTATATTCGATTATTTTTATTTCCATTCTTTCATCTTTTTCTAACTACAAGGACATTGAAGCAGGATGTGAAACTTTAGTTTTACACTGCTTATAACGAGTGTATATATGATGCTGATATATCTAGTAATCAGACATTTGCTTTCATCTGACATCATAAAGAGATGTTTCTACTTTATAAAAAGAATTGTCTGGAGTAGAACCATGTAGTAGTTAAAAAAAAGATTGGGAAATATTGATATTGAGAATTTGTTTCTAAATATTTCTTCTGTTTTGGTTGCCCAGGTGATTAAATGGCAGAATGAAGGGTTACCAAGAGACAACCACTCCACAGAGAATGCACTTATCATCAAAAGGGCCCAAAAATGGCCCCTGTTCATTGACCCTCAAGGGCAGGCCTTTAAGTAAGTTCTCCAAGTATACAATGATAGGCCTAATCTTTAAGTGAGTAGTAACTGGTCGTGAAGTGTGCAGAAAAAAAGAATATTGATTCTAAACAAAAGGATGCTTATGGGTTTTTTTTCACAAAAATAGATCTTGTTAATTTTGATTCTCAATCCTTATTGAAATGTGCTTTAGTCAGCAATGTTGAAACTTGGAAACTAACTACAGTAATATGATTGTTCCATTCTGATAGCTATATCCGGGAAATGGAGGGCACACAGCTACAAATAGTGGCAGCATCTGACCACAATTTCATGAAGACCTTGGAGATTGCCATTAGTGTGGGCAAACCTATGCTGCTCAAGGTGAGTGTGTTTTTGTACATTCCTGTAAAAATGAAATGAGCAGAATGGTGGGAATAGCAATGTTTTAGGATATGTAGATAAAGAAATGAATTTTGAAACTGTAATAAGCCAAGGGCACAACACATTACCTGTGACCCAAAGTCATAGGGTGGGTTATCAAAGGACATTCAATTGACTATTTTTATCAAATACTGCTGACCAGTATAGATATAAATGGGCTTATTACCATGCATGGATTTACCGAAATATATCAACAAATGGTTTCCTTTCTAGGATGTATCCGAGATCTTGGATCCAGCTCTGCGACCTGTCCTTCTGCATGAGACTTTCCAGCGAGGGGGCCACCTTGTTATCAAACTTGGGGACACAGAGATTGAATACAATGAGTCATTCAGGTAAGTCCACTGTCAAATATATCTCCCCAAATCTGGTCACAAGTCATCTTTTTCAATCCATACACTGATAATAATGTAACCCTGGTAAACTACTAGCTGCAATGTACCACTCGGCTAGAGAGAACTTTTCTTTAGCTCGATTGGTTGAGCGTCAGACTAGTAAGCCAGGGGTCCTGGGTTCGATTCCTAGCGGAGGCATTGGGATGAGAAATGACCTCTTTTACAATGATAACTTGATTTTCCTTCTGATGTTAAAACAAACAGATCTTAAATTTTTCAGGTTGTACATGACCTCGTCCATGGCTAACCCTCACTATCTACCCTCTGTATACATACAAGTCAACATCATCAACTTCACCGTCACATTTGAGGGATTACAGGAACAGCTTCTGTCAGCAGTCGTTAAACATGTAAGTTTTACTGATAAATCTGTCAGTCATCGTTAAACATGGAAGTTTTACTGAAAATACTCTCAGCTGGTGTTAAAGATTTAAGTTTTACTGATAAATCTGTTAGCTATTATTTGATATGTAAGTTTTACCGATAAATCTGTCAGCCATCGTTAAACATTTTTACCAATAGAACTTCCTGTTTTATGGTATTTGTCATGCCATCATTAAGTCTTGACTGATAACAATCATGTTGTGTAAATCCAAAATGCATTGATGAGATATGAGAATTTCAAAAAATTACTTCCCCTACCTGCGGGTTCTCATTGGTACAGCTGTATAGACTGTAGCAGTCACATCTGTAAGTTTCATGATAACATATTTCTGCCTACAGGAGAAGCCAAGGCTTGAGAACCAACGCAGTGAGCTACTAGATAGTATATCAAATGATCTCCAACTCCTTAGGGATGTAGAGGACAAGACACTGGGTCTCCTACAGAAACCAGAAGGTATCACTTATGTGTATCGCATTGGTAACCATATGCCTGATGTTTTATAATGAGTTGGTGTCCTACAGAGACCAAAATGTATCTTGTATAGTGAACATCAAAGTAGCTAGATTGAATTTTTATTACACCTTTCTATGTTTGTGTGACTCATATTTCCAGAAATTTTAAAATCGTATCAGTAGAAAAATTGGAATAGGATTTGAAAAAAAAAAAAAACTTATTGCAAAGATGTGTTTGGTGTTGCCTAGGAACCTACTAGACGTATTACAGATGTGTTTGTTGTTGCCTAGGTAACCTACTAGACTTATTACACATGTGTTTGTTGTTGCCTAGGTAACCTACTAGACTTATTACACATGTGTTTGTTGTTGCCTAGGTAACCTACTAGACTTATTACACATGTGTTTGTTGTTGCCTAGGAACCTACTAGACTTATTACACAGATTTGTTTGTTGTTACCTAGGTAACCTACTAGACTTATTACACATGTGTTTGTTGTTGCCTAGGTAACCTACTAGATGACCAGGACTTGGTGAATACCTTACAGAAGAGTAAAGGAATGTCTATAGAGATCTACAAACGTATCAAACAATCAGAGGAAAATGAGACTAAGTTAAATCAGGCCCGGAAACGCTATCTACCCGTAAGTCTAACTCCTAAAACGGTCTCAATACATACCTACAGTTATAGTCCATATTGTGTAGAACAGTCTGTCTAAAGTCACTATCACCACAAATCAGGCCCGGTAAACGCTATCTACACTGTTTGTCTGTACTCCTAAAACTGTCTCAATACAGATGTCTAACTCCTAAAACTGTCTCAATACATACCTACCGTTAGAGTCTATATTGTGTAGAACAATCTGTCTCTGAGTCACTATCACCACAAATCAGGCCCGGAAACGCTATCTACCTGTAAGTCTTACTCCTAAAACTGTCTCAATACATGTCTAACTCCTAAAACTGTCTCAATACATACCTACAGTTATAGTCCATATTGTGTAGAACAATCTGTCTCTGAGTCACTATCACCACAAATCAGGCCCGGAAACGCTATCTACCTGTAAGTCTTACTCCTAAAACTGTCTCAATACATGTCTAACTCCTAAAACGGTCTCAATACATACCTACCGTTAGAGTCTATATTGTGTAGAACAATCTGTCTCTGAGTCACTATCACCACAAATCAGGCCCGGAAACGCTATCTACCCGTAAGTCTAACTCCTAAAACTGTCTCAATACATACCTACAGTTATAGTCCATATTGTGTAGAACAATCTGTCTCTGAGTCACTATCACCACAAATCAAAACTGTCTCAATACATGTCTAACTCCTAAAACTGTCTCAATACATGTCTAACTCCTAAAACTGTCTCAATACATACCTACCGTTAGAGTCTATATTGTGTAGAACAATCTGTCTCTGAGTCACTATCACCACAAATCAGGCCCGGAAACGCTATCTACCCGTAAGTCTAACTCCTAAAACTGTCTCAATACATGTCTAACTCCTAAAACGGTCTCAATACATACCTACAGTTAGAGTCTATATTGTGTAGAACAATCTGTCTCTGAGTCACTATCACCACAAATTAGCTACCAATGTGAGTAATGCTTGCATGATGGAAAAGCAATACTGAATGATTATTATCATTTAGGTAGACACCGTAGACAGGATTCAAACTCATTATCATTTATATAGATAAATCTATAATTACAATTTTCAGCAATAGAACAGTTGATATATGTGCCTTACATTTATTATCTTTTCTTTAACCATAATGTGGAATATATATTGACTCGAGTGACCATTAAAATAAAACATTTATATTCCTAGTGTGTGCTATTGTTTTCTGCTCAACAGTGTAGGTAATACATATATCCGCTTTCATTATTTTATATACTGTCCTGTTTAGGTTGCCACACGAGGAGCCACAATATACTTTGTCCTAGCCAATCTAGCAGGAATAGACGTCATGTATCAGTTCTCGCTAGACTGGTTCCAGGACATGTTCATAAATTGTATCAATGGTTCAGGTAACACAACAGGTAACATACCCTCTGACATGAACCGTCGCAAGTCGTCTGTGCACCTGAGTGGATCCATGCGGCCAAGCAGCCGCCTCGGTGCCAGTCCAACTCCACGAGGCAGTGTTGATCTTAACGCAGCAAAGGAAAATGAACAGTCTCTTAATCCAGCTGAACTGAAGAAACACATGCTGGACATGATCAACAGGTTAGTCAAAGGAATATCTCCTGTGTTGTTAATTTTTGCCATGTCCAAACATGAAATAAGATTGATGATATCACAGTGTACATATTTGCAGTATATTTTGTGATCTTGTTTTGTGTACATCATTAATTTTTTGTCTAATCTCAACAGCAAAAATCCACCTCGTTATAACTCCAGTGACTGCTTAAATCAATATGTTTTCTCACAATCTCCAGTTACAATTGAGAATGCTATTTATAAAATTTGGTTTATTTATTGTCAGATGTCTGTTTATACAGATATCAGGTCACCTTATCCAGATGTCTGTTTATACAGATATCAGGTCACCTTATCCAGATGTCTGATTATACAGATGTCAGGTCACCTTATCCAGATGTCTGATTATACAGATGTCAGGTCACCTTATCCAGATGTCTGATTATACGGATGTCAGGTCACCTTATCCATATGTCTGATTATACAGATGTCAGGTCACATTATCCAGATGTCTGATTATACAGATGTCAGGTCACCTTATCCAGATGTCTGATTATACAGATGTCAGGTCACCTTATCCAGATGTCTGATTATACAGATGTCAGGTCACCTTATCCAGATGTCTGATTATACAGATGTCAGATCACCTTATCCAGATGTCTGATTATACAGATGTCAGGTCACCTTATCCAGATGTCTGATTATACAGATATCAGGTCACCTTATCCAGATTATACAGATCACAGTTTACAAAGGTATATATCTTTTTCATGTTTCTAGGTTGACATCCAATATTTATCGTGTTGTGTCCGTGGCTCTGTTCTCCAACCACCAACTTATCTTCTCCTTTCTGCTGTGTTCTGGTATTATGCGCTCCAATGCTAAGTACCCTGACATCACCACCATTGGTAAAATTGAAGAGTTTGAATGGCAGACATTTCTCCATGGCAACATCATGACAAATATGTTGGAGGATAAGAAGCTAGAGGGCCATGATGGTTAGTGTTTAAACCTTTGAAATGTTGTATTTTTTTTCAATCACAGATACTGTAAATGAACAATTATTAGTTGTGATTTTATTTTACTGCTTTTTATGCTGACATTATTATACTTAAATATGACTGGTGTTTCTGTATGTGGTTTATATGATATATGTCAATATGCACATACAGCAGTACCCAAATTTGCCAAAAAGTGGAAATACACTCAAATTTGATTCTGTAAAGTTTACTACACTTACAGTGATATTAAGGAAAAGAAAAAAGATTTATTCACAAATAAAGGAATTGTATTGTGTGGGGAAATCAACAAATACATTTGTCTTCATGTATCACTATAAATATCTATGGCAGGTTTGACAGCCATGGAGAGACTTGAAGCCCAGTCTAATCCAGACAAGGTGAAGAGCCCTCCCAAATGGATCGGAGATACAACTTGGCGACAGGTTGAGCACCTGGATGTCAGTATGGCAGTGTTCAAGAATTTGTGTCGTAGCATTATGACCAACAAGGCTCAATGGGAGTTGTTTCACTCCAATAGTAACCCTTACAAGTTGATGCAGAAACCCTTCAACATGGCAGATGTCAAAAGTTAGTATATTTATTGTGTAACAAGTAGTTGTTCAATGTGCTGATATATGATATATTATGTCTTTCGCCAAGGTTTTTTTCTGCCCTGGCATAAAACTGTTTAGCCAAGTGTTGAATTTGCTCTGAAACACATGAAAAAAAACCCCATTAATTTGTGATTAGCTTATTTTATTTTTTTTTATTTATTATTTAGGGAACTTTTATACTTATGTATAGATTTCATAAGCATGAAAATTTGAAACAAAAAACCAATATCAGTTACCAGTTATACCTGAAATCTGAATGTGACCTTCCGATCAATTGGCATATGTTTATACATTATGAATATCTGTTTTTCAGATTCCCCAACTGACGGTCATCTTGGTGTCGTGATGGACTGGGAAAATCTCTCCGGTTTTCAGAAACTTCTACTCATAAAGATTTTACGTCCAGAGACCCTAATCTCATCAGTATCAGCGTTTATTGGTGACCAAATGGATAGTAGTTATCTGTCCACCGGAACTTTTGATCTCAAGGAAATCTACGAGGAATCGTCAGCAAAAACTCCCCTTATCTTTATTCTTTCTCCAGGTAACAAAGACTTAGAGTGGAACCTGTATGTGGGATAATTAGAAAATATAAACTTTAATCTATCCGACACAAAATTCAACTTGAAAGATCAGAGAAATGTATATTTTGCATAAAAATTACTTTCTTCTATAAACCGTTCCTTGGAAACTATGAAAGTAATTGGAGGGACTGTGTGAAATTTGCCACTGTTTCTACCAAAAGAAAATAAAGATAAAAAAAATTATGATCCAAAATTTACTGAAAAAATTTTTTAGTTCATGTTTTTTCTCTCATGGGTCAAAGAATTACATTATAAGACTCCTTCTCAACTTTGTAATTAAGGAGATAGATCAGCCTGTAGAGGGATTTTTTAAAACATACTGGACTGCCAGCAGTTCCATTGATTAAGACAGGATCTTACTGTACTCAGCAGTTAGTTTAGTGTATAAAATGTGATCTGTAGTCAAACTGTTGGTACATTGGAACTCTGAGAGTTTAAAATCTACTGCCTGATAATCTCTGGTATCCAGTTTAATTAAATCCTAGTTTAGTATCTTGACACCTAATATCTTCCTAGGTTGTGACCCTGCTGCCCAACTATTACGCTTTGCTAAGGAACTGAGAGGAAGCATTCTTCACTTGGACATGATCTCCCTGGGGCGGGGCCAAGGCCCTAAAGCTGAAGAACTCATCAACAAGGCCCAGATCCTTAAAGGACGCTGGGTTTTCCTACAGAACTGCCATCTTGCCGCATCTTGGATGCCAAATCTACAGGCCATTGTGGAAAGGTACTGTTTGTAGACGATAGTGTCATGTCAACTCATTTGTTTGTTTAAAAGTTTAATAGTTATCTCTTTGGATGGAAAACAAAACAAAATTTTAGTCAGAAACTCTAAACAGAAAAATTAAATGATTCATTCCATCAGAAGCAGATTCATAAATTCACATCCAAACCTTGTATATTGGATCCTCACTACAAATAAAGGTACATTCATAATCATAAACTACAGACCTACTCTGAAAAAGACACCCTCTCCCAAAATTTAACAGTAGTCATAATTTTGTTTTTCAGTGTTTGAAGTGTGTTTTTAATGATATGAATCCTTTTGAGGTGTGTGTCTTTAGCTGCGTTTGAATTGCCTGATCTTAGTCACATCTAAGCTTGGTTTTGCCGACTATACCATGATTTATGCTGCTCATTGATCTGTATTGCTGTGTGTGGTAGTTTGATAAACTAGCGATATTTATTCAGCATCAAGCTAACAGATGATAACTTAAAAGTATGTTGATGAATATATGTTTATTTTCAAAATTTTTCATTTCTATGAAAGGTGAATTTCTTGATTTTTCAATGCCAGTGAGGTCATAATAGACTCACCCGCATCCCTTACTTTATTGTGATGTCAACATCGTTTATATGTCCAATATAATAAATGGGACACAAGTTATGACACTTTAGAAATGCTTGCTTCTATACCAGCACTTGTATAAACTTTTGTATATTTGTCAACATCCATTTTGTGTTTTATATGACAAAAAGTTTTGATATATCCATAAGAACATAACATTATTGTATTTATTGGGTTTACTTAAATAAATAAGCTTTTTTTATTTTACAACAATTGTGAAACAATTGCCCGGATGTAAGCGTGGGAGGGTCTTATTGTGGGAGGAAACCGGAGTATGCGGCAAAAACCCACTTAGTTGGGCAGGTGACCCCTTACCTTTTCACGTCCATTCCAGGAATCAAACCCCGGATGGCTAGGTGAAACGCGAGTGCATTACCACTGTGCCACCAGACCACCTGTTACATTAAATTCATATCCTAAGTTGATCTGATGGACTGAGTTTTACAAGAAGTCTTACAAACACGTATTCAAATTTTATGATTATGCAATAAAAATTGCTGATTTTTACAACAAAAACAACGAAACATGATATTTGGAATCAATGTGCTGAGATATGCATCGCTATGTGTTCATGTAGTATGTTTGATCAGGTCACAGGTTTGCCTTGTGAAGCTAACATGCAGATGAGATAAGTCAGGAAAATGATGATAATATATTAGTGATTTTTGCAATGGATTGTTGTTTTAAGTGTCATTTATGATTTTCCACAATGAACTCGCAATTTTCTGTGAATTAATTTGAAGTAAAAACACATCATAACAAGGGCAATTATTTAGCCCATGTTTCCTTGTAAATGTTGCCAATTTGGCTGCAGTCTACAGCTAGCAGAAAGACCACCATAGCTTGAGTTGAATTATGGCACAGTATGATCTACACCTCTGCTTTCATTATATGCACACCACCTGTCACTTACTAGTTAGTTTGCACTTTACTGTATTTGTTTCTAGTATAATTTTTTTACACAGGGAAGTCATTGTCATTTTTCAGACAGGAATTTTTTGTTCATCTACATATTATAATTTTTTACCCAGAAAAATCATTGTTTATACATTTTGTTACCTGAATGTTTTTTACCTGTATGTCTCCGATATCGCCCTCTAGATTGGTAGGAAGAACTTACTTTTTCCGGAGGTAAGTATTAGACTAGAAATGGATATGGACAGGAAGAAGACATTTTAGGTTGCATGCTGGATAGTTCTGGGTTATCACATGGGGATTTATTTTCTTCTTACTTATTCTTTCAATTATTTCAAAGTTTTTTTTGTCATAAATTATCAGTAGCCTTTAACATAGCATTTCAACATTATTTCATCCATGATTTTGAGATTTCCAGCTTAACTAAAACCTGAATGGAAGGCTTTTTCATTTAGCTCCATATGACAATCTAAGACCTGAATAAGTTGATACTTAGTTGTGTTGCCAACATAGCATCACAGCTCATATAAAATAAACTTTATATATTTTACAACAACTGCAAAACAAGCTCTAAGGTTATATTTATCACTCTTGTTGGCCCGTATGTAAGTGTGTGTGGGGTCTTATTATGAGAGGAATGCAGAGTGCAGAATTTGGCCGCAGAAGGTAACCCCCAGACCTCTTTACTTCTGTTTCAGGAATCAAACCATGGACACTCTAGTGAAAAGAGAATGAAAGGCAACTGATCATGTGATATATATTCTATAAACAGTATCTCACAGATGAAAACTGTATTTGTATATCTACAAAAAACCAATGCTTACTGTCTGACTCAAAGTCATAGGGCGGGCTTATCACATGATAATGAATTTGCATTTGTTAGAATGAGGGGATTTACTGTCAGTCATGGGCTTATTGTCAGTCTTGGGATTTGTCATACATGGGCTTATTGTCATACATGGGCTTATTGTCAGTCTTGGGTTTTGTCATACATGGGCTTATTGTCATACATGGGCTTATTGTCATACATGGGCTTATTGCCCGAATCTGTTTGATGAGTTGATGAATCTGTGGACATTTGTAAAGATAAATTAGGATCAAGGAGGAAGGCTACTGCTGTCTGTTTCATCATGATTTTGATGTAGTCTTTGTTAAGAGATGTGATTCATTTAAAAGAAATAGATGTTTTGGTGTAATAGCAGTTTGTCCAAATCTTCATTTCTTTACTCTATTTTGTATTGTGAATATTGAACCAATCTATACCACAATTTTCTTATTTTTTTGTTTTTTTTTGTTTTTGACAACAGTTTCAGATATATTATAAATCATTTATCAAGCATTTATAGGCACATAAAGACAGACCTAAGATTTGTTATTGTTTTTGCAACAAGCTATGTTTAAATTTACTGATGATGCAAGAAAGGAAGATTCACAGGCCAAACACTGGGTACAGGTAGATTACTGCATGCCATTGACTCCATCCTAGATACTTTCATTATAGAATTTATATGCTTCATCTAACTCAAACATGTGCTTTTATTTTTGATTAGGAGGGATTTTTGTTTTAGACCGATGGTGGTTTGGGAAGTTTGGTTTTAGATTATTTTACATAAGTGTATGCTTCTGGTGCAATTAACAAAAATCTTTAAGGCTTTTCAGGCTGTAGTTTTCATTGTTATACCCATTACAACCAAGGAAGATGGAGTTTACTAAAATCAGGATGTCCATATGTCCATTGATCTGTCAGTCTGTTTGTCCATCTGTAGACAGAAATAAAGGATTGCATATCCTTAATTCAAATTTTAAATCCATTATGACACTTTCTTTGACCGACAAAATCCTTTTGGTTAAAAAGCAGCTGATAATTTTGTCATTCTTCATTATACACAAGAGTAATCAACTTCATTTTTTTTTATTTCAACATTTACTTTCAGAGTTATGTCCCTTGACATCTAAACTAGCCATCTGTCATTCTATACTATAAAACATTGTACCATTTATCGATAACACATGCACAGTTTTTATAACTGACTTTTGTTTCCAAGAATTTGTCCCTTATATGAAAATAAACATGGACATTTTCCTGACTGCACTGAGTTTTGTCCCTTTAATTAGTAAACACCATTTCTGCCCATGTCTACATCTTAATAAATGTACTGTATCCATTCTGATGAAACTTTTTACTCTTCATCAGTACAAAACGTAGTAATTAATTTGTAGTTTGCTTTTTCATTGTTCATGTCTGTCAAACATACAGCTTTAAGTTCCTTTTTTTTGTGTATTGAAGATCAGGTGATACATAATTTTTTATGTTAAGTACAGTGTATTTAAGTTGATATTTGGCTTACATTTTCAGTTTCAAAAATATAAAAATTTGAAATGGGAGTTTTACAGAACTGAATTGCTGAAACTTGATGAAAGTAGTCAGTGTAACATTCTGATCAATTCTAGGTATCTTTATCACTTCATGTTTACCTGGTTTTTGGTTCATGATCGTCAAAATTTTACACATTGTACCTTAAAACACAGTGCCACTGTAGTACGATGTATCTCATATATTTGTCTGTTGTCTGTCATTTGTTAATCAAATAAGTAAGCATAGAACTTAGAGGCCTTTTGTGTCTGTTGTCACCACCCACCATCATTTTGCTGAAAGTGATTCAAACATATTCTGAGAAAAGCATTATGTTTAAGCATCAAAAATAAATGGAAGACATTTTCTACATTTCCTTTCAGCAGAATCTACATGTACATGTGAAAACAAAGACTAACTTTATTCTCATTTTTCCGTAGGTTTAATCAACCTAATGACGATGTCGACCAACAGTTCCGCCTTTGGCTCAGTTCCAAACCCGACCCCTGCTTCCCAATCTCAATTCTACAGACTGGTATGAAGGTACGGTTTCTTCATCATTCTAAAATTAACATTTGCTTAAAAAATAAAGAAAAACAAAATTGCTTTAATGTGTATGTCTGTATGTGTGTGTATCTGCATGTCTGTGTCTGTTTGTGTGTATGTGTGTGTGTCTGTGTCTGTATGTGTGTATGTGTGTATGTCTGTGTCTGTATGTGTGTATATCTGTATATCTGTATATCTGTATGTGTGTATATCTGTATGTGTGTATGTCTGTATGTGTGTATATCCGTATATCTGTATATCTGTATGTCTGTGTCTGTATGTGTGTATATCTGTATATCTGTATGTCTGTATATCTGTATATCTGTATGTATGTGTGTATATCTGTATATCTGTATGTCTGTATATCTGTATATCTGTATGTCTGTATATCTGTATATCTGTATGTGTGTATATCTGTATGTCTGTATATCTGTATGTGTGTATATCTGTATGTCTGTATATCTGTATGTCTGTATGTGTGTATATCTGTATATCTGTATGTGTGTATATCTGTATATCTGTATGTCTGTATATCTGTATGTGTGTATATCTGTATATCTGTATGTCTGTATATCTGTATGTGTGTATATCTGTATATCTGTATGTGTGTATGTCTGTGTCTGTATATCTGTCTGTGTTTGTATATGTGTATATGGGGTAGTTCTTTACCATTACAAAATTGAAAATTTTCCTCCCTAACATAAATAAATGCTCCATCATAGTTTTGTATGACTTGTTTGCTATGGTGATTGTTAATAAAATCTGATTATAAATAAATGCTTCCTTTGTTAAGTTGACTGTCCTATTAATCACAGCTATGTAATGATTTGTTAAATGATTGCCATCTGCCCCACACAGATGACTGTGGAGCCTCCTCAGGGTCTGAAGGCCAACATGCTGCGAGCTTTTGGGAGTGGAGGGACTGGAGTTGTCACAGAGAAGATGTATGAGAATGCTGAGCTTGGACCAGCCTGGAAAAAACTTCTATTTGGACTCTGCCTCTTTAACAGTGTCATTCATGAGCGCAAAAAATATGGACGTCTTGGCTGGAACATCGCATATGAATTCAACGATTCTGATTTAGACGTCAGTTTTGTCAAGTTATTCTATAAATTTGCTTACAGAAGTTTATTAATTTTTTTGCTAGAGCCAGCAAATTAAACCCAGTCTGTTGATTTGTTGGATACTAGTAACTGAGAGTATTAAGATTTGAATCATGTTGAAAAAAAAAAAGTTCTTCTGATGTACTCATAATCAAATATATTGTAGCTTTAACAAATGTACAAATATGTAGATGAATCTGCAAAGTATTTTTGTGAAACTTTGGTGTCCTTTAAAAAATCATTATTACCTAATGTTGTTAGGATCGTCCTTTGTTCAACTTAATTCACAAACTACTTTCTACCAGGCCAAAGTAATGCCGTTCAGTCAAAAGTTTGGTTATTGGGAAAACGGGAAATGAAAATGAATTAGAACAGTTGGAAGGCAGTTGCATATGTTAATTGTTAAATTCTTTTCACTAATTTCAGGTTTCCATGCTGCAATTGCAAAATCTTCTACAAGATCAGGAAGAGGACAATATCCCATGGCAGGCACTGTCCTATCTGACAGGGGAGGTAATCTATGGAGGTCGTGTGACTGATTGGTGGGACAGACGCTGCCTAGATGCCCTGCTGGGAAGATTTTTCTGCAAGGATGCCCTGGATGAGAACTACAGTTATTCACCAGATCGAGTAAGTATCTAAAATGGCCGTTAAGTGATCGCTGTGTCCCCAGACCAGTTCTGTGAAAAGTGTTCTGATCAAAGGTCTAGAAAGTGTTTCATTCATCCTGGTGATATTCCAAGGTCTAGGGTTCTGATATTTGGCTAGTTTCATACTGTAATGAATGACTCTCGAGTTTGTGTAAATGAATGACCTTGATTCACTTTCTAGGTCAAGGGGTCAGATGTCTATAATCTGACAAATTTTGCCTGCTCAGGGTATTGAGAGTCACCTCAGGGTCTCACATTTGCCTCTGAGGAGGGGGTAAAGTTTACTATAGTAAAGTTTACTATAGTTCATATTGGAAAAGTGCAGTTTTTAGCCTATGTTTAATTCAATTGGAAATGTTCTTCTCAATACCCATATATGATAGGTCTTCAGGTGCTTTAACAAAGCTGTGAATTTCCATGACCTCCAGGTCAGACTTTGCCCCTGGGGAGGGGTGGAATTTTACTGAAGTTTATAGGAAAATTAGATTTTTATGAATAAAGTTGTGTATTTTCCATTGAAAATGCCTTGGTGAGAATTATAAGTATACGATGACAGTTTTGATGGCAAGGATATACTGACACTGGCTGACCTCCAAGTGTTTAAAACATTTCACATAATTATTACTGAATTACTTAACTTAGGTGACCATCAAGGCTGTGAGGCCTCTTGTGTTAAGCTTATAGCATTGAGAATTGAACAGAAGGGTTGTAAGAAAAGGTTACCTGATTGTTTTATAGAGCAAAACTCATAAGTTGCCACAAGCTTCACAACATAATTCCACACTTAATATCTCTGATTAATACCCCACTGGAGGGGACTGTTTGTTTGTGCTTTAGCTGTCAATGTATCAATCTGTCTGTCTATACTGACCATCATCCATTACAGGTCCAATATCATATTCTGTCAGCTGAAACTGCCAAATTTTATTTGCATGTAATGTTTGGTTGCATGAGTGGCACCTACTATGAATGGATCTTGTACAACACAATTTCTAGAGTTATGGCCCTTGTTATCACCACATGACTGTCTTGACATGATGTGTTGCCTATCATAACATTCCTGTCATGACATGACTTGTTGCCTGTTATAATGTTAATGTTGTGTCATGATGTGTTGCCTATCTTAACATTACTGTAGTGTCACAATTTGTTGCATATCATAACATTACTGTAGTGTCACAATTTGTTGCCTATCATAACATTACTGTAGTGTCACAATTTGTTGTTATAACATAACTGTTGTCACAATTTTTTGTCCAGGTCTTGGTAGAGGTAAGCTGATTATAATCCACTTGCATGTATCACTATTGAATATGCATTATATGTCCTGCCCATCACGATTTATCGTAGTTGATTGCTCCATCTGGGTAAGGTAGATAAATGATCATCATTAGTAACTAATATAGGGTAGTCTGTTGGAATTAGGGAGGTTATAAATAATATGATATAATCGCAGTTCCATTTTGATTACATGAGAAATGTTGAGTGTCTTTTATCACCCAACTGATAAGGGGGAAGCAATGTATAGTTACCTCCCTTACATGGTACTACCAGATAAGGGAAGGTAATAAATATATGCTTACCTCCTTTACTTACTGCCAAATAAGGAGAAGCAATATATAGTTATCTCCCTTACATTGTACTACCAGATAAGGGAAGATAGTATATGTTTACCTCCTTTACTTACTGCCAAATAAGGAGAAGCAATATAGAGTTATCTCCCTTACATTGTACAACAAGATAAGGGAAGATAGTATATGTTTACCTCCTTAACTTACTGCCAAATAAGGAGAAGCAATATAGAGTTATCTCCCTTACATTGTACAACAAGATAAGGGAAGATAGTATATGTATACCTCCTTTACTTACTGGCAAATAAGGAGAAGCAATATATAGTTATCTCCCTTACATGGTACTACCTGATAAGATAAGGTATCACCTACTGTTAAATAAGAAGAGACAATACCTGTCTGGTAAGGAGAGGTAACATATATACCTACTTATCTAATTAACTTACCTAATTATCTCCCTTACCTAAAAAAAAGGTAGCACTATACAGTTATCTCCCTTTTACTGAAAGGGAAGGTATCTCTCTCCCCTTCTTTTTGATAAGGGGAGATAATATATGGTTTTGGATCTGGCAGTATTTCCTAGTCTACAGTACTCAGATGGAGTAGTATGACACTACGAGACCAAGCTGCTACATTGTATTATATCTGTATATTTTGTATCATAAATGGTAAATACCCTGTCAGTCCAGTCATTAACAGATGTGAGAGTGAAAAGTCAAAAAAGTAAAACTATTCACATCATAATAGCCCTTTACAAAATTTTGACAAATATTTTCTATTTTGAATAATTCAACTAGAACCACAACATTATCATCCCACATCGTATCTTCACCATGACTGGACGGGCTTATGGTTCAGACTGACTGGAACCAACCATATATAAACACTGACTTGTTTACACAGTGGACTGACAGGAGGTTTACCAATATAAGTTCTATACTGCATGATCCAGTACAAAGTCCTAGTTATTGCATGTACAAAGTTCAGATACATTCTATATATACACTGTATATAATTATATCATTTCTTTGCATGCTATTTTTGGTGACTGTATTGATGTTATCAACTTGCATATTTTTGAATTATATCAATATATCATATATGTATTAGATATGAGTAACTCTCATTATTTATTTGGAACAGATGCACATATCTTTTCTAGAACAAAACAATCATTGTTGCTTTCATTTATCATTATAGACTTTCAATCTGATCTACATCAAATATTATATACAGTTATATATAATATAGCTTCAGTAAAATCAATACCCTTAAATTTCTGTTCAATATCAGGGATTTGATAACTTCTGAAAATTCATTATTTTTACAATTTGTTTGATATCAGGGTTCTAGTAGGAACTTGATATAAGGGTTCTAGTAGGGACTTGATATACCGGTTCTAGTAGGGACTTGATATCAGGGTTCTAGTAGGGACTTGGTATAAGAGTTCTAGTAGGGACTTGATGTAAGGTTTCTAGTAGGGACTTGATACTAGGGTTCTAATAGAGACTTAATATTAGGGTTCTAGTAGGGACTTGATATAAGGGTTCTAGTAGGGACTTGATATAAGGGTTCTAGTAGGGACTTGATATAAGGGTTCTAGTAGGGACTTGATATACCGGATCTGATAGAGACTTAATATTAGGGTTCTAGTAGGGACTTGATATAAGGGTTCTAGTAGGGACTTGATATAAGGGTTCTAGTAGGAACTTGATATACCGGATCTAGTAGGGACTTGATATACCGGATCTAGTAGGGACTTGATATAAGGGTTCTAGTAGGAACTTGATATAACGGTTCTAGTAGGGACTTGATATAAGGGTTCTAGTAGGGACTTGATATAAGGGTTCTAGTAGGAACTTGATATAAGGGTTCTAGTAGGGACTTGATATAAGGGTTCTAGTAGGGACTTGATATAAGGGTTCTAGTAAGGACTTGATATAAGGGTTCTAGTAGGGACTTGATATAAGGGTTCTAGTAGGGACTTGATATAAGGGTTCTGGTAGCGACTTGATATAAGGGTTCTGGTAGCGACTTGATACAAGGGTTCTGGTAGCGACTTGATATAAGGGTTCTGGTAGGGACTTGATATAAGGGTTCTAGTAGGAACTTGATATAAGGGTTCTAGTAGGGACTTGATATAACGGTTCTAGTAGGGACTTGATATAAGGGTTCTGGTAGGGACTTGATATAAGGGTTCTGGTAGCGACTTGATATAAGGGTTCTGGTAGCGACTTGATATAAGGGTTCTGGTAGCGACTTGATATAAGGGTTCTAGTAGGGACTTGATATAAGGGTTCTAGTAGGGACTTGATATCAAGGTTCCAGTAGGAATATGATATTAGAGGCTATGGTAAGGACTTGGTATAAGGGTTCTGGTAGCGACTTGATATAAGGGTTCTGGTAGGGACTTGATACAAGGGTTCTGGTAGGGACTTTGTATCAATACTCAATATTAGGGATTCTAGATGCTATTGACTATTGAGGGTTCTAGTACCTATTCCATATCTGGGTTATAGTGGCTTAAACTTGATAATGGGGTCCTTGCACAGCATTCAAATATCAGGGATTCTAGTAGCCATTTGGTATTGGAGTCTCTTGTAGCTAGTTAATAATATGGTGGTTCTAGTAGGTTTTCATTTTCAGGGAATGTAATAATGTATTTTGTAGTAATACTATGGTATATATTGTGATACAACTTTAGTGGCTGTATGTACATAGTATGAACTATACTGTGTAAATGATAGGAAGATACATGATAGAAAAATAAACACAACAGAGAAATGTACACAAGTATCAACAGAGAAATGTATATAAGTGTCAACAGAGAAATGTATACAAGTATCAACAGAGATATGTATACAAGTATCAACAGAGAAATGTACACAAGTATCAACAGAGAAATGTATATAAGTATCAACAGAGAAATGTATACAAGTATCAACAGAGATATGTATACAAGTATCAACAGAGAAATGTATACAAGTATCAACAGAGACATGTATACAAGTATCAACAGAGAAATGTACACAAGTATCAACAGAGAAATGTATACAAGTATCAACAGAGATATGTATACAATTATCAACAGAGAAATGTATACAAGTATTGTCTTTAATTTTAGCTTCTGTTTGATCACATTGATGGTCAGTCAAAAGTTGCTCATATGATGTTCTAAAGATGTTCTAAAGATGGCAGTTTGTGTTTATTAAACCTAGAAAGACTTTGTAAAACCTGTTCACTGTTTTTCTATTGTTTATAGATACTATCTTGCATGCCTGTACTCTTACAATCACAGAAATACTGTTCTTTCCTTTCTTTCTTTAATGTTTTTTTCTCTCTTTTCCAAACTTGTTTCACAGAAAGATCTGAACTGCATAGATATACAACCAGTTCTTTTTTAAGAATCTTACTCCATTAAAATCAAAAGGAAAATTAAAGCAAAAAGTATATTGTTGTCAGCTCCTCTGAGTAAGTAAATGGTATATATAGGATATTCAGTGAGTTTTCATTTTATTTAAGATTTTACAAAAGAAGTTTAAGATGTTAAAATTTTGAAAATTGAAAATGAGTGTCATTGAAAGAAAGTTTCAAACATCCTCTCTAGAAGAAAGATTAGATCTAGAGTTTTGATATTTCCCTTCTTGGAATGGCCTGGCTATTCAGCCTTGATTTGTGGTAAAATTATAATGTCTACAACTTCCTCTACTGAAGCATAAAATGTACAGAGACACATGGCCTGTTCTTTGTGGAATGACATTTGTGCATAACAAATAATTAGGTTTGAGTTTATTAAAATTCTTTGAATGAGTTTTTCTGAACAGATGAAGTGAACAGTGGTGATTTGTTTTTCAGTATACACTGTAGATATAATACATATGTGATACATTCTGAAAGATCTTTTCTTTTTTCTTCAGATCTATCGCCCAGTAAAGAATTCTTACACATTCTCGGACGTCCTGAACTACCTTGAAAATCTCCCGAACTATGATTCACCAGAGCTGTTTGGGATGACGGAGAATGCTGAGAAAGCATGTCGGGAACTACAGGCAGTGGAAATGGTTCAAACCATTATTACAATACAGCCACGCATATCACTGGAACTCATGGGGTAATTGGCCCTCAATCAATATGAAATTATCATTGCCTTATATAACATGTATTTCTCAGGACAATGTCAACAGTTTCATCAAATTTCTATGACATCCTTTCAACAATGGCGTCTTGCTTTCTTTTGTTTCTTCTTGAAGTTACAGTAAAATATAAATTGCTTGCATTAGATGTGTTAATTATTCACTGTGTTCATCTCTGTTGTATTTCAAAGTTGAGAAAATAACTTTATATGCAATTGAAGAAAATTATTTAGCTTGGAAAAAAAGTGTTTAGATGCAGTTGAGGTGTTTCTAATTAACCTGCTTGCTGTGTTAAAACACAAACCTCCATACCATCATACCAGCTGAGTGTCATTCTAATGACCTCATTTCATTACGTGATTTCCGTCATCTTGACAGAGCTGAGAAGAGTAATGATGAAATAGTACTGGAGATTGCTAAAGACATCAAAACCACTTTGCCTCGAATGATTGAGGAGTTTGAGGAATCGTCTGGCCCCATACATACCCAGCAGACACCTCGCCCGGCTCTGAAGAGTATTCTGTACAAAGAGGCACCAGATCTAAAGGACAAGGAAAAAAGGCGAAGTATGATTCTCTCTGTGTTCGCATGCCCATGTTTATCTTGTCTTTTTGTAACTGACATGGTAAAAATATACAAATCTATAATTGATTCAGAGGATTTCTTTGAAAAGGTTTTAATTTTTTTCCATCTTACATGGTAAACAAATGCATGTAAACTTTAATTTGAAAAAATTTTACTGAAAAAATTTATCAATTTTTTTCATCCGCAGTTGTACAAGAAGCTATTGACACCGTGGTTGGAAACTCGGCCCTGATGACAGTGCTCCGGCAGGAAGTGGATCGATTTAATAACCTTCTCAACATTGTGCACACTTCGTTACATTCACTGATTCTAGCAGTCAAAGGAGAAATTATTATGTCTGAAGTTTTAGAGGAAGCATACAGTGCTCTTCTTAACCAGAGAGTTCCAAAACGCTGGATCGTAAGTAAACCAAAATGTTGATTATCATCCTTTAGCTATGATAGGTTTAGGTTTGAATTATTGTTACTTTACGTCCTATTAATAGCCAGGGTTATTTAAGGATGTGCTAGGTTTGGGGTAGTGGAGGAAAGCCAGAGTTCACAGAGAAAAACCACTGCCCTGTGGCCAGTACCTGGCGACTGCCCCGCGTAGGTCTCAAACCCGTGGCCAAGTGGGCTAGTGATAAAGATGGTCAGACACCTTCACCAGTTGACCACTGCAGTTATCCTGTCCTTAAGAATTGCAAAAATTCCAGAGATCACAGAAGTTACCATAGATTGAGTTTTGTTAATACATATTAGAGGAAGAAGATATTGAGTCAGTAAGTAAAGGGTTTCCTGAAAGAATGTCAGATATGATCAGGTGCCTGCAATGTCCAGGTGTTTAAGAATTAAATAGATTTCTAAATAGTTTTATTGCAACTAACATTAGATATTACCAAGGATTGAAAACACTGTTTCAGATCAATAGTAGGCTTAATCTACAATTATAAAACCTCTTGGTTGTGTGTATAGGCACATCATTCACACAACAGATCATCAACGTCTTTATAGAGACTTTATATAATGTTTATAAGTTAGCTGTGAAATCTCAAGCATTGAATGTCGAGTTGTAGATTTTTAATCTATATGTTAAGTAACATAAATCACTGATTCAAAAGAAGTATTTACCTTGTTTCTAAGTACAGAAATTCTTTCAGTTATCAATAAAAATGTCTTCTGTTCCTTCTCGTATTTAGGAAGCTGCTTATGAATCCTGTAAAGCTTTGGGATCTTGGATATACGACCTGAAAATGAGGGTACAGTTCTTCTCCAATTGGGGTGAACTCATCTCTAATAATGTAGAGAAGTTGATAAAGAATGCATTATTGGCTTCAAAGAATGCAGCGCCCAACCAGGACACCTTGGAGAAGACTCAAATGCGGAGTGTCCCTCGGGCATACTGGCTCTCGGGTTTCTTCTTCCCTCAAGGTCAGTGTAGTCAACCATCATTCATTTTAGATTTTTTTTTTTTTTATGAAAAGTTGCTGTGAAATCATGCTTTGTATATTTTTTGTAGGGCTCTATTTTCATAGTTTTTTAAAATCTTCATTTCATGGGTAAATAAAGCTCAGCAATTCTACATAGTATATTTATCAAAGCAGGTTGTAGGCATTTGGAATTGTTGATTAGGAGCACTAATACTATAAATTCTTTTTTTTTTAACTTTATTTATTTTACAACAATTGCGAAACAAGTTATGTCAACTTATACTAATCACTCTTGTTGGCCCGGATGTAAGTGCGCAAGGGGTCTTATTGTGGGAGGAAACCAGAGAACCCGGGGAAAACCCATGTGGATGGGCAGGTGACCCCTTACCTTTTCATGTCCGTTCCGGGAATCGAACCCCGGTCAGCTAGGTGAAAGGCGAGTGCATAACCACTACGCCACCCGACCACCTAATAATACTATAAATGAAGATAAATCCCCCTCGAAAGATTAGTGATTTTACAGTGACTTTAGATGAGGATTGCATGCTATGGAAAAGGTACTTAAGTTTTATTGAAATTTCCCGTTTGGTTTTTTATCTTCTCAGTTTGTTCTTGTTGTAGACTTTAGATTAATGAAAAAGTTAAAAAAAAAAAAAAAAAGGTAATTTGACATAGAAAACCTATTATGTATTTAAAAAATTATTATAATTATTGAAGACAATTAGAAATGTAATTAAAAGAATATAGAAATGTTGTATCATAATGTTTTATTGTCCATCAGTTCCAAAGAGACGGAATATTGGACAGAAATATTGGTATCTGTTGACGAGATTCACGACAGACTTTGATCCTTTTTCTACCTCTTATTCCAAATACAGGACAAATACTGTTAATCACTTATATCTCGCATTGGATTTATTTTTGCATTTAATATGCAGGGAGTGTCAATTGGAAATTCAAACCTGTAACAATAATTTGGGTGAAATGAACTCTGGGTGGCATCCATGATGTTTCAGTTTCCAATATCAAGAGTCTTGCAGAATTCAGATCTCTTAAAGCTCATCATTCATTTACATATAAATCATATACATATATTAGTGAATAAAATCGGGGATAAGTCGTGAAATGAAGTATTTGTGAAAGTAATATATAGTGCATTGTACATATGTGTGTTTACATTTATAGAATTCTTGATTAGCATGTGTTTGTGGTCTTTGCGTGAAGACTGTCTTACCCTGGCAAGCAAGAGATATCTTATGTTTATCGGAATGGTGGATAATCCATCCACTGGGGTAGGATGACGATATCTTGGGCATGAAATGCTGTTTAAATATTGACTTCATTTCTTTTAATGGAAACATTTTCATTTCTCATCTTCAGATTCACATGTGAAGGACAGGTTCCATGAACCCAAAGTCACTGACTAAAAGTATTGTCAGTATCTTCCACTATTCAAAGTGTCTCACATCTTGTTGAGTTTATTGTTAAATATAGAAAAAAAAAACTTTTAGGTTTAATATTTAATTTTGATTTGTTCAGGGTTCCTGACTGGAGTACAACAGAATCATGCCAGAAAACTTGGGATATCTGTAGATTCATTGGTATTCAACTTCAAAGTTCATCAGACGTTGGAGGATACGGAAGAAAAGCTTAGTGATATCTCACACAAAATTTGTATAAAGGATACAGCGTTCAAGGTAAAAGTCAGATGGTCTGTCAATTAATGTCAATGTCAGATGTTGATGGTTGTCTTTAAACAACATAGCAAAACCATAGGACAAGAGTCATGGCATTAGGCATGAAGATTTCTAAGGAGAAAAGGCTTCAATTTGGGGTGAAGTTTGTATAAAAAAAGGCCTTTAAAAATTAATGAAAAGCCTTCTTCGAATGTCAAAGAGATCAGAGCTGCAATCATTCCACTTACCAAGCATTACTACTGCTCTCGTGTTGGTCAGGTTTCTGTGCCAATTAAATTATTCAAGACCCAATGTGGAAGTTCAAGGTCAAATATGACTTTCCCCTTGTTACAAGGTTCAATTTGACAAGGTCTAATTCCAATGATTAAAGATCCAGTCTCCCAGACAAAAATCTAGATCACATAATAAATTCAGTTAATAGTGAATGATTCATCATCAATGTTGAGGTTAGATATCTGTTGATGATACCCTGTAAATGGTAAAACGGAACTCAAATGGCGTCTTGTATCATAGTGTGACAAGCATTCTTCTTTCGTAATGGACTGTCTTTGTATTGTAGAGACAAGACACTTTTTAAATTTGATTTTGAAGACAACTGACAATGGTTTTCATATTTTCTCATATATCTCAGGGTCCATCCCCGCCTGAGGACGGTGTCCTGATTTTTGGACTCTACCTTGACGGCGCTCGATGGGACCCAAAGGACAAGTGCCTACAGGACTCAAGGGCTGGTGACCGCTTTGCCAGACTTCCGGAAATCCACTTCGTTCCCACACAGGTATAAGAACATCTACACACTTACCATTTATTAGAAATGTTTACTAGGAATAATATTCATTATTTAGCGATTGTACTGGAAGAAAGGAAGTAGATAATTTCACTTTTCTTAATTTGACAGTTTATCTGAAATTTTAACTTGGTGTCAGCTGATATGAAAAAAAATACAGCTTTTTTTACATTTTATTTTAAAAGTTTTTCCTCAAGTTATGGTTTATTAGGTCAACTGCAGGGACCAAGTACAAAGCAACAAAATAAATAAAACGACCAGAATAAAGAAATAAAATAAACAGCTATGGGTATTCACAACATGTTGAAACTGGCACAATGGGCCTCTGGTTTCTTTCTCTATTTTAAACATTGTTATTTCAGATGGCCCAGGGTACACCTAGCACAGAGCGATCAGAAAGTCCATTAGTGGACAACAGCAAGATGTATGAGTGTCCATTGTATCGGACATCGTCCAGAGCTGGAACACTTTCCTCCACTGGTCACTCTACAAACTTTGTGACTGCGGTCACCCTTCCCTCAGATCATCCACACCAGTTCTGGGTGATGAGAGGAGTAGCCATGTTGTGTCAACTGGATGACTAACAACAATGGAAAACAACAACTTGAATTCTATAATTATTAATTGTACATAGTGCTACAGAATGCTTAATGAAACCCAGGATAACCAACGAAATCACTTTCTGAAGTAAAATACAAATTATTGTTACATATAAAGTGTACTGTGAAGTTATTGTATCTGGTTGGTCAATTCAAATCCAGTTTTAAGTTGATTCAGCAGAAAGATATAATATACATGTAAGGTTATATGTCTTAGAGATGTGATATGAAGCTGCATTTGATATGTGTAGCTGATTTTTTATTTGCAGTTGATTGCTGCTACAATGCTATTTTTGAACAAACCTAGCTCGATAAAATGCCAAATCTACTTTGACACTGCACTTAAAGAATTGTCATTTAGTGGTGTTGGAGCCAAATATTTGGCCAAAATCAATTATATGTAAATAAGCTAGAAATTTTATTTCATCTTAAGAAAGGTTTTTACCATTTGTATAATGTATATATGTGTAAAGTTTATGTTCCATTCAATGGAATCAACTGTACCTTAGCTCAAATATCTGTAAATATTTTTATTTATTAAGGAAACAATAAGTAACTGGAAATGCTGGTCCATATCCTAATGTTATAGTATAAGGATATAATTATGTTGATCAGAAACTTTCTGGAGACTGTTCCAATCCGTCCAACAATATATATATATATATGTGCAGTGATAGATCTGTCAAAAAAGAATGTTAAATATTTGAGGAAGCTTGAACTTTGTAACTGTTTAAATTAACCACTTATTTCAGCATTAAAGAGTCAAAACAAGAGAGATAACTCTTGTGTGACCCTTCTTTGTGATATATTACACAAGTCTACAAAGACTTATGCATTCTATTAAAGTATTTCTTTGTTGTACTTGTTATGTAAAGATATAAAATTTAACATCTTTATTTTTGACTGAGATTTATCATGCTTTTGTCTGATCTGTGATAAAATTTTGGATGTTTACAGGAAATAAATATTTTCAATGTGGTGCTTTTTTATTTTTATTTTTGTCCCTACCTTTGCTGAGTGGGACCTACTTTTCATGAACCCTTTTGGTACTTGTGACAAGTTCAGACATGCCATCATCACAAATCCTCTTTTTATGGAAGCAGGCACTTCCAGCAACATGTGATGCACTAAGGATCAACCATGAAAAAGTGTATGGAAAGATTCCATGTCCTTCATCAATTCATCCCTCTTGCCCTGCAGATATTGAATGCTTGTATACAAGTTAAGTGTCATGATGTGGTGATTATGCAGAAAAAAATCAGTTGTTCTCTAAGAACTTCTATTTCCACTCCTTTTGAAAATGGCAATATAAGCAAACAATGCATGGTTTCAAGTTTAACTTTAAAAATCAGTGGCATGCATCAATGGAGTGGCATGAAAAATGAATCAAGTTGCTTCAACCTACTTTTAAACTTCTGACCTATTTTCCAAGATAGAGTACTTTTTCTATCCTGTTTGAGAATCAGTCCAGTAAAACACAAAGTAAACAAGTAGAGAAGAAACAGTTTATTGTTGATAAGTGGCAGGGAAACAACAGTTGTCCTAGACAAGTCCTGTAGGTACAGGCAATACTGATAGGTAGTAAGGTCAAAGTTGTTCAAACTAGGTCAGTGACCTACATTTATAAATTAGCTCACTGTGACCTACTTACATTATAAAGTGACATAAATAATCAATATGAGTGACCTACATACACATTAAACTAGATCACTGACCTTTTAACATGATCAAAGTCAAGGTGACCTACATACATAATAAATAAAAGTGACCTATATATATATGATAAATAGTTTTCATACAGGATGTCAAAGTGAGGCGACATACAATCAAACACAGATAAGGCGACATCAGTCTTCATCCATTCCAGCTCAGACTCTATGCTGAACCAGGTTTGTGACAGTCTCAGCAGACATACTTTTTTACACAGATGTACAAGAACAGTGTTGTGACTTGAAAATCGATGTAAAATATATAATAACAATGACATATGGAAAAGAAAGCACAAGTACTTTTAAGACCAAAGACTGCAAAGTCAGTATAGATTGGAATCTTTTTTTCTGCAATGAACAGAAAAGGATATTGGGTCAAAGTGATCAAATATGTCAAGATTTAAATAAGGGTGACCATTGAAATACAAATAGTGAATTGGAAACATCTACTCTGTTCTGATAGCTGTCAGACTTTGATACAGTCTTTAGTGTGGTACATGGTGCTTCTTTGGAAATATGATTCTCAGATACATATATATCTATAAATATATCACAGAAAGTATCACAGTTTGCTTGGCTCAGGTTGAAACATAAACACATACAAAGAAATCTAGCAATATATTCCAGATAATGTCACATTGTTTCAGTCAATGTCAGCTTCCATTTAATGTCACATTACATTTAATATCATGTTTTATTAAACTACTAATTTTCTATCAGTAATTTATATAATTTTTGGTTTATGCCACATTATATGACATGAACTCTAAAATAGCTATTAATAACTAATGATTCTATTGGTCTTGTCAGTTTCCCAACAGTTACATGTTGACTGGACATGTCTTATTGTTACAAACTTCAATTTTGACCAAATAGCCTTTCAACCATTTTTTTTACTGACCATATTTTATTCAAAGGTTTCAAAATACACATTCACTTTTAATATACGATGAAATTAATTTATATTCCCTTTTAATACAATACTCTGCTTTATATCACATCTTGCTTATATCACATTCTAATATGGCAACAGAAACATGACATTAACAGTAATTCACTGTATTGTAAACTTGTAGACTTTTTCAAATTGCCATTCAATTACATATGAAAATATGAAATATATAAACTCTGTAGCTACACTGAAAAGGGTAAAATATAATGATCTGCAGAACAGTAACAACAGATGGCATTTCAATGTCCAGCGACTGTACAACAGCATACTTTAGTCACTACAGAAGTGGATTTGCCATTAGTAGTACAGCAGATATTTATATGATTCTTTCATTTCATTTTAATATATTTAATTACTTTAATCAAGAAAACAGAAATGATTAACCAAAAAATACAGTGTTTCTGGAATATATCAACACCACTCACACACACTGTATACCATGTACTTCTCATAAATAGTCAACTTTCTAAATAATTTATGATTTTTTTATCCATGAAGAGACCTACCTCAACTATTACTTTAGAACTAATGATAAATCAGTTCATTCAGAGATATAAATATTTTGACATATCTGAACCCCAGCACCCTAGTTTTGCAGCTATAGGTCACAGGGAAAACACAGCTTCGTAGATTACTGAAGTGTTACAGTTCTTTAGAAGAAGACTTTCACAACAAACTATGCAGTACCAATACTTTCTTGCGAGCAGAGTACTTACTGCCTGGCATAAATATTTAATGAAAAAAAATCATCACTACCTCCAAGGAGATAACTATCATTTTTCTATTTAAAAAGTTTATCTGTAATAATGTAAAGTGCACTTTCATTGAAAAAAATCATAAAAAAAAAAAATTCCTGCCATGTTTTCCCTAGACAGAATAGTCTGCAGATTTTTTTCATTGCTAAGAGAACTTGTAAAAGGATATTGTATAATTGATGACAGGTATCTATAAACAACATGTAGGTATCTACAATTATATCTTTAAGTATTTGGCTTTTACCAATCACTACAGTGTTAAAAGACTCCAGTTCTTACCAGGTAATTTCAGAAGTTATGTTCAAATCGTTATTAAGAATTATTAAGTATCAAACAACCTATTGCACATACTCAGAGAGACGACATAAAATTCAATTAATTCAATCAACAAATTATAGAATTATCATCTTGATTTTTGTGATGAAGTGGAGAGTTTCTCCCTTCTGTCAACTACATTGATAAGAGGTATTGATGCTTCAATGCTGTTACTTCATTGTGATGTCCAATTGAGGCTCGGCACCTTTCACCTCCTCTTGAATCCCGTGAATTTTCATGAGTAAATTAAACGCATGTCAGTCTTTGACAGACAATGACTGTCCAGGGGAGATACGACCACTTCCGTTTGTGCCGGGCACACTTAGATGAGATTGTGACTTCCTGCGTTTTCGTATTGAATCCACTCCACTCTTCCCGCCTCTCAGAGTAGTAGCCGTCTCCGAGCGGTCAATGGGACTTCCCAATATACTCTGTGCTTCCTCAGTTGTAACCTCCTACCAAAGGCAAGTCAAATGTATATTAAATTGATGCAAATTGATATCTTTGTTTGAAATGAATGATAATCTAATTGAGACATTCGTGTTATTTGTAACACTCAATGTAAAAATTGATAATTTCAAAGATTATTTATCAAATATTTCAATAGATATAACTGAAATCAAAATGATCAATTCTGTTGACAATTTAAAGTGTAACCATGAATTTGAAAATCTTACAGTGACGATTTTCACATGGAGTCCTTTTAAGCATTAAGTTCATATTAAGAAGAAAAACATTCAGTAGATCTTTACTCTCATTTGAAACAATCTTTAGCAATATGTCAAACTATGATCTCCAGTGGGTTGCAACTTGAAATATATTTCCTGGTACGTACCATATTTATATCCTACAATAAGCCAGAGGGGAACCAACATACAAATTCTGACTAAAAGTTAGGAGATGGGCTTATTACAGGACAATGAAGTAATCCTACTAAACGACAAAAGGTATGGATTGACTTGTTACCAGGCATCAGTTAACACAAACTCATTATGTATTTTGCCAATATCATTTCCAACAGAAATCCCATCGACAAATAATTGCAATATAACAAGGATTTAAATAGGAATTATTTTATCATTATTGAAAACATGGCCTATACCAAAAATTTATTACTGTCAGAAATTAACTATCAGAAAATATTCTATCACAGAGGGAAGACAACTTCTGTTCAGATATCTTATATAAAAGACATCATAAGGGAGACATTGAAAATTTTAGATAAAAAGTGTCTAACAAGTAATATCAAATATAACGCATGGGAAACGAAACCTGTACTGACATTTCATAAAAAAAAGTTGTCAAATGTATTACAGGGGAGACAACACCTGTGCAGACATTTAATATAATAGGTGTCACAAGGGAGACAACACATGTACAGTCAATTCATATGATAGATGTCATAGGAGACACAATGCCTGCACATTTAATATGAAAGATATCATGGGGAGGCAACTCCTGCACAATTGTTTTCTATAATAGGTATCGCTAAGGTGACAACTACTACACAGACATTTATGTAATATATGTCACAAGGGAGACAACTCATGTATGAAAATTTTCTTTCTTCAGTCTCATAAATAACTGGTTGTCTTTCAGTTGAATACTTCTAAGGTATTTCACTGCATTGAAAATAAACTGTATAAATTAAAACTTTTATTGAAAGAAAATGTTACCTCCATTCAGTGAATTAATTTTTGCAATAATTTTTTATATACATATCTTCTTTTCATGGCAACAATTAATTGTCGATCTTTAGTATTTTTCAATACAAATTGTATTAATGAGGCTGTACAACAGGCATAGAATCAGCTCCTTGGTCTCCAAATCCCATCATTGATTTAACAATTCTCAAAATAAGAGACAAGATTACATCATTATGCCAAATTAATATGTCTGAAGATGGAAGAATTCACTGGCAAGTTCATTTTGTATCAGAAGTTGTACAATAAAATTTACATTTACAACGTCAAAGTACAACAATGATAACAAGCAGTTCTACCTACTTGGAAAGACTAATCCTCATCGCCACTATCGACAGAAAAATACAAATCACTTTACTAGTCACTTCTTAGTTTGAAAATGAAAATTTGCTTTAAAGTTTTTAAAACATTTTGCTATCTTGATTTTATAATAGAACTTTAATCAAACTTCTAAAATAAGTTTATTTCCTGTTATAAAAGCCGATAACCTGGTAAAAGACATGCAAATCTTTATACAAAGAAAATTCCCTTTTATTATCACATCTAACCAGGTCGCTTTCCACTTAATATCATGCTTTCACAAAATACTGTTTTCCCACCAAACTTATATTAATAACTCTTGAAATATCAAATAAATTTCACAAATTTTAGTTTCATATTATTGATCACCAAAATTTTTCAAGGATTCTCCTCAATATCATTCAACTTTTAGCAAAATGTACTTTACAGAATGGTATAAAGTGAAATGTACTGTCTAACTTTCTAGCCATGTGTAATATATAAAACTCTATCTTGTACAACATAAAAGGAAATATTCTAGTCCATCTTCTATATTGTTTCTAATATCGAATACTAATAGTAACTGTTCATTCCCTTTAATGACTTGTGATAATTTCATTATACTAAATGATGTCTTATGACATTTTGACCATGATAGTACAAAGAAATGAAATTTAATTCCTGAAAAAGAAGCTCATTATCATCACACAGTTTTATATAATTCTATCCAGTATATATAATATATTCATGATTTCTAAACGTATACATTCCAGTTAACAGATTTCAAAATTGTTCACTTGTGTGAATTCGACATCATTCAAAAGCATAAGTACATATAGAGATATAATGAAAAATGAGATAATACCAATAAAGAGCAACTAATACTGGATGCAAGATTTATGCAAGATATCAGACAGACTGTACTAGGACATGTAACAACAGGCAGACATTGCTGGAAAGGACGACAGACAGACACAAGTAAAGGGTACTGGTATAGTTATGTAGGATAACAGACAGACATTAGTTTTGCATAGGACAATGGACAGACATTACTTTTAAAAAAAGGCAAAGGTCCTGACCTTTCATTGTGCTTTCATTGCGGAAACAGAGGACAGACACCGATTGAAGAGAACAAATAACAGAGACTGTTTCATGAAGGACAAAAGACAGACAGACACATTTCAATAAAGGACAAATACCAGACATTGCTTTGCAAATGGCAGAAGACTTCTTAATAAAGAACAAATGATAAGCTGCATAACAAAGGACAAAAGACAGAACTTTCTAAAGTAAAAGGACAAATACAGCTTTATAAAGACATAGAGCAGTCAAAGATGTTTCATGGGACAAAGCACAAAAACTATAGGACTGCATTACTGTTGTAAAGGACAGCAGACAGATATAGTAATTAAAGCTGTACAAGACAGATACTACTGCTGTAATAGAAAAAAAAGACAAATTGTATTGTTGAGGAGCAGGGATATAAATTACCTGTCATACAAAACAGAGAAAAAAACCCACTAAACTTGTAAATGACAGATATGAAAATGGCAAGATGAAGGACAGACGAAACTGTTGGACAGTTTGTTTTAAAGGACAGTATCAAGTAGGTTTCTCGATTTTCTACAGAATTATACACACACAGAGGACGGTCAATATTCTCACTGTTCTAACTATAAATACTATCAGAATCTACGGTCTGATAACATCAGGATAAACTGACACTCACCGAGAAACTACTAGCACTGGTGAGCAGCTTGGATTCAAAAATAAACAAAATTTCCACAAAACTTGCAATGTTTTTTTTTTAAAACCTGCTCACATTTCATCTTTTACAAAGAAATTACTACAAATCCAAGACACATGCAGTTATTACCTCAGAACTTTAAAATGTATGTGTTGTTATATAATCTATACAAGGATTTAATTTCAATTCAATTATAGTTCCAGGAAAATTTCAATGTAACATGCAAAAAAATAATGGAGTTGTTAATGAAAAAATTTAATTCAAGTCATGCAGTTAGAGACAAACTAAAAACAACATCCTTTTTTTTTGTTTATTTAGTTGTAAAAAAAATAATACGGTTGTTTCAGTGCCATATAGTTTTGAATGTATGTAATCTCTGGAAAAGTGGATCTCAAAAATAAAGTTTTATTTATAAATGTACATTTTTCTGCAGCAGAAATACCACAGGTATATTGCAGGTAATTTTTTTTTCAATTAAGAACTGTAAACAGTTTTTATTTCTATTTTTCTTGGATCAATTCCTTTTACAAAATTAAAAAAAAAAAATTGAAGTACACGATTCTCAAATGTTAAAAAATTAATGATTGATCAATAACTTTTGAGCTCTTCTTCGTCGCTCTCATAAATGACATAACAGTATTACTTCATCTGAAAGAAAAAAAATCTGTAAACCATTCACCTTCCCTTGACCGGTACTTTCTCTAACTAATTTGCCGTAAATGACTTTATCCCGTAAATTCTGTACGACTTACTCCAGTGAAACTTACCCCTTCATCCTATGTGTGTGCATGCATAAGAAATAAAATTAATTAGTTAGAGCTGTAACAGTCCAGCCACGATGCTGGTGGTGCACGATGAAAGGTGTAAGTAAGCTTAGAATGCAGTTACTTTCTTGTTGATTTTTTAAAAAAAAAATTTTTTTAAGTTTTTCCATCCAAGATTTGGTGAGATTGACCTTTGACCTTTGAAGACTTCAAGGAAACCATAGTTTGCAACCATTTTCGAAGAATGTGTTGGGCAAAAAGGAGAATGCTTGACAAGTGTACATGTTTCATAGCAGATTTCTGAATAAGAAAGACCAAGTGCTCTATCAAAAGAGAATGAGTTCATGTTGCAAAAATAGTTTGGGGGACAAACGAGAAATCGGTTTAAAAGAACAGAATGTAGTAGGGATATGAAAAAAATAGATCACAGAAATTGATGTAAAAATGACAAAAAGGACAGAGGATAGAAAAAAATATAGAAAAACAATTAAAAAAGAAGAAAAAAAAAGAAGATAGATAGAAACAGAAAGAAAGAGACAGTGATAACAGGTGAAGACTGAACTTATAAGATAAAGATTCTCTGATGGGAAAGAAATTAGATCAGAAGGACTGAAAAAAAATCACAAGAAACAGCAATGTGAGATGGAAAGAAAGATGAAGTGATAGAAAAGAAAAAATTACAGAAAAAGATCATAACTTTATAGGCAGCACCTAAGTAAAGGATGAAGCAGAAAGGAGATAACATCAGAGGAGAAATTACCAAGAAAAATTTAAACCAGGACAAGACATTTTGGATATGAAATCTTGGAGAAGAATGATTATCATAAAGTATTTATAATGTGTAACATTTGGTTTCCATGCAAAACCACCATGGTCAAGGTCATTCACAAGGTCAATCATCACCAAGGTCACCTGGTCATGCACTGGTCTGTGTTACAGAGATTATGAAATAAAGCCTGCACCCTGTTTAACCTACCTTTAAGGTCGCCTCTCGCTGGAATAGGGCATTCACCGATACAATACATACATAACAACATTTTACTAGACACAAGCTCTTACAAATAATTAGTATTCTATGCATACAGGTAAAAATAACAGGTGATGACATTCCCATAACAATGATATCTGAAGCTACCTGCATGTGAATATGTATTTACATATATAAATATGCAACTAACTCAAAAGTACCATTTCTACAAATAAAATAGGACTTTCTAAACATCTCTAAACATTCATAACATATACATATTTTTGCCTATATATAACTTACCAACTCTCTATAAAACAAGAGAAACATTACATTTAATATGTAAAAGTATATTCCACTGTCTATTTAATACATAAAAACTATGTGGAGAAGGTGAAATATGCCCCCTCATAACAGATGGACAGACATCCACTGTGTAGATCGACAGACATCCACTGTGTAACAGATGGACAGACATCCATGGTGTAACAAATGGACAGACATCCATTCTGTAGATGGACAGACATCCATTCTGTAGATGGACAGACATTCATTGTGTAACAGATGGACAGACATCCATTCTGTAGATGGACAGACATCCATTCTGTAGATGGACAGACATCCATTGTGTAACAGATGGACAGACATCCACTGTGTAACAGATGGACCAACATCCATTGTGTAACAGATGGACAGACATCCACTGTGTAACAGATGGACCGACATCCATTGTATAACAGATGGACAGACATCCATTCTGAAGATGGACAGACATCCATTGTGTAACAGATGGACAGACATCCATTCTGTAGATGGACAGACATCCACTGTGTAACAGATGGACCAACATCCAATGTGTTACAGATGGATAGACATTCATCGGGTAACAAATGGACAGACATCCACTGTGTAACAGATGGACAGACATCCATGCTGTAGATGGACAGACATCCATTGCACAACAGATGGACAGACATCCATTGTGTACCAGATGGACAGACATCCATTATGTAACATATGGATATCCATCCATTGTGGAACAAATGAACAGATGTCCATTTTTTAATAAAGTAAATAAATATCCATTTGTAACAAATGGACAGACAACCACTGAGTAAAAGATAGACAGACATCTTCCCCAATTATCGTAAATGGCAAAAGTCTTTAAAATCCTCCATCTAGCAGGAAGGGATGATACAATACAGGGAAAATTGATTATGGAAAATTCTACATATATAATTTAAAAGCCAGTCTAGCTAGATCTAATCTTAAAGGAATCTGGCTCTATAGTGGAAAAAGCATGCATACCAGTTATAATAGAGACAAATCTAGCAATATAACCCAAGTACAGCTCGATTAGTTATGGCATGAAGGTATATTGTACTAGCTCAAAACATTCTCTCTAAATCAATCTGTGAATGAAAGCACCATGATATTTCTATGATAATGAAACAGAGCTCTTCTGGAGATTCTAAAAATATGAGACAGGAAAAATGCATGCAGGATGCCTTATTTGAAAGGAGAAGTTCTATTTATATCCTCCAATCAAAGCCTAGGAAGCTAACCTACCAATGAATGCGAGTATAACTAGCTCTAAATATCCTGCCTTACTCACACCCATGGTTTAGAGCACAAGGCTCTGGAGACTTTGGGAACTTAAACTAGTCGCAGCCTCGTTCTGACTGAGTTGACCAGATGAACCATGAAAACTAGTGATCCCTCCATTTTGTACTGAGTCAACACTTGGATGCCTCCGGACAGGAAGTCCTCGTACTGACCCCTGGTCAGACTCTGAACCAGCTGATCCTGGCTACAATGTATTGAGCATCCGAATACTCCACACCATTTGATAGCTTTCTAAATTGACCATTTCTTGATTTTCAGTAGAGGCTATTTTATCTACCAGACTTTTATCAACTTCCTTCAAGTTTCCAATTTATTTTATTTTTTGAGAGATTTAAATGGGATACCTATCTAGAAAGCCTTACTTCCCATCAGATTCAGGTGTCAATATGTGATAATATATGCATGCAATGAAAACTGATTCCTCCAGCAATGATACTTGTAACCATGGTAACCTTCACTGTGTCATCAATGTTACCAATCTGTCATCAAAGTTACCTGTAGTGCCATCAAAGTTACCAATCTGTCATCAATATTACCTGTACTGTCATCAAAGTTACCAATATGTCATCAATATTACCTGTAGTGTCATCAAAGTTACCAACTTGTCATCAATATAACCTGTACTGTCATCAAAGTTACCAACTTGTCATCAATATAACCTGTACTGTCATCAAAGTTACCAAACTGTCATCAAAGTTACCTGTAGTGTCATAAAAGCTACCAATATGTCATCAATATTACCTATACTGTCATCAAAGTTACCAATATGTCATCAATATTACCTGTATTGTCAGCAAAGTTACCAACTTATCATCAATATTACCTGTATTGTCAGCAAAGTTACCAACTTATCATCAATATTACCTGTACTGTCATAAAAGTTACCAACTTGTCATCAATATTACCTATACTGTCATCAAAGTTACCAATATGTCATCAATATTACCTGTATTGTCAGCAAAGTTACCAACTTATCATCAATATTACCTGTACTGTCATCAAAGTTACCAAACTGTCATCAAAGTTACCTGTAATGTCATCGATGTTACCAATCTGTCATAAAAAATTACCTGTACTGTCAGCAAAGTTACCAACTTGTCATCAAAATTACCTGTAGTGTCATCAATGTAACCAGTGATGTTAATTAAGGTTGGTGATAATGTAGATAATGAATAATGATAATTAGTTACTGACCTACATACATACAAGAATGTTAACTACAAAATTCACTGAAGTCCTCATTTCATCCAAAAGATTTGCACTAAACATGCTTTTTGAAACATGCTACAAAACTTGAATATATCAGTTCTTAGCTAGAAATCTAACACAAATTGCATTCCTTTCACCAACAAGTCTCTATCTTTTAGTATAACTACAGGTACCACATGCTATCATGCAGCCTACAAAAACACATCCCAATTTTATGAATAATTAAGAAAGACCATTACACAGGGGATAGACAAGGGGAATAACTCTGCCCGTCGACACTCTGAACACTTACCCTCCACCTTACTCCGTCTGAGAGTGAGAAGGTATAAGCAGCTATAGACCCCTCTGGGATAGATGGAAGATGGAACTCATTAGATGGTATCACATAGTTTTCTATTGCTTCCAGTCTCTTTTTCAGCATTTTTTGGTGTTTAGTAACTGAAATTTAGATAATTAGTTTATGAAGAACAGCTTTTCAAAAAGACAAAATTTAGAAATAACATTAATGAGATTCACACAAAAAATTCACCTGGTATTCTATGGCAATGCATAAACTAATAGATGATGAGTATCTATAAATAGCAGTAGTGACTTGAACCCCGAAATACAAAATTATCATACCTCTGTGTATATTTTGATCAAAATGAAAAACCACATGTCCCTCCCCCCCCCCCATCACCACTTATTTCCCTGTCCTCCCCCCACCATCCCCACAACAAAAAAGCAAAATCAAAAAAATAGGCAACCTCCAAAATGCCACCAACACACTGGACAATACAAGGATATTTTTATCTATGAAGAAACATGGCTGAGACCATTTTGTTCCATTAGGCCTGAAAACAACAATAGTGATATAAAGGACCCTGATTACCTGGACGTTTGGAAGGATCGTCTGGAGGTTGGAATGTTCGTCTAAAACCTGCCCAGTAGGGCAACAACTCTTTGAACACCATCAGCTGTGGCTCATCAAATATACTAGCCATCACATCCTTCCCTGCCAGGTACCTCTGAGCCGCACGGATCGCCTTGTCCTGAGTCGCAGCAGTAACGTCAATCTGAAGGGAAAGACACTCATTCTAACTTACATATACATAATGTTTATTTATCATCTGTTGTTTAGACAACACATGAATGTATGAAGGTATATCAAATTAAATGACACCTGCACAAAACTGGAAAAACACAAAAATTACAAAATAAATTGAAATCCATAGGACCTAACTATTTATCATCCATAAAAATTGTATTGTTCAAGAACTCATTTAGGAGTCTTCTGTAGAAGCTATCATATTCAATGAAGATGGTTATACCAAGGCATCCTAGGCACATAACAGTTCAGTTCACAAACAATGGAAGTAGATTTTGAAAAAATCTAGAAAAACTCTTATAAATCATGATTTTCAACCAAAATTCTGAAACCATGAATACACAACTCTTTCATAAATAGGTAGGGCAGATAACTCTGTACAATACATTACCTCCACATTCTCATTACTCCACCTGAAATGTTGCCATAGTTACCTGAAGAGCTGGACTTGTGATGGCATCCAGGAAACACTCCATTATAGACTGGACTTTCTTCCTAAGGGACTCCTCGTCAGCGTATGCATGACTACAGTCCTGTCAACAAGAAATCATATTCGTCAACGTGGCTTTTAACCAAGAAAAGTAAACAAAATGTATATTTTTAGGAACAGATATTACTGATACTCAAGACAAGCACCCTGAATACCTTTATACTTAATAGGTACCTGTTAGATTGGAAATAGGTCAAGGTCATTCATTCGATCAATAATTAACCCATCAAACATCACTCGTGATTCTACAGACTATTTCATAAAGCAAAAGAAAGTTTTTCATGATTGTAATTAGAACACTACTTATTGTATGACCTTGAATATATGTCAAGGTCATTGACATTCAAAATTATTTCAAGCATCTGTCGCAGCAAACTGCCAGCCATATACCATAACTCTAAATTGTTTGCTTCCTTTGAAATGCCTGGTACTTTTTATGAATAAGACTCCTGTGACATTGACAAAGGTCATTTCTTTTGTACATATTCTGGACTAGAAAACGTAAATTATACAATCGTAAATTCCTTATTTTTTATGATAAAACTTTAATATAAAGCCACTTTTTGTCCAATAAATATTTGGTGTGGCAGAGAAGGATTAGTTATGGCTGACAGGAAGAAAAAAGAACAAAGAACATGAAATACTTCGGTAATAACACAAAATCCAAATTTATGAAAATATCAATAGGTTTGATTTGCTGTTAAATGTTATCAATTATCTGCTTTAAACACCGATTTTCACCTGAATCAATCAATATTTAATAAAGAGTGGTTTATACTTAAAACTCTTTGTACAAATCTGACCTTGAACTTTTGAACTTCTATATAGAAGAAAAGGTCCTTGTCCAGCAGAGGGGCGTTTTCCTCCTCCCCGTGTTTCTGTAAGTATTTATAGAAGTAGAGCATGGTTAAGGTCAGGTGACCAGCAGCTGAGGACTTGAGCGCCTTGAAAAATTCCTCTCTGTCATCCTTGGTTGGTTGTGCACGTCCAGTCTGAAAAAGATGAAGAGAGAGGGTTAGAATATGGAAACATTTAGAAACACCAACAGATGGTGAAGCTACCGTGACAAAATCTCTTCATGATTTGGATTCAAAAGAATATTTCAGAAATCTCTTTCTGGACCCAGCTATAGGAATTGAATTAGTGATAATATTTTCATTTCTTAGGCAATTGGCTTTTATTTCTGACCTTCTGATGGAAAGTAAATTCTGATTCAATTTCAAATTCATATTTAAAAAAAAGTTTCAGTGTCAGTGCAAGTATTTGCAAGAAAAAGAAAAAATGATAAAGATTATAATAATTAAGGTTTTTTGTTGAGCAGTAATAAAAAAAATATAGATGGAAATAAAATAAAGATGTTGTTACTTGTATTTGAAAAAAAAAATGTCTGTAAAAGTCTCAAAGAAATAATATGAATATGGCTAATCCATTTTTTGTCTAATGAATATGAATATTAGGTGCAAGTATACATGCAAGCAGTGTTAATTTGCAATCCTTTTCTACTTCAAAATAAATCAGTGTTTAGCAATCCAACCTACACCATCAAGGGGCATAACAGCAAGATATACAAGTCAAAGTTTGTTTAGACAAGTAAATGTCACGACTCTAGGCCTTTCAGTTCTTACCAAGAAGTTGGCTGATAGCTTATTTAAAAGGGCACTCACTGTTGTTTTTCTCACATACTCTCTATTGCATGCTATCTGGCCAAAAATCACAACTCTTTCTGTTCATCAGAAGATGAATTATCATTTTAATATAAGTGTTGCACAACATATATCAGAGTTCCTCAATAGCCCTGGTTATTAGCATTTCTCTGTAAACTCTAGAATTTATGGCAAGGCGGTACATTAGTTCTATCAAAATTATCCAAAAAACCAGTTTATGTTTTTTTAAATTTTTTTTCATGTGTGTGTATTTTTGCTTTTGATGTATGTTTATCATTATTATATTTTCGCCTCTGATGTTAACAAAGATAATCTTTTGTTCAAAACCTGTTGATCTCAAGCATTTAAGATAGTTTCCATTAAATTTGTTTCAAATCTGTGCAGTAGTTTTTGATGGGAAGTTTTAGAACAAGAACATTGAAAAAAGGACAGCAAGTGGCTGGATTTCAGAAGAGCAGAAACAATTCTGAAAGATAAAAAATTGCAATATTCCTTCCTATATGTAGAAATGAGTATATTATATATAAGTGTTTTATCCTTATTACCATTGTTGCTACATATCCCCAGCCAATATGATATTTTTGAAATATTTTGGTCATATGTTACATATTGACAGATTGAATGTTACTAATGATACATATCCTGTAAATGGTTCACATTTAGTTGTCTGCTGATTGCATTACATACTACAAATTTTACAATAGAATGAAGTTTTGAGTAAAGAGTACATATGAATCTAAAATGTAACAAAATCCTGGTGTTATCTACAGCTATACCTGTATCCTAAGCAGTGCAAGAATTTTCAAACCATGCTCATAACCACACCACCAAGTCACCCAACCAATCACTTAAATGTGGCCTAAAAAATGACTTATTGTCATTAATGTGGAAAGTATGCAAACCATGCTAATAACCAAACCAGCCAGTCACAGGTCATCAAATGTGAAAATAAAATTTAATTTGGTCCATAAAAATAGATGTGATGTCCTTTATATGGATATGATGCCAAAACTAAAACAGATATTGTACCAAACACTTGATACAATAAACTATACATTCAGCTCTACAAGTCATTTTAAGATATTGGTTTTTGAAAAGCTGAAATCAAAACTAGTATTTCAATCTTCTTTATCTGCAAAAGTTTCAGATCCTTAATCTTAAATTTTCATGTTTTTATCTTTAACATTTTTCATATCATTTATCTCCGTCAAGGCGTCCCTTATTATCAACAGACTGTACTATGCTGTATTAGAAAACAAGTACAAATATATTTCATATAGAATTACACAGGTTCAAAACATGAGTCTATAAATTCTATGATTTTACAAGTAATCTATCATATCAGCAATATTAATTAACTAAGTCCACATACTGATAAATAATGGTTAAAACAAAATCATAAATAAGTTGTTAAATAACTATATTATCTAATGTAAAATCAGGACTTTTAAATCCAGCCACCATTAATTTCCTGTACCACTATTCCACCTTAGTCCAGCCACATTACTCCAGCAAGCTAGCCGTTTGGTAATTCAAGACGAAGAAAACTTGAACATTGAGGCTAGAACCCTGACTAAGTGACAAGGACGTACTTGGGTATTGTGATAATGTTAGTATCTATCTATGTTATCTTTGCCAAATGCCCATAATTTACTATGAGAACATTCACTCATTCTACAGATATTATAAAAAGAGATTTTACAGTTCTTTCCAACTATTTTTGTATTCAAAGAAATTCTTTTTGTAACACCTGAACTTCTTGTATTCATTGAAGATAAATTCTTTATGATAATATGAGTTGTTGAAATGTGCAACTGCAGATTTGAGGTTTTCAAGATAACTCTCCGTGTAAAACAAAAAAACTATTTCAGATGGGTTCAATCAGGCAGATGTTGGTATTAATCTGAAATATCAAAGAGCTCATATCTAAGGCAGGTAACTCTCTATTGCAGTTGGTCATGCAAAGCAATATAATCTCAAAGCTGAGCAACCCACAGCAGGTTTGGGATGCCAGGTCACTTCAATCCCATACACAATACCTTCACATTTAATTTATTTCTGCGTCCCCGCCGGACGGCAGGGCCTTGATCGGTCTGTGATGTAGTTCGTGCCGATTCATCCTGACAGAGTGATCAATCACAAAGGGTGTTACATCATACAATAAATACACATTTTCATACCATCAAACATTCCAGGCCAATCAAATTAATTTAATTTTAACAACAAATTTCTGAAGTGTGTGTACAAAATATGTTATCAGGTGAAGGAATAAAATGCCATCGCTCAGTATCAATGATAATAATCAAGATATCACTCGATTAAAAACTTTAAACATTTAATAACAATGAATTTTTTACATCATGGAACATCACAACATGTCAACAGGCAAACACAGATGTGTGCAAAACCAAGGCACCATTTAAAACATTGATATTTGCTAATGCTCAAAAAGTGATTCACAAATGATTATTTACATATCAAATTCAGTACATACCATAAATTCAGAGAATTGATTGAAAGTTTAAAACAGAATGAAAAAATAACATTAAAAAAACAAATACATGTAAAATGTCAGGTTTAGTCAATAAGTAGTAGCAGTTACAGTAAACTGTTGGGTCAGATCTAATCTACAATGGTCAGTTTTAGATGAAATAAAATTTTTCCATTTTTAAGACTTGGATTTCGTTAGGATATTAATACTTCTGAGAATTTTAGCATTTTTTACAAGATAAGGAAAGATTTTATCGAAATGGGTAAGAAAGTTTAAAAATATTAAAACATTATTTCCAGGTAAATATATTTAATACTACATCTACATATAATTTCAAACTTTTCACATTTTTTTTCCTGGGTTTTTTTTTATGGTCTTTTTTTTTAAAAAAAAACATGCTGACTTTAAGTATTTAGGAAACGTAAGGATAAGAAAACTGTTAGAGAGAATTTGTAGTAATAAATCAGATCCTGATTAGGTATAATGGAACCTTATTGTTTCTTTTCCTTGAATTCTGAGATCTAGAAAACAAGGCCCTTTTGAAGCTGGTAGAGACACTTGTGTGGAGATGAACCTGTGCAAGTATGGAAACTCGTTAATACAGGTGTAGTAATTTATCAGCACAGGTAAAAAATGGGTATACTTATTCTACATTGTAAAAAATTACATATGGATACGAAAAAAATGTTTTCAATATCACAACAATTACTTAATCACATCAATTAACATAAAACACAGCATTTCAATGAAAACAATTTGACAATGGTCTGTTAATAAGCAATATCATATCACCAGTTTTAATAGGCAAGTTATGAAAGAAAACACAAAAACATAATATTTATATATCAAAAACTTAGCACTAGTTTCTCTTACAATCTTAGTGGAGATATTTCTCATGTCTATAACAAAGTCAATTATAACATGGTGAATGATATACTGCACCAGTCCTATGTAAAACTGATCTTAATAACTGAAGACTATCTCTACAGGTCTCGTTACATAATCAATTTCTTTCTAGATGTTCATTACATATCTTCTGGTCCTTTGACCTGGATGTCAAGAATAGGTTTAACACATCTTTGGCCATGAACCCAATTGATGCTAGAATAATTTGACCTTTGACCTCCTCTTGCAAACTTGTGGGTACAGACCCAACTGTTACAATGATTTGTCCTTTGACCTCTTGCTATGACTTTGTGGGTATAAACCCATGAGATGTTACAGCAATTGGACCTCTGACCTCTTGTTCAGATATTTTTTGTATTGGTCAGAGTAATTTCTATGACCTGACCTTTGACCCATTGCTGTAACCTTGTGGAAAAAGACCTGAGAGCCTGTAACAAGGTATATACAACATGATGTTGTCATGTTTATTTGTCTATAAACAACAATTCACTTGAGGTTTTTGACCTACATTACAATGACATTTGACCTTTTATCATGACCTTCACCTCAGCCATTTGGAAGTTTCTGCTACAGATCAGATGAGGGTATGAACAGATAGACTAAAGGACTGGTACAATTACACCATTACCTTGATTTGTTGTATCATAATAAAAAAAATAATAAGTAGTCAAAAATACAATGCATATTCAACAGATACTTACGAATAATAATTAGCATGCACCAGTAAGTAAATCTGGACAAATGTGTATTACAATAATGGGTGTCAGGTATAGAGTCCCATCATTCAATCTGTGACAAAGTAAAGTTTAAAAGTCTGATATTTCATTGGGAGTTGTCTCCCCATTTACTATATTACAAATTACTTTAAAACATTTTCTACAGAGTACTACCTGTAGAGTATTACTATGTAATTGTTTTTGTACATGGAGAATAATGCTGAATTCTAAACAGTATTTTTAATTGTCTAAACACAATAGAAAAGTGTTGGGACTCTCTACCTTGTGTAAGTGACATAAACACACAGCACAAAAAGTTAATCTCAAAATTTAACATTCTTTACTCTTGACCTTGGTATTTAATTAAAATGATCACTTTGAAATAATTCAGACAACAACATGCACAAATCTATATCTTTTTTTCTGAAAAATTATATTAGTTTATATTATTCGTTCTGAGCAAAAACCAATTTCAAAATGGTGGTTCTAGAGGCTATCTTCAACATGGAATTCAAATAAAAATGATTGCAAACTTAATCTCTATTTAAAAAAAAATGTAACTTAAGGCATATACTATCTGAATCATTCACAAAGATCAAGTAACAATATCATGTACTGTACATCAGAAAATGACTTCACTATTTGACAAACAAAAGTTCCACTTCCTTGTAAATTATTGTTCTACCATGCTTTGATTTAGTCTACCAACTACCATTATAAACATCCAATCCTTTGTATATGACTGTAAACCAGTAAAACTAGTTACTAAACAAGATTCTGAAGACCACCGACCATCAAATTTATGACAGAGGAAATTTTACTTTGTTACCTTCTTTTATCTAATATTCTCTGGTTAGATTTTCATTCCTTGATTAAAAAACTTAAAACTTCACCTGAAATCTTAATTCACTTGTTATATATATCTTGAAACAAAATAATGCAGAATATTGGACAGAAAAAAATTTAAGTTGAAAATAAATATCTGACATGGAATGATGACTAAAGACAAACAGGTTACTTCCTGAGCTTATTCCTAAACTTGTCCCCAAATCCCCCCCCCAACTCCGACCCCCCCCCCCCCCTCTCTACCCCTAATCTTCCCCAACCCTGACACAAAATCAATGAATTTAAAATCAGCAAAAATTATACTGAAAAACAGATACCTTGGTCAACAGCTATAAAAACCAACATTAACATAAAGCAGCCTTATGTCACCATTGTGTTTAGATCAATTTAAGTTATAAATATCTAAATTTCAATATGTTATAACAAACAGGAAAATCATTTTACCCATAATTAGTCTTTTACAAGATGAAGCTTTAAACAATGTCAAAGGATTTAAATGTTCCACATTAACATTCATTTTAGTCACACACCACTGGACACAGTTCCACATCAATGAATAATCATCACACACCACTGGACTCAGTTCCACATAAGCTCCATCATGCATGCTGGAAATGTGTGAGTTTACCTGTGTTACTTCGTCCTCATCTCCAGCAAAATGGACCTTACGATTAACTTTTGCATCGTCATCGTGTTCGTAAAGGCTAACGGTGATGGCGGGAAACTCAATCTCCCTAATAATTTTGCCGTTTAGTCCCTTGCCTAAGCTGCTGTTCGATAAATCTGATGTATCTGGTGTCTGTATTAAAATTTGTTTTTTTTTTATACCTACCAGCATTCTATGGTTAGTAAACTAGCTTAAAGAATTCACATCTATTCTGCAAACAAGCTCATAACAGGAAATTTGTGTGTTAATACACTACGTCTGTAACCCTATTGGGACATTACAATCAGAAATTTTCTAAATTCACCAATGATGAGCTCATGTTTGCTGATAAACACAGTCCAGACCCATTTCCCCACAGATAGTAAATTTACATTTAGAATCTGAATCTATCTGTTCATTCATAAAAGATGATTACCAAAGTTTTCCCCTTGACTGACACTAGTAATCCATGGGACATTCCATAGTTTCAAAGATAATTAAATCTTAACTTAAAACTAGCTCTGATTTTTACTATTGTGTTCATCATTTTTTGCCAGATGTAAACTTTAATTACAGATTTAGATTAAAAAAACAAATTAAATTTATATGATATTATAACATAAAATAAATAAAATCCTTCACTTGTCAAATCAGTTCTCTATCGCCTGTTAACACATGTCAATATAATCCTATAAAATCCATACAACGGGCAAAGGATTTCAACAAAATTAACTCGTATAAATACATACAGTCTTAAATTGCAGAAAAATTATAGTGAGCAATAATATAATGGAGAGTGAATAAAAACAGAATGATAAAAAAGGTGAATTGAAAGAATAAGGAAAGATCAAATGGAAACAAACAAAAAGAAAATCAAAAAAATGAAAAATACTTATTTAGCAGAAAGTGATTTTTTTTTCAAGTATTGCACAATCAAATTGCGAAAGCCTTACCTTTCCCTTGCGGCCTTTCTTCCAGCTCATTGATGTCTCCGTGCCCAAACGTAGAGCTAGCTCTGCCTGAGAAAGATTGGCAAAGTCTCTAGGGTCCATTCCATTCTCTGATGCTTTTTCCTACAAATGAGACAGAGTCAGGGACAAAAGTTTTCAGTAACTTACTTATTTTCATGAATTTCACATCAACATTTAATTGGAAAGCAATTTCAAGTATTATGTAAAATTAAAAGAGGAAAATTCTGAGCAAAAGTTTGTGTTAAGTTTATCTCCTACGACTTGGATCAAAGCCATTTAACTTTGCCTAGTTATTTTATATCTCTCCAAGTCTACATGTGCTCTATCACAGCAATCCATGGATTTAAACATATGTCCTGGAAATCCTCACAGATAAATTTTTTTTTCATCATCTTATTCCTCCTTTCCCTTCCCCTGCAGTACCTTCCTTACTTTCCTATTTTTCCCTTCTCTCTCTCTCATTCCATTCCCTGTTCTCTTCCTCTACTCACCACTAAGAATGCGCTGAAGGCTTCCTCTAGCTTTGGTACCACAGTACTTTGCATTTCCTTAATGGCGCCAGTCTTTGGTCTATCTCCAATCTTATTGGTCAACTTGTCAGGAAAGGTAAGATGTTTCTTACCATGAGAATCAACATAAGTCCTAAAGAAAGACAGCAAACACTGACTGAGAACATAAGTTTAGACTTACAGACAGAAGAATGGAAAAGAGTCCAAAAATTTAGTCCAATTTCAATCTCCAACATAGTTCATGGTTTTACTCTTTAGCTTAAAAGAAGGAATTAAACTCTAAAGAATTTTGAAGAAACTGGTAGGGGAAAAAAAAGAATGAAATGGATATTTTTGAGAAAATACTGGATATATTAAACACCAACATATTTAGTGGTGTAAGACTGTGATGTTAATATCTTACTAAACTACCTAGATTTCGACTTACTTGAAGATGAAGCCAGCGTGGGTCTCCTTCTTCTTCTGATCAGCCTTACTAGAGCCGAGGTTGAGGTAGGTGTCTGTGTCCAGATAAAGACTAACCATATTGAGTTTTTCCTTGTCCTCCGATTCTTGTAAATGCTTCTTAAAGTTTGTCATAAATCTGGGAGGGTAAATCAGAAATAATGTAAATGACTCCAAATCACTGACAATTAGTATAATGTTTTAGTTGATAGTTCAGACTGATATTAATATTCTATGTACCTTATTTATTCAGTATTAATGTCAGTTCATCATCTCTTACTCAAAGTCAGGGGGTGGGCTTATTACAGGATGATGGAAAAGTATTGATTGCTCAAACAGGAAAATATTGCTGCATAATTAAGGTAAATATCAAATCTGACTTACTGTTTGTTGTGTGTCATTTCAGTAAATGGGGGTGGAGGTTTCGCCGACCTCTTCTCATCGTCAATGTCATATTCCATATCATCTCCATCTTCTTTTTTCTGCAAACAAATTTTTTTTTTTATTCCTCCAATTTGTCAAATTCTATTTAATAACAAGAAACCTGCTGTGAATAAATAATTAAAAAATAAACAAAAACAAAAATAGATTCAAAGTATTGCTCAAATGAAGAAGCAAAAAAGTGCAAAAGTACTTGGGTATTTGTATTACATTTATTTGAAAATTTTTCTGCAATTAAAAGTACCAGTCATTGTAAATTTGAATTTTGAGGATACACAATGTGTATCTCAATTCAGTAAAGAGTATACATTCTACTTTTATATGAAATATAAGATTTTCTCGTATCAACATTCATATTTAGTTTTGACTGATCAAAATAGTCCTTTCTATTCACGGCTTCTAAAGTGGCAGAATGTTGCAGATACAGATGAGGCGACAGAAGAAAAAGCTGTTATTTTGATAAATGTTTTGTTATATAAGCTATACTATGTAATTACATATATTGCTGATTATACTTTTTATGTTAAGCTTCAATAATAATAATAATACAACAGAATTATAATTATACATGTTACCTTGTTATCAAAAATGTCATCAAAGCAAGGTAAAAGATTAATATACAGGGACAGGAAAGAGTGCTGTCAAATCCAGCACATTTTGATGAAATGAAATGATTTACATACATAAGAAATGAATTAGACAGAAAAATATGTGTTTTTTCAGTAACTACTGTTGAATACACATACACATTTTCTCAATAATTGGCTATTCTAAAACAATGTAAGTGTTTTGCAATTCTAGTGAAATACATACCTCGGATGGTACTGACTGCAAAACCATGAAATATCCTATAGCTTTTACCACAGAGTACATACATTGTCCTTGTTGAAAAGTCGATATATTATTTCAACAATGGATTTATTAATCTTAAACATAGTTGTATCTTGTTCCCCATTAAGACCATATATATATATATTCTCATGTTTCAGTCTGGAATATGTAAGATCTTGTTTGTGAGGATGCTGGGTTTAATGCCCTGTGAACAGCTACGGCCATTTTTAGTCTGGGACTCTTGGTAAAAAACTGGTGGCTACCTCACTGAACAACATACTGGAGGCATTACAGATTTTATTTAGAGCAACAGGGAGTAAGGAGTCTTGCCCAGGGAGGACACAACCATGAAAGAAAAGAAGAGTAGTTTCTAAACTGAACACAAACTGCCCTCAGAACCCTATATCTGAGATCCCCATTGGAGGTGTAGTCCTTCAGTGCTCTACCTACTAAGCTGTCCTGCCCGTCTCCACATCCTCCACAAAGTTTGACATGCAACATTTGGGCCATGTAGACTTAACAAATCAGGCTGGTATAAACTTAATGGCAGACATTCCTATTTAATTCGCTTTTTACATTTCTGAATATTTGCCTACAGAGATAATCATTGCTCCCTTGAACACCTTCATTCACTCACTCACTCCACCACCTCACCCTCCTTCCCTTCCCAATCCCAACTGCCTTCAACCCTTCAATAGTCATTATCATATATTTTATACATATATCAATCTGTTATGATATGTATTTGTATCTTGCTTAACTTTATTTTCCAATAAACAGTCAGTTTGAATCCATAATTTACCTTCAATTGTCTAGATCTTAAATCTCTTATTAGGTATTGATGTAGCGTAATAGATTATCATCATAAACTCAAATAACATTGAGATGTTCATGTCGACTGAAAAAAAAAACAATGATACTTTTTTAAAGAATTAACTTACCTCAGTATCTTTCCTCTGTTTCGCCTCTTTTACTCTCCGATAAGCAGCTCTTATAGCTTTCTTCCTCTCTCGTTCCATTTCTTTTCTTCGTTCCCGAGCTTTAGCCCGCATCTCAGCCCTCTGCTCACTGCTCATGTCAGCACCTAGCCCCAGTGCTTGTCGTAAGCGTTGGGCCCTCTGAGAGTCTGTCGTCGGGACCCTGTGAATAGCCAGCATCTTCTAATTTAATCATTTACCTTATGTAAAATCATTTTCAAATTATCTTCATTTCTATCATCTTAAATACTTCATAAAATTATTACAATAAAATCTATATTTTCTTCATAAAAGAATTTGTGAAAAATCTTCCTGTTACCAAGCTCATCAAGGACAAAAAAATATACAATAGCAAATCTATTCAGGTTCGAAATGAGAAAATTTGATACAAAATGACTGCATCATAATGTTTTGTCAGCTTTAGCACTTTAATTTAGAAAAAAAATAAACAAAAAAAAAACCAAAAAAATTGTTTCTTTCTGTTGAGAAATCTTTTTAATTATATAGTTCAATTAATTTCATAACATTACAGGTTTGAAGAATAAACATTCTGATTTAGATAATGAAAAAATTCAACATAAATTTGTTTTTTATTTAAAATTCAAAGCTGTTAAATAATCAATGATAGATTCCAGTGTCACTTCATTCAAATGTTGATAAAAGTATGTGATATGCTCGAATTTAAAATGTGATGCCGATGTATTATGATGGAGGTATTTAGGTTGTTTTGTTTTGACCGACCGTCTATTGTCAGGAGGCCAGATCTATTTTCAATCATAAACAATACACAGTACCACCAAGTCCCACAGATATTGAGACTAAAAACCATGCTTCATTACCTCACAGTCTCTATAGTGTAAAAGCTCCAAGTCTACATAGCTTAACAAATAACTTACAAAAATTAGCTAATGTGAACCAAATATGATAATTAAAATGTAATAATTAATAATTTGATTTTTAACATCACAAAATTGTAAACTTAATCACTGACGAAATATTTTCAGAAAAAAACACGATTTATTGAAGAATTAGTTTAGTTCATTTCTGGTGAAGAAACAAAAGCTTTAAGCAATCAGAACCAGAAATTGACATTACTGATTCTGATAATTAATAACACATGTTGTTTTGTCTAATGTTGGGTGTTAGTATGGTATAGTATGGTGAATGTTTATCTAAACTTTGTATATCTATCTGGACACATGTTATAAGTAAACAATATCTATACCTATATACTTCTGTATAAATATACATTTTATTCCTTTACAATTCAAAAATCATGCATATATATTGTTTGTTAAACTTGAAAGTTAATATCTAACATGGGTAATTACATAATTAAATTTAAACTTGTAGGTGAATATCTAACATGGGTACTTACATAATTAGATTCAAACTTGTAGGTGAATGTCTAACATGGGTACTTACATAATTAAATTTAAACTTGTAGGTAAATATCTAACACGGGTAATTACATAATTAAATTCAAACTTGTAGGTAAATATCTAACACGGGTAATTACATAATTAAATTTACATAAGTGAAAATATACAAATAAATTATATTACATATTTGTAAGTTTACAGAATGAGCATGTAACTTATTCGTCTAATCTTACAGTCATACAAAGCATTCACAATCATAAATTCAAAAAATCAAATAAAATCTTAATGAAGTTTTTTATCATTATTTTATTTCATTACCTCTTTTTTCTTCTTCTTATTAAGCAAAAAGCCACCTGGTAAACATGTATTAGGTTTGATCATCTATAGATAATACATGTATTACTTACTTATCCTACAATTCCTTACAAAATCAGACTGGTTTGACAAAATCAGTGTTAAGGATATTTAATTACCCATTAAAAGAAATATTCAATTGTCCTCTAAATTTATATCTTAGTCAAGGCCAATTGGGCACAATTTAACATCAAAGCCAATTTAAATGTTTTTAACAATTCCTATCTGACGACCACACAACCATGGGAAATCTTTACAGTTGTGTTTACCACATATTTAAAGTTCCTGGCTGTGTATGAGACAGTAAACAAGTTACCAATAATCAAAACAATGAAGGAAGTAAACAATATATTGGAACTTTTGTTTAACCTGAAATCAACATGACAAATTTTGATTATGTAATCAAGCATATCAGTAAGATATTAATTAAGACAGGTGAAAATAAAAATATATTTCAAAAATTGAAATAAAGAAGCACACAATTCTATTAAACTATTGATAATTAGAAAGAACATTTGTATCTCACAAGTAGTTGTTCTCAATATTTCTGAAGAGCATTTGTTTTGGAGATATTACAACTAAAACAGAATATGTAAAACAGTGTTGATAGCGTCACTCTAAAAGTTGGTTTTGAAAATGAGATTGAAACAGGAAGACTTGTGAAATAGAAGTAATTTAAAATGGCAGTCCAAACATGCTTTGTAGATCATACCTATGTTTATAGCTGACAAAGGAAATGGTGAGGATTTACATTTATTTAACAAAAAAATTCATTAAATGAAAATGGAGCTTAAAATGAAAAAATGAGATCTTGATGAAAGTTTCAGTAAAAATGTTTCTTTTCCTGATCATGATGAAAATGAAAATATTTTATGAGGGAAGAGGTTGCTTCATTAATAAAAGAATTAATTTTTTAAATAAAACAAACGATCAATCAATGAAACAGATCCTACCCATTGATTGCAATCAAATAAACAGGAAATTAACATATTGATAGTAATCAGATTATACCACAGTATCTGGCCTCATTTCAATAACAAGTCATTTCTTTTTTCCCCTAAACATAAGTATCCATATCATTAGTTCATCTTTTCTTTTTTTTTCTGTTTTTTCACAATATTATTGGTATAGGTTGGTAATTATTTTGGTAAAATGTTATAATGCATTGAATGTTATGTTCAGGAAATGAGAGACACTAGTGGCAGGTTGTGAAAATCAAACCAGAATTTTCCTTCAAAAAGTAACAACTTAATTATAAAACAAAGATCTACTTTGGTCCTGTGTCCACAATATATTACCTAATAATAGAGGACTCTAATGAAACCTATTTATGGTTTTAAATTATTCCTTAAATATAAACATGTGTAAAAAGCAGCTTTCAGTGAGGGAACTTCTGCAAACCCAGAATCTAGAATGATTACATCTAATATTTTAAAGTTTTCTATTCCATGTTGCTTTCCTCCCAATTTGAGTTTCTAGACCTGCCACTGTGGTAAGCTATAGCAGAACTTCTTTAGTCCACGTATATATACACAGGAAAAATCACTCTCTGGACATTTTCACTTCAGCCATAGGGAGGTAGTTTCTCTTTTCAGGTAATTTTGTTTCATAACTTCCTAGTTTTTTTTGTCCTGTTTGTCTGGTTTATTTATCTATTTGTTTATTTAATCTTAAATTTTTTTCTTCTTCATTTTCTTTTAAAGAAGTATGCTATCTTATTACATATGCATCTCCTGTCCAAAAGAGTTTTGCATTGCAAATAGGTAAAATATGGATTATTAAAGAGAATGTCAAAATGATTTCATATTAACAGACAAAATTGAATTATTGAAGTTCAGTTACCACATTACAGTATTTGTATAAATTCCTGTCCAGAAAACAAGTAATTCCTGACTGGAACAGTGTGTGAACTAAAGAGGTTCCACGATATAAGGGATATGATAAGTATACAGTATCAGTTATATAAGGGATATGATAAGTATACAGTATCAGTTATTCATGGAGTACTCAAAGTTTTACCTGTTTGCTTTCGGGATAATAGGTACTTTAGCACTATAGGCAAGAAGATGGTGGTAAATGACAGAAAATATGACATACATTTATAGACAAATTAACATAGACATCCACAAACGTTCTTATGAAACAATTCCGGAGAAAACAGGCAACAAAAAATTTATTTACAACCGCAAATAAATTAACAATTTTACTTATAAGTTAACATATTTTTCCAAACTTTGGAAACTATATCACTTCAATATTTCAGACCAAATTAACAGATTTGGATTTCACAGGAATGCAAAGGGAGATAATTGAGAGGGACCAAAACATCATCATTCCAAATATTTGCATTTGATTCAAATATTCTTTGTTGGAAAACACGCTTTTTTACTTTGAATAATAATATCAGGTATTTACAAAAAGATAAATTCATGAAATATGTTTTGTATTTTGTACCAAATGTTGTTCCTGATATTCAACACATGTCTTAAACAAATAAGGCAGAATATTGAATGGGAAAAAAAGAAGGAACTTAAGGAAAAAACTACTTAGATAGTATAAGATAAAAGAGGTTATTTATAATTAAATAAAGCTAGTGACCATTCAACAGATAGTTTAATTTATATGTAAAAACAAAAGTGTCCAAGAATAGTCACTGACAGCTAGTGGTCATTTCTACAACTTCTCCAGGGAGATAAGTACAGATGACTACAACATTACAGAGGGATACAAAGTCTACAGGGAGAGTTCTACTACACTAATCTAATATGCAGGTATTGATCATAAAGCCTTATAAACTCCAGGTGCATTGCATTCACAAAATCTTTGATTTTTACAAAACAATGGCATATTTTCTGTGACAGGGTATTTGTAGGGTTCTATATGATTTTCAAAATAAAAATACAAAAACAAAAAAATTAAAAAAAGAAATTATTCAGCAGTGCACTGTTTGGGTGATTATAAGGTAATTTATTATAAAATATCAAAATAATAAAAAGTGATGTTCCACATGTTCTAAAGATAATGTAATAACTAAGGAACACATGAAAATGACAAATTTATACAGACAATGTACAATTATCCTACCTTTTTACCCATGGCATTGGGCGCGTAATCAGTAGTTCATCACCTGCGACAGCGATATGGATCACATCTGCTGTAGAAGGTGGACTCTCGGCTCCTGGTCGAACATGAGCACTGTAAACATAAAGGAAATTTTATGTAAACATACATATGACTTCTCTTATACATTTACAAGATTGATAAACTAAATATGTAATTAATTGTAATGTTGGTTAGTCAAACATCAATTTATGTCATCTGTTTATGGTCAAGGGGAGATAATAAAAAAAAAGAACAACATCACACACAGCAAAGGAAATCACAGGGAGGAAGGTATTAGTGAAATTATCAATATAACAGTGACTGTCTTCTGATTAAAATAACTATTTTCAATCAAATATACCAACATGATTAATCTTATATTCAAAAGAATGACAAATTTATATCATTAGGCAGAAGACAAAAGTTCATATTTCCTGCTGAAATTCTGATATTTCCTTCTCCGTACAGCTCAAAATGAAGATATAAACCTACACCTCCTATCTACCAGTAATAAGGACATCATGGCTACCTATCAAACCCAGATTTCAATGACAAACTTACTCCAGGAATGTTTTGAGGTCCTCCTGCAGAAAACGCATCCATGCCCTCTCCAGACGTTCCATTGAATGAAATTTTGCCATGTTGAACACAGAAGCTTCCACAAAGTCTTTTGCCTTGAGTAACGTTGCATGAAGTTCAACCCTCTCAGCCTCAGACAGACCTATATTATTTATCATACACATAACTGACACCAATTGAGCGAACTGTATTTAGTCAAGAAGTTTTTAAAAGTTTTTAAAAGTTTTCTGATAAAACTTCTTTGGACACAATATCAGTCAATTTTTCAAATGAATATCACCTATATTTCTAACAACATGCTGTTTTTTTATTATCCTAATTTTGATACATATGTTAACAGATATTTTTTGTTGTTCGTGAAAACGTCATACGATCATAAAAAGTTACACATGAGACACTCTTACTCACCGATACTGTATTCAGCAGTAGGCAGTAGATATTTGTTATAGATGGTCCATGCGTGACAAAGGCGGAGCAGACGGTCAGCCGAACGATCTTCAGATTGGCCATATTCTGTTACATCTTGCCAGAACAGCAGGTTGGACAGCAGCAGATGGTCAGTTTGTCTAAAATAGAGTAGAACTCATGATGAATGATGATTGCAATTCCTGTTGCTATTAAAAAAAGTACTTTTTTGATAAAAAACTTAAAATTAGTCAAAAGAGTCATAGTGACAATCTGTGAAGTATGTGCATTTAATGGGAATCTTTAGATGGTTTTGGTACATGAGCTGATTGTCCTCAATAACTAAAAGTACACAAGTGACAACTGTATATTATATACCATCAGCACCCAGAAGTCTTCTTTTCAAAACCAGATGAACTTTTATTTTCATAAATTAAATTAACCAGTTGTTTTTCCTGATAATGTATTTCACTTTGGCGCCTTATGATCACAAAACAAGAATTTACCTCTCTAGGAATCGCTGAAATGGCCCTCCAGCCACTTTGTCTCCCATGAGAGCCATCATGAACCGATTTTTGGCAATCCTGTAACCAGAGTAACAGGAAAAATTATAAATCATTTTAACAAATGGGACAAAGAAGAGAGTAAACCTATGTAACCAAGGAAACAAGAAAGATATAAACTTTCATAACCAGGGAAACCAGAAATATGTAAACTTAGGTAACCAGAGAAATGTGTAAATATACGTATTTCCAAGGAAACAGGAAAGATATAAACTTATGTAACCAAGGAAACAGGGTAGATAGACACTTGTGTATCCAAGGAAACAGGGTAGATAGACACTTATGTAACCAAGGAAACAAGAAATATAGAAAATTATGTAAGCAATGAAACAGGAAAATATATACCAATGTGTCTGAGGCAACATGAAGATATATAAACAGGTGTTACCAAGGAAACAGGAAACCTCAAAGATATCAAAATGGAAGAAAAATCATAACCACTTTGTCACCAAGACGAATGTGACAGTTGTCAATTACAATATCATATCATTTGTAACAAAGTCAAATGAAAAAGTATAAGTTTTCACAATCAAGGGAAAGGGAGTTATGATTTACCACTGTAACTTTGGATCCCTGCACTAACTTAAGTGGTAGTAACTTTGGATCCCTGCACTAACTTACTATATATAAATATGGTTGTGATAAAACAGAACATTTACCAGTTATACAGCAATACAAGTTTCTATAAAAATATTGAAGTCCCCATCATTGCAGATGAAAATATATTTTAATTTTAATAATCTGTTTGATAAAGATATTTATCATTGATAACATCATGAAACAACACACTACATCAATGAAGACCAGTATAATATTACACAGAAATACAACAACACACACACACACATATATATATATAGATATGAATATATGAAGATCAACATCATGTCATTAAGTGTTTTTATATATCAAGTTGAGTGACAAATCTTGGGATAACAGGCTGTATTTTTTTTCCTTTTTTCATCTTGTTAAAAAAAGATCAAAACAATTTGGAAACAATTTCACAAATCATTCACTTAACTGATTAACAATTTTGTAATTGGAGAACTGATGAAATTGAAATCAATTAATGGTACAGAATTGCTGATGGTAGTTGTGGAATTTCAGAATCAGGGCAAAGGTACAAATAAACAACAAAATCTTTAGAAATTTTACTTGTCATTATCCAGCATGTCACCCAAATATCATGTGCTATAAACAAATTCAAAACAACTTGTGAATACATCATGAATGTGTTATACAATTAATATAACTATTAATATTTCATTAGTGCATTCAGTTGTAAACAAACACTTAATGTTCAAATGATTCAGATAAATATAATGAATATTCTTTTCTCTTCTGTGTTTCTAAGAAATTAACATATCTTCTTTCAACACACCTATACATGTAGCTGTCCAAAAATTTATGTTGAACAGAAAGGAATTTATTCAAACCAATTATTTCTTTATTCAAAGATTAAAGGGAGTTCACTCAGATCAAGGAAAAACAGAAATTAAACAAACAGCAATATGTGTAATAACATGGGATTAATCATACATCACTGCAAACTGTGCATGGGATAACCAAAATCAGGTGGATATATATATATATATATATATCAGGTAATTTGTTCAAAGAACAGGAATATTTTTACCTAGAATTACTGTCAACAGTTTGGTCTCTTATCATAAAACCATCTTATTAACAAAGAAGTAGTTAAAATATTTTTATCACTCATATTAACCTAATTAATACGATGAACTTTTGACCCGTAATACTACATTTGACCTCTATATGTAATATTACATTGAACTTTGACTTGTAATATTACATTATCTTAACAGCCATATAAACATAGACGGTTGTTAAGGGGGATTCAGGTTATCGTGAATCCCTTTCAGCCACTTTGTCTTCATGTCTTGAATATGATAAATTATCAAAATGATTAATTTTTGATGATTTTCAAAGATAAATGCATGAATCCATTCATTTTTTTGGCCAGAGTCCTTTCTATGATTTGAGAGCTCCATTTTGAAATATAAACTCCCCTCTCAATAAATACAGTATCAAAATTAGATCTCTCAATGTAATTGTAAACCTTTTATTGACTTCATTTTGATACATTAGGCACAAAACTATGCTCAATTTGAAATATCATATATATGACAATCATAGTTCTAAAGAAGAAGATTTTCAATTACTAGAAACTTACATTGTAGAAATTCTAGTGGATATATTTTCCTGTTTGCTTTTCCTATTTTAGAGCCCTTATAGAGCCCTTATAGCTTCGATTTGAACAAATCACAAGTGAAAAGTTAATAAATGTTATGGACAGATGACAGAAGGGTAAACAGACAAATGGATAATAATGTTAAAAAGCCCCCGTGAGTTATTAGCTCACGTGAGCTACACAATACATATTAGTGTGCACTTTCACAATGCAGGTGCAGACATTTACCAACCTTGTTGAACGTGAATACAAAATTCTGTCACAAATAGAAGACACAGAACACATGCATTTCAGTTATATGTAAATACCTGCCACCAACAACATATCCAGTTCCCTAATAACAACTATACCATCAACTCGCCATCAAACTCAAAGTGTTATGTGTAGCAGATTTGAATTGAAAAGTTCAAAAGTTATGGACACCTTCACATTCTTGACCTCCGACTCTTGGTAATGTGTGTCAAATTTCACTAAAGTATGTATACAAAGTTGCTTAATAATCTTTACTATAGTACAGTATTTTCTTTATGTCAGGAATTCTCAAACTAAAATCTGTTGTCTTAATTCTCACGTTAACAAAAAGGTGATGTAGTAATTGTTGTTGTAGTTTGCCAGTTACCTTGTCCTAATGCCACAATTCCGTTTGTGTATAGGGTATACCATTTGATGATTCTTTATATCATTTGATATTGTAAATATATTTGGTTTAAAATTTACTAAATATGATTGCTGTCTATATTACTGGTAAGATAAATGACAATAAATGCCAAATTAATATTAGTCCTGGATTATAAACCCATATCCCATCAAAAGTTAGCAGTACACTATCAATGTACCAAGAATCTGTATATACATGATGACATATTCCTTCCCCAAGCAGCATTATTAACACAAAAAAACAAATATAAATCATTGACAATCTTTTTATGTTATTTATCTAGACAAAGCCATACTAAAATTAGTCCTTATTAATAAAGAGGGCGAAAATTGACATGATTAACTTAACCTGTGTGTAATGGTGCATGTTTCTAATCATCCCAGTAATCCATCTGGCTATACTTAATTAATACTAACACCACAGTCCTTATTTCAGTCTAAAAATATCATCTATAAATAGACACTAACATAAAAATAAATATGGAACAAAATATACAGATTATCAGGTATTATAGAAAGACATCCAAAAAATCTACTAATACTAACCTTGCAGGAGGCATCTGTCTGACTTTTGCAGAGGTCACTCTGTTGTCAAGGCAACGACCTCCTTGACTTATAAACTCCCAGTTCTTTGTTTTAGAATAAGTAAGAACATCATCTGGACGGACTGGCATAGAATTGACCAGTGAGATGGATGGAAAGAAAGGAAGAGCATGTCTTGTTCCATTACCATATTTGGTCATCATAGTAATTCCCATTCCAGCACCAATGTCACTGTGACAACCAATCATATCATCAGTAACACATAAAGAATGCACCAATCTATGATATTGTATGTTATATATAAACTTATTTCATATTGTTTGTTTCTCATGTTGCTCTCTTCTTTATTTCTAAATAACAGAGGACAAAAAAAACATTTCATTTGAACTCCAGTCTCACAGTAAGCATTGATGCAATTGTACTCCAATCTATGAAGAATTCGCAGGATAACAACATTAGTGGTTGGCAACTGATCAGCAGTTAAAGACCAGATTGTGACCAGTAGTACATACTGTACTAGCCATATAAATCCGAGATGAGTCAGGACTCTCCGACTTACTAGCTGACCACTTCTGACTAAGGACTCCAGAAACAAAAGTGCTGAGTTCAACAGAAACATAAACTAGCCGTAGTTGAATTCATTTCTAGAAAGAATTGTTGAGAAACCAATGTGTGATGGAAGCAGGACATGGAACCGGAGTATTCTCCTCCTGTTTTAAAAGCTACCTCACATGTTCTAAGATAAAATTTGTGAAAAGGAACTCAATATAAATTTTCTGATGAATAATTCAAAATGAATGCTTGTTTGTGTACCTGAATTCCCGCAGTCGCTCCTGGTGTATAAGGAAGCGAGGGACCCAGTAGGCCCGGAGTCTCCGCAATACATCATACTGGGTACGCAGGAAGATCGTGTGGCTAAGATTGGCACTGCTGGCAGATTTCGAGATCTGGTTCCGAGCATCCTCCGTCAGATTCATCTTATAACGGTCCCGTATATCCCTAAAAGGATTACATTATGAAATATATGTGGGTACACAGTAAGATTTTATCAATAAAATACACTAATGAACACATGCTAGTCTTGATTTTAAAAACATGCATGCAAGCCAGTTTGGATTATTTCAAGTTTTCAGAATATTGAGTTTTTCAGACATTTTTCTGCACAGTCAACGAAATGGAAGGGGGGAGCTCTGAATAAAAAAAATTCTGGATAACATGTTTCTGGTATTCCTAAGGATAACATCATCATTTGCTAAAATTTTTTTGAAATATCACAGTGCTGTAATTTTTACCTGAATAGTCTGTTTCTGATGTCATTTTTAGATCTCTCATCAAAACTTTCCACAGTATCCTTGTAATATTCACAGTCCAGCCAGAAGTTGATGAGCTGATCACCAGCAGTCCCCTTCAGGAACTCCTTGTAAGCCTCCATACCTCCATACTGAAGAAGTGAATACCAAACAATGCAATAATATCAGCAATTATTCTCTTACTCACTTTGGAAGGGAAATAAAATTACTATGGACTCCTAGTTCGGTTACGTTCCACTGACATTTCATTCTAAAAATCTTGATTTCTTTTTTCTTTTTTTGAAGTGTGGCTACATCTCTGAAACTTCACAATTCAGAAAATAACAATCTTGAAGCCAAAACTAACAAATGAAATCTGAATGCTGAACCAGTAATCAGGAAAGCTGAATTCTGTTGGACATCCTCGTGGCTAGCAGTGATGAGTTTTGTAAAGACTTACTGAGCCAAGGGCCTGTTCCTTAAGCTGTTGAAGTGACATTTTGAGACGTCCTTCCAGGTTTTTAACATCATTCTCTGTCTGTTCCTCACTAACATGTTCGTCCTCGAATGTGACATACACCTGCCCATTAGTATCCGGCTCTGCTTCCCCGAACAGGAAGTCAAAGTCTACAAACTTTGGGTGTCTCATGTATTCCTCATAGTTGACGGGAGCTGAGAGGGCCCTGTAACAACATCAAGCAAATATTTTATACCAATCTTTCACCTTCAAATTTACTTACATTTGTTTGTATCATAATTTGTGCAAACAGCAAAATTTCTTACTAATGACACAAAACAGAATACAACTCATGTGATGGTGCCTTGTTGTCAAATGACAATTCTGACCAGTTGTCAAGAGACAATTCTAACCTTAGTCAATTAAACATATTGACTTGTAGTCAATTGACAATTCTGACCAGTTGTCCAATTATTGATCTTAACCAAATTGTTAAACAATAGTACAATCATTGACATAACACCCAGTATATTTTTTGTTTAGTTTACCTGGCATGTCTGAGGAAGGTTTCTTCAACATCAGATACTGGTACATTCTTGCGACTCCGCCTGGAGGATTTCCGACTTTTTTCTTCATCTTAATAGTACACAAAGGTTCAAAAGTATCTCAGAGTTTGATTACCAGTAAGTTACAGATTCAGTATCACAACTTCTAAGTAAAGTACATTGGAATGCTTGAAATTTCCCCTATCAACACACAATCTTTGAAGCTTTGTGTTGATACAGATTAATAATTTATGACATGTATTTATATTAATCCAGTATAAAGTTCCTTGAATTCAATGAATATTTCAAATCTGAAGGTACAGTATTGTATTTTAGTGTTGAAGTCCTGACAGTCAATCAAGGCAACAACAATGATTATTTAAGGAACTTCAGATAGATGATGGCTGAAGTGGAAAAAGAGAGTTTTAAAAGACTACTACAAGATAAATATTAAAAAGTGCTGGACACCAGCCTTCAATCCTTACTTGGCTGTTTGTCATCAAACTTGACCACTGTGTTCTCTCTGGACTTGGATGGTCGGTCAGTGTCCAGCGCTAGACCTGGTACAGGATCTCCTGTAAAAGTCAACTCCCTGGGGAGACAGGAAAGAATGTATTTGTTAAGTACTGGGATTTCTATTAGTATCCTAATTCTTCAATGTAAAACCCTATCTTTTGAAACCTAGGAGGTGATTGAGAAAAATCTAATTTGATCTAAGGAAATCCCAAAAATCAGACAGGAAGGCACATTAGACCTAGAATTCAAAGATTTTATAACTTTGAATGTTGGATGTTGAGTATAAATAAGTTTGTTTAAAGCATACTTACAAATTAAGTCTATGACATGAGTAAAGTAAATTGTCTTTATTGACTATCAATCGGTAAAGATCCAATAAAGTTTCATTAACTCATATAACTTTTAAAGTTTGATATTATGACTATAAGCTTCTTTTCTATCATACAGAGTTATGTATAATTCTAACAGAAATCTGGGAATATTTCAGACAGATTATTGATGACTGGTGACAGAGGCAGGCTATACTGGATCTGGGCATTCCCACGGAAATTAATTTTGTTTGATGCAGTCCTATTCTGAGTGAATAAATGAACAACACATTTAGTAAATTCTGGATCTGGGCATTCCCACGGAAATTAATTTAGTTTGATGTAGTCCTATTCTGAGTGAATTAATGAACAACACATTTAGTAAATTCATAAAGCAAAGCTTTTTCATGCTCACTTTTTCTTTTTAACCTTGGCACTTTGTGACTCTACTCGTGAGGATTCCTGTGTGGCTGTTACAGTACTCCCTCTCTGTGTTGTTTCTGAAGCAAAGAAAATTGGTAATTAGTTTGTGACCAATAATGAATTAGTAAATTACATACCAAGAAACACTGCAAAATCATGTCACAAAATATCTAAAAGTGAACATATGTTAATATTTAGCTTGTCAATAGTGAGCTAACCAGCCAATAGTGAACTTGTCTATAGTAAACTTTTCTATAGCAATCTATGTTGACAGTAAATCTGTCAATAGTGAATTCTTTTCTTCATTAAACTTGTCTATATTGAATGCCTCTTGTCAGTAACAGTTGATAGTAGAAGAAAACTTGTCTGAACTCTATCTTAAGGTTCATTAAAATAGAACACTCTTAAAACTAATTTTATAAGCTAGCTATAAAATGGAAACTCCTGCAAGATTCTTTTGGTATGTAGTGAACTTCTGCCTATAGTGAATTCATATGCTAAACAATCCTGTGGGACAATAAATAATCATTATAATTGATTTACCAGCTTAAAATGATATTATGTCTTGAAACAAAAGAGTTATGTCCCTTACCTGAACCTAGACACATTCGAGTTGGCACGCTCAGAGCTTTACTGCCAGGGCATTGATATCTGTATAAGGCTGAATGTCGCAGGTTACTAGAGTCCATGAAAGTCATCTCTTCATCCTCATCGTCCATTTCATCATGAGCACTGTTGTCTGCACTGTTACTAAAACTGGACACATAACTTTCTGATTGTCGACTGTACCCCCGTAACATGTTGGAGTGTCGTCCCGCTGAGTATCTGTCATCTAGTGCACGTAGTAACAGTTTACAGAGCTTGAATTCACGGAACAATTGTGTGCTGAAATGACAAATGATGGGGTAGGGTTAAACTTTGATCAAAATTGTATTACTGTCCAGATTCAAAATAAGCATGCCTCTGATTGGACAGACTGTCCCAATTCTTGTTGAAGAACTGATGAATTTTTCCCCTGACAAGATGCTCACCAACTTACCATAAAAAGAATAAATTAATATTTTAATTTCACCTTGATGGACGAGATTTTTTCTACTTCCAAATTTAGCAAAAGGCTTTGAAAAATCTTATCTACTGAGATATTAGTGTACAGGGGTAATTCATTATTTCCACATCCATCTACCCAAACACACGACCTTTCCTGTTGTCAGCTGTTGAAGTGAACTACAATACTTGTCACCATCTTCAGAGGCCAATGAAATGTGTGTTCCAGTTGTGACATAGTTATAGTGATGTGACTCTTTATCTTTTGATAAATCATCCCTACATATGACTTAGAATTACCATATCTACTTTAACTAGTCTGCAGATATGTGTAGGTTACACTATGATACCACAGATGTAATACTCTGACTTTAACTATCCTGACAAGGTGAAAGTGTTGTGTGTGTACATGTATGTATAATGTATAATTACACATGGACACAGTAATTTCTCAATGATCCAAAGTATAGGACCATTTCCACACCTAACTCTTCTTTGTATGTACATACTGAAATGTTTAAGTAAAGTAAATATTGATATAACAAAACCACAAAGACTTTTTACCAAGTTTGATCAAAAAACAAATTATACATTTATGATGAGCAGTTCTCATGTACATGTAGAGAACATCAAAGATAACCAGTAAAACAGATGTGTGAAATGATACTGGCCGTTTATTACAGAAAAACGACATAAAATAAAAACATGTATACAAGACCATGTTACATCACACTGGAACTGAGTTACATGTATGTCTAAGTAATTACACAAACTAACTCATTATGTAAATGAGGGGGGCAAACATATATTTATACATGTTTGTCGGATTTCATTATACAGTTTGCTCTGAAATATCTGAAAATAAAAAGTGTTATTTGAATTGATCTATTATTTACGAGTGCAGTGTTACATACACAAGGTAAATTATCGTAACATGATACTGCGACCTGCCTTAAGTACATGTACTGTTCTGTGTATATTCATGTACTGTATATAAAATTCCAGGTGTATCGACAACATGCAGTTTGGTTAAATTTGCCTTTAAGTACATTTGTGGTTCAGGATAATGGCTTCTCACCTGATACCCTGGGGGATTGGGGGGTTGGGGTGAAGTGATTACATATAACACTGTCTTTCAGAAATAAGGCTGCCCGATAACTACATCCAATTACAACTACTGTATTGTGACAAGGGAAAAATTTCACAATGTGTACAGTGAATTGACGATGTTATAATTAGTCAGTGTAAATAATCTCCCCAATATATCATGAAAGACCTCAAATGACATCATGATGATCATAATTAGTGGTAATTTGTGTTCCTTGTTCCTGTTAATTCATGTTGAGAGTTTCAATTTCGTTTTGTTACTTCTAAACAAAAGCAAACAAGCGATCATAATGAATGACCGAACACCTTTTTTTAACATTATTAGTGTCCAGGATGTTTGGAAAATTGGCAAAAAGTTAAAAAAGAAAACTACTAGGATCCACTCATTTGTAAGCAAGGCACTAATTTGCAAGTTTCTTAAGTTCCTAGCTTATGCCTAAATTTGAGCCAAAAATGAATGAAGAGTCGAAAAAAATATTACTCTTTATGCACATACAACACTCCATCATCCCATGAGGTAAACACAATCAAAATCTGATTATTGTAGGCTACAATTACATAAGAATTTACTCAAGAGAGACACTTTGAACAAAGGGCCATAACTCTGAATAATAATGTGACTTAGGCCAAATTTTAGTTTATAACACTCCACCATTACTTAGAGGTACATATATATATAGAATTGACCACAGTAAGAAACACAGGACAAAAGATATATCTCAGAGAGAGTTCTATTTTATCAAGAAAGGGCCATAACTCTGTATATTGTTGCACCCAGTTTTAGTCAGATACAGTACATGTGACATATCAGATATGACAAACATGATTGTCACAAGTAAAATATGTTTGCTCTTAGCTAGGTTGAACGGGAGACCCGTCACATACAATAAAAACCTAGTGGGGTAAATTGAGGTGGAATACGTCCTGGACAATTTGTACACTGAGAGACCTAAAGTCCCCTCCGGTTGTATAGTTAGGGACTAACAGACCAATGAACTGTTGGTAATAACCATTCGTCAACAAACTTCTACCATTGGAAATTCCCATAGAGAGGTAAATTTTGATTAAGATCTACAGCCAGATATAATTTGTTTTATTTACTCCATAGATTACTCCATAGATATTTGTTTACTTTCAATGCATATTTTTTTTTTTAAAAGTCAGAATGAAATATTTTTAAAAATCAAAGAAATGAATGAGAGGAGAATTGAATAGGCCTTTTTGTCTGAAAGAGGTTTACACAGCAAATGACAAAGAAAGTTGGAATGAAGTCCTAATTTGGCAGCCTTCAAATATGTGTTAATTTGTTTCCATATTTCGAAAGCACGGCTACACCTTTTCTTGGTTGTCAGGTAAAGAGTTTGTTGTTTAAAATCAAGTCACTCAACACCAATGCACATATATCAATAACACATATAGTGTAATGTCAAAAAATAAAAGATACAGAAGATTGACTAAAACAACTAACATCTCACATTAAGATATTTGTTTTCATATTTTCATACATTTAGAACAGTATTGTGTTTGAAAGTTTTAAATACAGATATGACAAAGCTAACAATACTTTCAGCGTTAAGGTTCTGATAGAGGCAATGTTTAAGCACAGTGTGGAGAGGAATTCAGATGATAGGCAGAACTCTAGTGTTATAAATAAAAGTCTTGATATATTTGCTCATACCGATTTAACATTTCTGTTCCCGTGGCAGGAGGCCATTGTCAAATACTCTTCATTGCATGTTAGCAAATGAAAGTGACATTTCATATCAGATCTGTTTGAAACATGAAAACAAACAGAAAACATTTGTCAACTTCTATTTTTGTCAACAGAAACGCTGATATATTTGCACAGACGTTTTTGATATAAAAGAAACCAATTTGGATTACATAAATCAATGTCACAAAAATGTTTGGCACTTCTGTCAGCGATAACTGTTTATCAGTTCTTTTTTCTCTTTTTAATTTTTTTTAAAATTTTTTTTACAAAATTGTTCTAGCTCAGGTTGTAAACTTAGCACCCAGAAACAGAAGTATCCCAGAGTACAATACTGATACTGTGATACATTTGTTTAAAGTGCCATACAATGACCGTATATGTATGCTGTGACTTTCATTGTTAATGGTTATGATATCAATTCATTTGAACTACCTTTTCAATGAAAGTCTTTCAAAAAGTCTTGTTTTGGAATTTCTTATTTCTTTTTATTTTCTGAATGTTTTGAAATCAACAAGGGACAACATTGTTCATTTCTTACCCATGACATAAGTTTTTTATATTTCAACAGGTGAAAAACATTAGGCTACATAAAAGATATTGAACATTAGAAGAAATTCTTTGGATGTACAATATATTATCCATAATGCTTTATCACTAATCATGTTCTGAATAAGGGGACATGGAAATTAGCAAACCTTCATAAAAAAATCAAGTTATAATTAATTAATTTCAGTTAGGTAACAATGATAATGAAATATTCTGTACAGAATGATAATATTCTTTGCCTCCATTCATTATAAGCCTGATTATATAAACACACATTTTAATCTAACGATTTTCTCTGATAATTACCCCAAACAATATATTTTGTATTGGTAAAGGTCACAATCATTAACTGGCCATCGGATATGCCTGAACGGACCAGAGATGTCTGTACCGATTTGATAGTCCAGAGAGATGAAATCACACAGCTCCAATTATCAACGTTCAAAGGGAACAAAACATGGCCACCCAAGCTTAACGTCTCACACAACTTACGACATTTAATCTTAAACTCAGATTTAAACAGATCAGACTGGAGTATTACTGCGAGGAAGGAGATCTATTTTACCAAGTGGAATACACACTTACATACATATACCTAGACCTGTTTAAAGGTTGTGGGACTTATGTAATCATCCATATTTGACATTTCTTGTTTCTGAAATCAAATTTGACAATCGTTCTTAGATGTAACCAAGAGCGTTGTCAATCAGAAATCTGCTGAACGATCTATCCAGAAGTGTGTGTCACTGTTATAAATTATACACAACCTCTTGTGTCTCTTAAAACTGTTAGATAACTTGAGTGTTACCTGACAACAGGTGAAAATACATTGATTAATGATCAACCCTGAATTATATGACCAACAATTTAAACAATCATATCAGAAAACTAAATAAAACGGCACACCATTTTCACGTCAAGATATCATTAAAGATTATGTTATAACATCACCTGGTGTCAATACATTGTATATGACGTCAAAATAACACTAACATGACCCTGTATTAGTATATAATATATATATATATAATAATCCTGACATCACCTGGTGCCAATGTATGGTGTAATAAAAACACTAACATGACCTGGTGTCAGTCTATGACGTCATACTAACACTTAACACAGTCTGATACCAGCATATGACATCATACTAACACTTAACACAGTCTGATATCAGCATATGATGTCATACTAACACTTAACACAGTCTGGTATCAGCATATGACATCATAATAACACTAACACAGCCTGGTATCAGCATATGACATCATAATAACACTAACACAGCCTGGTATCAGCATATGACATCATAATAACACTTAACACAGTCTGGTATCAGCATATGACATCATAATAACACTAACACAGTCTGGTATCAGCATATGACATCATAATAACACTAACACAGTCTGGTATCAGCATATGACATCATAATAACACTAACACAGTCTGGTATCAGCAAATAACATCATAATAACACTAACACAGTCTGGTATCAGCATATGACGTCAAACTAACACTTAACACAGCATGGTATCAGCATATGACATCATAATAACACTAACATGACTTTGTGTCAGTACATGAAGTCATATTAATACTGACATGACCTGGTGTCAGTGTATGATATCATAAGTAAAGTCCTTGTAAAGCAAGAAAATATTCAGACACCAAAACAAGAATTAAGAGTAGATCTAAATCTATTGGAACAATATACTGTAGCCTAGTACAACAGTGTGAGGACAAGCTATAAATAGTTATACTCACAATAACCCACCTTCTCCCCAGCCCCTGCACTCTACTGTGGTTTGTTACACCAATACTATCCCGCAGTTTTGCCCATGCCTGGTTTCAATAAAAATCTCAGCAGATGTTCATCATTGTACATTTACAAGACCATGCCGCTTCTTATAATCAGATATAATATGACAGGACCTCTCACCTAAGCACAGGGTAAATATGGTATGTTGGAGTCAAAGGTAATATGACAGGACCCCTCACCTTAGTACAGGGTAAATATGGTATGTTAGAGTCAAGAGGTAATATGACAGGACCCCTCACCTTAGTACAGGATAAATATGGTATGTTGGAGTCAAAGGTAATATGACAGGACCCGTCGCCTTAGTACAGAGTAATTATGGTATGTTGGAGTCAGAGGTTATGTGACAGGACCATTCACCTTAGTACAGGGTAAATATGGTATGTTGGAGTCAGAGGTTATGTGACAGGACCCTTCACCTTAGTACAGGGTTAATATGGTATGCTGGAGTCAGAGGTTATGTGACAGCTAAGACGCCTTGCCTTAATACAGGGTTAATCAATATGTTTTGCTAACAGATATCATACTCTTTTTTAATTGATAATTTCTTTTATCTTATGACATTTGAAAAGCTGCTTAACCTAGCCTTATACAAAATACAAAGATACAACATTCATACAAAAGATTTATAAACAGTTCCTTGAGTAAAGACAAGCCATTTTGTGTGTTAGCTTTGCCTTATATGTGGGCAAATGATGTTCAAGACAATCTGCCAGAGAACATGAAGGTAAAATTCAATCAGCAGCAGTGATGACAAAAAACCTTTCAAACTTGTCCTGAAGTATGTCGAATGGACGCATAATTACATGTGAAGCTTTGTCAGAATCTCTTAGTAAATAGGATTTCCAGGGTTATGACCAACAGTCTAACAGACGGACACACAGACATACAGAGAGACACAAAGATGAACAGATGGCATAAAAGCATTTATCTTCACTTCAAACAATATTTATATACACCATTCTATGATATGGAACGATACTCACCTAAGAAAGAGAGGCAGCCTTTCGTCTCGTGCCCATGCCAGTAATTGGTCTCGTTCCTCATCTGTTGGAGCATACTGGAGTGTACGTTCTGATGATCCAGATGACCCCCGATTATCATCATTGTCCGAGTAGTTTACCTCCTCAAATGACCCTGTCAGGCGGTTATAGGTGGTCGCGATGGGGAAAACCTGTAACGATATCTATGCATGTACTTTGTGGCACAAAAAATGTTAAAAGTGTATGTTTTTATACAACATTTAAAAGTATTCTCCATCACTTTACCATGAAGATGGAAGATATACCTGTGTTTTTCTACAAAGTTTCAAAACAATGACTTTCATAAACAGGGGAGGTATTGTAATATTTTTGAAAAATTTTTGAAAGCTACTCATAACATTTTCTTCTTTTTGGGAAAATATGAAACTTTTTAAGATTTTAGCTTGGAAACCAAGACAACACGTATGTAAACAGGTACTAACAGAACTTACTTAGATTCTATTCTTGATGGTGTTTGCTGTTTCATCAGGGGATCAGACACAAGTTATTACAATTTAGTAACTGTATGACTTCACAGGTCAAAAACATTTAAGGTTTTCATTTAAAACGATATAATTAGATTCTAATGCATCAAAAGTTAATTATTTGAATATAAATTGAATTATTTTCCAGAAAATCCAGAACAATGCCATTAATGTTAAGTTGCAAATACATGATTTCTAATTTATCTGTCAAAAGCTAGTTTGATTTGACGATATTAAATTAAAATTTGACTAAGGTTATAAAGGGCAAGTATTCAGTATTGTGTAACAAATAATCTGTCTCTATACCATTTAATCTCTTCTACAAATTGTAATTGTCCTTGGATAATTGGAGATAGTGGAGTCCGCTAGTGACTGTACCGATTATGTCAGCAGTGTTTCATTGTATATCACAGATAAAGTTTATGTGTCTTATTTTTCTCATGGATCCAATTTTTGTGATCACTTTTAATGCCCCACAAAACAACAAAAATATCATCTCCTCTAAAATAACCAGCCACATGGTATCACCACCTTTTCCTCATATAGCATATATTAATAGACAGCAATGGATAGATATGATGGCTATATTTAATTTGAGATGTATATCACAAAATGAAAATAAAATCCAGGACAATTGTTGCTGACAGGAATATACTTATAAAGTTTCAATACCCATGCTGTTTTTTAATTCAATTCTTTTATAAATGAAAAGTTTGACAGAAATCTACTCACTGGGTGTCTGAACACCTGCGACTCAAACATGTCTAAACTAATTTAGAATTAGGTATTCATTCCAATAGCAACAATCAAGACCAGAATTGAATACACTCAATTTTTTTCTCAACAACATTTATTAGTTTTACAGCTAGAGGTGTACTCACTGACAGCATAAATTACTCAACTTTTCCTGTGTCAATAAAAAATCTGCATTTTTAAAATGCAAATTCCAATATGATTTCAATATTTTTGCGTACATTGATCTCACTTAAAATGTAATGAAAATGCCAAACAATTAAAAATCAAAATAGATTCTTGTAATTTATTTTCTTAAAACTGTAATTATATAAATATATTAATATTAATGCAAGTCTGTTACTAATTTGTGAACGGCTCTGACTGAAAAATTGCCTGCAGTTCCCTCATCACCTTGTTCACATACCTGAACCGTTCAATGAACTTTTGATCAATGGAGCAGTACTAACACACTCGACTTTGACTTAAGTGATGGGTTTAATTCCCTGAAGTCATGTCACTGTGAAAAGGTTGGGGGTCACCTGCCCAAATGGTTTTGGTTTTCCTCTGCTGTGATTATTTAAAGTTAATATAAGTGGGTTTAAAAGTTGTTAAAAATTGGAGTATAAATAAATATTTTATCTGATCAAGTCAACTAGATGCCCAAATGATAGTTTTATGCATTTGAAGGCTTTATCACCTTTTCTTTAAGATAAATTTGCATATGACATAAACTTTCTCATGTAAACTTTAAAAAGATAATAGATTTAATATGTATCCCATCTGACATGAAATCTTATAATTTTCTTAAGCTGAAATCTAAAAACAAAGTCTTCCATCAGAATATAACACATGAAAGTGTCCACCTAGCAACAGTTTACTCATCTAAATATGTAGGAGTGGATCACGGATCAAAGATTTTAAAATTGCATTAGCCGTTAAATCTCATGTCTTATCTATGCCTTGACTTTATCAGTATGTGATGTATCTGCTAATACATATGAAAATTTGCCAAATCCTGGAAGCTTTACATTTTAATTCTCCTTTTACTGGGAATTTTAAACACCTTGTACAGCAAGTTACTGCAATTGGCAGTTACTACATATCTCGTCATAATCTCGTCATTAATTCAGCTGGGCAGGTATTGTACTTGTTGCGTCAAGACTTACCAAGTTTTCACAGGTAAATTGTTGATATACAAGTTGTAATGACAAATTGTTATATATTTATATTTTATTTAGGACAGTTAACAAAAGTGTTAATCATTAATAACCATACCCGTTTTATCAATGACAAAAAAATGTACCTGACCCTATATTGTTGTCAAGTAAACAAGTTGAAAGATTTAGATGTCAAGAGCCTTTCAGGTGAGTTTGATAAATTTTTCTAAGACATGACTTTCAGTGTGAAAGTTACCTAAAACAACAGGTAGGACATTTATCACACTACACCAGTTTACCTATAACAATAGATATAACATTTATTATACTATACCTGTTTACCTATAACAGGTATAACATTTATTATACTATACCTGTTTACCTATAACAATAGATATAACATTTATTATACTACACATGTTTACCTATAACAATAGATATAACATTTATTACACTTACACCTGTTTACCTATAACAATAGATATAACATTTATTACACTTAAACCTGTTCACCTATAACAACAGGTATAACATTTATTATACTACATATGTTTACCTATAACAATAGATATAACATTTATTACACTTAAACCTGTTTACCTATAACAATAGATATAACATTTATTACACTTAAACCTGTTGATAAATTTTTCTTAGACATGACTTTCATCTATAACAACAGGACATTTATACTACACCAGTTTACCTATAACAATAGATATAACATTTATTATACTATACCTGTTTACCTATAACAGGTATAACATTTATTATACTATACCTGTTTACCTATAACAATAGATATAACATTTATTATACTACACCTGTTTACCTATAACAATAGATATAACATTTATTACACTTACACCTGTTTACCTATAACAATAGATATAACATTTATTACACTAAACCTGTTCACCTATAACAACAGGTATAACATTTATTATACTACATATGTTTACCTATAACAGATATAACATTTATTACACTTAAACCTGTTTACCTGTTTAAATCTATAACAACAGTATAACATTTATTATATACACTGTTTACCTATAACAATAGATATAACATTTATTACACTACACCTGTTTATCTATAACAGGTATAACATTTATTACACTATACCTGTTTATCTATAACAACAGGTATAACATTTATTACACTACACCTGTTTATCTATAACAACAGGTATAACATTTATTATACTACACCTGTTTATCTATAACAACAGGTATAACATTTATTACACTACACCTGTTTATCTATAACAACAGGTATAACAATTATTACACTACACCTGTTTACTTATAACAACAGGTAAACCATTTATTACACTATACCTGTTTATCTATAACAGGTATAACATTTATTACACTACACCTGTTTATCTATAACAACAGGTATAACATTTATTACACTACACCTGTTTACTTATAACAACAGGTAAACCATTTATTACACTACACCTGTTTATCTATAACAGGTATAACATTTATTACAACACACCTGTTTATCTATAACAACAGGTATAACATTTATTACAACACACCAAAGTGTCCTGCTCACTACATGTATATCACTTAACAGCAGAAGCCGAAAGCTTTAAGTACACATCACAAATGTGATCAATAGTCACAGACACGTGTCATTAATACAGGTAAGAAAATCTCTCGATTGCTGTAAGGACCTAATTCACCCTACATACCTGGGTCGGCCTGGAAAGTCATTAGCCAATCAAGATATAGGTTTATAGAATAAAAACCCGCGTCATTATTGACCCAAACAGTGTAATGCCCTGGGTGTAAACACAAACCCTACACCACCAGCCATCAAATATAAGGATGTACATATCAATATTTTGAGACCAATTTTAACAGAAGTAAGTGTAGGAAAGGTTGATATATATAACTGGTACACAAAAGATTTTGTTTAGTCTGTTGACAGAGATATAAGGAACCATCAATTTCTCTTTTTGATCTGTTATGTCTACATTATGTAATGTTACAATAACCAGGAGTTGCTTTAGTACACCTAACCTCATTTCACACCTCATCAGCTGTAACACTTGTCACTTGTAATCTTGTGTCATATCTACTCACATTTTTTACACTTAACCTTACATTAAAATGATTTTAAATTCAAATTCTTTATTCCTAATCTATATCCATTAATGATACAACATTGTGGAGAATGATACACCCTTAAGTATCAAAATATTTTGTGACTTACATATCAAATACAATTACACTTCATACCTTACTTTATGTCACATCCACCCACACCCCTTACACATGGCCACACCTCTCGCCACTAACCATGCCTCTCGCATCTTAGATTCACCTCTCACACTTAGGAACACCCTTCACACCTAAGTATCACCTCTCACGCCTTGCTGCACGACTCATGTCTAACCACAAATTTCATGCCTCTTTACACTTTTCACACCTAGCCACACCTCTTGCACCCAGTCACACCCCTCACAGATAAGTACATCTCTCACACCCAGCTAAACCTCTCACTGCTAACCACAACTCTCACACCCAGCCACATCTCTCACAGCTAAACATCTCTCCAACCAAGCCATACCTCTCACACCCTGCCACACCTCTCACACCCTGCCACACCTCTCACACCTATCCATAGCTCTCAAACCCAACCATACATCATACCTGTCTCATACCTAGGAACACCCCTCACACATTGCCACATTTTTACCCACTAGCCACCCCATGACACCTTACCCACCTCTAAGACTAACCATGCCTCATGCCTGTCCCATTAGGAACATCCCTTATACCTAGTGCGTCTCTGAAGCCTAGCTACATCTCTTTTTCCTAGTCATGCTACTTTACTCTTGCTACACACCCCATATGATACTTTGCAGCACCTCACACACCTAGCAACACCTCTCACACCTAGCCACACAGCTCACACCTAGCTACACAGCTCACACCTAGCTACACCTCTCACAACTAGCCACCCAATATGATACCTTACAGCACCTCTCACACCTAACCACACCTCTCACAATCAGCCACCCCATATGATACTTTACTGCACCTCTCACAACTAGCCATACCATATGATACTTTGCAGCACCTCTCACACCTCTCACACCTAGTCACATGTCTCACAACTAGCCACACCCCTCACACCTGGCCACACAACTCACACCTAGCCACACGTCTCACAACTAGCCACACCCCTTACACCTAGCCACACAACTCACACCTAGCCACATGTCTCACAACTAGCCACACCCCTCACACCTAGTCACACCTCTCACAACTAGCCACACCCCTCACACCTAGCCACACGTCTCACAACTAGTCACTCCTCTCACAACTAGCCACATGTCTCACACCTAGCCACATGTCTCACAATTAGCCATCCCATATGACACTTTGCAACATCTTTCACACCTATCCACTCTGTGACACTTTGCAACACCTCTTACACCTAACCTCACCTCTTAACAGTTTAAAACACCCTTCACAACTATCTACAACTGTCACAACAAGTCATACCTCTCACACCTAGCTATGTCTCACACCTAGCAACAACTTTCAGACCTAGCCATACTTCCAATGTCAAGCCATACCCCTTTGCCCTTTCCACACCTCTCACCTCTAGCCACAACTCTCATACCTAGCCACAACTCTCATACCTAGCCACAGCTCTCATATCTAGCCACAACTCTCATACCTAGCCACAGCTATCATATCTAGCCACAACTCTCATACCTAGCCACAACTCTCATACCTAGCCACCTAGCCACAACTCTCATACCTAGCCACAACTCTCATACCTAGCCACCTAGCCACAACTCTCATACCTAGCCACAACTCTCACACCTAGCCACCTAGCCACAACTCTCATACCTAGCCACAGCTCAAATATCTATCCATACTGCTTCCATCTTTTTAACAACTATCACACTTTGCCTGGAACATCTCTAAAATAGTGACACATCTCATACTCAGTGAAACATTTCACACTTAGCGACACATCTCATACCTAGTGACACATCTCACACTTAGTGAAACATTTCACACTTAGTGACACATCTCACACTCAGTGGCACATCTCATACTCAGTGACACATCTCATCCTTAGTGACACATCTCATACTTAGTGACACATCTCACACTTAGTGACACATCTCACACTTAGTGACACATCTCACACTCAGTGGCACATCTCATACTCAGTGACACATCTCATACTCAGTGACACATCTCACACTTAGTGGCACATCTCACACTTAGTGGCACATCTCATACTCAGTGACACATCTCACATTTAGTGGCACATCTCACACTTAATGACACATCTTACACTTAGTGGCACATCTCCCACTTAATGACACATCTCACACTTAGTGGCACATCTCACACTTAGTGACACATCTCACACTTAGTGGCACATCTCACACTTAATGACACATCTCACACTTAGTGGCATATCTCACATTTAGTGGCACATCTCATACTTAGTGACACATCTCATACTCAGTGGCACATCTCACATTTAGTGGCACATCTCATACTCAGTGGCACATTTCACATTTAGTGGCACATCTCATACTCAGTGACACATCTAACTCTTAGTGGCACACCTGACGTTACTTACATTGAGAGCCAGAAAGGCGTTGAAGTAATCCAGGAAGAGATCATCGTAGGCCAGTAGATCCTCGAAGTTCTCTCCTGTGATGTCTAATGCTGAAATTGATAAATAGTATTTTTAAATTAGGGTCAGCTTTCAAATGAAGTGTGTCGTATACATTCTGGTATAACTTGGATGCTCTGCCCACCTGTAGTGTAACTAAAACATGTCCATACTGTCCATGGTATAGTGGTCAGCGTCCGAAGGCTGTAGTCAGTGGACGGTATCCTTTCAAAGTCACTGTCGCCTTCACTGAATAAATGAGTGAATTGTTCACACGACATTGCTTCTCTAACGCTACTTCAAAGTCAAAACAAGGGGAGTCAATATTTCAAGGTCACAATGAGAATAATCCCTGCTGTTTTCCCCATTACTATTTTCTTCATAAATACAGACAATTGTCATTATTTTGCATAATTTCTATTTGTAAACATATATTAAAGGAAATCAATGCACTGAGGTTTAATCTTAAAATTAAAAGGATTTTTGTTTTTATTTTCCTTTCCATGTCTATACTTCAACAGAGAATAAATATGGCACTCAACATTTTTAAGGACATTAAAATTCAAGATCAATATATCCTAGTTGAATGTAGTACAAACTGGATCTGTCTATTTTGAAGGATCTTGGTTCCCCCCGGTGAGTTTATAGATTTTTTTTCTATCTTTATAGTTTCAGCAACAAGGTCACTGAGGGGTCATACATATATTAATTCCTCGACAAGTACATATACGGTGCAGGTTCCTGGTCACACATGTTCCACAAAAAGAATGAAACAAATATGGAAAACAAAAATTAACTGCCTAACCTTCGTCTGTCTGTTCGTCTTGAATTGTCTAACGTCTCTGATACGTTACACAGACCACATATCTATCTCTGCAATCACAGAGACCAGCAGAGTCCCTAAGACGAATGTTTTTGTCTGTAAAATGATATTTTACGTCAATTTTCAAATTCGTTATATATTTATTGATGTTAACATTTTTACGAATCAAGCTCATTTTAAGAACTCTCTAGACTTGTGGCAGTAAAACCACGAGAATTCACTTGTTGGTAGACCGACTCGCCAAATGGCGGCTTCCGTAGTGATGCTAAAACGTAAAGTTGTCGAAGAAATGATTGAAAATACTTGGTGTACGTAAACCTTTAATTCTTTTGACACTTATGCAAATTAGAAGTTAGTAGAAAAATGTTCCATCGATGTGTGATGCTGTTGTAAATTATATAAAACAATTCTTGAATGTCGATCCTTGCATGAGTCGTAAGTACTTGGGGTTTGTTTTTAGGGAGGAATTATATCGGTCTGCGGCCAGGACGAGAATAAAAATCGCAGATATACAGACTTTTTCGGAAATTACCAAGATCACGTTGTAGCATGGAAGTTGATTATTGCGAGTTGACACTAATTTTGAAACCACCACGGTATTGAATTATCCACAACCGAGATTAAATACACAAATAAATGTTTTGATTTTATGCATATAAGTTTAGCTTTTGCTTTATTGCTTACATGGGTAAATTATGTTGTGAAATAGTTTAAAATTTCGTAAACGGGTGCCGGATGTGTGAGTTGAAAAACGTTACTAATTTAAGTTAAATTTTAAATTTTAAATGGAGGCTGGGGAAAACCTCGTAAACAGATAATGTGTATATTTCGTCCTTTCCGGGTCATTGGAAACCAATATCATGATCCACGTATGGTATAATGCTAATATATGATTACAAGTGTGTACGTATAAAGACATCCTCATGTAATTAAATAGATCTGTAATGTTCAAATAAAGGATTAAAACCTATGAACCTATAGCCTTGCTTATTTCAACTCAGCTACATATTACTTTATAAACGTCGTTCCATTTTAGGTAGAAACTTAATTGAGAGGTCACTTATTTTAGTACTGCCATTTTAGTTAGACGTAATACACGATAAACACTGACCATGATTTCTTTGTATAAATCGACTTTAAATCGACTCACTTCATAAACAAATTACGGATGTCGTATTATGATATCATAGATTAATTTTCAATGGTAGAACCACAAGTGTTTGGTAGTTAACTAGTTCAAATATTTGTTCACCGATCGCGAAAGATTGACATCACGTTTGTGTGTATATAAGAAAGCGACGTCCATTTCCAGCTCGCGGACAAGATTAGCAAGGTTAAAGCCCGAATCTATTTCAACAGATATTTGTTTTGTCCATTAATACTCTAGTAAATTTTGTCGTCAAATGCCCTCGTGTTTGGCAGAAAGTCAACACCGGCCGTCATGTGGACTTAAATGGTTTACTGGTCGACTGCGGTCGTAAGGCAGTCCCACTATAGCTGAAGAGATTTATGACGGTTCACGACTTTTAAAGTACAAAATTACATATATTGAATTATTGTTAGTTCGGAGGTGTCTCATATGCGATCCCTAATGTCATTCAAAATCTTCATCTGAATCTAATTGAAGATATATGTAAATGTTTGGATTGATTTCTGATCTATTCACTTGTATACGCCCCAACGCTACAGCGCAATCTGAACGTTGACAGGCCTTTCAACCGTTCTGCTTAAATTGGAAACAAGTAGAAATACCACCCAAATACATGTACAATATATATTTGTAATCAGTGTTAGCGAGAACTCCACAACCAAAAAAAAGGATGATGCACAACGTTTCCACGCCAGTCAGACCTCGTAGATGACATGCTGATGACGGTTGAACGGCTGACGTCACTCAGACCCCATTAATGAAAATTGGTTTTACCATTTTATAGAGGATTATGTCCGAAAATAGATAAGACTGAGTATGATATTTTGTCCGTTGGTGATGCCCCGGAGATGAAATGAAACCTGATTACGCCACATTCTAACGAATGACCCCTAGTTATTTACAGAAGGCTTTAAAATATCAGAGTATACAACAAATGTTCAACCTGAACGGCGATCTAAAAAAATACCAATATTATTTCACGCCTGACTATAGTTAAAATGTATCTTATTATTAGCAAATGACTATCTAGAGGAAATTTTATGTCATAATTTGTTTTCTAACAGTAATACCTTTTGTTGTGCAAGTAAAATCTCAAAATATGACCAGCATTATATTATGAAACTACAGTTATTCAATCAAAAGCGATTTTACGCTCCGCTTTTTTAAACCAACGAGGCAATATTTTTAAAGAAAAATATCTATCTGTCCTCTCTCATAGTTCAGTAAAAGTTTGTGGTATGCTCAATAATTAATTCTGGTTTCCAGTACTTACATGCTAATTCGACGCCATCAATTTCATATAATTCCATCTATGTAATTCCTCGTGGACCGTTTCCACTTTTTTTTATCAAATAGGAAAGTTTCAAGTGATCAATCACATTTTCACTGCCGTACACGGAGACCACTTTCACTCATTATAATATCGCGGAGTGCCGACAGAAGTGTCTAGTGTGTATGCGGGGTAGCTTTGTGTTGACACAATGACTGTACAACACAACAGATAGGCTTATATTACAACTCCAGCACCAACTTGTTCTCGGCGAAAGTAAGGATAAACTCTGCTCTATCTATTTCTTCCAAATGACTGAAAATTTCAGACTAGCGCGTAAATGGCTTTTTCTGTGATTTTCGATTGTTTGTCAACTGCGGATTCATTTCCAGAACACAAAGAACTGGTTGTGTTTTTTCCCAACAGCAATTAAAATGGCCATGATTTGTTTTTTACGATGTAGACATAAATTACAAAGGGTTGTTTGAATTCTTAAGTACACATGTACATTTCACAGCCCTAGAAATGCACCTCGCAATACACCCTAATACAAACACCTTGTCGGTGACATCAAAGGGGTTACCTGTATCAGGTCGGTCATCTTTGAATTTACCTGTAATGAATCATTTATTACGTTACCAAGGCCCTGCCGTGTTGTCGTGGACAAAACATTGCATAAAGCTATAGAGGGTAATAACGAGTTTTCTATGGTGCAGGACCGAATCTAAAAACCATTTACATGTTCCACGGACATAGAATATGATAACATATTTTTAATTCGTCGTATTAAATTGGTATACAATGGGCTATGTGATGTTAAATACTTAACAGAGATACCAATTAAGGGTTTACAAAGGTTTTATTTATTATCATTTTTTCACAATACATCATGTTTGATCTGTTATCGTGTATAACATTTAGTTACATGTATGTACAAGGTACAGAGTGTTCAGTTGTCATACAGTACTTGTACAAAGCGTTTGGTTTGAATACAGTATATATATATATTGAATATAACTAAATTTACTGCAAATATCACGTGACTGTACCCTGGGGTTGCTGTATGCGTGTTTTGGACACAAAAGTCAATTGAACGATATTCAATTTACTGGCGTAAAATATTATTTCTTTCATTTTAATCCGAGATCGGAGAGATACAAGCACCTTGTCGTACAGCACTCCCGAATACTCCCATACTGAAATTTGAAATCCCGGCTTCTTTTCAATTTCGTGTACATTTAAATGGCAATGTTTTTTAGTAATCGGTAAGGCAGGAATGACACAGATTTCAAACCAGTGATTAACATCATATACGTCGCTCGAAATAAATTTGATTTTAAGCATTTAAATCTGATTTAAAATTCAAAATTCAAATTTATTAGACTTGTTTCACCTAACACATGTTTAGTATACTGCTGAGGCCCCCTTCCACCGAAACATTGTTACATGTCCCTGGGATTATGACGTCCAAGACACGAGTCAAAGATTTTTAAAGATCGGAAATTGTGACAGGCCATGGAAGATAAAAAAAAATGAGAAAATAGGTTTTGAGACGGCTTTAATTTGTGATAATATGATACTATAAAATTACACAACAAAGACATCAAAGAAACATACATCACTGTGCTGGAATAAATATACTTTTAAAAGAAAACCATGGATCACGTGACGGTTAAATGTATGTTTCAAGGTCAACATATTGTCGATAAAAGTATGTTGACATAGTAAACATGCATGTTTATAGCATTACGTGTTTTTTTTTTTTATTTATTTAAATCTATAGTAAGGCTTGTAGTATAGACATATAGCCACGCCACAAACCTATGCTTGGATGTAATTGTATTTTGCAATTTGCATAAAATGTCCATTTCATAATTTTTCTTGACACTCTACAATGAAATTGATAACGCACGCCAGTTTCAGAAAATGAACAGATAGTGATAGACAAAAGCAGCATTTAAAAACATAAATAACGTCCCTGCGTCGCTACCTCAAGTGTATGCACCGAAGTCAATCTCCGTTGATACGGGGACAATTTCCGCGACACCTGACGTTTTGCATAAGTCGATTTCTCATTGACTGTTGCCATCGGGCCATGGTCAATTTCCTGTTTTCAAACATTCGTTCGATAATTTGAATGATCATTGCCAATGGCAACCGTAGAGTGTCTTTGCACAACCTTGCATGTAGTTTATAAAACGTTCGATTGACCAACCTGCTTAGTATACAAATGCCTTTTCAATTGTAGCATTTCTCCAATAGCCCGATGGGTTGAATATTCATGGTTAAGGATGATAAAAAGGAATTCTGTTTGAAATAGTTCGATTGTAAATATAATATTCCCTGGAAATATCGACTTATTCAGACTAACACACTGTGCTTGTTTATCAAACGCATGGAAAAATGAAAGGAACATAGCGATGGACTAGAAATATACAGTACAGATGTATACAGGTTTAAATTTACATGGATACCAAATGTCGACTAGCGTTAATAAGTGTTATCGATTGAAACAGCGATGAAATAATTCCATTAATAAAAGATTATTTTAATCAGTGATCGACATCTCGAAATAAAAGTTTGCCGGGTTTATCTCCCCATTAACAGACATAGGTTACTTTTGAGGAGATGGTGTCACATAGAAGCCGGTGGCTACCTCACTGAACGACATACAGGAAGTCCGTCGCATGATTTATCAGGTATTTGAGGTAAAGTGACTTAGAGCAAAACGACACAAATACGACATCTTCGATACTTCAGGGGTTACGATCAATTTTGCTCTATGCACCCCTTGAACATGTCATGGCAAAATTGAAGTTTCCACATGCGACATATTGTGGACAAGACGAAAAGTCTAGTTTGATCCTTTTATGTACATCAATAACATCTCGGAGTCATCTATCGGTATATTGTAATTTTTTTTTAAAGTTGGGTGTCGTTCCTTTGTAATCTTCAACAGGTGCGTATCAGCCTATGATTGGTCTTTATTTTCTCCTAGAACCAATCAAATTCCTTCGCTCGTGCGTCCAATTTTGCCACGAGACGTTTTAGGGATGCAGAGAGTAAAAGCGACTGGAGACCGTAGAGAATCGAGAATACAAACACGACAGCTCAGACTAATCCGGGATCGATTTCGACGTTGCTTTCAATTGGATTGGTGACATAACATCATTCTTATTGTCATGTCAATGATTCGAATTACTGACATTTCATTTTTAATAAAACAACGACCCATGCATAATCACCATATTTTCATCTCTCCCCATTGCTCGCCATAAGCAAGTTAATTGCTAAATAAATACGTAAATATTAGAGTTTCTATTTCACGTGAGCAGAGAGCTGCATGTCATCACCTAATTACGGATTTAAAATCGTATTTATGTATAAATGATTAAGCTAGTATTGTTAGGTAGACATAAGCAGACTCTGTATAACATTCATACTAGTATACATGTATGTGTGTATCGCTACACCATCAAAAACTTAAGTCGATCTACAATGTCGGTTTGATAAAAATGACACACATATATTGCGGCCAGCAAAGGTTAGATCTATATTGTACCTCAGAAAAAAAACTACTCTAACACCGGTATGTAACGTCATAACAACACTGACAGCTGTTTATAATAGAGTTGATTTTAAAATAGATCCCAACAGAAGTCGACACATATATTTAAATGCCGATAGTCGAAACAATATCTGCCATTGAAATGTTTTAAATAACCTCCACAATCATGCAAGTTATTGAAGTTTGTTTTAAATCTCACTGTTTATACGAGGAAATGAAGACACTTAAACACACACGTACAACAATAACATTTTACGTATATACTAGATATGTCAGTTTCGAAATCATTGAAATTTTAACTTGTCGATATCTATGTGTAATTACATGTGTAAGTCTTATCTCTAACGTGGTTGTCCCACAGAGAGCTTATAGCTACTGACTACTTACCGTTTTTCATCCGGCCTCCAAAAGAGCGATGTACAGTATCCTCACTATCGACATGCTGCATCTGGGCACTATTTTTCATCACAATTTCTCCCTTTGTATAATTCCCCTTATTGGCACAATTTAGCTCTTTCGCTTGTGTTGCTAGGTACGCCAGTCAGCCATGTTGGTATACGTACGAGCCGGATATCAACAGACGGTATCGGATCGTTAACTATATTGTACGTATTTACTCTACCGATCGACAACGTACAATAGACAGATTTACGGTGGATTTAAAGTCTGTGCGGGGACACTTTTAATTGTCGGGTAATTCAAAAACCCTTTAAAAGGATGCCTTTATCTTCAAAATAAAAACGATGAATGATTCGCAGGTTTAGACGGATTTTATAAAAGGATTGCTTTCTTTCTATAGTCGTCGCACTTTTCATTGCCTATGAGATTTGATAATGATACCGGTCATCAGGTCCAGATACATATAAAAGTATGAACGGTGAGATGTCAACTCCGATTAAAAAACACGGTTTTATTCTTTAACTTCAATGAACACATATAAACGCATTCATATAAAAAAAACTACAGATACATATTCCGTTATTCATAAAGAACTTCGTTGTTCCGGACCCTTTTGATAACGAAATCCTTTTTTTTATCTGCACACCTTTGTATCCAGTATCATGGAGAACTATGCACGGGCATATCTGAGTGTAAAATAAGGGATGTTACAGCTGAAACTTCAGTGCTGATTTATTGGCTGTTTCACGATGTCATTTTTCTCCTCGCGCGGTGTACGGGTTGGCTTACAGTATAGTTGTAATGGAGTTAAGTCCCCTCTGTGAACATCGAACACGTGTTGAATAATACCATGTAGTAATAACCAGTTAAATAGTTATCAGATATCCTTTCTTATATCGTTCTTTTACTGTAGTGTTGGGAATCGGTTGAGATTTCCTGATCGATCATCAACTTTGTGTAACCGATCGATGATCGATTATAATCGATTAATTCTTAATTGTCTGTTTTTTTGATATTATTCAAGTCTAAATACGTATTTTGTGTTATGTTTTAACAGCAATTCGCGTAATTACTAAAACTGTTGTACCTACACCATCATTTTGTGTGCTTGTTATTCGTTTATTGCACAGAATACTTTTTAATATAAACAAATGTCGTTTTTTTTTAAAATAATTTTATTAATGTTGAAAATAATTTAAATGTTGAAATAATCTATTTTCATACATCACGATGATCGATTACAGATTTCTTATTCGATTAACTGATCAAACATCTCAAACAAGTGATACTCGATTAACTCGATTAATCGGAACAACACTATTTTACTGTCACTTTTTTCTTTATGAACGTACCATGTTTTATAATATATTTGATGATTTCTCTTTAAACTATTCCGAAGGGTAATTAATTCTGACGTTGTCGACCAGGACCAACGTAAACTATAAAATCAGAGATAAATAGCCAGGACACTACGGTTGTCTATAATCATCAATTGAAGAAGAACTACTTTCTTACAAATTTTAATTTGGGAAAAGTGAGGTATGTCATGAAATAGAAACAATTGCCTTATGATTTAGAAGAAAATGACTCTTGAATATACCTTTAATACCTACTGTTTATAAAGAATATACACTCATTGTGTCTTTAACCTTGCTTTCCTTGAGCTCTTTTGGAATCCATTTTATCAAAAAAAAAAGTAACAGTTAAAGTTTACCATCTAGTAACAAAAAATTTTAATTCAAAGTCGGTGAAAGGTTAAAAAAACAACTAATGGAAGGTTCACACGAAAACTTCTATTGAAAACGTTAGAAAACATGTTCAGGATTTCATCAGGGTAAGCTTTATTGACGACATGAGCTCACGATGGCGACCATACAGATATGTTTTGTTTTGTATTTTTATGGCAGAAGATATGTATCATGTCTTGCGATGACCGGTACTTATCACTGAAATTCACGTTGTTAAACTACACCCGAAATGAATTTATCCCGTCAGTCAATTTGGTGTGATATCGCGTGCAACCAATCATTTTCGGTGGAACTCTTTCACATGTTGAGCATGCAAACGACAATGATCAGCTAAGAAAGTTACAAAACCCCGAAATACACAAGGGTAAAACGACATTTACTTGCAAACAAATGGAGAGAAATCACATAGAAATATATTGTCAATGCTTATATAGTACACACCCGTACAATTTGTTGTAAGCGACATGCGTATAATTGATACTCGACAGTTTTTTTTAATCTTCGCCATATTTGTTTTCAGTTTACAATGGATGAAGTTACATTAGGCGTGTACAGTTTTAAAGCAAAGATTATAGCTGATGTGATGCTTTTTCACAACTTAATCGTAAGTAATAATCAAAAAGAAAAAAAATCTATTTTCAGTTGAATAGTTACATTTATATAAAATGATAATAATACTGAGTTTAGGAGAGCGTGACTATGTTCGACCCGGATTTGCATACATACACATGATTCAAGGAAGACGTTAATTAACAATGGACTCAAGCGCCTGTGATCACGTCATTAGTCGTTTTCATGAAAGTTGTCAATTGTCTCAACCACCTGCGATCATGTCAGCACTAGTTTTAAGCAAAGTTGTTAGTTGACTCAAGCGCCTGTGATCACGGCGGCAGCAATTTTGAGGAAAGTTGTCGATTAACCCAAGCGCATGTAATCAGGTCGGCAGTGGTTTTAAGGAAAGTTGTCAACTGACTCGAGCGCCTGTGATCATCACGCCGGAAGTGGTTTAAGGAAAGTTGTCAATTGACTCAAGCGGGGGTAGTTAGGTCGGCGGTACTGTATGAAGGAATGTTGTCGGTTTGATTGGGTTTCGGAAAGGCCACCCAATAAACCATTGTGCGACTCATCAAAATCTTTTTTTTTGTTGAAGTTTTTCACAAATGCATTTGACAGAATCCACAGGTGTATTGTGGTGACCCTTTGTCAAGTGTTACTGATACTATATGGGCCTACAGTACAGCCCTAAACACCAAGTCTGTAAGTACAATGGATTTTCGACATGATGTAAGGAACTGCATAACAGCATTGACGTCAAATTGAACAGCTTTGACATCGATTGAAAGATTGGTCAGTTATTGTTCTAGGACCAAGCAAATGACTCAGTTTGAACAAAAGCCTCTGACACACAGAGCAATATTGCTTCAACAAGTATCTTGGGTGTATTGAAAATACATTTATATTAACTTGCCAAAGTTTTCAGTACATATTATCTCCCGTGACAAAACAGCACACTAGAAACTGATAAGTGTTATATATTAATTTTTATTCTATAAAAATGTACATTATATTACAATATAAAACATATGAAACATTTAATAGATCTGCAGGTTTATATGTGTAGTCTATGTATTTCGATGGGATACCATTTATATGGAAAAGTATTATAAAAAAACTGAGTATGATTTAAGTCTCGACTGAAACACAAAAATTCTACTCAAGGAGCTTAATAAGTCTTATGATTGCAATTAGCAAATTATAATCGCATGATCTACTACATGTATAATAGTAGATTGACTATAGATAATTAAAATATGATGAAATTAACTAACATTATTACCTTTTTTCCTACAAAACATCACCATTTCTAGTTTGTATTCACAATATTGGGTATGAAATTGGAATGGTACAAGTTGTACAAATAAAAAAAACTAGAAATGGTCCGGCCCATTTTTCCTATCAATCAGCATTTCTAGTGCGATACAGAATTTTTGGGGAATATTAAGTTATCACAGTAGGAGCATAAGAACAAGTAAACAACACAACAAAGTTGTACATAAACAAAAACACTCAATGACAACAATTTGTTTTTCAAAAATGAAAACATTCAGGAATAGGTTAAAAACGAAAGGAAGAAATATATTAATATAGTTGATGTCAAACAGAAAATAAATCCTAAAAATTCTATCATGACCAAGAAACATCGAAAAGCTAACATTCCTTCTGATTTACATTATACTACAGCAGTAGAAATGTTAATCCGAAAAAAGTTAATTTTGGTAAGAATTCACAACCAACATTAAAAAATAAACAACATTTTTCACACGAAGGAGAATGCTGCCTGGGCATGTATTTTTCATATGATCATCTCGCTATCATTGCTATATCCAATTATGTAGATTCTCAATAAAAATGCAGAAGTGATGGAGATTAACAGTGTGAGATTTTATGACACATGTAAAAGTCATTTTGATGTAAAAGTTTTAAAAAGATTACCGGGTAATGAAAAATATTTTTGCTGAGTGAAAATTTATACACCACTTGTTACTTTAGCAGCATCAAGTTTATCTACATGACAAACTTTTTGGACGGTTTATTTCAATGAAAATAACATTCATTCAGAAAGAAAAAATAGATGATATGCACATAATCCATTTTTCACAGCATTCATTCCAAGAAAACCCAAGAACGGTGGATGAATATTGAGACAGTCATTCATTATAATAAAATATATCCACTAACTTACATGTATTTTATGATACATTGAACATAATATCATATATATACATATATACATGTAATATCATTTTGATTAAAGAAATTTTAGCATGATATTAAAAGACATTTGAAGAATGCATTAAGATAATTCATTATTACATATTTCAGCTTCTGCCTCTGGTAATGCAAGACTATCATTAGAAGCAAACATTCAGATGATGTAAAACTACCAGAAATATCATGGCATATGATGATACAGAAAGATCCTGATCAGTCACGTAAGTACAGAATTTCATGGTTATTGATGAAATTTGTTGCTAAATTCTATCCTGTCTATAAACTACCTTTCCACTCAAACCCATCCTAATAGTAAAACACTGTATCCTGGCATCACTTCTCTTGGTTTATATTCATCTGAGCTTTATGTAACTTGGTTTCTATGACAAATCATATTAGCGTAAAAAATATTCACCATATTCTAGTCACCTAGTTACCATGATGCTTGAGATATTTTTTGTAGTAATTGATGCCTAAGGATCCATTTCTATGGCAACCTGTGTCCTTCTTTCTACGTCAACCCCAAATCCAGCGACAGATTTAATGACCTTGACCTTGTTCTCTAGAATATCTAATCCTACTGAAACAAATCTAGACCCAAGACAACAAAATAATGTATATGTATATCTATGTGTGCCTCTTTGGGCTGCCTCTGTGTTCTCTAGTCCTCAGTAACTGTTCTGTTTGGGTTTTGTCATCTTCTTTAGTGTCGACTGTGCCATGAAAGAATTTAATTTGTCCACTATGTTATCGTAACCTCCCTTTAGGGCCAGGTCATGTGGTGTCTCACCTCTATCATTCTTCCGACCCATGTCAGCGTTACATCTGAAAATCACAATAATAGAATAATAAAAGGTTTTGTTTCTCCTGAAAGCTCGCATGATACACAGTGTTTACCAAATTGTATCACTGAAATTCTGCCACATTTTCTGATATCTAGCTTGATACCAATTTGGTAAATTAATACAAGTTCATTTTCACCTTACTGGTTTTGTACACTTACCCTAACAAAGCATCAATAGTCTTTAAGCCTGAGGGACCTAGGTTGACTGCTTCATGCAAGGGCGTATTTCCTTTTCTGAAATGAAAAAGATGAAAACTGAAATATTTGGTACAAAATGCAGTATTCGTAATTCTGAAAAAAATATCTGCATTATGTACATGTACTAGGTTTTTCTTTAAAAGAGCAAAGCACAAAAACAAAAAATTGTCATCATATATGACACATGACATGTTTTTGAGATCTCCTGTGATTCAGTAACTTTTCACTTGTTTTCATTTATCATAACAGATGTGGCATGCAGTTAGTTCTCTCTGCCATGATATATGTTATGTCAATGAAGATTTGTTGATTACGTCCTGTGATCACTCACATGGAAGAGGGCCCCTTTTGGTTGATGTCAGCGCCATTTTCCACCAGAATGGGGATACAGTCGATTCTCTTGTTCTTCACCGCCACATATATACATGGCAGCCCATCCTTGTTGGTACATGTAGCCTCTGCTCCCTGTGACATAAAGTTATTGTTACTTAAGGAGTTATGCTACAGATATTTGAATTGATTCTTCATTACGAAAGAATTTACTATAAAGACCTATAGAAAACAACGGCCATCTGAGGCAGGCTATGCTCCTAATATCAGACAAATTCTAAGTATGAAAATTATCAAAGGGCTATAACTCCTATATTATATAAAAGAGAGTTATGGTTCTTGTACACTGCACTTCTCTTCAGCAAGATCTATATACCTATGAAATCGTATGTTGATACCTCTTATAGTGTTTGTGTTATGCTACAGACAATATCATGACAGACGGACGAACGGATGAATGGACGGGCGGATGGACAAAGCAGTGACTATAACTGCTCTCCCTTCATGGAACATAAAAATGTTTTATGGAAAGTGAAGTAGACTTGGTTAATTGATGTTGAAATTGGAAATGAACATATAAATGCATGAAATTAATGTTAAGGTATGTTCAGCAAAACAAGATCTGATCATAATTCAACCATTTCAAATTTGCAATGTTTTCTAACAGCCTGGCATGCACTGGTTGTTAAGGATGTGTAGGTTCCAATAATGGAGTTGAAAACAAAAGCAAGAAAGTGGAAAGTAACCACCAGTTTAACACAAGCCTTAATCATGCCTTACCTCATCAATGAGCTGCTGCACCTCTGTTGGGTCACCCTCTCCAGATGTACCCAATTCCCTCAACAACTTCATGTCCATAGCCTATTAAAACACGATGTAACAACTGGATGATACAGGCACATGTCAGAACTAGAATTGACTTTTTAAGTGTATATTTAGCACTACTTCATTTGACTTAATATTTTAAAACTTAAACTTAAAACCAAGCAGATAATCTTCCATCAAGAGGAGAAAGTCAGGTGGCATACTTACTGCTATTTTGGGACCTGGCTTCTTCTTTGGTCTTTTCTTGGTAGTTTTTGTTTTGATGGGTATCGTTGTATCATCACTTACTGTAAAAAAAAAAGTAAGCAGGATTTACATTAATTCCCTGATAAGCCATGTGTTATATTAAGGGTTAGACTTTATGATTTCAATAATGTTGAAGATTCTACTTTTGAATTACTGAGTAGTAATACAGTGTAATTTCATTTAAAAGATGTGTGCCACTGTGGACTTTCTGGTGGCTACACTAAGTTTCATTGTTTTTATATGAAAAGCCAAGTCAGCTCATAGATTGAGTACTTTCAATAAATACATGCATGTTATGTTTTAACTCTTACAGTGAATAGATTTTTTTATCAGCTTGCCCTGCAACAATTATAAGATGCCTGTCCTTAACCCAAACCTTCAATAGCTATCATTTAAGCCTTTTCAATTACAAACATGCCATATTTGTATCAGTTGTGTATGTTATCATTTAACTGTTACGTTAGGATGAGGAAATTTTCAGGACTAGCCTTGTAGAAAGTCATAATTCCAAGATTATTTTTCTATTTTACATCCAAAGATATGTAATCTGTCAGTCACAGAGTGATTTGGTGTGAACTTTTAGAATGATAACAGAATCACCTTCATCATCACTGCGATAAGTAGACATGTTGGATCTTTCTGTGTGCATGCTCAAATAATCTCCAGTCATTCCAATCTTACGGCCAGTCAATGGGTCCTTATTACCTCGTATGGCAAAGGTTAAGGTAACACTTAGCTCATACCCATCTTCCTGGACTGTGCTTGTCAGCAGCTGAAACCAATTTGTTTTTATTTACTGATAATAATATTAATTTTCTATACATGAAAAAAAACCCACTGTCAGCAGTTTCTTCAATATCATGAACATTTTCAAAGCCTTGTTGAATCTGTTGGTGGGTTCATGAGATATGAAAATCTTGAATTGCTGTCCCCATATATAACTAATGACTCCTGAAGGTGCTCACTTGAAACAATCTAGCTAAACCAGTATACCCTAACTAATTCAGTTGTGAATGTTTTGAAACAGTACCAACTTATAAACAAATAAATGTTAAATACGCTTGATTGAGTGAAGACAATTATTCTAAAATTTCATACAGAACAAATATAGCCAACAATTATTCCCTCCATTCAGCAGGTAAGATTTTTTTCTTTGTAAGAAGTAACATTTACTATCCAGTTAATACAAACCTTGCCCATTTTAGGTTCTCCAATCAGGGCCCTGAATTCAGCATCATTCTGGGCATGAGCCTTGAGGTGCTGACTGATGTGTTCGACCTGTTTTCTCCAGTAACCTGACAATACAATACAAGTTTGTCTTATTTAACATTAAAATGATTCATTATCGTATTCTAACATACAAGATTTTTGAAATTACTGTTTTACTGATGTTAAATATTAAGTCTGATACTTAATTAGCATTTGTCCAGAAACTACTAACAAATCTGTCCTTATCTGTGTAATACATTCTCCCCTGATTGTATAGCCAAAAGACAAAACCTGACCCTACCTTTGCCAGGACTGACAGAAGTAAGTAGAGGCCTTCTGTCCCTCATCTGCTTTTCAAATGCTACTTTCTCCTCTTCTTGTTCTTTTTTCTTGCTGAGGCCTTTCTCTGATGGGTAGAAGAGGCCCACAGTCTGGGTACCAGTAGATGTGGTAGGGCGCTTTGGTGGTACGTCCACCGGATAACTTATAGGTAGAAACTGTATTCGAAAACCATCAAAAGAAAAAGTTTTATTATTATGTCATAACTGTATCATTGTATTTGATTTATAAATGCAAAAGCAACATTTATTGGCTTAATGCATCACACATCCACACATAATTAGTAACACTTATGTAACATGCCTGTATTTTAAGACTATTACTTTCCATTTTTAGCATCAACTTTGAGATCCAGGAGGGGGGGGGGGGAGTGTAATTTGAATTTCCTTTGACTTTGTCATGAGAAGGATAATAAAGACTCAAATTTAGTAGGAGCTACCCTTTTCAGAAACACGTCCATGTTTACAGATCTATATACAGACAAGAGGCCCAAGGGGCCTTAACGGTCACCTGAGAGATATATGTCAATAATTTGGGGATTTTAAAATGTTGCAAAAATGTAACAACACTTGTGCAGGACCATGTGTAAAACATCTGTACCAAGTTTGAACATGACCCACCCAATGGTTCTTGAGAGGAAGTCCATAATGTCAGGGTGGCCATCTTGGATTTTGAATTGCCCCAAAAAGTTAAAACACTTGCCAGGACCTTGAGTAGAACATTCGTATCAAGTTTCCCCTTTCCCCCCCTCCTGGGGCCCCTATTCGGGCCACACCCTTTTTCTTCCCAAACTTGAAGCGGCTTCAAATGGGGATTCTTTGTGCCAAGTTTGGTCAAAATCCATCCAATGGTTCTTGAGAAGAAGTCATTTAAAGACGGTTTTTACATATGGCCCCTTTTACACCACTTATGGGCCCCAAAGGGTACATTATCACTTTTTTCAACATAATTTCATATGTCCTTTACTAAGGGATGCTGTCTACCAAATTTGGTTGATATGGGACAAAGTTGAATTTTTGACCGTTTTGGGCGCCCCATAGTGGGGCCGTTTTTGACCCGATTTTTTTTTTCATTCGCAAACTTTGTAGACCATGCCATAAGGACCCTAAATATCAAATAGGAACTTAATCTGACAGTTGGTTCGTGAGAAGGAGATTTTTAAAGATTTATCTAATTTTACCCCTTTTTCCCCCTCCTGGGGCCCCTATTTGGGCCACACCTTTTTCTTCACAAACATGAAGCGGCTTCCCATGGGGATGCTTTGTGCCAAGTTTGGTCAAAATCCATTCAGTGGTTCTTGAGAAGAAGTTGAATATGTGAAAAGTTAACGACGCACGACGACAGACAAATCATGATGGCAATAGCTCACCATGAGACTTCGGCTCAGGCGACCTAAAAATGCTCAAATCAAGTTACTACTTAGGAAGAACACTTGCAAATGTATTTAGATAATTAAAATATGAAGAAGTAAAACGAGAAAAAGAAACCTTCAGTAATTTCTAGAATAACTCTAAATACAGAATGTTACACACATTGCTAGGAACAGGGACATGCTTGTTGTCAACCAGATGAGCACCAGGCAGTGGACCTTCACACACAACACAATGGGTAGTGTTGAACGGCACCATAGACTTACAGTATGTACATATATCCATCTGAAATACAACACAAATAGTAACAATATTTTCATAATTACCACTGGGCTGCAGCCAATATGGATTGTGTCAAGGTATTTTCACAACAGGAAAGAATCAACCATAAGTTATGTTATATTCAATATCAAAACATAGTATTGAAACTTTTCCACTTGAATACCATCTTGGAACTTTCCTTACTGATGTCTTGAGGCAAAGCAGAAGATATTGTGGCTGTTGTAGCAGAACTCAAACATTTGATATGTTCTATGTCCTGTACTTAATGGACACAAACTTGACTGAATTAAATCTGTTTTACCAGTGACAACTGTCTTCATTTTGTTTTCTCTTTCTGCCTTTGCATCACCTAACACTTCAGTGTAGAGACTGGATTATTTCCCTTGACTCTGATGAATACCTTATAGATTTTATGAATACTTTATTTCGTGAACTTGTCTCTTCTGACATATTCGCGAATACATTACTTCGCGAATACTGATCTAGAAATGACTAGAATGATGAGCAAATGATGAGCTATTAGTCACATGGACTCTGCAAGACTCTGATATAGGTTAACGAGTCAAAATAGATGCCATTTAGAGAAACTTTCGTACAAATAATTGCAAGGGATTTCAATTCGCAATGGATTCTTCTCACATAAAAGTCCAGACTAGAACATCTCTGTGTAAAAAAGTATTTCAAAATGGTCCTTGAATTGCCCAATTCTTTATGGTCACTTTATTCATAGGCCTTTAATCAAAGCATTAAACCTCCAAAAGACCCTGTACCCAAATAATTTTCAAATTTTTAAGCTTTCAAACACTACACATTTCCAAATAAGACAACATCTATTCCTGACCTTGCGTCCAGATCCGTAGGGTGTGAGGGGTTGTTGAGCCATCACATTGTTGTTGTATGAAGAATTGTAGTAAGATGGATTCGGTTCTGATAGGCGATCTGCGTAACCATATACATTTCTGCAACATACAACATTCAATTTGAGAAAAGCCTTAGTTCAGTTATCCAAGCTACAATTTGGTTAATAATTAGAAACCATCATAAACAGACAAACTTAAGGGTATTTCCCACCTTTTCCCCCCATATTTCAGCAACCAGAGAAAGGACAGGATTTAATATTGTAACTTCCCAAATCTGTATTTTGTCTGAGGAGACCACCTCTTCCATATCTACCACCAGAAACTATGACCACATTTAAGTAAATCTACATTGGCCTCTACCCACCTCATGTAGTCTGCCTGTTGCTGGTGTCGAGTGTTCGGGGATACACTCTCCTGTTGGTGTTTGTCCCAGTAGCGCTCATTACGACTTAGCTCATATGATTTCCCTGGCTGAAGATCAAGAAACAAGCAACCACAATTAACCAAGTGCAGCAACAGCTACCTATGTTTGAACTTACAAATAAAGACTTTTGATTACAGAACCAAACTTCATGTGAGCTTGCATTGTATTAGCTTGAAGAACATAAGTACAATAATCAGCAAACAAAATAAAAAAACCTGAGATAATGTTTACATCATGTTTCTGCAGGGCTCTCAATCTGCCAGATTTGGGGCCGATATTCGGCCCCATTCCCAATGCAAAATAGTATCTTTTTTTTCCCAATTTAGACCCCAAGTTTTCACAATTCTTAGGAAAACATCGTTATTTTTCCCAATTCTAAGGGCCCCAGGCCCCAGGCCCCAGTCCCAAAATGGGGTGTGAGAGCCCTGTTCTGGCTTGTCTTTTTTCATACATGTCTATTGCTAATGATCAAGTCAGCTCCATTCCTTTGTTGTAGCTTTGGTTAAGCTGTATTAGACTATGGCTACCAGGTTTGGTCGTCCTGCTATTAACAGTATATAACTTACAGCAGAGGACCCTTCCCCTCGTCTTGAGTTCAGGAATCGAGGTTCAGACTGAGGCTTGTGTCGAGAGCTCCCACTGACATGCATGTCTGTCAAACAAAGTCAAAAGCAGAGTTATCTTTACAGATACTAATATTGTTATTCAAAAGTAAAAATAAATATTGATGCTGAATATATATATCAGGACCATTGTGTTGCATCATGGTGGAAATTTCTCTTTATCAAGTGCAAGGAACCCTTTTAAATAAAACAGCAATACAGCTACAGGTGCTTGGTTTTCATTCAAAGTCTAAACAAAATATCAAACATCAATTTGAATATTTGTGTTCAAGGATATCATAAGTGTCTGTTTAATTTTCAAGAAACAACCCAAAAGATTTGTACAACCTTCAAGAATATAGAGAAATCAGTAAAAAAAAAGGATACAAATGTTGGAGGGTAACCTCATTTAATACAGGAGGTACAGCTAATCAACATATAGGTCAAAGTTCAAAGACAAGAAAGGGTGTCCACACATCTACTTAATGTAGATTATCTGACATTTATCATTCTTTGACACAGTTTATCATTTGAAATATATAAATTTATTGCTGAAATCTTATTTCATCAACATAGACTCAAATAAAAATTTAAGAAATATTGTTAAACTGTTACAACTTATACACAATTATAAAGCCAACTTTGCCTAAAATCATGATGAAGTGTTTAGAAGTGTCCTAGCAAGGCAGGAAACTACTGGTTAATAAAAACATATTGTGAAAACAAAATTGTTTATTATAAAATGATCTTTTGAAACAATCACTGTACAGCAATACGTGTTCATTGACTCCTAAGAAATCACAGGTTTTACGCTGTCCATATCTGGTTGGTGATTGCTACAATGAAACCATGATAAATCTAGCTCGAGAAAAGCACACGGTTGCTTGTGTATTGATGGAAGTAAGCCTTGACATATCAGTATGTCGAGTGTGGATGAGACTTATGACTACACATTGATGTTTCTTAAAATAAATATGACTGCTAGAATTACTTATCTGACATAATAAATAAATAGAAATAGTCTTGATTTGGCTATCTTATCGAAATGTGAAGTGAAACATTGTTCCTTTTTAAAAAATACACATGTCGACATCCTGTGGTCTGTATATATCGATCCCTTGTAATACAGAGCTGCACCCTCAAGTTTATGTCAGTTGGCATGAGCATGGTGTGATGGTAAAACATGAAAGAAATCACACTAAATTAAGTGATGGTATCAGTTGCTTATGATAGTCCTCTCCAGTCTACTACCAACAGCCTTTAACATCTATGTGAATATGTGGTAGTGACCACATGGGGTGATTATTTCAACGCCAATATCTTTTTCAATAGTTATATTTGCTATCTCATGATATGTTCAAACAATCTGAATTGTAAGTGAAACAAGACTAGTATGGGTTCACATTATCACTAAACAGAAAACTACAGCCTTTGTTGAAAAAATCACGTTTGAACTCTATTTCAATTGACCGGATTATTCACAATAGTTTTCTAATTTTGTGGGGCTAATTTTTCACAATAGTTCCAGTCCAGGCTAGTTCACAATCTATAAATTGGTTTCCATATATTCAGGCAAAAGAAATATTTTCTGAGATTCATTGAAGAAATGTTCACTGAGTATTTGATTTTGCACTATCTTTCATTTATTGGCAGCAAATATGGTGAAATTAACCCCCCTGCAAATATTACCAAATGTACAGTACTCACCAGCCATTTTCTGTGTTGCATTCTTCATGGCTGACACATCTGTCCATGCAGATTTGCTGGAAAGCATCAGGTTCTTGGCAGCCCGCTTCACATTTAACTGGTAGGAAATAACCATCATAAGTAAACCAGCCAACACAAGTGTTATATATGAACAAAAAATCAGTTCAGGGGTTTTCATGAAGAAACCATATTGGCATAATGTTTAAAGTTCACAGACACACGCCCAACCACTTAGTTACTTTGTGTAAAGGTGATCTACTAAAACTTCTCCAAATTGGCAGCACACCGAACACAAGTATTCTGCTGGTTTACAGAGGATTTTGTTTAACAATTCAAGTAGACCAATCTGGATCCTTATATAATTTTATGAAATATAGAGAGAGGTGGTACACATCCCAAAGTTCCCTATTTCATATCTGCATACAATACTAAAAACATGCTCATTTTGACCAAAAGAGATGAGGATCTGTGCCATATTCATACAGATAAAGTTCAATGATTGTACATGTATTATCTGACAAGGTCAAAACATTTGTGTTATTGAGTTTATGGATTAAGATATGGTAATGTACATGTAAGTTGTTTTCAAAAAAGTATAAAGTTCATCATGCAAACAGGTAACTCCACTGATACAATTTAGAATACTGTAAAAGTACATTTTATCTAAAAAGTATGAAAATCATTTGATGTGATGATTACATTCAGCTTCTCACTATAGGAAAGGTATTGTATAGTGTACAGGTCTGTCAAAAATGGTGACTGTTTTACAAGATGCAATGGGAAACATTTGTTGTTTAAAAGAGTCGCAGAAGAAACACTTTCACTTACTCTCTGTTGTTCTTTCTCAATCTCCTCCTGGAATTCTAAATCATCATCTTCTGGCATGACAGCAGGACCTGGTACATAATCCACTTCAAATACCTTTGTACAAACATTGCTTTCCCGCATACCATCTCTGTAAAATGTGTATATATATACTCTTATGTCAGTGGGCACCCATCAATCATATAGCAGGGCTCTCGATCTGCCAGATTTGGGGCCGAATTCCCAATGGAAAATACAGTATCTTTTTTCCCAATTTAGACCCTAAGTTTTACCAATTCTAAGGAAAACACCATTTAAAACACCATTATTTTTCCCAATTCAAAGGGCCCCAGGCCCCAGTCCCAAAATGGGGTGTGAGAGCCTTGTACAGAGTAGCTGTGATACAGCTTGAAGTTATAAAGAATATATATTGAATAGCATCTACCACATGGTTGTTTGCGCTGTTGTGTTTGAAACGGTTAGGAAGACTTTTCTGGTCAAATGAAGAACTAACAATCAAAATCACAAAATTCATCATATTGTAACAGAACACAGTCCAGGCAATGAGCAATATTGGTTCATTGGTCTTAACATTAAAAACACTTTTATATGGTTATGCTGAATTTCCATTGCTATTTTGACTAATTACATAAGTTTTTACTTACTTTGACACTGCTACACATCGTACTGTCTGTTTACCAGGAGGTAAAGTAAAAGGACCCACATATTGCATGGTACATCGTACCACCCCTGTTTTGGGAAATGGATCTGGCTTCGTTCCATTGATCGTGTAGTGGATGTCAACATCTTTAGAGTCTGCAAGTCATAATACATGTCAATGTTTCTTATTATTTCTCTGTAGATCACAACAAATTCTTTAATATCAAAATGTCTGTACCAATATATGACTTACAACTTTTGTGCCAATAACATTAAGGAGATGATATTAAACTCTTAGATTTAACTCTGGTGATCTATCAATTCAAGTTTTTTTAAGGACTTTTTGCTACTTTTTAAACAATGTGTGGTTTTGGGTTTTTTTTGTTGTTGTTGTTGTTTTCTCTCCATCTTAAATCAAAATAAAGATTTATGACAATAGGATGAAGTGTAAGAAATAGCAAATAAAAGGAGGGAAGAAATATTCTCTGTACAAATAAAAAGGTACAACAGTGAAAATGGAACAACTTCCTATTTTCTAATACATTCATTTATTTCCATTCGTATGAGTTTAATAAGACTTGTCTCATTTTTTTTTTATTTAGAAAAAATATCAAGACTTGCTTCAAAAATCTCCTCTGAAATGAAAACTTGTAAAATCCTCTATGTAAGTGAAATGTTTCGAAAATTTAGAGAATTTTTCGCTTTTACATATATGCAGATCTATGCTAACATAAACAATGTTAACAAGCAAGCAAAATAAAAATAATAACCTGAATGAAGTTCTATCTTCGTGTTGGAGTCAATTGATGTCTTTGATCTTCCATGTTGAGGAAGTCTTAGAGGAATGATGGTTGGCACGGCAATAGATCCTGCTGTCATTTTGTTACTTGTCTTGCTTACTGAGATTCAATCAATGTCACACATAGCAACTGAAAAGTTGACAGGAATATTTCAGTTAATTTCATTCCCATCCCAAATAAATGCTTTAGAGTGTAATGTGTTGTGTCCATAACAGAAAACTACTTGACATCACAATGTATGTTTACTTATAGCTGAAGTACTGGATCTATGAAATAGTACATGAAAATACACTATGATATCTAGATAGTGTCACTGTTGGAAAAACGTCTAACTTTTTAAATAAGAAGTCACAGTGTGATGAATAAAGGGTCACTTTGTGCAGAACTCTCATTGGGTTACAATTTATGGTGACCCTCTTTGAATCTACTCAAACAGACAGATTGTCTAGTTTGTGATTTGATAATGGTAACTTAAGCTGTTGACTAATATTCAGTTAATATCACCACACAAAGAATTATCTATTTTTGTAATATTGCTGTCAGTATCTTTCACATAAATGTGTTGAATAGTGATTGCAATAGCTCTATATTGTCATTTTTACACGGTTTTTTTTAGGAATATTGGCGTTTCAGTGCATCAGTAATGACTATACTGTATATGCCCCGTCAACCGATACAGTACGATAGAGACTTTCTAAAACTTTTTTCAGCGAAGCGGTTTCGTATTTCGACGTCGAGATATCATAATTCTATAGATGACGTGATAAAACAACAGATGCATATTTGACCTCTTTCTCACTGTCTCCGACAATAATCTAAGCAGGCAGTCTGTGAAGACCCCGCGAATCTTCCTCATATTCAATCATTTTTCTTTATAGATTTTGCTGTATCATATATACTTACCGCACCCACGCAAAGATATTGTAATAATACTGCTATCGTATGATTAACTTAACTGTCGATTTGGTGAAAATTCGTGCATTTAAAGAGAAATAGTAGATTACCGAGCGGCGGACCTGTTCGGACACCTGTTTTTCGTAAATCTTTCAGATGTTTGTAAACAACGGTAAAGCAGACGTCGATTTTAATCAAGCGTCAATAGGATCATGATAATGTTTTGTTCACGATAGCAACGATATTTAAACCAAATTATGTTACAGCAATTTTGATTGGCCATTAGCTAGTAATTAGTTTTGGGTACTAAATTTCAAACAGTGTCATATTTGGAAACGCAACATTAATTAATGATAGTCTGTACCCATCCTCCTCTTTTCCCCTATTTCATCAGACATGTAGAAACAGACCTGGATGGTACATGTCTAATGCTGCAATACACCGCTATGAGACTATTGTATATATTAAAAAGAAATCGATGGCAGGAACATATCACAGGGACCTGGAATATGTTATTGGCGTATTACTCAGGTTTTTTTTTGTAACCATTGACTGAGAAACGGTTCTCTTCATAGTATAAGCTTAATTTCTATTTAAAATACATGGTAATATTTCAGTTGTTCAAATATGCGTTCCGGGTGCTATATAACAGGCGATCTTGTATTCGGATGTAACAATGCAATTAAGTTTTATTTGTTTGATTGTTCATTTAAGAAATTGTCAAAAGGAGAAAAATTAGTCGTCACAAAACAAGAAGCATATAATTCTATTTTATATGTTTAGTCTGGAAATTATTCAGCTAGTTCGGAGAAAATGGTATGAAAACCACACAATACTTGTAAACTCGTTTATACGTTCTCCTATGCTTTCTATTATACGTCGATAATGGTGATAATGGTGTTGATGGTATACGCGTGGATGATTTCTTGAAAATAATATTTGAATAAAAATAGTTAAAAAATGTGTTTATATTAACTTTACCTGTGATAACCTAGAAAAGCCTTGGAAGACATCCGAATGTCTTCTTACAGTGATACAGACTTGTCGATCAAATCTCAGAAACGTATGGCCCATCCATATCCAATGAAATGCGGCGTGACAACTCCTGTATATTTTTGAATCTCTAAAACGAGAGACATTTACGTACTGACATTATTCTCCCTCAGACGTAAGACAGAGTGTGATCATCCGTCCATCCATCCGGCTGTGTTTCCGGGAAATATCTCCAAAACCGTCTTTTTCTAATGAATGAGTGGAAGATGTGCCTGTCATGCAGGCTTAGCCTGAAACACTTACAGATATCATAATTCATGGTTATACATCGTTTCTAGGGGATGATTAACTCCCAGAATTGACGGTGGTGGTCCAGAAGGACTGAATCCAAATGGTATGTAGATATAGGGATAATAAGTAATATTCGTCCCTGGTAAAACCTGTTTCGTGCCTTCTCATGTGATCTGGAAATACATGCCTTACGGTATTTGTGTGCAATTTATCTTAAATAACTCAGGGTTTATTATTTATAATGCCGAAATTATATTTGATTGATATATTCATTTGCCATAACCTTGTGAAAAAAACGTTACTCCAAAAACTTCTTTACCTTATCTTTTTACTTGGAAATAATTAAACGACAACGTGTTGCTTCACCGACAGTTTTTACTCGATTGAAAAACTTGCTTCTTGGTCACACCATGAAATAAAATGTATGTACATGTAAGTAAAGGGTTCGTTTGGTAGATTGATTGTTGTACAGAATTGCTCAGAATTCTCGGATAATGGCTCACACTGTCATGATTAAAAAAAACTAGTACACAAAATAGTAATTTTATCTCGTGTTATAATCTGTTACAGGGATGATGGGATATCTGACTTAATATTTAGATAATAAACTGTTTATGCCTGAATGTCTTAAATAGTAGCTTTTGGAGATTATCCTAACCCTTTTCTTTTTTTTATGAACTTGAGGTGCCCACTAACGGTTTTCGACGTATGCTTATATTTTGTAAAATAATGTACGGAGTATTTTCCCATTTCAGCACATCGTAGAAATGTTTTAACTTTTGTGAGGATTAAAGAGCCTTCTACTTTAGTTCAAGATAATGTCGGTAGTTGTTGTGCCTTAAAGGCTTCTGGATTAAATATCTAGTTTTACATATTTTTTCAATAAGGCATCACATTATATTTGACGAATTACTTTTTTCAGTCTCAGAATTTCTATGAACGTACAGTACAACAAATAAATGTTGAAATTTCTACACAGAGTTGTCGTTCCTTCGCTTGATTATTACGTGAGGAGACCTAAATGATGTGATTCAAGATATCACATATTTTTGTTAATATATTAACAATGTACTGATATTATATGTTATACTGTTTATAATCAAGTACAGCGACATTGTTACCGTTTCATATATTGTCGCATCTAGTTCCTTGCTGTTATTTAGATATACTTCCTGTTCGATCTTTTCGACCAATCAGAACAGAGGTAACAAATTTTCAAACGTTCGGCGGACATTTCTATTTCAGCTTAGGTTTGTGTTTGTTGATAAAATGGATGTAGAAGAGATCTTCTCCCTCAAATATAATGAGTTGCAGAAACGCGCAAAGTTGCTTGGCATAAAAGCCAACATGAAGGTTTGTGGCGAAGCCAATCTAAAATAGATGTTGTTGTGTCATCTTTTTATACGAGAAATTATAGCCGTTCTCGTATTCGCTTGTTTACAGAAGAAATTAGTTTTTTTATTCAATTACATATTCGTGTGAAAATATTGTTTCTAAATCCCTCTGACAGTCTGATGTTTAAATCAATGCAGTTTTTGTAAATTTGCTGACCGATTCGTTTTTCCATTCGTATATATACAGATACATAGGCTTAGGTCCTAGATAGGTAGACCTAATAAAACACGCATATCGTCGTTCCACAAGGGTTTGTTACAAATGATACGATTACATGATTGGTTGCATGCAGTGTATGTGCGACCAATCTCGTTTATACTATATTATTTGTAATAAACCCCTGTGGCCCAAGTTGGAAATATATTCGCCTTACCTTTACATGTAATCTTAAACGTAACGATAACTGTGGTTGCAGAAGTACAGTAACGTTATAATCCATCACATATATATATGACCACCATTTTGCATAACCGTGCTGTGGCCATTTCCTTATAGAAAAATACAACATCAGTCAATTATTTACATAGAGGAACTTAGTATTCCCCATGTAAGCACATATTTGTTTTCATTGTTTGTTCATGAAACAGTGGATAGTAACTCTTTTCAAAGAGAACTGACAATAATTTGTTTTCAAGTAGCATATTGTTCCAACTAACATGACATTAGTACCCTAGATAGTATACTAACTCATTACCAGAAGTTATAATTCAAATTTGTCAAAAGGAGGTCTGCAATAAACATCACATTTGTTTCATAAATTTGTATATTTTTTTGAAAAGTGTTTTCATCATATTGAAAGGAATTCTGGTAACTGCATTTAAAAAAAAAAAAATTGAAAAAAGAAAAATGATTATGTATCAGGAAAAACAGGGACACCAGTAAATATTTTAATGTACCTGAAGAGATATAGTTGATTTAAATGTTTTACTTAAACAGGATTTTGATTTATGTTTTTAATTTTGTTAGATTGACAAGTTGAGGAATGCCATTGCAGAACATCTACTTGACAAAAATGAGGCTGCAGATGAACAACAGGTATATGTATATGATGTTTCAAACTATTGAAACAAAATGTACTTCTTCATTTTACATCAAAACACATTGACTTGTCAAACTCTGCCCACATCATATCTATGGGCATTTACAAAAATTTATATTCAGTTTTATAAAATAATTTCTATTATCTCTAAATCAAATGTTGAAACCACTGTATATGATGTATAGCATTTATGCAATACTCAGTTACTCTACAGAAAATGAAATTTCAGTTTATAAATATGAAAAAAACTGTCAAATAAAAATGAAAAACAGTCAAAGACAATAGGTCATTTGATTACATTTACAGGTTACAATGGAAAAGGAAGAAGAGGTGAAACCAAATGAGTCTCAAAATAAGACAAAAAAGGGTCCAGGAAGATCGGTAATAACTATTGAAAAACAGCTAAAATTAGGTTACAGAATTTTCACTCATTTTGAAGAAGACTTATGGAGCTTATTCCACTTGAAAGATATTATTTTAATAGCAAACATGAGGCTTTTTAAGTGTCTCTGTCCAATACATGTATGATTGTATGACAAGGTAATTTCCCACCAGTAAATTCATAGGTAGACTTGTGCAGGTCAAGTAGTATTTTTATCTCTAATAAAATTGGCCTAACTGAAAGAACATTAAAAAGTGTCCTTTTATGCCTTTTTTGGAAACATTTAATCATCATCAGTATAAATATTACTTTACCTTCAAATATATATCTGATCCAAAAGTATATGTGTAGGGCAGGGAAATTTCAACCTAGACATCTAGACAGTGGATAATACTACAGCCAATTATAGGTTTTGATATGTTTATAATCGCAGTATTTCATTGCATGAGATTCGTAGTCTCTTGTATTTATATTTGAAAAAAAAAAGACTGTATTAATTTGTAGACGCTGACCTCGTTATTTCTTCACACAATAAAAATCCAACAATACACATTTATCTCCCCTAGAGAGATAGAATGTGTTTTGAAATTAGTTCTTGAAGTAGTTGATAGTTGATATTTTGCTAAATATATGTATATAAGAACAGCAAATTAAATGGAAAATGCATCAGTTACCATCGCGAGTAAGATTGTGTGTAATATTTAGTATGAGTATAGATATATGTAGTAATCGTCAGTTTAACACTTACACTGAGTACTTAATACACCTTGAATTGATGTAGTGTTATTTGTCACAAAAACAATTAATCATATAACCAGTCAAGTAATGTTTGATAATTGCTATGTTGTCAGTAACCAATTATCACTGATTATATCACATCTATAACAAACTAACATTAAATTGAACTGTTTTGACCATCAGGTAACATCAATAGTGCAGGTATAAAAACAGGCACCAGCCAAAAATCCTTCACCTCTATTTGGTTGAAATCAAGTCTCTTGAATGAAAGACTGAAAATAATCAGGAATCATACCCATCTGGTTAAGATACCAATTTACAATATCCCAAATGAATTAATGATGACATGTTCTGATAAAGATTGTTTTTTATTTCAAAAACCTACAATTTATTCATTTTATAATTTTGCATTTTTTATATTAAACTGGTGATTGTAATGCACAATTGGTCCTAAATAAAGTGTTTTTATTTTTTGTAGAAAAAAGAGAAGGTGACCAGATCAAAGTTGGAATCTGTCGACAAGAATGCTAAACCTTCCACTCCATCCATTGTGAAACCTGTAAAACCAGGGCACCTTGGATTGAAACAACCCAGTGTATTATCTCCCTTGGTCAGGAAAAGTCTCCCTACCAAAACATTTATGACCCCCAAAGGGACTCCCAGGCCCTTTGGTACATCTAAAGGAACTCCTAAAACCGTAACCCCACTGGTAACCAAAGTCAAGTCGGCAACACCAAAGGTAGCAACTCCTAAGAATGCCACATCTAAACGAATCAGTCAGCCAAAACAGGCTACACCATGTCTGTCAACACCAAAGTCTGTCACTCCAAACAAAACCCCAGCATCTCTTAAGCGTATGTCCAACCAGGTAATTGACTATAGAAATTTACATTGGGATTTTATTTGAACATGCTTTCTTTTGAAAATTATTATATTTGATACCAAAGAAAAATATTGCATTACCCATATTTAATAGTGGTGGTTGTAAGGAAAAATACAACTCAGTGAAAATTTATTTAGAAATTGAGTTATTTTGATTCTCTTGACATCATTAAATTATTACAGTATGAAAGATGTTGAAATGTATCAGGCTGAAATACTGTCAATGAAATGTATTGTATTTTCTATTTTTATATGGTCATTTGTCCACACAAGAGAATTTGTTTACAGTATGATGTCTTTGATCCATCAGATGAAGTCAGTGGGCCAGAAAAAAAGGTTTTAGCATTAGTAAACTGTATTTTTATTTTTGGACAGGCTACTTGTCTGGAAATTAGGACTCTATTTGAATAGGTCTGTTCCATCAAAAACTGTCTGTAGATGATGAAAAGCATGTTGTAACCAGCGTTTTTTTTTCATCTTTGCTCTAAAGTGATATATTATCTAGGCTATGTTTTTACAGTGATTGACCTATGTTCACATCAAGTAAAATTCTACCCAATTATTTCTCATAATTTACTTGTAGATCCTATCTGTAACATCTCCTTTCAGAAAAGAACACCACAGGAGGCAAAAAAGAAGCGAAGTACATTTGAGATTGTTCCTCTGCCAGACGAGCCAATGGAATGCCAGCGCAGCACAAGGAGAAGCACATTTGATAAGACAACCACAGAGGAAGAGAAATCGGAGAGTCCAGGAGCCAAAGAAATGCTGGGTGCTCTCACAGGTGATATGGACAGTGCGGAGATGAAGGAGACTCTTCTATCTGCCTTGGATAAAAAAGTACAAAAGAAAGGTCATTGTCATTGAATCATACATTCACTTATTATTTGATGGTGGAATTATATTAAAAGAAAACAATGATAAAAAAAATAAATCTAAACATTTTTGGAACGTTTGCTTAAGATTGGTAATGTCAATTAAGTAACAGTTCTTATAACACAACTAGTAGAAAATTTGAGTGTGACATTTCAATGACTACACAGTCACCTTCATCATTTCATACACTTTGTATCGTCAGTGCCAGTACACTTCACATGGGTCATTTTCCTGATGAAGATGACCATGTAGTCATTGAAACAACACACTCTAATCTTCTATTGCTTGTATTATAAAAATACTTTTATAAAATGAAAACCTTAAAAAACAACGTCCTTGGGTTAAATTGATTGATGGTGAACTAGTTTGAATTCATGCTTTTAATCCAGACAACTTTAAGCGAGGAGACATTGTAACCCCGCCCATTTTTAGTAAGACTTTCCATTAAACTCTCTACTCTAGAACTCCAATGATCATTAATTTTGAACGCGGCTACACCATAGATCACAGTGACCTATTTTTACTCCAGCTATTAGATATACAAGTTTGGGATTTGGCCAATTTCTTTTGTAAAAGTAGACTTTTTATTATCTTTCTGAATTCCCTGATCACATATGAAAAGATATGGAGTAAAAACCTGGCCTCTTTTGGTTTTCTGTGTGTAACATTTTATGTCTCATATCAGACCTGGTGTGCTTCAGTCGAGCCATTGAAGAGTGATTATGTATGCTTTGTTTCATAATAATTGTAAGGTGATTTGATTGTTGTAGTAAACTTGTTACACATTGCCATGGATACTTCTGTATGCAATTGTTTCTTACTTACACAGTATCAGAAATGGACCCTGCCAAGAAAACAGGTATTCCCAGATTTGCTGCTTTCTTGGCAGCGAGAAAAGAGGCGAGGGAAGAGAAACCTTTGACCCCAGGTAGGCATTAATTCAGTACAACTGATATTGTCAGTGGTTTTCCTACTGGACTTTTTACAGGGTTCTCAGTTGAAATATTCTGTATATATATAAAGTACTTTATTTTTTTGACCTCTCTGAAATTTGAGGCAATATTATCTATATACATATTTTGTATTTATTACTTTGATTTCATTCTCAGGATTCAAAACAAATGTATCTCTTGAAGCAAAATGCGAAGAATGTAGAATTTAGATACCCTCACAAGGCATATCCTCCTGCAGTTCTTCTGCCAGATGTTGATTGATTAAGCTGTCCTCTTCAAGTGAGGACTAGTTATGGCCAATGAGACATTGGTGATGTGATGATGTCTAAAATTCATAGACCATTGCATTATAGCTGTTAAAAGTGTCATTTGAAAGTGTGTTGTATATAATCCATGTATTCAGTACACAAATACCATTTGTTTTGGAGTTCTTATTCCATAGTACTATGTAAGTTTGATAGTCATTTTTCCAAGACTTGTAGATTTCATTTTCTTTTGAATTAGTTATGTATTTAAAGTTTTCAGACTGTAACTTCATAGAAAAAGTACTATAGATAGGAATAAAAAGGAAGACATCAAAAAAATGTCATCATTCATTGTTGCACCTTAAAGTGATCACAATCGTCCCTGTTACTACCGATGAAGGGAAGGTGTGAACGTTTCAAGTACTGTAGTACTGAACAAAGTATTGATAGTATTGTATTGAAGTACTTCACCAATCGAATTCCTTAAATTTATGCAACAAGCTCTCTGATTGGCAGAGCCAAGTCTAGATCGATTGTGGGTGGAGCCAGGTGAAAAAATACTGTGCAGACATCGGCATTTTACAAACACTCGACTGTCGCGAGAGGTTAATTGGAAGAGTCCAAGTCACAGGTGGCTTCAGATCAGACCTAATTGGGTTGTCCCATTTGTTTCGTTCTACACCCAATGATACTTTGCTTTTCCATCGATGGTACAACGAGAAAACGAAAGTTACTCAGTACTAAACTAATTTACGTACAAAATATATATCAACAGGTTAGATCACTGGGACCGGAGAATTCATAACATCTTAACAGTGAATGTAGTCACATAGTCATTCTGTACTAGTTTTATTTATTTATTTATTTTTTTGAAAGGTGGGGGGGGGAGGGTTGGCTCAAAATATTTCGGTTTAAGCCCAAGCTCTATTATATGTAACAAAGAATTACGAATTACCTGGGACCTCCTGATATATGCCGATAATTCATACTGCATTAAAAAATAAAGGAATTTTGGTCCCATATATTTTTTATTTTATTTTTTATCTTTCCATCGAAAATTATACATATCCGCAACATGTGAAAAAACTTTGAAGTTGGTTGGGCGGAATATCTAGAGCATTTACTACTGCAAGTTCCAGAAATTCTGACACAAGTCATTTTGTCTCATGACATTGAATACATATTCAGTTACGTTGTATTCCGGGGAATAAGGCGGTTGAAAAACCAGGGACACGCCATATTCTTTCAGCATATTTCTTAAAATGCGCTCTCCCTGTCTATGGTGATGGAATCCACAATTATCCATCACAACCACATCGCCTTGTACAAAAACAGGATTCCCCATATCGTTCGTATCGGACATAATTTCGTCGAAGAAAATTTTGCGTACTGTTACCGTCGTCGGACATTTTTCCAGCGATTACTTAGTACTTGTTATGTAACTGATAGTGTACATTAACTCCGCCTACCGGAATAAATTGGGTGTCAGATCAACTATTCAGGTTGTCTAAACTCCGCCCCCGACCAATCACAGAGGTCGTTGTATACTTGACTCGATTATTTGAATACTTCAATACAATAGTATCAATACTTTGTTCAATACTATAGTAAGTGTGTCGTTCACACCTTCCCTTCATCGGTAGTAAATGAAGGTTTTGCTCCTATCCATTTCTTGATAACTCGTTTAAGTACCTCATTGTTTAAATTATTGTTCAAATTTGATATTACTAGGGTTGCTGTAATGACATTTTCTTACAGATCATACTGAATTGGACTTTTTTTTCTTTTATCATATAAACAGGTATTAGGAAAAGAATGGATATCAATGTCCAACAGTATGTAGTTAGATAAACAATATCTGGGTAATCGTAGTATCAGTAATACAGCTGGATCCAAACTGCTTGGTCCAAATATGAGTACCATATATGTTCCTCAAGGTTTATATAGAATTATAAAAAGTACTGTCATTAACTTATAAATATCTGATTTTCTGACAAACGGATGAATTTGTTATTTATTTGTGTGTACTGTGTATCAAAATGTATAGGATTCACTTTTCAAACAGGAAATAAGAATTGGACAAAAATCCACAAGAAAGAGTTTGACAAAATGGAGTCAATTGATGTGTACCTAAACAAGAAGAGAAAGCGTCAAGATGACTTCGCAAGCTCAGCGAAGAAAACGAAGACACTGCTGGAGGAAACTAAAGCAGCCATCAGCAAACTGAAAAGTCACAAGACACCAACAGCATTCAAGGTTTGACTGCAGGGAGACTTTTAAATCTTGAATGTATAATGAAGCGAAGATTTTCTTTAGAACTCTGCTATTATATTTTTACTTCGCTCTTATTCCCGTTGTAATGTAAATACTAGAATCAATGAAAATACACATACTGACATAGATTTATTTTTAGTTGGTATTTGGTAGCCGAAAAAAAATTGTTGTAGTGAAAAGTTGTTTTCATAATGTATCAAAAAATCACTGAAATAGCTTGAAGATAAAAGAACCAGACTCTGTAGAATATAATTGGTATAAAGAGGTAAGTTAGGTATAAGAAATTTTAATCTGTTACTTAATTTTTGATGGGTAATGAGCCTCTCTCTTCCTGTAGACCTTAGTTAAATTTAATATGGTATCTTTGGTCTGCCACTGTAACTTGAAATTACTATAGACTAGAAAAGTATTTACTCATTATTTGATTTTTTTTTTTTTTTTCAGGAGGCAAACAGAAAATCAAAATCATTATTTGTTACACCTGGTACAACTGCAGTGAAAACAAAAACACCAACGGGAGTTGCGAAAAACAAAACACCTGTTTCTGCAGCACCAAAACCAAAAACACCGTCAACATTCAAACCAACTGTGTTTAGCACAAAGAACATGAACCTGGATTTCAACACAACCACCAGGAAGTCACCACGGACTTCATCAGGAACTGGAACTTTTAAACCTTCTGTCCTAACTACCAGTAACATGAATCTCAACTTCGGCAAAGTTAAAACCCCAGGCACACTACCTAAGGATACACGAAAGTCGTTTGGTAAAATTTCTCAATATTTATCAATCAGTGTTACTTTACATTGAAGGGAAGAACAAGATAGAAGATGTTTGAAATGAAATCTGTTCTTAAAAATACTGTTCAATTTTCAAGTTTATTTATAAGAAACATGCATAGAAACTTAGAGGCCTTACCATCAATGAAATCTATAGCCTGGCCACTACAGATTAAAGAAAATGTCCGCAAGCTTATCAGGACTGTTCCACAATATTGGAACTAATGGAATACTTTTGTATATGATAAACTGAAAGCAGTTTTATTTAACATCTTCACAAAAATCCTTTAAAATGTATGTATAGTCTTTAGCACTCATGTTTTGTGTAATTGCTATGTGATATTGATGACCTTAAAGGAAAAACTATGTCATTGTAACAAATCCATTGGGTATGTTGGATAGGAATTACCTGTGAGTAAATGGGACTGTACATTTAAAAAAAAACAAACATCACATATTAATTCTGTTTTTTGCATATTTTATATCAAACAGCAAATATTTTTTTGGATATGGTTCATATTTTGTTTTTTGGCAATGTTGCATAGATTTATGAGAAAACTTGGGTCAGTAACAAATTTATGGTTTTGTGCTTCCTTATCACTAGGGCAGATTCTTACTTCTGTGCAATGTAATTTTATTACCTATGCTGACTATTACAAGTTTTGTTTGCAGTGACACCTTTCAAGTTCAGTGCCTCTAACACTACTCTAAATGACAGCAAGTCAACAGCCAAGAAGTTTGACCTTAAGGCCAGTCTAGCCCGCCCTATTACCTGGAAGACACACAAAGGCACTCTCAAGCCTTTGGAGACGGCCTCCTTGTACTCCACTGCCAAGGGTGAGCCAAAAGTCAACGTGAAAACACCCAAGGTGGCTGGAAGGTCAGTACTATCTCTAGAATATTGTGTTTTTTGCTTCATATATGATTGAAAAAGGGGTCGTTAAGTTTATGGATTTGGTTATGCTGCAGACCTTTCTTGATCTTTTTTCTTTTTGGAAATTTTTAATAATATGTCCAAAAAATTAAAATCATTCCTTTTTTATATCCAGCGGTCAGTTGCCAATGGAAGAAAACTTAGTAAATCCCCAGAAAAAAAAACGGAATGTCTTTAGAGTAACTACAACCATTTAAAATATCATTTTGACAAAATCTGTTTTTGACCTTTGAAAGTTTTATTCTGTTCCCTTGGTTGTGTCCATGGGCAAGACACTTGACCCTGATTGCCGTTGATGGCATGTAATTGGCCTCTTGTCTGTAATTGAGGTAGCCACAGAACACTCCAAACACTCCCACCATTCTGCTAATGAAGTTTCTGATTTAACTATTGGTCTTAGGAGAGATGAGGGACTGGAACATACTATGAGGATATATAATGAGGATACTGGTCAGTTTATCTAAATGACAACCAGTCTTAACTTAGGTTTGTTTAATGGATTCATAAGAAATTCACAAGTTAACATTGTAAATGTATCTTTCAGAGAAAATCGTAGAGCGTTAGCACAGAAGAAGCGAGCAGACAAGAAGTTTGATAAACAGATGTCACGACGAGGGATCAATGCACAGTAGAAATAATTTGACAGAAATGATTCAGTGGTGCTTGGAACTTTATTATCTGTTATCACCAGGAAGTGTTTAATTCATTCAACCTGTTTGGAAGCTTTCCATTATGTGGATGGATCACTAGAATTAGAAGATATACCAAACCAAACCATCAAATATTTATTTCATCAGTCAAGTAGAGCCGCTCTCTATTATGCGGACAGACCAGTGGAACTAAGATTGTTAAACTTTCTATTTCCTAACAAGAATAAATGAAACTGGTACAATATACCACTGTGGTGTAGAAATGATCATACCAAGTACCATCTTCCTGTGGATCATACCATATACCACCTTCCTGTGGTGTAAAGATGATCATACCATGTACCACCTTTCTGTGGTGTAGAAATGATCATACCATGTGCCACCTTCCTGTGGTGTAGAGATGATCATACCATGTACCACCTTCCTGTGGTGTAGAAATGATCATACCATGTGCCATACTCCTGAAATGATTGTACCATGTGCCACCTTTCTGTGGTGCTTAAATGATTGTACAATGCGCCACCCTTACATGGTGCTGAAATGATTGTACAGTGCACCACCAGGTTTCTCCTTGTGGTGCTGAAATAGTTATACTGTGTGCCACCTCCTGTGGCACTGAAATGATTCTACCACTAGATTTTACTTCTTTTCACCTGTTTTCTAATTCTTTAAAAGCTGTCTTTGCTTCAAAGCTGTCTTCTTTCCCTAGTCTATCTTTCCTGTTGTATTTGTGTCATGTTAACTTGCCAGTGTATGTAAACTGATGATGTATTGATATATTACTTGTTTTATGATAACAGGATTTTATTGTAACATTTCCTCATATGTATAATATTATGGAAGGCAGAATATTTCTTGAAAATGCTCAGATGAAATTTGATTTTGTAATACTTTGCCATAGAGTCGGTGTTTGATACTCCGTCCTAAAGGGGACCTATGTAGTAATTAAAATGTGATTAATGATTGATAGTTATTGGTTTTAGGTATTTCAAAGGGAATTATTAAGATAAGTCCAGAGACACCATCAAAACTAGTTATACCCTTGACCTTTTCCATCCATCATTCTAGTCAGATGAATAGCATGGACAGTAATGGTGAGGCTATACAGTAAAGTTACTGATTATCAACTGTTTGGGCTTGAAGTTATGTCATTGAATTAGATGGAAAATTTTAAAATTATTCTTGATGTTGGAAAATTATCATTTTAATTTTCAGAAACAAATGGTGAAATATCACTGATAATCAGAAAAGAGCTGATGTTGTACACTATGTGATGAAGATGTATGTTTACTAGACAGGTTCATAAATACATAAACATAGTAAACATAAGCAAATCCCTTCATTTTTTGTTCATCAGAGAATTTTTAAATGTCAGTTTAAAATTTTTAAAATGATGTAACTAAACATTTTTATTTCAGACATTTCATATGCATTCTGATTATTTAGGGATCATTTGACTGGAGGTGGGAATTTTTTTTTCTCAAAAAATATGTAGGATGCCGTTATTCTAGTATATGATTGTACATGTGTGTTGATAGGTGACATTTTGTCTGTGAATCAATGACACATTGTTTATATAAACAAAAAAGTTTTATTAGTATTGTAATATTTCAAATATTGTAACCATTTTACCAGTCTATGTTTGCATTTTATTTTAGTCATTTAGCTTGTCATATTAAAAGTGGAATGCGTATTTTATTGATTACATATGGATGTAGCTGTGTATGAAGGATGTTACAGCATTATGTGTTTGTAGAAGGTTAGCATTAACCTATCCAATCATTGTATCGCTGAAACTGCAGTAGAAACATGGAATATGAATTATTTAAGTAACAAGGCTGTGTTTGTTATACTGTGTTCAATTCTGGAGTCAGTTTTCTGACTGTAGTAGGCTGTAATATTTAAATGAGATATCAAATTACAGCTGTCACAATATTTAAAATCATGCATACTCAAAAAAAAATTTGTTTCTTAGAATACTGAAATCAAGAAACATTATGCAAAGCTCTTTATATACTGTATAAATTTAAATGGCTAATATTGCTTACTAAAGACTGATCTACACACTTGTGAAAGTCCTTTCTCTATATCATTTTATATTCATGAGATGTAGAGGCAACAAGATGGCTGCCAATTTCCACACATGGCTCATTGAAAAATCACCCAATTTATCTGTTAATGGTGAAATACCAAGACTCTTGTTGCATTCTTCAAACTAGATCGAGTGTAAGAGACAACAGCTCTGAGAGATTGGTATTGAGTGTAAGAAACAACAGCTCTGAGAGATTGGTATTGAGTGTAAGAAACAACAGCTCTGAGAGATTGGTATTGAGTGTAAGAAACAACAGCTCTGAGAGATTGGTATTGAGTGTAAGAAACAACAGCTCTGAGAGATTGGTATTGAGTGTAAGAAACAACAGCTCTGAGAGATTGGAATATAGCATCAGAATGTTTTGTAAGACCAGCTGTTGTCTGTAACCTACTCGTCAATGGAGACTCCATCATCACATCATCATTTATCTAGAGGTAGCTATAGTGATAACTAGACAATAAACCGGACATTATGACAACCTTCAGGTCTAAAGTTTAGGTTATAGTTACATCTTTGTATATCATATCTATACTCTGACTGCCATGTCTGGGTAAGACTTTCTTTTCAGAAGAAAGCAGGTTTTCAGGATGACTTCATGACTATAACAGTGTGACTTGTAACTAGAAGAAATCCTGTTTCTTTATCATTGGCAAATTAGGATGATGCCAGTAAGTGACAAGTGACAACAGTACTACTTTACAATAGGTTGTTAACATATCTTTATTGTAATGATCAAATGGTAAAATTACAAAATACTTTTATTGCTGAACATGCTACACAGAAAATATGAATGCCCCACTTTTCTCAAGCAAGCTTTCATACATATGAGTATGACTATTATGCAAAATCATACACACATGTAGTGAAAAAGCACTTAAAGATACTAATACATGCTAAATCACAATAGTTTTGGACAGACTTTAGTTAAAATGTCAAAAAGAATGCAGAATGACTTGGATTTGTACTACATTTGTAACTTTGACAGACAAGTCTCCTGCACAATTTTCAACAAGTTCATTAGAAAGCAGGATGAAGATCTAGCCCCAGAATAAAAAAAAACATGACACTGTCTATATGTCTTTGGTAACATAATATGCATTTAGTATACTAACTCTGTTGGGAGCATTGATACCAAAATTCCCATCTTTTGTATATAACCATTGCTTGGAGAGGCAGGAGTTTAAAACTGCACCTGTGAAATTATTCACAAATATTCATTTCTATGTCTATTGAGTTAGCCGGTGTTTCATCTTTCTAAAAAATCATTTTCAACAGATATTATCAGCGATTAGATCTCAATTCCTAAGACTGCCATGATCTGGGGCACTCGATCCTATAAAGGCACAGAAGAGTCTAAGAGAGGTATCTGTATATGTATGTATATAGAATATCCTACAATATACCAGTAAAATATAACAAAAATATCTAAATATATGAATATCCATATTTCCATACAACTTTGACAAGGGTTATAATAATACAACATCAATACAATCTATATATGAATATAACTACAACCTGATCAATTGTATGTATTAACACAGAAAATTTAAAACCCCCGGTACATTTATTTTCTTTTTAAATACATATCTATGGCAAGTTCCGCTGTTGTAAGAAATAAATTAAGCTTTAAATATGTTCATATCCCTCACTGTCAATTTTTTTATTTCTTTAAAAGTACAAGTCTTGATTCAGATCAGGGTTCAAAAAAAGGTTTGCATAAGACCTACTGGTATCCATCACCTTCATTATCTTTGTATTTACAGTAAAAGCCACACAAATATTTGGATCAAATTGTAAAATGATGGAATTTGTATGAATTATGAAAGTGTATGTATGTTGTCACCAGCCAAACATGGATTTCCTATGGTTTTCCAGTTTCAAGATTAAAAACCTCTACATGTTTACATGTTACATTTCCAAATAAAATTACATGAATTTATTTCATACTTACAGAAGGGCATGTTGAACAAAAAAAAAAGAAAAATACATGTGTAATTTTCTGATAAACTTTTTCAGATTTATAAAGAATTTATCCTTTATGAATTTAAATTTTTTTTAAAACCATAGGGACTAGAAACAAATTCCCACCCCATAGTTCATAACTACAAGGTGGCATATTTGTGCCAAGTCACTGATCAAATCTACAATGAGATCATTATTCATTAATGTTGGTCAACATTAACAAAATCATATCATAATTCACAAAGAACTACTAAAGGAACAGATGATTTTGAAAATGAATTTAAGATGATCTGAGAAAATGCTATGCTGGAATATGGTATGGAGTATTTCCAACAATGAAAATTGCTACTTTTTTTTGCAGATCTCTAAAAAAATATAAAAAATCAAAAGCACTGTACAGTATATGTCCTTGTGAAAATTGTAAAATTTCTGTTCAATTCAAGAAAATAAACACATTAAAATTAAATATATGCTGCATAAAATATTACTTCAACAATAAAATCATTATCATAAATATAAAAATTATATGAAATTCAGTAAAAAGCTATGATTATATTGAATGTTCTCAATACGACAAACACCTTAGCACAGAAACTGCCCTCCTTCATAGGTAGGCAATAATTTAACACAGAAGAGAATACCTCAGTGTGAGGGCAGTGTGGATCTAGAAACATAATAGCACCTGATGAAGGCTACGATATTAGTTCCAAGCTTGATTAAAATCACCTTTTCTAAAACTGAAGAAAATCAGCAGCTGGGTCAGTCATTTTGGAATTTGACTTGAGCCAAAATATGAAAATTTCTAACTTTGCCTGGAGCCAGTTATTCTGATCAATTGAATAAATTCTGCATGGTAAAATAGCGAAATAACATAACACGATCATAACCAAGAGTGGATCACACGGTAAAATCAGTTCAGGTCAAACGCGATAAATGGAAGACTTCTGAAATCTGAGTCTAAGGCTGCCATCTTGATTTTTGAATGTATAAGAGTAGCCCTGCAGTTGATACTGGGATTTAAAAAAAAAAAAAAAAAAATTGGTATGTCTATTGTTAATATCAAATTTCCTTTGATGCTCTCCAGACACCTCATCTCCTGAGGTAGCACATGATCTCTAAATACAATCTACTGATCTTGTGTCTTCTCCAAACAATATTTTCAGCTGCTGCTGACACATGGTTACAGATAGACATTTTTTCTTAGCCTAAACTACAATGTGTTGATCTGGTGAAAAAAAGGTAAAATGAAGTGACTTTTAAATAAACAATTGATTTTAAAACCAATTAATGCTAAATGGTGGGTATGACAAGCAGATACATATAGAGGCAGCATGCACCCTCTGCATATACATATATATAATTACAAAAAATGGCTAGAAAAAAATCTCTGGAATATATTATCTGATAGGGGTCATATACAAGCTCTGATAACACCATCTAATTACTTAGAACATTCTTTGGCAGAAAAATCACTTCAATTTCATTGATTCAAAGTTGGCTGAACTTTAGCCACCATCCAAATCACTGATGCACATTTTGTTTTATGAGCCACAAATGTCTGGATTTATTGAGATCTTGGGATGAAAATAACATTTATGTACAAAAATCACTTTTCTAAATCTGCAGTCTGTGTCACTGAGGATCCGAGATAAAATGGCAGTTACATACTATTGCACTTTGAGCTTCCCTATCGGACTATCCACACAGAAATTGCGTAGAATGAACATTAACACATGGACTTTCCAGCAACCATGTTTTGAGCACAAGTCATAGGAAGTTTTACACCTCTGTCTAGCAGATTGATGAGTTCACTACATCCATGGCAACAGGCAGCAAATGGACTTAGCATGCAGTAGAAGAGGGCACAGATGAGTCCGATGGGCCACCCAAATACCAGTAGAATGATCACCCATATTATAGACCATAGCCAGCCACAGTTAGCCATATTTCTAGTCTGAAAGTGTCAGCTCCTTCAATCTCACCTTCAGTTTAATCTGCAGCAAATAAAAAAAAACATCTTCAAATGATTAATCTTAACTTCCTACAGCAAAATACATTGAAACTGAAGTTTCCTTCAACTGAATATATACATTTTTTTTTACCAAATGTCAAAAATATTTAAACTTTCAATCTACTTTTCTTAGATTTTTTATGTAGTCGAAAAGAAAATGTCAGGAAAAGCCAGCATGTTAATCTAAAGGAAGTGAAGCTTTTTTAACATTGGACAACCAATTATTGCATTTACTAGTAAATGTATTCCTTAATGAAGTTTGTTGTTTGGTGTGCTGTGTTAAGTGGGACAATTGGTGCACTCCATTTTCTCCAGAACAAAAAATTTTGAACAAAGATGTCATCTCCTGGTTTTATCAAACATCAAAATAATGAAACTGAATGACCTTCAGCTTATCACACATACAAAGTTACAGCACAGTATGAAGGGAACTTTCAAAATATGTTTATATATAGATAGGATGTTTTTTAATGTATCTGTTGTCTTCTTTTATTCAATGACTTTCAATCATTTGTGTGCACTTGCATTACCATGTAAGAACCAATGAAAGTTTTAATTTGAATGACCTTGAACTGGAATGACCTTGACTGTCATTCAAGTTTAAAAGTGGCAGAAGTTTCCAACAAAATGTAGCTTCTGAAAGAGAAATCATTTAACTTTTCATATTCTAAATGAACGAACAAATATCTTCCTTCATTCAAAGTGACATGTATTGAACACTGATACAAGAGATCCCGGATGGATCTAGGCACCCAACATTGTTTGATCTTTATTTGTTCTTTGAAAGTTGAATCTTTCCCTTCTCTCCTCTGTTTTTGCTCTTAATGATAAACCAATTGAACATTCCTTTGCAGAAATTTCAATAATACTCTTTACCTGCCAAATCCAAAATGGCCACCTGGAAACCATTTTTTTTCCTTCTGATCAAACCCAAAATCAAATGGGCACAAGGAGAGACCAAAGGTAACATACATACGAAATGTGAGAGATATCCATTCAGTACTTCTTAAGAAATAGGGATGACAATCTTTAATAGGCAAATCCAAGATGGCTGCCTGTTGGCCATTTGTTTTTCTCATCACACTCAAAATCAAATGAACACAACTAGAGACCAAGGGGAATCTACATATGAAGTTTAAGAGAGATCCATCCAGCACTTTTCAAGAAATAGCAATAACAAACCCAAAATCCAAGATGGCTGTCTTTCCGACATTTTATTTATTTGATCAGTCCTAAAATCAAATGGGCACAACTAGGGACCTATACATGAAATTTGATAATGATCTATACAGTAGTTCTCAAGAAATAGCAATAACAATTTTTTTTTACTGATGGACGGACAACGGACCACAGACAACAGATGCAGGGTGATTTGAATAGCCTACCATCTGTCTGTTAAAGTAATAAATAATAAATAAATAAATCCAAAATAGTTTCTGAAAGTTTGAAGGTAATAAAGTCATTTGTATTGAAAGTAACCTCAAGGACACATAGTTGTGTGTAGTTTAGGAGATTTAAACCCACCATAACTTTAGTTATGAATGCTCCATTGTTTGTTGTTAAAGTCTTATGCATTTATTGTGGTAATAAAATTAGCATTTATGGCTAGGATTGTAAAATTGTGCTAGCATTTAAAAGTTCTTTATTCAAAGAAAACCATTCAGGGTTATCACTACATCAAATGGGTTTTGTAGGCTCAGCAGAATGGAAACAGAAAATGAGATAGCTTTATAATTCAAATTACCAACTGGCCAAACAGCTTTAATCACTCACTGGTTTTAATTTTTGGTTAATTTATTTTATTTTTGTCCTCACATTGTCCAGTGCAAGTTACCTTGAGAATTCAAAATACATGCTATCACCAGATAAGGATATAAATTTGCACAAACATGCAAATTTCCAAAGCCCAATGATTTATTTTGGTGTTTGCATTCAATTTTTATCATACTTGAATAAATAAGAAAGCCTTCTGCAAATACTGGCTGAAATATTGTACTATTATTCTAGATCTTATGGTTTTATAGATGAAGTTGCTGAAAGGAAAATTTGAAAAATGGTTTTCTACAATTGCAGAAATCAATAGCTCTACAGATCAAAAAAATGAAAATTGTGGACATTTAAAAATGTCATCCTTAAAATTCTTGGAGTTCATTTATTGTTGAAAGAGGTTGCTAGTGATAGTAACCCTTGCAATTTCGAGGATATATAAACACCCAACTTAAAAAGAATACTGGTGTTTTACTGTGTTTTTGACGATCGGTTCTTTCCTGCTTGGGAATACAATTGTTTTGTCAATCCGAGCAGAACGAAAAAGTGGACAAAACTCATTCCAGTATTCAAAAACAATACCGAGAGACACTTTGAACACGAAAAAATCACACCTAACATTATCTAGCTAGCTGTTCGTGTTAATTTCTCATGGGATGTAAGCCTGTAAGAAGTACAAGTTACATATCCACATACAATGCTAACTAATTTTCACATTATGCACGCCTAAGACCTATTTATGTAAGGGATACATAATATATTTTTCACCATTATGACTCATATGATCCAACAACACAACACTACAATACTGACTAACAGGATACAATATCACGCTATGTCTTACGCCCTGTATACATTACATCACATTGACCGATACAAACGAGTGTTCATTCAATGGCACGGTAACAGCTTCCAGCGGGATGCTCGGCTGAGACGGTCCTCTATGATTTATGTAAATGACATCGCTAGGTCAGCATTAAACTAGAATCTGTTTCCTTATATAAATCAACCGAACAAAGCAAACCAAAGAGTATTACATGCACTTTAAAGTAATCGAACAGTACACTACAGTAGTTAAATAAGCACACTTTCTAAAGACTTAACACGGCCCTGGCTAGCTACTGTGTCGGTGGACCAACTGTAGCTGTAAATACTTCCATTGCTAAATAAATACCAACCAGACGATCCTTTTTTAAGAAGATCGCAAGCGACGAAGTGAATACGGGGCGACAAGTACAGACCTTAAGATTCATCTTCACTTACCGTATATTGTGGATTACAGATTCTAATTCCAACCTTAACATGAAACGTGGATACGAGACCTACAAAGTCGGTAAAATCAGGTCAGGAAAATCGGATGATTTAATGTCTAAAGGGTGGCAACTCACTTGACTTTCAGGTTTACAGTTACCTGCCCTTTGACTCGTCGTCAGTTTTTGCTCACGCGTCCGGTTAAATTATTTGAATTTTTGCTTTGTAATGCTTTTACCTGTGTATATGGAACTGAAGAAATATCATTCCAGTATTTAAAAATATATGAATCACGTGACAAAAGAAATCAAACGTGACAGTAATCCCAGTTTTTTTAAAAAATAGAAACGGTAACCTACACTGAACTAAATGAAGAGCGAAGGTTTGGAGGCCAAAAATCTTTTTTTTTTTAAATGATTTTTTGAAAGGTTATGCTTTAGAATGTAAGTCAACAATGAAAAAAAATATGTTGATGCTCTTTTCCAATTTAAACTGCATTAAAGATAAATAAAATTTTGGAAAATGGTTGATATTGTTTATTAATTTGTGTATGGAGGAGGGGTTCACTTCACCATAGCCATGGTAAATTGAAGAATTACTCTATTTTCTTACTAATTATTTCTTCCTTCACCAATTCTTTTGCTTTTCACCTTGATTCAATCATATAAACACACAAATAACAAAAAATAGGTCTGGGATGGGGAAATTTAGGATGCAGCAGGTGGGGGGGCGGGGGGGGGGTCACTTCACCATGGCCTTGGCTAAGTGGGGCATTACACTATTTTCTAACTAATTAACTTTATTCACCAATGTTTGGGCAGTATCTTTCACCCACCCCACCACCCCCCTGGTAGCTGAATTATCATTGAATATTTGAATATCATATAATTTGTTATAATGTTTTGCAGCGACTTAAAATATCTTATTCACAATTCTAAACAGGTGCAAGATTAGTGTCAACTTCCCAATGATACACTGTGCTGGCTATGGGAATGTTGATATAACTGAATTGAAATAATTAAAATAGTCATTAAGAACACAATGTGATTATATCAAATCAATGTTTTCTCCTTTATATCACCGTGGATTTTCTTGATGCCTGTTTAACTGTTACCATGTTCAGTCAGATATGCCCAGCTGACCATTCACACAATTGGTCTCCATACACCCTACTTCTTCATTTTTTCTATATTTTGTAAAGGGACAATTCAAACTGATCTAGTGTAATGGTGAATTAATTCCGCTTTCCTTATACAATTTAAGGTGTTTATGTTGTTTCCTTTAAAAAAAACCCACCAGTTTGTATATAGTCTACAACAGCTTTTCTCTGTGCTCAATGTTATAGAAATCCAGCTATTGGTTTTTCAAATTTGCCTATTTCCATGAGAATTCCGTATACAACTATCATGTCCATTCTAAGCAAATGGAAGTTTTACGAGATTCTGTTAAAACTAGATTTATAATAAAAAAAACTGAATAATTGTAAATTGTTCAACAGTGTCAGTATTGGTTTGAAGAAGTAGTAGCTCAGTTATCTTTCACTGTTTTGTTTTGAATTTACTTAACTAACTTCTTGTCACAATATTTCCCTTTTCTATAACTGTAGTATCTGTTCAGTAAACTACCCTTGCAATCTAACCCATGATTTGCATCACAATATCCGTGTATGAGGTATCACCGTACCACACACATGACGATACACACCTGCACTATTTTAATTGCTAATGAGGACGTGTGCACATGTTACTACATACGCTCTGAGTATGCACGGGTCAAGTGTATTAACCCTTTCGATAGATGAGGCTTGTACCTGTGGTGTATGAACCTAAAAATAGCCAACTTGTGAAGTCATGTGCATGACAAATATTCAGGTGGTCATTGCTATTACGATACAAAGAAACCGATAATGTTGATCTTTTTCTTGGCCCCTGTATTGTCAACCTGACAAAGCAGTTGCTTGATGTTCATTGTGCCATAGTTTGTTTCATATCTGTACTCACTATACATTATAAAATCTGGGATCTCAATACTTGGAGTCTTGTTGTTTTGTTCCACACAAACAAGGAAGATGGATAGAATAACATTGATTTTTTATAAAACTCTGTCTGTATGGTCGTTGTGTAATACAACAAAGATGTTACTTCCTTCAGATATTGATTAAATTGGGACATAAACAAAACACTGAACAATTTAAACATTTTCGCTTCATGTAATTTATGTCCCAATTACTTCCTATCTTTTTATGAAATAAATAACATGACAATAAAACACACTTGGAAGGCAATTCACATTTCTTGAAACGGCTGGTTTAACAGTATGTATATCTTCAATAAGCAGTGTGTGAGCTTTCAGTAACATTTAAAGACTTAAAGAAACAGAAATGATCGTAATATGTTGGTTTTTTTTTCAGACACCCAATCCAGATAACTTTCAAGAATATTCAAGTATAGTTAGGGAATCACAAGTTCTGATAGTTCTGGCAATTAAAGAATATGATGAAATTTGATACAGATCGATGGATGAAAGCCAATAAATGGGATTCTATTTAGATCTGTAATCTAGTGATGTCATGTTGAATGGACAAATAGCGATCTTATTACAACTGCTGATTGGACCATTCTTCCCAAAAGATGGCGAATGATAATTTCAACATGTAGCAGGTCACGGACAAGTGTTTTAGCCTGTAGATATCATATTTGTTGGTGGTTTCATGAAATATCTCCTCTACAAGGGAGACAGAGTCGACAAAACAAGGGAGTTCAAGCCTGCATAACAAGACAGACCAAGCCTGCATAACAAGGGAGACCAAGCCTGCATTAAACGGGAGACCAATCCTGCATAACAACGGAGACCAAGTTTGCATAACAAGGGAGACCAAGCCTGCATAACAAGGGAGACCAAGCCTGCATAACAAGGGAGACCAATCCTGCATAACAAGGGAGACCTAGCCTACATAACAAGGGAGACAAAGCCTGCATAACAAGGGAGACCTAGCCTGCATAACAAGACAGACCAAGCCTGCATAACAAGGGAGACCTAGCCTGCATAACAAGGGAGACCTAGCCTGCATAACAAGGGAGACCAAGCCTGCATAACAAGGGAGACCAAGTTGGCATAACAAGGAAGACAAAGCAAGCATAACAAGGGAGACCTAGCCTGGATAACAAGGGAGACATAGCCTGCATAACAAGGGAGACCAAGCTTGCATAACAAGGGAGACATAGCCTGCATAACAAGGGAGACCAATCCTGCATAACAAGGCAGACTAATCCTGCATACTAAGGGAGACCAATCTTGCATAACAAGGCAGACCTAGCCTGCATAACAAGGGAGACCAATCCTGCATAACAAGGGAGACCAGTCTTGCATAACAAGGGATAGATGAAACAATATCATTTTTCTACTTAATTGCTTAAGGAATACCTGAAAAAGTATAACAAATACTTTGTGATAAATATTTTAACATAAATTAGCACAGATTTTAAAACTCTTACTATTCAACACAAAGTATATAAAATATTACGTCAAATGTTTTCCTGTGTCAAGAGTTTTTTATTCAAATATAGCACTGTATATTATCACATTTTATACATGTACGGTATATGTATAAATACATTTCATGGATCCTATTAAAATCTACAACAGCATCACACGATATTCATACCAACTGAAGGTAAACAAATGTTTGTTAGCAAAATATAAAAATGTAAAAATGTAAATGCAAACAAGACATTAACAAGAGACCTAATGGGCCTGCATCGCTCAGCTGTAAATCAATGTTCATCACAAATACAATCAATATGTTCATTACAAAGCTATTGACATGTACATCATTGACATTCAAACTGGGCAAATCCTATCAATTTCACCCAATTTCCAAAACAAACCTAAGTTCCTAACACTCAACCCTAAACAGTGACAGTTAAGACCTGGTGTATGGGTGAATGTCAGTTTTTCCCCATTTTTTTCCCTCCAATTTCTTGGGTTTTTACCTAGGAACACCTGTCCACTAATTATCCTGTTTCATTAACTTTTTGGCTTACCAAGTTTGACAAAATTGGTCTCTGAGACCTTGAAGATAGTTAAAAGTCAGTCCTTTTCGCAAACTTTGTTGGCTACGTCTGAGAGACATATCGGCCAAATATCATTCTTCTAAGCCTTTTGTTTAAAAAGAAGAATTTGTTTAAAGGTTTTGACAAATTTGACCCCCATGACCTTAAAGATGGGTCAAAGTCCTATCTTTTTAAAACACTATTGGACATCATCTCAGGAACCCATCAGCCAAACATATATATATATATACATATATATAATAGTGTTCAACGACTTGATTTTCCTTTCATAGAATAATTTGGTATGGAAGCTTTAGAACCAGTGTGCCCTCTTGCTTTTCCTGGGTTTCCTGTTCTTGGCTCGGTGCTTTTTCCTCTCAAGTGTTTGGACTTTGATTTCAACAACGCCATTTCCTTGTTGATCTTTGTGTGCTCTTTCTTGATCATCATTGACAGTTCGTCCTGACAATAAAATAGGTATGTGTCAGCCATCTTCATGTATCCAATTTAAGCTAAAACACAGGTTCTTCAAACTGTCCTTTAAATGTTTCAGAAATTTAAATTTAAAGTTTTACTTAACAAACATGAAATCTTCTCCGAAGATACAGAAAAAATTATGAAATTCAAATAAAACCTTACAAAATAGTGACTTCAGTAATATCAAATATAAAGTAAATTATATGGGCAAACCACAATGCTCAAAGATACTTGAAAAGACACTAGATTTGCAGGCTCTTCTAAAATATTGAAAGTTAAAAACCATAGAATCAAAGTTAAAAACAATAGAAAGTAAAATAAAAAAAAAAAATCAGAACTTTTACAAACTAAACATGACTCCATAAACAAATCTCTGACAGAAAATTACACTACCACTGCGAGGCATTTTTCACAGATGATCTGGACAAAATCTAGGATAAAGCAATCACAACAGTTTTCCAGTTTGAATTCTCCAATTCATTACACTTGTCAACATGTTAAGCCCTGTTCATATTTTGTCCTGATGAAGCCTAAACAGAGCAAAACTTGTTGACGAGAGTAATAAATGAAAGAACTCAGGTTATTGCTACAACACAACTGCCCAGCATTCCTTCAGGTTATCCAGCAGTAGTGTATCGGACACCTGGATCCACCCTAAGATCAACCACAGCGTTGGCTCCATCTCTTATACCTGGACAAAATCTAGTGTCCAAACGTCACCCCTGATTACCAAGGACAAAAGAAAAATCAATGATTATACCATCCAAGGGTTAAAGTCTAGTGACCAACAGCCATTCCCGATGACCCAAGACAAAACAGAAAGCAATGAATATACCATCCAAGGCATTCATTAACTACTGTTCAACATGTAACACATCAAAATCAACTTCTCACCTTCCAGCCCAATTTTTCTGCAAGTGTGAAACATCCATCATCGCATGTCCCTTGCCAAAACACATCTCTGCAACAAAACATACTGAGTACTGTCTGAAAATATACCACCTGTTTTGTACTATCGGTAGAATAAGAGGTCCAGAGAGCCTGTATCAGTAACTAAAGCAAACATGGGCAAGTGTTACCAAAACATGTAATGTTGATAACATATGTTAATGTTTTTCACCTTTTTGGTCTCAGCTTCTCAGCACCAAGAAATACAAGACATTTTTTCCATAATTATCCTGAAAATAAATTTCATTTGAATATACCTGGCGTACAATCAGGAGTGATGGAATTTGAAAACAACAATGCAAATATAAATGTACATCCTATCTTGTCCCTTACAACAATACAAATATAAATGTACAGCCTATCTTGTCCCTTACAACAATACAAATATAAATGTACAGCCTATCTTGTCCCTTACAACAATACAAATATAAATGTAAAGCCTATCTTGTCCCTTACAACAATACAAATATAAATGTACAGCCTATCTCTTCCTAAACAATTATTCTACCAGGTAAAGAAAATTCAAATTAATTTCCTTTATAAGCATTGCCCCTCCTGCTCCAAGGAGACAATACTGTGTTCCTCGTGACACAAGATTGAAGGGTAAATCTAGTGCACTTCTTCAACTAATCTGGACTTATCTAGTATCAAATAGAAAGCTAGCGATGACACGACATCTGATACTGGACAACAGATACCATAATGTACAGCTGTTTAATTCTTGTGACCTGAGTTTATTTTGTCAAACAAGTGAATTCTTTAACTTACCTATAATTGTCCTTTTCATCAAATTTGAAAGCACCAGTAAAGAAGATGAAAATACTGGCACCCTGCAAAGAGAAACAAACATTACGCTAGTATTGTCTAGTCACTGTAGCTGTAAGGTCTGCAATATGTACTACACAGACTGAGTATTGTCTTAGTATACCTATTCTTTCAATTCCTTTACTCATGGACCACTGATTCCTATCATAGAAACACAAACTGTAAAAGTTTTAATATTGTCTGTTTTTTAATAAAACTGGGAACAAAGATAGATCTTGAAAATAAAAATTATAAAGGAAATTATTTTAGGTTTCATGATTTTCGTTATGAAGAATAAATCCTTTTTAAACTTAAACCATTGAAAAACAACATTTACAGTGTATTTACCAATAAAGTTTGATTGATATGATTATTTAGAGTAGAACTAATAGGTAACAGGGTCTTACTTCTGTTCCAGTCTTTACTAAGTTGATGTATAGCCTTGGCGTGTTTGCAGGGACTCTGCCAACCAGGTGGAAATATATTTAATGTATTTTTCATGTAGGTAACAAATGATACAGAAATGCTTACTGATCAGTTTTAATTTTGAAGCAGTTGTAACTCATTATACTGTATTAGATGCGATGTTATAGATAAAGAAACAGTTTGGTAACCCCGGTCTGTAAGTACTACGTCTGGTAACCCCCGTCTGTAAGTACTACGTCTGTAAGTATTACGTCTGTAAGTGTAAGTGCTACGTCTGTAAGTATTATGTCTGTAAGTGTAAGTACTACATCTTTAAGTACTACGTCTGTCTGTAAGTACGACGTCTGTAAGTACTACATTACACAGGCTGCATGCCTTGTTTCATCCTAGATATTCCAGGGGTTACAATCACAAGGCACAAGCTAAGTAAACTGATTAGTACCAGAAGGAAGAACTGATCAATAGGCTGATAGTTCCTTTTGAAGATTACAAAGAAGAGACAATTTACAATTACATTTTACCTTTACGCAACTTTGAGTTTCCTTTGATTTACATCAAAGGATCAAACTAGTCCTTTCCTCTTGACCACAAGGTGTTGCACATGGAACCTTCAATTTTGCTATGGCATGTTCCAGAGGTGCAGAGAGTGAAAGTGATTGTAACCCCTGGAGTATTGGGGAAGACTACTACAGGAGTAAGATTTCGGTGATATAAGTGACTGTACTCGTTAAGTCCCTTACCTGTGACTTAATGGAGTAATGATTTAGGTGATATTAGTGACTGTACTCGTACTGGAGTGTCAAGGATGTCGTTATTTGATGAAAAAACTAATACAGAAGTAATGATTTTGGTGATATTAGTGACTGTACTTCTCACTTACCTGTAACTTAACGAAGCAAATGGCTGTACTACTAGTGACGTTCCCATGATTATCAGCAGGTCACATTTCTGAAAATCCTGTAAGGTCACATACATAATCATCAGCTAGTCACACAGTCCTGTGGTGACATATATAACTCAAACAAAGTCACACATACTGGTAGTTCAGTAAGATCACCATGGTAAATACTTCACAGACAAGAAAGAACGATAAAAACCAACATGCCATGAGTTATCGTTTCAAGTTTACAACAGCCGCAACCATTTTGATGTAGGGTTTCCTTGTAATAGCTGTCATACCACACTTAACAATATACAGGCAGATATTCTCAAAATATTGAAACAATTAGGGTAGAGTGTCTTGACCATAGAAACAACTATATCAGCACAGGGTGATCTGTTCCTTAACTTACTGAGAAACACAAATTGTGTGTGTCTTGAATTAAGGAAACCATAAAACAAACTGAAGGACAGGACTGTTAATAAAAATTGGTGGCAGAAAGCACAGATAAGATATGAATGGTTTCCAAAAATATGTTTTTTTTTCAGTCTGAAGGAAGGCGTGTTAGGATGGGAATTACCTCTTCAACACATTCAGCAAATCTTTTCGGCAATGTGTCACCAAAAAATACAATGTCTGAAAAAGTAAACATTAGTAAATATCATTTTTGTATAACTTAAGAAACAGGATGGTGAAGTAAGATGATCTTGTTACAATCACATGATCTTATGTTACACTGACATGGCCTTGTGTTACACTGACATGGCCTTGTGTTACACTGACATGGCCTTGTGTTACACTGACATGGCCTTGTGTTACACTGACATTGCCTTGTGTTACACTGACATTGCCTTGTGTTACACTGACATGGCCTTGTGTTACATTGACATGATCTTATGTTACACTGACATGATCTTATGTTACACTGACATTGCCTTATGTTACACTGACATTGCCTTATGTTACACTGACATGATCTTGTGTTACACTGACATGATCTTATGTTACACTGACATGATCTTGTGTTACACTGACATGATCTTGTGTTACACTGACATGCTTATTGTTTGTGTTACATTGACATGATCTTATGTTACATTGACATGATCTTGTGTTACACTGACATGATCTTATGTTACACTGACATGGCCTTGTGTTACACTGACATGGCCTTGTGTTACACTGACATGATCTTGTGTTACACTGACATGATCTTGTGTTACACTGACATGACCTTGTGTTACACTGACATGACCTTGTGTTACAATGACATGATCTTATGTTACACTGACATGATCTTGTGTTACACTGACATGATCTTGTGTTACACTTGTGTTACACTGACATGACCTTGTTACACTGACATGACCTTGTGTTACACTGACATTGCCTTGTGTTACACTGACATGACCTTGTTACACTGACACAATCTTATGTCACACTGACACAATCTTATGTTACACGGACATGATCTTATGTTACACTGACATGGCCTTATGTTACACTGACATGATCTTATGTTACACTGACATGATCTTATGTTACACTGACATTGCCTTATGTTACACTGACATGATCTTATGTTACATTGACATGATCTTATGTTACACTGACATGATCTTATGTTACACTGACATGATCTTATGTTACATTGACATGATCTTATGTTACACTGACATGATCTTGTGTTACACTGACATTGCCTTGTGTTACACTGACATGATCTTATGTTACACTGACATGATCTTATGTTACACTGACATGATCTTATGTGACACTGACATGACCTTGTTACACTGACATGACCTTGTGTTACACTGACATTGCCTTGTGTTACACTGACATGACCTTGTTACACTGACACAATCTTATGTGTGACATGATCTTATGTTACTGACATGGCCTTATGTTACATGATGACTTGTGTGGCCTTGTGTTACACTGACATGATCTTATGTTACACTGACATTGCCTTGTGTTACACTGACATGATCTTATTTTACACTGAAATGGCCTTGTGTTACACTAATATGGCCTTTTGTTACACTGACATTGCCTTGTGTTAATATGTGCTTTTGTAACAACATATTTCAAAACTATTGACCTTGACTGTCTAAACACTATACTTACAGTTTCAGTTACAGTACTAACCTGGTTTGATGATTCCATTGCATTCTGGAATGTCACAGACAGGTATTACTCCGGCCATCACTTTATCTGTAGTAGGTTATGAGTAATGGTAAGCAATATTGGACAAACTATCTGCATCATGTGAACAAACAACATCGTTTACAGTATCAGAAGTATATCCAGAAAAAAAATTCTATTAAAGAAATACAGCAGCTGGTAGCTGGGTCTGTGTACGGGCAATACCACAAAACTTGTGAAACACCAAACAAATTTGTTTACAATTACACAATTTTCGAAAATAAACACTGTACCTTCCATAAACTCTTTGCTATATTCTTTCTTGCAGGTCAGACATTTTGATGTACGAAAACTTCCATGGGCCTCTATCAATTTTTCTGGGTCTAATCCAGATTGTATTTCAAGTGTGTCAATGTTCTGAAAATATCAGATTTTTAAAAAGTCACTCTTAAAAATGTTCAAAATCCTGAGTGTACAAATTATCATAACACTGTATTGATCCTCAGGTAAACCCCTTCTCCTAGTGTGAATTTTAGTATTAGGTGTCTGGGGTGCAATCAATCATTTGTGGACTACGGTAAGCATACTATTGCGAAATGGATTGTCCTGCAAAAGGAAGAAGGGGATTTATTTAGGGATAAATATGGTAGTTCTGTTATCATCTGTTTAGTAACCCCTCCTGTGTGAAACATTATCTGTTTAGTAACCCTTCCTGTTCCTTTCTGTGTGATAGTTCAAAAACCCCTTCCTATGTGGGAAACATTATAGTAACCCCTCCTGTGTAGGAAACCTTATCTGTTCAAAAACCCCTTCCTATGTGGGAAACATTATAGTTCAGCAACCTCCTCCTGTGTGGGAAACATTATCTGTTTAGTAACCCCTCCTGTGTGGGAAACCTTATCTGTTTAGTAACCCCTCCTGTGTGGGAAACATTATTTGTTTAGTAACCCCTCCTGTGTGGGAAACATTATCTGTTTAGTAACCCTTCCTGTGTGGGAAACATTATCTGTTTAGTAACCCTTCCTGTGTGGGAAACATTATCTGTTTAGTAACCCTTCCTGTGTGGGAAACATTATCTGTTTAGTAACCCCTCCTGTGTGGGAAACATTATCTGTTTAGTAACCCTTCCTGTGTGGGAAACATTATCTGTTTAGTAACCCCTCCTGTGTGGGAAACATTATCTGTTTAGTAACCCCTCCTGTGTGGGAAACATTATCTGTTTAGTAACCCCTCCTGTGTGGGAAACATCATCTGTTTAGTAACCCTTCCTGTGTGGGAAACATTATCTGTTTAGTAACCCTTCCTGTGTGGGAAACATTATCTGTTTAGTAACCCCTCCTGTGTGGGAAACATTATCTGTTTAGTAACCCTTCCTGTGTGGGAAACATTATCTGTTTAGTAACCCCTCCTGTGTGGGAAACATTATCTGTTTAGTAACCCCTCCTGTGTGGGAAACATTATCTGTTTAGTAACCCTTCCTGTGTGGGAAACATCATCTGTTAAGAAACCCTTCCTGTGTGGGAAACATCTGTTTAGAAACCCTTCCTGAGAGAGAAAGATGATATTAAAAATCTATAGTAGTGAATGATAGGATGGGTGATATCTGCTCAATAATTGTGATAAAAAGTAACCCACAATCCTGCTGTCTCTGTGAGCTATTTGCAAGAAATCCAATTTACGATATATTTTATACCATTGACAAAACTGTATCAATTTCAGTTTACAACATGTAAAATAATCAAATTTCTCTGTGTACTATAGATCATTTAATTCTCCTGGTAACCTAAAATTCAATACATTAGCAAAAAAATATTTTAAATCTGAATTACTGTGACTGACCTGTGTATAGTGTCTCAACAGAAGACCTTTGCTGTGCAGCAGTTTGATAAAGTAGTGACAAGGGGTTGGCTGAAAAATCACAAGTTCACATAATGTTTAATCAGTTAACAATTATCTGAGAATTAAGTTTAAATCGACACCAGAAATCTATTTCTACATCTCAATAGATTTTACCTTGTATATACCTGGCCATAAATCTTTAGCTAAGGAAAAGAACGGCTCTGGATTTTTCTAGAAAGAAGACATGTAGATGTACATTAGAATACATAATCTACATCAGTTCAATACATTTACAACAAAAGTCTACCTGTGCCTTCATTCTGTATATGTCTTTCGATCTTCTCTGATCCAATAACTAACAAATTAAGGGAAATGAATTTTTTCATCAATTTGTTTTTCTAATCACCCTGCTTCATTCATATAAAACACATAAATAACAAAAAATATGTCTGGGTGGGGAATTTTAGGATGGGGCAAAAGAAGTTGGTGAAAAAAGTTAATTAGTAAGAAAATAGTGTAATGCTTCACTTTACCAAAGAGGGGAGGGGGGAGGGGGGGAGAGGGGGATTCTATTTCATGGTCCACTTTACCACACTACACCTGAGTGCTTGGGGGGGAAACCCTTGAGGTTGAAGAGTTTATCTAATGCATTTCCACATCCAATCAGGGATTACCCCTCTTCTCCAACCCTTCCCAATCAACAACCCCATTTAAATTTAAAACAAAACATAAAAATTTTAATAGTACTATATCAAATGACATTTTGATAACAGACCTGGAAGAACTCAAGATCAAACATGGCCTCGGGATAAGGAACATCATATTTCTGTAGATTATCATACAACCCAGTGACTGGGGATCTAAAGTCTGGGATACCTGCCGCTGGAATATACCAAATATCTGTTATGATGATGAGTTTAAGACAGGATGATATTTCAGTTTAATTTCAATAAAAAATTTGTTAGGAAAACAGATTAATGGCTAAAACTGTTTTGAGCATAGGTATGTTTTTATGAAAATATTAAAATAGTGTATGAAAAACAAATACAGTGACTGAAAACCATTACCTGGCTGAATGCGATTATTAATATATGTTGTTGATGTAAAGACCTCACTTTTGGAAATTATGTATCAGATTGCATGTCTTACATTGACTCGTCTGATAACTGATACACTTACATGTAGAAATACCAGCTCCCACCATGGTGATGATGTTTTTACAATTGCCATTTCTGATAAAGTTGACTACACCATCTATGTCAAGTGTGTCCAAAAGCTGTACAGGGGGAGGTCCTAAATCTAGTTTCTTCTTCACCTCATACAACAAGCTATCTGGACCCTACAGAAAAAAAAACAACTTAAAGGCTACTGATGGTTACTACTTGTACAACAAATTGTTCATATTTTACAATTGTGAATCCTGTAATGCTGAAGTAATCATTCTCGATACAAACCTGACTGATGACCATGCTTCATACTAAACTGAGGTTGAACCTGTCTTAAGGGTTACATCTAGATAAAGGTCTCTTGTCTATAAAGGTCACTTGTATAGCAGTCACTTGAGTTGGTTCCTGGTGTCATACAATTCATTAATCTAACCTCTATATAGCAGTCACTTGTGTTGGTTCCTGGTGTCATACAATTCATTAATCTAACCTCTGTATAGCAGTCACTTGTGTTGGTTCCTGGTGTCATACAATTCATTAATCTAACCTCTGTATAGCAGTCACTTGTGTTGGTTCCTGGTGTCATACAATTCATTTATCTAACCTGTGTATAGCAGTCACTTGTGTTGGGTACCAGTGTACAATAATTCATTAATCTAACTTCTGTATAGCAGTCACTTGTGTTGGGTGCCAGATTAATACAATTTGTTAAGTTAACCTCTATGTAAAAGGCCAATTGTGTTGGTTCTCAATGTCATACAATCATAGTAATTTGACCTCTATATAAAGGCCACTTTACTCTGTTTCCTTGAGTGACCTTTGTAGACAGGTTTGACAGTCTTAATTGACTGTGTCATATAAACTGATATAATTCAAACAATGCTTTAAGCTATTACTGACTGAATGGTTTCCTAACTTACCTTCATCTCTTCTGAATCTGAAACATATATATGAATACATGTCTAGACCTATTCACATTAGCTGTAGAAGCATTTGATATTGTCATGTTAAGGTTCCTACCACTGATGGAATCACTATGAAGTGATTGTCCCCAATATATTATTATTACATTAGAGTAATGGAATAATTTTCAACAAATTTTGCAGTTCAGTTTTTTGTTGAAAAAAAAACAACAAAAACTAGATACAGTAACCATACTGATGACACGATGGTTATTAGGAATTTATACAATATTACAATCAATTACTTGAAAACTATTAATTGTATCAACCAACATTACAGTATTTATCTTCACTAAAGGGCAATGTTATGATATTATTTCATTATACAAATAGACTGATATACAAGTAGACAGGTATTATAGAACAAACTGTGAACCACAAGTAAATGAATTTGTTTACTGTCACATTTTAAACAAACATACTGAGTACTGATGAATCAACACATGTCCCCTACCAGTCCCTGCAAACTATTACACTATAATGATTTATAAAGATGGTGCTGTTTGTTATCAATTTAGGAAAAAAAATAAAAAAGAAAAGTACACAAATTGTATGAACCGATTTTTACGTAACAATGTAATAAATACGACAATCTGACAATACAGCTTCACTACCAATGTATAGTAACACATTATGGTCATTTGTCAAAATCTTGTAAGGAATTCAGCTGCTATAATGCTGATAATGATTTTCTAAAAATAACTGTGACCTTGACTAAACAACCCTGAAACTCAAATATGTCCAAAATATTTTGATGCTTTATTAGTGTGTGAAGTTTGATTCTTACTATACCTGGTTCAATCGCCGATACGTCACCAAAAACAATCTGCTTAGTTTTCCTATCAAAATCTGCAAAGTAGATATATTCATTTGATGATAATCAAAGCAAGAAATATTATCTAACATATTAAAACCACGGACTATGACATACATCAATACAAATCACAGTTACTCTCTGGTATGTTATATTTTATTGTTTGTATTGTTGAAACGACTTAATATGAATCTCATAGTTGTTATGGCTATGTACATGTATCTCATGGTGATACAATGTATCACAGGGTAGCACAATGTATCTTATGGTGATGAAATGTATCACATGGTAGCATACTGTATCTTATGGTGATAAAATGTATCTCTTGTAAGTAGTCTATGATGAAGATCATATTATGACACAAATTTGCTACCTAAAGTAGTAACAAGTTGGACTAGTAGGTAATATTACTAAGTTTTATCCGAGGTGTTAGGTATATCATGTACACTCTACTTACACCATTTCATATCAGGCTTGGTTGTTGATCCATCACCTAAACAGATAAAATGTATATATATTCTTTTTATTTTTAAAAGACAACTATACAAAAAATCTCACAAACATTTTACATAACTAAGAAAACATGTTTTGTATCAATTTAACATATTGGTGACACATATTGGTCTGGATTGAATCTATCACAAGGGATCTTATTGTGGGATAAAATTAATAAAAATAGTACACATTGATCCAGAGACTTTATCATTCACACTAATGACCCGGTATCTTTTTCACTGTAAAGTAGATATAAAGTATTTGTCATAGTGAATAATGAGTATGCAGGTTTGTATTGTACTACTATCCAAGTTGAATAAGCAGTTCTGAAGTGGACCCCTACATTGTTTGTAGTAATACCATTTACTTTGCAAAAGGAGATGGACATTGGATGAAACAACCAGACCAAACTTCTATTCTAGCATCTATTGTCTGATAACTGTAGACAGACAGTTTAAAATATTGAGCAATGTGGCAACTGGCAGTTGTAGTATTTGCAAAGTATGCAATTGTCAAAGCAGTGTCAAATTTATCACTAAAAGGAAAGTAAATTTTTATGTTTCCTTTTATTTATTAATTTATTTTCTTTTGAAAATGTAGTTTCCAGATTTATCAAATAAAAAATGAGATGTGAATGTTGGATTAAACTGGATCAAGTCAAAATCCTAGTGGTCAGGCAGGTAACTTTATACCTTTCCAAGTCCAATCAATAAATTCACCTTGTTGCCTCAGTGAACAATAAAATACTATCTACTGTACCACTCAACCACATACAATTGTGTTAATTTGCTGGTTTTATTGTCCTATCAACAGTCCGGGTGCTTTTGAGGTGGGGTCTGCATGGTGGCAACCTCACTGAACAACAATTATATGAGGCCTGTTGCACGCCATCAAGAGCAGCTGGTGTGAAGTGACTTCTTAGAGAAAACAACAATATCAGCAAATATCATTTTTCACCTTTTTTTTTTTGAGAAACACAAGCTGCCACAGGTTAAGGAGCATCGAATCACATACCTCGGATGATTACCTGAGGTTGCATAAGCTATTGCTCTACCCGCTTAGCTATCATGGACCCCTCGAAGTCTGGCAATTTATCAATTTCAATAAATTATTGGTAAATGATAATGTGTGAATTGACATAAATGATGTGTACTCTACCTGTCAATAAATGTCCTGTACAGTTCAGTGTTCAGTACACATATGAAGTTCAATACTGTATATGATATATTTTTAGTAAATCACGACAGCTGACATTCTCTACTAGTACAGTATCTTTTTAGGAATCTAATAATATGTACTCTCTGACAACCCGTTTTGAATAACCCGCTTAAAATGGCCCTTATAGCTAACAGGCACTGCAAGAGGTACCCTACAATCACTAACGATATGTCCACTTCTTACCATCTGTCTGTTCTGATGTCATTGCTATAAATAAGTGTTCACTTCTTCCTTATCATTTTGTCAATAAATCAGTGATGATTATAACTCCTATGAAACATTGGAATTCACTCTTTGTCTATAAATCTTTCAGTGCAATGAAATGGATGTTGATCAACATGCAACATGTGCGCGTTGCTGACAACGAATCGTGATCCCCAGTACGTTTTTGGTCGACGTCTACAAGACGCTTAATTACAACTTCACCCGGCGAACTCGTCGTTTCGACGTTAGCATCACATAAGAACGGTTAACGATGACAACACCTACGTTAGATGTTTCTAAGTTAGATTTATATGCTATTCTTTCTGTCGACGAAAATGCTACAGAAAAAGAGGTTAGTTTTGAGATAAATATTGATTTTAATTTACTTGTTCAATCGTGAAGACCTCAATAATATTATCTGCTGATCACTTCAATGTAAGGCTCAGAGAACATAGGACATACACAAATCATTGCTCGACCAGCAAGCAATTTTTTTCTTAGTGATAATAATATTACGATATTTTCAGTATTCATTGGGTCTAACCAATAATTATTCAGTGACAGTCTTGTTATATGTTTGTTTATACAAATTTCACAACTCTCTGCCTTGTCACACACTAGCCTGCTATAAAATCTAAGATGACAAGTAGGTGTGCGAGAGTGTATGGGCCCCCTCGTCCATGTTTAGTTCCTGCTATTTAAAGTAACTTTGACCAGGTTTTAATCAAAACGTAGCAAACTGACTTTCATAGGATAGTACATTGTAACAACTACTTCTTCAGCTAATGACAAGAATTTCGATTGCACTATTGTGCTGTTGGGGAAAAACATATTTGCATGTGTCCTTTGTAACAGTTATGGGTTTGAATGTGAAATTGTCTTACTAAAATCTTACTGCAACCTTATCATACTAATTTCCATGTTAGTGGCATTAAACTACAGCTGAAAAGTCCTGTGCATATATCATCATCTCATACACTGGTCATTTTTCTGATGAAGGTGACTTTGTAGTCATGAAGTTTCTCACTAGTCATTTGTCTGATGGATGTGACTGTGTATCAGTAAGCCTCTCACTAGTCATTTGTCTGATGAAGGTGACAGTTTAGTCATTGAAACAAGGCATAATTTTCTAATTGTTTATGTTATGAGAACTTCTATGGAATATATATATTATAAACATGAAGGAAGTGAGTTGGTTATTTTTTTATGTTAAGTTGCGTACCTTTTATGTTACCAGTGCTTTGTTTGTTGCTTAAAACATCAATCATTTACTTATTGATGCAGAAGTTCTTAATAAATGTATAAACATTAATGTAATGTCATTTCATTGTAGATTGTGAAAGCATACAGAAAGCAAGCTTTGAAATGGCATCCTGACAAAAACCCAGATAATCCAGAAGCAGGTAAGTTTTTTACAAATCTTACTACAGTACATGTAAATATGTGTTCCAGAGATACAGAAAAGTTCTACAGCCTTTCATGTGATATGCTAAATATGTTTCTAGTACATTTCGTATTAACTAAATGTTGTTCTACAGACCAGTTCAAGTTACAAGAGACCCAGTTAAACATTGTATACTTTTATGTACGTATAAAGAGAAGACAAAGTGATTATGATTTCAAGATTTTTCATTGTGTTCATTCTGATTTCAGTGGAAGTGTTTCACAAATTGTCCAAAGCATTGGAAATCCTCACAGATGCTCCAGCACGGGTATGTACAAAACAAATCTTACAACAGAAGGAATCAAACATTGATCTGCACAATGTTAATTCTGGAGAAAGAAATCAATCATTCCAAGGTGAAAATTATTCTTTGACAAAATTGTGTAAAATATAAGATTTATGATCTTAGAATAAATATAATGCTGAAATTTAGCAGGTAGCATATATATCTCAATTACAAAAAGTAAATTTTATGTTTTCATTGAACAGGTAGCATATGATAAAATCCAGAAAGCAAAGAAAGCCGCAGAGAAAAGACACAAAGAACTTGACAGCAAGCGCAAGAAATTGAAAGAAGGTAATAATGTTATTATCCCCCACTTTCACTTTCACAGAAATGGGGGATATTAATTTTGGTTTGTCCGTTCGTCTGTCTGTCTGTCACACTTTCATTTCTGTGTTCTAACTTCCCCAAATATCATCCGATTTTGGTGAAACTTGGTCAGCTGATACATCTTGGGGTGGACTGAATTTGACATTCAGTGTCATCTGTTAATAATTATGCATACTAATGAGGTATCCTTTGCTTTCATTGGTCGGTTCATTTCTGTGCTCTAATTTCCCTAAACATTATCCGATTTAGATGAAACTTGGTCAGCAGATGCATATTAGGGCACATAAGACTGAGTTCAGCAATCAGCATCATCTGTTAATATCCATGCATACTAATTAGGTATCATTTCATTTCCTTGATCGGTCAGTTTTTGTGCTCTAACTTTCCTAAATATAATCTGATTTAGATGTTACTTGAAGTCCCACAAATATTATCAGTTTATCATTAAACTATATCATTCTACATAGCATTATGACATGTTTACTCCTAACCTCTAAAATATTTACTAACAATATGTTTGGAAAGCGGGGGATATAAATTCCATGAATTTGCTTGTTGTGTTATATGCCAGTGGTTGTTAAGTATAACGTTTTCAGCAGTGAGCAGTTTTTTTCCTCATTATACAAATAGGCTATACAGTGTTACATCAAAGTTTTCTTCTTTTTAACAGATTTGGAATTTAGAGAGAATGCAGCTCAGTCACAGAAAGACTTAGACATTTCTGTGAAGAAAAATTTCCAAGCTGAGGTAAGAGTTAGACTGATGTTTAATGATGTTCAAAGAAGATCCGCCTAGTGTGTTCATGGTACAAGGAATTTATTAAATTTTCCTGAAAACATATGCATTTCCTTGTGCTTTTATTAAAACTAAACCATTGGCTAGTGATGGTGTGTGTGTAAAGAGTTGGCAAAACTGGCTCCAATGAATTCCTAGAGCTCTAATATGGAATTACACAATTTAGATGTGCATTTTTGTTCCGGATAAAGAGTTCACATGTGACTAGCCAATTATTGTGTTGTTCTTATTCAGATATAATTTTGTGTCCTTTTATAAAATACAGATTGAAAGATTGAGAAAGGAAGGTTCAAAGTTACTACAGAAAGAACAAGAACTTTTACAAGAGGAGCTCAGAAAAACAGCAGAAGCTAAACAGGTTGATGATGAAGAAGAAGTAGTCACCCCCAAACTGAAGGTATTGAAGTAGTGTTGTATTAAAATCATTTTTTTCAGGGTCCAGATACTTTATTTTCTAGGACAGTTGGTGTCCTTACATAGGAGGAGGTTCGCTTGTCACTCTTCATCCATCGTTAGGATGTTAGAGGAGGTTCACTTGTCACTCTTCATCCATCGTTAGGATGTTAGAGGAGGTTCACTTGTCACTCTTCATCCATCGTTAGGATGTTACATTTACTTGTGTATTCTGAGAATCAATACATACCTGATTGTGATAACAAATAAATACAACGACGTCCATGATTTATTTAACCATAAATATAATATATATAAATTATGGTTTATGTTCTGGACACTGGTTACATCTGACAAGAGCCTCTCCTAACCCAACTTTCGAGAGGTTGATAAAATATTACATTTCCTTGTGACATGGACAGTGTTATCTCAAGGGTGATATTATCTAGAGGGTTGGAATAACTTTGTCCATGGTGATACTTGATAATTTTTCCCTCATACATTAAATGTAATGTGGCTGGGTGGCACAGTGGTAGTGCACTCGCCTTTTACTTAGCTGTCTGGGGTTTAATTCTTGGATCAGAGATGAAGAGGTAAGGGATCACCTGCCCCTTCCCATTGGTTTTACCTGTGTAATCTGGTTTCCTCCCACAGTAAGACACAGTGAAAACTATTTAAGGGATGTCACTGGTCACTGACCTGGAAGTGGAACTACTTTTGTAAGGTCACACTAGTTCATCTGAAATTGAAATCAGTGTTCTTCAAAATTGAAAATCCTGTGTTATCATTAAGACTTATACTCATTCTAACTGAATATTAAAAATATATATCAAGAATATAATTTTATTGGCATTTTATTGTCAAGTACACTAGAATTATATTTTGTGTAAAAATTCATCTGAGGTGCAGGACTCATCACCATTCATACACCATCCATGTATATTTGCTTTCGTACAATACACTTTGTCTTGCTCTTGGACAATAAAAACAGGGGTGAAAGATTCTATAAATCCATTTAAACAATGGTTATACCACAAAAAGTGACGACACAATCTTTGTGTATAATAACTGGTTTTTATTCTTACAAAACGGCAGATTTTCTTATCACAGAAATGCACATATGAAGTGTGTGGGAAAATTTCTATCTCTCAGTATCTTTTTGTGCAGGTCAAATGGAAAGCAAAGAAAGGTGATGAGAGTAATGGAGGCTACTCTTATACAGTTCTCCATACTATGTTCTCCAAGGTAAGAATATACACTACCATGTTAAGATAAGGACACTCTATTCAGACATGGGGTTATTGGTGTAGGGTATAAAGATTATGTTGGTGAATGTTTCCTTGTCTGCCCCACAGTATAGGGTTATTGGTGTAGGGTATATAGATTATGATGGTGAATGTTTCCTTGTCTGCCCCACAGTATAGGGTTATTGGTGTAGGGTATATAGATTATGATGGTGAATGTTTCCTTGTCTGCCCCACAGTATAGGGTTATTGGTGTAGGGTATATAGATTATATTGGTGAATGTTTCCTTGTCTGCCCTACAGTATGGGGTTATTTGAATAGGGTATATAATTATGTTGGTGAATGTTTCCTTGTCTGTCCTACAGTATAGGGTTATTGGTGTAGGGTATATAGATTATATTGGTAAATATTTCCTTGTCTGTCCTACAGTATAGGGTTATTGGTGTAGGGTATATAAATTATATTGGTTAATGGTTCCTTGTCTGTCTTACAGTATGGAGATGTCCTCAACTTGTTGGTATCCAGTAAGAAGAATGGCAGTGCTATCCTCGAGTTGTCCTCCCGGTATGCTGCAGTAAGTGTAACTCCAAGACATATCATTTAGTAGTTTGTATAAAAGCGTGAAGCTAACAACGGGGTAAAAACATAAAACACTTTTTAACTGACTACCATCAGTAACACCAGTTAATATAATGTTGCAATTACAACTGATAAATTATTTTAAAGTCAGGTATCACCATTAGTGAACAGTGGTGTTTAAATAAAGCAAACTGGAATCAGTAGTGATACTTGTCAATCCATTGCAAACTTTCTTATGTCCATTTTTACAAAAACACACGCCACACTTCCATCAGATTTCATGAAAATGCAGATTATCTTCAGTGTGTGTACCACAAGTTTCTTGTTACCTGTAAGTTGTAATAATCCCTAGAATTGCTGCTGAAACCCACCAATACAACATTTATTTCCAGAGATGAGGCTTATCTTTGGATGATGCAAATATATATAATGATTTATTGTGTAATCAATATTAAATTTTGCAATTTCGATACTATATTGCAGTAGAATTAGGGTAATTTTTGTGACAGGTAGTAATTATACTTCCCACTTAGATAAGGGGTGGGGTAATGATATATGATAAGAATTTTGTCTGTTCTTTTTATTTGGTTCATATTTACCCTTTTGGCATCAAACCTTAATTAAAGTTACAGGAAAAAAGGTCACATGTGACCACTTTGCAAACAAGAGGCCCATAGGGCCTGTATTACTCACTTAATCAAAACCGAAACAAAAGGATTCTATTCTAGAGACTCTAAGATTCTAAAGTGTTGTTTTTTACCCTTTGAAACCTGCCCCTACCAGATTTCAGATAATTTGCTGTATATACACTAGGGGCTCTGAGACCCATCATTCATACAGTTGATTCCCTTCACCCATAGATGCTTTAGACCAAATCATTACAGAGTCCTACAGGATTTTATAGGGTTTGCTTCCATCAAGATCGGAAGTAGGGGGTATATATATATATTAGTATCTGCTCACTTTGTTTTTATTTTGTTTCAAATGTTGTGGATATTTTGTGGTTATATACTATGGTAAATTTTTCACAGTAAAATGTTATTTGTAAAATTAATTTGTTTTTTTATTCACTATATATCATCAACTTAACATTTCTCATTTGTGCTTTTTATTTTACATATTTGCAGACAGGTAATCTTTTGCTACTTCACCTGCAATACTTTCACCTCCCATGAACTTTAATTATTCCAGGAAACAGCCGTTCAAAATGAAATTGGATTGGCAGAAAACCCTTTGACCTTGACATGGTTGGAAGGTCATTCTCCCCCTCTTGGATCTGCTGCTGCAGCAGAAGTCCAGAGTCAACCATGTAATTCAGAAAACAGAACAGAGAATAGATTTGAAATACCAGAGGAAGCCAAGGTTTGTTCATTGTTTCATTTCCATGTACCTAGATAGTAAATCTCATCATGTTTCATATTAATGGTCATTTTGTTACATTAGATAGGCTCCTATTTTTGGAATTATTGTTGGTCACATAACCAGTCCAGGAGAGAAGTGTATTGGAAACTTAAATCTGAATAGCCTAATCTAGTGAACTGGTGCAGTGGATACTTTTGAGGTCACTAATTTTGGCCATGTAGATTTTCTCAGTGTATCAAGGTTTACTCACACAAGATTCTCTGTGCACTTCCATCTGAGTAAACTAATGCATGGGAAAGTGTTGAGTTATTTACAGAACAACATTCTTCAAGTGACAGTTTGTTATGCCTAAAGGTTTGAGTTTAATTCACATCAAGCTTTGAAAGCATCACAGTATAGGCATTGTCACTCAATAGAGTGCAAGTCATAATACAGTTTACCAGCAAAAATATCTCGAACTTGCACTAGCTATTGGCCATACAGAAATGCTTTCAAGCTTTAATCCAGAATTTTTTTTTCAAGTTTGAGGCCAAACTCATTGAGGTGAAAGGAACATATCCTTACTCATGATTTATTGAAGTCTGTTACCCCTCTATGTTGTACTATCCTTATGTCATACAAAAGACCAGCAACAACCGTTCTCAAGTACAAATGTTGAGTATTAGCATAAGTTACAACAGTGATAACATGTATGGCCTGAGTATCGAGCTTAACAAGTTACTCCTTCCACGGCCACACCAGGACTGACTCTATTTGCTGTGATCTTACAGTTTATCCTAAAGCAATTATAATCTAATTCTGATAGGGAAAGTGTCTTCTACTGATCTACAGTTAAACCATGAACAGTTAATGTCTCACCAGTGGAGAGCATATCCAGCCAATGTTTCAGGGCATGATTCTGACACTAAGGTGACCGCAATTAAAAAATCTGTCTGATAAGCTAGCCGGTCACTTTAAGATTTAACACAAATTATGTTCTACACTTGAGTGACAAATTTCACCATTAACAAAATCTATCTCAGATTACATAATATGTGTGTTTCAGGGTGACAAGGGAGAAAACTGGTTGCCTTATCAGTCTACTGCTGAAAGGGACTATGAAAGTTTAGTGTTAATGAAAATGAGACAGGCCCAGGAAAGGCAACGCCTGATAGAGCAGATGAAGAAAGAAGATGAAGATACTTGACATACTATTTTATTTAAGGTCATTGTCAACTTTGCTAACCACTGGGGCCTTGAAAGGAATATTTCCCAAAGCTGCTGGTAGTCCGCCAGACTTATTGTCAGTGTATACACAGATAATACATGCTTGGCACAAAACCTATAAACGGCTGAAAAAATCAAACAGCATATTGATTTAGCGATCCAGAAGTGAAATAAAGATAGGTTAACCAGCATGTATTGTTTTTCTTTGTTTGCTATGTGTAATTTCACATCTGTCATCAATTCTTATGTTCGAGTATTTTATTCTGATTAACCAATATGTTGTTACCGTGGTATTTGGCCTTTTAAGCACAGATGATTTTTTTTTTTAAAATAGATTGTGGACCCCATTTCGATATCCTAAGATCAAATGTGTTACAAGTTGTAACTAATATTTTGCATGAATTTTAAATTTCAAAAAATTAATGACCTCAAATTGAAGTCCAGGCCATTTCTTTTTTTAAACTTTGAAGCACTTAGAGAAGGTGACTTAATGACTTGTGATTCATAGGGTTATATCATAGGATACATCCGATTCATGACCTATAAAGCCATCACATTACATCTGACTCGTGACTCCAAGGTCTGACTCACAGGGCAATGAGAACACAACTCCTTTTTTATATAAAATTGTAGTTTATTAATGATATCATTAATCCATTCCCATCTCGTATATAATCAGTTGATAATACAAATGTGTATATGTAGTACTATTATTTTTTAAAAAAAATTGCATCAAGTTTAAAGTTTTATATTACAAAAACATTTACAATATATTACAAAGTTTATCTTCTGAAAATAAACAAGCAAAAAACAGCCAGCTTGTAGTACCTATGTGTAAATATCATCAGAATCTGTACTTATAACAATCTTTAAGAACTATTATCACTGAATAAGAATGTATAGTCTGACCAAAAACACCTGTCCTGTTGATGTTACCACCTTGATTCCATGTGAACTGGAGAGCAGATAAGATTAAACAGCTGAAGAAGGACATCACCGCACTACAACAAGAGAAGCAGACGTCATCTACAGAGAGGTATGGTCTGCCCTTTATATATCTGAATGATCAAAGTGGGCAAATCTAAATATAATTTGTTCAACGTAAGTACAACACGGCAGGTCCTTTTGGTCAGACTTGTTCTTTTCATGCAAATCAAACAGCCGCCAATAAAACTCCTGTTTTATCAGCAACTTGTTTTCTCTAAAATTTGCTAATGCTGTAGACTAGATGTATCCATCATTCTGTAATTTTGAAAGAAAAAATGAATTTAACAAAACCAACTCTGAATAGAAAAGTAGCAAATTGAAAAAATAGAATTCACATCATGTCCTAGAAACAAAACATATGGTCATTTCTACACAGAAAATATTAAAAAATGAAAATGGATGTTTATGATATTACAACAGAAGTGAAAGCCAATGTTGATAAAAATAAGGAAAAATATGCAGTCAAGAAACTCTGAAGGGAAAATGCAAGCAAAAACTCGAAGAAACTACCACATAGAAATGAACTTATGGGATGTTGCCTCTTGGAGTTTTTTGTAGGTTCTTTCAAAGTACATTATAAAAGAAACAAAATGAAATGGCCGTCTCTCATTTAAATGACATCGGTTTAAGTATGACAAATGTTTACCAATTTTCAACGTTGGTGTTAGAGTATTGCTCCTTTTCAGGATCAGATTAAATACTTTCGTTAATCCTGACATGTGAAAGGATCACATAAAAACAAGATTTGGAAGAAAATCTAGCCAAGACAGTATTGTTGAGAGAATCATATTTCAGACACGAAATTGGTTAGCGATTCTTTTATCTCCCTTTGGCTAATGGAATCTTTGTTCCGACTGGCTATACATAATAAAAGTACACTTACTGGTATTTTCTGACACAGCAACAATGATCATTACCCTCAACATGAATTTGTTGGGTGCTTTTTTTTCCATGGAATGTAATACAATAAGAAATATACTCTAAATCTTCAACAATATAGTCTCTTGTTTTCAAATTCTTTGAACAATAAATAGTGGTAGATCTATTGTGTTAAAAAAATATTCAACCCTTGGGTTTTTCAGCATGTAAGTTTTATCCGATAATCCATTTACTCTGACACATAATGGTATTAACTTCTTATACACAAAATGGAATGTTGACTATATAATTAATTATAGATAAATACATTATCTGAATTTACGGTAACCAATGTGTTCTTAACCGTAATTCTGTGGATAAATATCTGCATGCATTTACCACACAAGTAAATACAATCTGTGATCTCAAGAGTTAATATAAAAATAATGCATGCTCTTTTTTCCAAAATATTGCTGACCATTATAATATTATTCCGTAATTCCCATTAATATATTCCTTTTTATCACATAACTAGCCTTTTATCCACTGATAGTATGGACAGTGACATTCCATCATAAATTGAAAATGACAACAAAAGTTGCTTCAGTTTGCTATTGTCTTCAATCATCTTTACTTGTAAACTTTTCAAAATGTTAACTTTTCAGAGTTATGTGGTAAAAAAAACCTTCTTTTTATTCAATCTGAGATTTTATGAGACTCATCTTGAAGTTTTAATTTTTGCTCACAAAGACTTGCTAGACTTGTCTTGAAGTTCAGGTTTTTTTTCACCTAGGGTCACAAAAAATAAAAATTCAAAGACTTGTTTCATAAAATCTCACATGAAATGAAAACTCATTTAAGATCCTATATATGTGCTAATATGTATGGAATTCCTTTTTGTAATACATGCAATATATCCTTTATCTTTGTAAAAGTAAGATAAGTATTCCATTTCTTTTGTAGTTATATAACATGCTTTTTCTGTAACTTCCTTGCTATGTAGTAATGATTCTTCATAAATAGCACTTATACTTTTAACAAGTTAATCTCTGACAACATTAAAAATGGAAAAAAATAAGTTTTAACTTGCACATGTGCTTGATTTTTTATATTAAACCTTGAACCTTTTCAGTGCTCTGATCACTTTCGGTGATGCATCTTTAAAAAAAAAAAAAAAAAAAGAGAACCCAAATATTAGTTCTATAAAGAGAATCAAATAAAATATGGAATATCGACAGTGTTTTATATTTTAGTGTGATAGGGTTTCTGTTTTCAGTATCACAGACAGGAGCTGTATCATTTTTGAATTTGTTAATGACAATCTAAAACTTGTATTAAAGACATATTAGTTTACATGATCAGTCAGAGTGAGGTAAAATTGACAAAGCAGACACAAGTAATGATGCCATAACAAATGCATGACTAATTGGTATTTACAAGAAACATGAACGTATGAAACAATCTTGATGGTGCTTTTTTTCTTGTTTTACTAACAGACTCGATGTTTAATGAACATCGACATCTTAAAACAAGCTAGACTCCGATTGTTCTTTTTACAGCTATATTTTATACGGCATTACCTTACAAAACAAAGACGTAACATAAACACATAAGAAAAACAAGTAATTACAAAATAATGATAGATGATGTATTTTGTAAACATTAATAGTATATGTAATTTTAATATAGTAGGCTATATATATTATACTTGTCTCTTCAATATTGGATGTGCTCTTCAAGCACACCAACCGAAATAATAGTTATATACACTATGCTACTCAACTACTATGTACAGTTTAATTTACATTTTTACAACACTAACATTATTTAGGCGATGGTAGAAAGTGATGTACAAAATATGACTGTTGGGAATTAACACTTCCTGCAGCACTGTCGAAAAGATGTGTTACTTCCCTTTACTGGCTTCTTGTATACAGAAAAACGCAAAAAGAGGAAAAAATGATATTAAATTCCCTATAAAACTTACAGGTAAAAATAACCCTTTGATTTTTGTAGAAATGATCTCGTATCTTTAAAGACCAAAGCATTTCCATCAATGGACGAGTTTCCCCATTCCCTTGTAAATTTCAACAAATCACATCTCACTTTACCACGATATGTGCTTTTGAAAACAAGAAAACAACCAATGACGATTTTCCTTACTTATGTTTGTTGTTTACAGTATAATGGCAACAAAGAATATATTATACATAAATATATATAGGTATATAAGCTGATATGAAAGGATAACGTTCACAAACACAGAAACAACCGAGTGTAAAGATAAAACAGTGTAAATGCACATAATCATATAAAACAATGATTTCTATGTATACAACACAGGACTGGTAAACAACAGTGTCTGATAAATGATTGATATGATGTTTAAACTGTACACACCTAATCAATGAGTGGTGTATGGAATGAGAGGTTTGAAATATATCCTTTACTGTGTACATTTCTAGATGTCGAATAATCATTTAATTTTTCAAGCTGATAACAGTTCCTTTGATATATGAAAGTCATAAATAATAGAGTACTTTTAAAAACAAGTTCATCTTTATAACTTAAGATTTCAATATAGATTTTATCCCAATGATATGGTCAAGTCTGGAGATTCATTCTGGGGCTGGTATGTTAACAAAGAAGCCTTAAACTTTAATCATGGTACATGCATATTCCAAAACTGGTACTTATCCTGCCTAAACATAGGTTCTTTTATCATATAAGCTATAATTTGTCTTTGCATGAAATGAAATGGAAAATATGTCACATTTTACAAAAGTCGGAACAATTACATTTCCTGTCCAAGTATCATGACAATATAATACAAGCCAGCTGCCTCTGTCTGAATATGAACATGTGACTAACAAAGCTTCAGCTATATCAATGTTTATGAGATTGAACATAACACACAATGTACAGGTTTATGGGCTGATGTGCACAAGTTTACTTTTCTTTATCTTGCAAACAGTCACATATTACAGGTTTATGAGCTGATGAACTCCACAACTCTATGTCCTATATTAAATGTACAGGTTTCTTAATGATGAATTAACCTCTTCTTCACAAAATATGGAAATATATGAGACGATGAACTTCACAGTTCACTTTATCCTTTACAAAATGCACAGGTTAATGGTTTCATGAACACCGTAGTTCTCCTTTCTTCAGTCTGTGCTAAATTGTGCAGGTTCATAAATAAGTGAACTACATGGATCCACAGATACCACAGATGATGAGCTTTGCAGAAAACCATCACTGCATACTGTGGGGATGTTCATGACAAAATGTCTCATGCAGATCCTTATTTCTGACATCAATACATAATGTACATGTTATGAAATGATGAAATGCGTATGACTGTAAATGATTAAAATTCCAATGTAACACTTCATAACACTAGAGAATTAGTGTCCAAACAGCAATTTTGTTCCATGTTCAGTCATCTTTCAGCTTTATTAGTATGATCAACAACATTTTATGACACATGCATGTGATTTTTATTTGATGTATAAAGGTGTTAAAATATTGATAAGTTTAATTCACTGTTCTTAACTATATCCCTGATATGTAATCCTCGTCACAGCCTGCTGCTTTCCAAATAACTACAAGATTCAATATCATAAAAATATTACAACAACCATGATATATAAACAGTAACAATTTACAACCAGTTGAAACATCAGCAAATGGTTTCTGTTGTTCTCTTCATTTCTTTTTTCTGGCAGGTGTCCTTCATTTTCCCCAGTTAAACATTCACATTTGCACTTAAAAATGTCAAATAAATACACATAAATGCTTCCTTTACAACTTTCAGGGAACTTTTGACTTTTTTTTGTGATATTCTTTAAAATGTCAACAATTTGAAATCCTTACTGAATGTAAATTTCATAAGCTGGCTTATCTGTGGTGACCTTGGCTGACTGAAATTAACACAATGATGAGTATAGATGTAATACGGGACAGATGAAGGCTAACACGGACTATGTTTGAAACTCCTCATGAGGGGCACCAAGCAGCTTGGCTTCTCTGCCATTCGTAGAAACTGATGCTGTAACAGTTCAAATGCATTTGCCCTTTGGGAAGGGTCGCGTACCAAAGTCTTTTCTAGGAATCCTTGCAATCGATGCGATACCTGCAAAAATAATTTTTATATGCATGACTATTTTTTTATGGGAATGCAACCTATTTTCTATAACTGTAATAAGACTGTTGGTTGCTCCGAGGTAAAATTTTATCTGACACTGTACATATTAGATATAACATCTTAGTACTTACTCTGTGTGGATTCTTTAATTTAGGTGGGGGCATGTCCCTGATTCTCCTCATGGCTTGGAGTGGTGGCTCATTGAAGAAAGGAGGTTCCCCATCAATCATTTCAATAACCATTATACCGAGGGACCAAATGTCGACCTACCAACAGATATGAAATGCTCACAAATAGCTAAAAAAAAGGGTGACTCTTCACTACAAATCAAATGCTCATGGTAAAATAATTTCTGTGATAAACCAATGTGTACAGACCGATAAGCCCTCATATGAGGAAGTTTGTGAAAACATAAATAAAACAAAGAACAAAGCTAATTCTCCTTTACTAAAGTTACCAGTTCTTCAATTTCTTGAAAATCTTGACAATGGTGTGAAGTCAATGCCACTCTAACGTTTAAAACAATTTTTGTTTTTCACAAAATAACCAAAGATCCCTTGGACTGCTTTGATTCATACTTCACACTTCTTTTTCAAAAATGATAACTTTAACAAAATAGATCGCAAGAACTTATTAGGTTAAAGGGTAACATGGTTGTATAATTAATCTATAAGGAAGTTAAGCTATTGGTGAGATTTTTGTTACCTCACTGGTAGTCACACATTAGCAGTATACCTGGGGCTGAATATCATACAAATCCAGTACCTGGCAACAAAAGCTCCAATACATACCTCTGGACCATAGGGTAATCTTGATATGACCTCTGGTGCCATCCAGTATGGCGTTCCAACCAAAGATTTGCGTTTAGGTAATTCCTGAGTCACTTGTGCACAGAATCCAAAGTCAGATAATTTTACCTGTGAATATCAATCATGAAAATATATTTCATAAAGAAGTTAAAAAAAACCAAAACCAGTTTCAAATATCCACTCTAACATCCATCCTTCATCTTATTTCAATACTCTCACACTCACATAAACTTAACAAGAACATTTGGAAAAGGTAAGAAAAACAAAGGATACCAGAGGGATCTTGGTGTCCACCATTGTTTGATCTTTATATGCTCTTTGAATGTTGGATCTTTTCCATTCTTTTCTCTTCTCTGTTTTTGCTCTTAATGATAGAGAGATCCATCAAGTACTTTTCAAGAAATAGTCATAATAAACTTCATTGAAAAAAACCAAGATGGCTGCCTGTCAGATTTTTTTTTTATCAGTTCCAAAATCAAATGGGCACAACTAGGGACCAAGGGGAACCTACAAATGCAATTTGAGAAAGATCCATCCAGTACTTCTCAAGAAATAGCGTTAACAAAACATGTTTATGGGCGGATAGATGAGGGACCACAGACGCAGAGCAATTTGAATAGTCCACCATCTGTGTCCAACATAACTTACATAGGTACAGATCACTCACACTAAGTTTACAATGTATTGTTGGTGATCCTCCAGGCAACCTTTTATTCAGAGAAAGCCTGATGGACACCCTGAATCCAGCAATCAGCCTCTCCCTCGGTTATGAGATATAGGCTTTGTATCATGATGCTTCAGGTGAAGCAGTCAATATTCCTTCAGGTTTCAGACATCAAAATATTTCATCACAGATGCTCAATTACAAGCATCATCATATACAAATGACTTGACAAACACTTATCACTGGTTCTACAGCCAAGTTGTCAATGCCAGAATGCTACCTACCTTACCATCCTGGGACAGTAAGATGGAATCAGATTTGATATCCCTGTGAATGACTCCATTAGAGTGTAAGAATGCCAGAGCCTTCAGGCAAGCTCTACACACTGTTGCTATCTGCACTTCATCCATTCTGAATTAAAGAATTATAAAAATATACTTCATGATTGTACAGAGGTATACATTCATCTGTTGATCATGGTTTTATAAGCTGTAATTACATTGAGTTTAGAAGAAGAAGTCCAAGGGATCTGCATTGCTCACCTAGCTAATTCATCTATTCAGTCATTTAACAAAAGAATTTCAAATATGACAAATAATTTCCCTATTGTGTTGCGTCTTTAAGGTCAACGAAGTCAGATTTACCATTAATAAAAATTGCTCCGACCAAACTTTTACAGTATCCTTGTTAAGAGAAGGATTTTTAAGAACTTAAATTTCCCTTTTGGGCCCCATGTCTTTGATATCAGACTCCCAGTAGATACGTAATAAGGTGCCTTTTAACTACCTTCATACAGAATCATGGCATTCCCATAAAAGATGTATTTCAAAGAATTTCCTCTACTTCCATAATTCAATCCTGCCCGTCTCACCTTAGGGGCAGAGACCCACTATTTATACAAACTGATTCACCTTTACCCAAGTATGCATCAGATCAAATTGGGAAAGAATCCTGATATTTCTACAAAGCACAACTTTAAAGAATTTCATCTCTTTCCCTCCCCCCTATCCCCCATCTCATCTTCCCCAAAGATGATAACCCTCCATTTATAGAAACACTGATTCCCCTTCACCCAAGCACGCTTCAGACCAAATTAGAAGAGAATCGTTTTCTATCTTCAAAAGAATGATTTAAAGAATTTGCTCTCATTCCCCTCCTGAGCCCCGCCCTTCACTCCTAAGGTGATAGAAATCCACTTTTTATACAAAACTGATCTCCTTCACCCAAGAATGCTTCATGCCAAAATTGGACAAAATCCAATCATCCCTAAAGGAGGAAAAGTATTTCAAAGAATTTGCTCTGTTTTTACTATTGGACCTGGCCCCTCCCGCTCAAAGTTGCCAAGACCCATCATTTAAACAAAATCTATTCCCCTTCACATAAGAATGCTTCAGACCAAATTTGGGCAAACTAAATCATTTCTACTGGAAGAGTCAGACTTTTTCTCTATTTACCCCTTATGGGCCCCGCCCCTCCTGTCTCAGGAGCCGAGACCTAACATTTATACAGGATTGATTCTCCTTCACCCAACAATACTTAAAACTAAATGTTGGAAATATCCATTCATTCCTACTAGAGGAACAGGATTTTGAAAATTTTGAAAATTTTCCTTTTTAGGCCTTGTCCCTTGGATGCCTGGGAGCCTTGAACCAATATTTATACCAACTTGGTTTCTTCAACCAAGTAAGCTAAAAATGTTTTTACCTGTTATGAGTAACAATATCAGTGAGAGCTCCACCTTCAAGAAATTCCATCACCACCCATAACTCATCACCAACAAGAAAGCTGTTGTACATATCCACTATGTTGGGATGGTGATAATCTCTCATGATAACAACCTGTAGGAGCAACAGCGGAAATGAGAGTTTATTATAAGCATCTCTTGCCAAGTTTTCTACTAAATATTTTAGCCTTTCTTTCGATGTATCCTTCAAAATATTTTTAAGATAAGAAAAAGCTGTTGGGTTACGTTTTTTTGTTTATCACAATAAACCTGAAGATTAGACAGCAGATGTTAGAACCAGGAAGCTGCTCGTGGTAGTACAGCTCTTGCTGCTTTCTGATCATATTAATTAAAATAGTTATACATGTATTGAGAAAATGATATTTATATAGGTAAAATAGTTATACATGTATTGAGAAAATGATATTTATATAGGTAATGTGTTTTTATCTTTTTTAAAGATCTAGAAGTGATAACATTTTATACAATACATCAAAAGAATTAATAAAATTGTTTCAAAACATTGACTTTCAAAATCAATTCAGGAGTGCTGTGAATCGTATCAATGAATTGTTAAAAACAGAAAAAAAAAGGACCTCATTGAAAAGAAGCTCTCTTCGTTGCTGTTTGCGCAGATCCATTTTCTTGACTGCAACTTTCTGACCATCGATGCGTTGTGTTGCTATACATACAATTCCTGTTGATCCCTCCCCAATTTTGAGGAAGTTGTCAAGGTCATTTCTGGGGTCACCTCGGCTGACCACCATTTGTAGGGCAGCTCTGAACTGTTGGAGAGACATAATTACACAAATTAAGAAAAAATAAACTCTTTCATTTCTGAACACAAAAAGAAGAATAACAGAAAATCTACATAAAAACATAAGCCTTAATACCACATTTAATTGTCCAACTGATATACCTGATACTGTTAATGGTTTGTTTTTTCTGCTATGATCTGGGTCTGAATCCACAAAAGTATTTCAACAGCATCAAAATTTAAAATGAAAGTTTTATAATAACACAGCATGTTAGTTATAAACATACACCTCTAGAACAAAGGGTATTTAACCCTGTGTAAAAAGAGTAGTGGTTGTACATGTACAGGGTAATGGCATGTAAGTGATTATATACTTATCACTTCAATATGAAGCCTTACAACTTGACCAGAATGTTCTCACAGAAACCTTGTCTTTATCCACTAAAGTTAACCTTAAGTTTACCTCCAATAAAAATACACATCTATCAGATCAACATATAGAACTTAATAACGTCACACGATACTTGTTGACTTCAGTATGCTGCAATACTTTGATTGAAACAAATCTCAACCTATCAATATTTATAGCATTTGTCAAATTAAGTATCAATTCCAAATGTGGATAGATTTGAAAATCATGATGAAATTAATGATTGAATTTAGTAGATTATCCGGAATGTATCAATTAATCAATAGATTTTAATCACATGCTATTTTGGGATAAAGTGTAATTTGAGATCAGAATTCCAATAAAACTATTAAAGCTTTAGACCTGTATTTAATTAGCAGCAAATTGGTATCATTACAGCGCACAGTTTAAATCTAATGACTGAAATCTGAAAAGAACTTTTAAGAAAAAAAAAAAAAAAAATTAGTTGAAAGGAAACTATCAAGATAATATGCATCCAGATTTAAAATACTTCTTAAAAGTGTTGAAAGGATTTGACCTTGTTCATCCACAAAGGTCAACTCAATATCATTTGCCTACCTTCTAACATATGTGTATCTATAGTACGGTACATAACATGCATCACTAGCTAACAAGGACACACACATTACCCACATCAAAATGTAAAATGACAATCATCACAACATGAATACCATGCATGTAACTATTTCAGAGATATGGCAGAGTCAGCTGGTTAATTGATCATCTTAACATATTTCCAAATAGAAACATTAAAACAAGAAAAGATGTCTGCATCAATTATTGAATATTTGAAAATGAATGTACCTGGTATACTTACAAGTTGTATAATAAACTATTTCAGAAAATTGTTTCATATCCCAAATTTTTGTAACTGACTAACAAATTCTTTGCACAACATGCATACATGTATTCTGGGATCTGGATCCCTGTCATTAAAGGTCACAGTAACCTTTGGCAATATACACATCCAGAATTGGAGTTAAAAGTAATTTTATTTTAGAATTTTTATACTGCTTCTTTGAGAAGTGATTACCTCTTGCATGAAAATCAATTCAAAACTACACAGGTTAAAGAAACACCATGCAAAAGTGGGTCAGTGTTTTACTCTTTTAACAGACACAGTCGTTTGTCAAGCTATGACATCGGATCCAATGACAGATTTTAACTTTACCAACAGTAGCTAATATTGTTACTTAAGAGAGTACATGGATATGATTAGTGTTTCACATTGATGAAAAATCCCAAACAAAAAAACAAAAAAAAAATACAGCCTCATTTAAGCAAATTAGATGGAAACAAGAAAATGTATGTAAATCATACATATTCAACAATTCTGCTTTTCTCACTATGAATGAAATTGAAGCTAAATGTTAAACAGTCTTGTTAAAATCACTGAAGCGGAAAATATAAATAGGGTGGTGAAGTATTCCAGATGAATATATCTGCATAATATAGAGTTTGCTGTGTTAAACAAACAGTCTTACCAAGAAAATGGAGCTGTACACAGAAAGTTAAATAGTCAGTGAAGCAAAAAATACAGGTTACAGTGACCTAACCTGAAGAATTCAGACATTAACTGGCCTTCCAAAAATAAGATACTGGCTATGACATAACTCATATAGGTAACAGCCAATGAAGTATTTTTAAAAGGCAGATAAAACATCACATACCTTTTGATTAGCAATGAACATATGTGATGTTTTATCGAAGAAACAAAGCTGTATGTGAAGTCTTACTAGAATGATGTATGGACAGATTCACCAACAACAAATGGCAGATATATATACAGAGCATCAAATTCCTGGAGAACAGTCAGGTCTTCATAAATCTGTTTCTCAAAGAATTTGACTTTCTATAGTGTATCCCACTTCTTTATGTAGATGAGGAATTTGTGTGAGAAGTGTAAAATGAGATATGCTAATTTACTGCGATAACACAAAGTAATACTGTTACAACAGAAGAAAGCTTGTGTATATACGTAGAAACAAGGTGTGTGAACCTGTAATCTTTTGTCATTGGAATGTGCTGTGTGTGGAAGGACAACAATTGTTTGTTACAAGGTCAGAAACAGTGTAAGACAGAATAGGATCCCTATAAAAGATATTTAATCAGAGAGTTTTAATTCTTACACCCAAACTGTTAGCTCAAACACTTAGTGTTAATAACGTGTAAGTACCCACAACCAGAGATAATCAGCTACTTTAGAAAAATTAAGAAGTATGTGCTCTCTAATCTTAATTAGTACCCATACCAGTTACCATTTAATTACTAATTGATAAACATGAGATTCCAACCTGGTCATGTGACAATCTCTGCTGCTCTGGCACGGAGCCTGGTGGGGGCTGGTTGTTTTTGTTTGAGGGGGGGATTTTTCCTGGTGATTTTTGTGGTGGCTGAGATGATGGGTAGTGAGGCTGTGCACCTGGCTGCAGGTTGGAAGGTTTGTTTGGAGTAGGTGGTCCGCCTTTCATAGGTGACGACTTTATAAACAAAGGAAAAACATAATATATGTATACACAACATTGCATAAGGTGCTGTCTAATACAAACATCTGTCTGATGTCACTCTGCCAGATCCAGTGTATTCAGTTCACACCCAAATATGTACATGTGACCATTAAATGCAACCTACACCAGAAAATACTAACAACAGACCACAAGTTGATGAAGTATTGGAGACATTATCTGATGTCTAGTAACACTAGTACTGTATTCCACACACCGGGAACATTTCACTGATGCTGTGTATGTACACACAACTCATCTCATATTTGGAATTTTATGATATATATCAAAACAAAATAAACAGCTGTTCAAAATCTGAGCAGTATTTCCTGGTGTATGGTTGTGTTTTTATTATCTATCCTGAAATAAAACATAAAATTCATGCATATCATTATCAGTTGTCACATCAATAGAATACTACATATACCCCGTTTAGCCCTATAAATATATTAATCTATAGTACATGTACACAAAATCGTGAATTCACTAAAGTCATTCGTACCAACTGTGGTTATCTAAGACAATACTAGTGATCTAACCAACCTACATCAGCTGGTATATTACTGGTACACTGACACACGCGATCTACTTAACTTCTAAAGTGCCTCAAGTATACAGCTGCATCCTAATTTCAAGGTTAAGTAAAACAGAAAATAAAGTAGAGTTAGTTTGCTGTTGTAGTGAGCCTAAAATGATATCCATTCAAATTAGATATCTCCTGAACAAACACAGTACTAGGTACAGAACTAAAGTTTGTCTTTTTGTTAAACTCAGTGATCAATGGCTTGTCGATAACCCATCAATCAAGTTCAATAATTTATAACTATTTATCCAACATGAAATTTATAAAACAAATCAGAAATTTACATTATGAAATGCCATATGTTGGCTTCTCATATGTCACATTAGAGTAAAAGTTTTTTTTTTATATAAGATACCACACCACGATTTTGATCAGACACATGTTGCCCTGTACATGTATGATACCGGCACCTATATACAAGCTAATCTCAAGTTAAAAGCATGTAAGACAACACTCATGCATCCAGATAATTTAACTTCCTACATGCTAACTACTAATTTTAAATGACCGTGCCACAATCCAATACTAATTCCACATTTGTAAGAAAACACCATGCTAATCATGTTTGTAAACACCATTGTTGTAAGCGTTTCATCAATGGCACATCCAACAGGAAAAAAATATCAATGCATCAATCGGGTAAAAATAATAGCAATCAAACTAGTCTACATAATGTAAGTATTACAATATAAGTGAATTTTCATAGTGTCAGCCATTGTCACACAGGTAAATGTGTTGCAGCATCAAATTAAACATTTTGGTATGTGATTGTATTACACCGTTATTGAGAGATTTTCTTCAAAGTATGCTCTAGGACTACCTTACTATAGATCACAATGAAGGGCCTAGTTTGCTGAATATACAGTGATGATATAATGCATTATCATATATACAATCCATCTATAATGACATCCTATAACACAGCAGCAAAATAATTTCTCATTTTATATGTGAATGATGTACTGATCATGGAAATTTCATATCTCATTATATTGTACATGATTTGACACCTTTCTTTCATGTAGTTTGGAAAGAAGAAATCAGTAGTACAAAAATCATCTAAAAAACATGCATAGAAACAGTAACATATCAGACAATAATTACATTAACATAGACTTACCCGTTCATACTGTAGTCCAGCTGGAGACTTCTGTGCACCATAGGGCATATCAGGGTGTTGTTGTTGTGATGGATGATGTCGCTGGGGGCCGCCCTGAGGATGCATAGAATTTCCATTGGGCATCTGATTGTGCCTGTAGTCATCCTGGGGATAAGCTGAGGGGCTGTGACCACCATTTGCTGGCATTTGATTGTATTTGGCAATGGGATGTGGCATATTTTGAGGTGGTCGGTCACGATAACCATCCCGATCAAATGAGTCATTATTTCGTCGTTCAAATGAATCGTTGTTTCTCCTACTATCAAAAGAATCGTTATGTCGCCTTTCAAAAGATTCATTTTGACGTCTTTCATAACTTTCCTCAGATCTCCGATCACGCTCTAGTGTTCCATCTGGTCTGTAATTGTTGCCAGGAGGGGGGCCTCCTCGATATTCTGGGGGGAAATCCCTTGGGTCACGCATATTTCGTTGGTCATGCATGTCCCTTGGGTCACGAGGATTCCCATCCCTTGGATCTCTATCCCAAGGATCTCTATATTCTCTACGAGGATCCTTGTCCTGTGGGTACCGCCTGTCATATTGTGGGTCCTGTCTATTCAGAGTGCCTCCATCTTGTCTGTACTGTGGTTGGCCATAACCTGGACGCTGTCCATAAGGATTTTGCATTCCTCGCTGAGAAGGCATTTCATTCTCTGGTACTGGGGGATACATGTTGTCAGGAACATATCTCTGTCTTTGTGGGGGTGGACTACCCTGTCGTAAGGAGTTTGACCGTGCCACAGAAATTTTAGTGTCTGATGGCGCAAAGCCATTTAGTTGTTGTGTGGAATGACCTCGAATAATTGTCTGGAAATGAAACAATAATAACTAAGTGCAAACAATTGAAATATTCATTGATTCAAATAATCTCATTGAAATTATTAGAATATACGACATTTTAAAAGAAAGTCTTCTCCACTTTCTTATTCACATGTTCATAAATAATAATAATTAAGACCAGAAATATTCCATGTTTTAATGAATAATCATTTTATGTGATGAAACATTCCATTTCATTTTGATTTTCAGAGTTTTATATGACTACCATTTTCCACTTAAATTGCTGCGCAATATTCACTCATAGATCTAACAGGGAAAAAAATCCATATCTGAAATTATTTTTTTTTATAAAATTCTTGATTATATTTAAAGTACCAGGCTGTCTTAGATTTTACATAACCACAAAGTTAGGTTGTTGCAGTTTTATCTCTTACCTTTAGAGGGAGGATCTCTGTTTGGGTGATGGTAGAGGGATCTACAATAGGTTTGCGTCTATCATTTTCCTCTGGGATGATAATACCAGTCCATTGTGGGGGGAGGCCTACATATTTTCCTTGATCCCTGTCAAAACCAGTATGCACACGATGTTCAAAGTTAGAGGGTGTAGAGATTTCTATCTTCTTTCCTTTCTTCTTAAACATTTTTCAGTTTATATCTGAAAAAAAAAAAAAGGAAAATAGAACACTGATTAGATGCACAATATCAAACTTCACTAACTCGAAGTGATTATATATAAAGTGCTGCCTCTTGGTACGTAATTTGAACACACCTGTTTTTTCTACTCACATCCACATTATCATGGCTAAGGCATTCCAAAAGTCAAAGGTCAGTGCTTCAATTACGTCATTTTTTCAACATTATTTCAATATTTAATATTTTCACCAGATGAAGAAGAACTTGTACAGAGTTTACTGCTCAGTTTTATCACATGTAATATAACTAAAAATTCATGTGGGTATATGACAAATGTTCTGTTACTATGGAAGAAAACCACAGTACCCAGGAAAACCCATATGTTCAGGCAGGTTACCTCTCATGTCCATTCCAGGACTCAAACCCCTGACCGCCAAGCTGAAAGGGGAGTGTGTAACCAGTGCGCCACCCAAATGTTCTAATTTGTATTTGATAAAAACATTTAGGATCAATCAAATTCCAAACCATTTTCACCCTGTAAATGTGTGGCTATTCATACATTTTAAACTGTGTACCTACAGGTACTTGCAGATAACATCATCTTTTAGAGCTGTCATATTACCTGTTACAGGTACTCAGTTAACATGGCTAAACTTGAAAAGCCATAAACTTTATGACACCACTATATATATATAATTGATGGATAAACATAATGTTCTGGTACTTTGCATTCTGTTGGAACATGTTTCAGGATGCTTATTCTCAGGGATGCTTATTCTCAGTTTCCATATTCCCTGTTATATACAATGTCCCAGCCTTGTACATTATCCAGATGCCTGGAACAACATGCTGAACCTGTTTTTATGTATGACAGGTAGTGGTTTATACTACAACAGAATGGAGTCAGGCCATTATTTTAAGATCTAGATAAGATGTATTTCAACAATGAAATATTTCCTTGGGGCATTTGAGCTGCCACCATATGTAAGTAATGCCTCCAACTGAAGTCACCCATGACTTTGACTGGTGTGATTGTCACCTAATAATCAACCTTAGGTAAAATGGGTTAATCTAATAAGTAACTCTAAGTAATGATATCATGTGATAGTACTTCCTACTCTAGTGTATGGCAGTTAATCACGCATAACAATTTCCCTTCTATCCAGCTCATGTGTATAAGTTTTGGCTCCATTAGGAACATTTTCAGGATTATGTAGGTGAGGTCTACCCACATACCAATATACATACCTGAGTTTTGTGTTGATTGTACTAAAAGAATTATACCTCCATAAATACTTATGTCAATGTGACAATGCTGTGGTGTCAGCATTTACACGTAGGTAAAAATGATGTTCAGTAATGAAAGAGTCACACAATGTGTCTTTATCTTGTACAAAACTGATAATGAACTGTAATTACAGTGACATTATACCCTCAAGGTCTAACCTCTACAGTTTACACCAAAATAAAGCCCTGGTTGTTTCTCTATTGTTTTTTCTACAATCACAAAGTAATCAGGATCATAATAGGTCTAAGTATGGTGTTGATGGATAAGGTAAAAACATGCCAGATATGTGAACAACCAGAGATTACACATAACACACTACGTCTGACTCTATCCCATTTATATGTCAGAAAACATCAGGTTAGCACATCCTCCAAACTCGAAACACTCAAAACCCCAAAACCTGAGAAGCTGGCAATAACTTTTGGCGCAATGTAAATTAACTTATTTATTGCTTTCCTAATTGTCTGAGATAAACATACATAGATAGTAGACTCAATAACTGGATGGATATCACTTTACAGACCAGCAGCTGTGGAACACATTCAGTACATGTATAAGCTATATATAAGTGAATTTAATGAAACTTCCCACCAAAAAAAAGAAATTGTTAAAAGTAAATTGCTGAAGTTAACATATACGAGTTGTTCATTTCTGAACAAAAACTGACCTTGACTTTTTAGTTTATACTTATCTATGATAATATTAATCATATTGGTAAGTTTGATACTTGTGATACTTGATATTCTGGAGGCACATGTACTTCATTAAAGACGATGTGGAGTTCTAAGTAAATTTTAGTTAAATGAACAGTCTGAATAGTATACAATAACTTCCTGATTGGCCACACAAATACATGCTTTCTTAACTATGCCCAAATAATAACAGACATCTATACATGATGTGACAACAAAAAGTTATAAATCATATAACTTTTATTCCAGTAACTTGTATCACTGAAAAATTGCATTGATACAGAATTGAATGCAGCTTGGAATATAACAATTACTGTATATAAAATGCTTGTTTTTCAAATACATAAGAAGGCCTCAATTTTTCACAGTCATGTGTTGTGTAGTATGAACTGAAAACTGTGCTATTCCTGAATTAGTATGCAACTTATGGACATCATAATTTTTTGTTTCCCCTAAGGCATGGACCTGGCCTATCTGGTTTCACCTTGGAAATTACCTAGGGGTAGTTCATAGAAGAAATTCAAACTTGCTTCTATGACAGTATATCACATGAATGTGTGGTCATAGCAATCTGCTATGGATCATCTTTTCATTAACATTATTAAGACATATATGTATGCTATGTAGTCAGTTTGGACTCTGTCAAGACTGAAACGTTCAGTGCAAAGTGACTACCTTTGATTTATTTTCTCTCTACATTTTCTTTTTTAATTTCCTAACTTTTTTTTATTCTAAAATTGTCTATTACCTCTAGTATAACAATCATACAAATATTTTCACCAAAAGCTTCCCTCCCAAATAAAACATTATGCAATTAGATCAGAAAGTAAGCCTCTTTTCAAAATAGTCAATGAGTATACTCTAATATGTATTCCATTTTGAATTTCAAGATATTGAGACACTCCAGTTCTAAAAATCATCAAGGAAAATCAAATGCCTGATATAGTTTATAAAAAATACCTACTGAATTTACAGATAAAGTCATTTTTGGGACTCAAATATTCGAGTTCAGGACTCATGCTTTTCCTCCAAGAATCACCCTAATTTTGAGCATCCAATATATATATAAATATCAGTCTTTGTTGTAACTAGACTCATCAGAATTTTGGAAATGTTGCTCTGGACTCACCAGAAAAAAATCCAAAAGTTATCAAGATAAAAAATTGGTCCTCCAGATTGCTTCCATAATGAAAAAGTGAACTTACATTTTTTCTCAGACAGATGTATCCAAACAATTCAATAGCACTTCACAATCATATGTAACAGAAGAGAAAATCTTCACAAGACAATGCAGAATCTCAGTGATGAGTATGTCAGATACAAAGCCTCAGCTCTCAGGACTTCCCTATATGTGATGAGTCTATAGGCTTTTTGTGTGTGCGAATCATTCTAGGATTACATCATAGTGACTCTTCCTGTGTTCACACTAACATCTCACTAATTCTGGCAACAAGCTCATGCCAATAAAAGCCAGTTATATACGTGGAGCTAAGGATGCTATGGACACATTATAAATATATGGTATATTCCTAACTGAAGTCTTGATCAACACTGTCCAAACTACACTAGCATACTCCATGAGGGATAGCAGATGCACAGTAATTACTCTACAATAAGTGGTTAGACTCGCTGATAAGGACAACAGTTGGTGCTTCAGACAATATCTACGTGCATTCTCTGTTATTTGTTTTTTCCCCCCCAGATATCACTGAACCATGGATAGAAGAGATATTGCTTCAGGAATTGTAAAGTTAAACTATCCAGGCCCATCAAATATCTTCTTTGAGGAAAACGAATTTGATACCAACTATGAAATATGACTCAGCTGGGAACTGTGTTAGGTGATAAACTGCAATCCAGGAAGGATAAAATACAACATAGCATGCCTCTTCATGACCATTCAGTGCCAGGGAGATATCATTTACAGATAATACATACCATTATAGGACAAGAAAACAAAGTGCTCTTCATGTAAAAGGAAAAGGAGGGAAAAAAAGGGGGATTTTCTACAACTGACAATACTAAATACTAATATAATAAAACAATTTTTCTAGTACAATATATGTTACTAACTATGCAGTTCATGCTAACTAATGCTGAACTTTGACCTTTTGGCATAGCATCATTTGCAACACTAACAATTACAATTTAACAAAAAAAAATCAAGAAATTACCAAAATGGCAACATCGAAATTAAACCTGGAGACATTTGCTTATTTCACTACTTGCACTGAATTACCAGCTGTATTGAAACATCTTGACACTTCACTGACAGCTAGCTAGGATACACCTGGTACAACAACTGATGTTTTAATAACATCCAAAATAATCTGGAGTATTGTATTCCTATCTTGATACCAACTGCCTTACTTTAACTAAACAAAACACAACACTGGCATCTAAAGTTTGGATATGGATTTTGAAGATATTTAAAGTTAAAATAGAACCTAGAACAATACACTCAGGTCAAGAGCAAAATCAGCAGAAAGAACGAAATTTCAAAATATGTCGGAATGGATTATACAGGCATTCAATTTTACATGATCTTAACCCGTATGATATAAAGCAACAGGGTATAATGACTTAAACCTTGTATGTTAAATAATAATATGCTGTCTTTTTTCCTTCCAAATTTATTGCAGATAAAAGCAGTCATTCTATGGATCTTACTTTCAAATGTAGCATGAAGCATTATTATTTTATCTCAACTGAGTACTCTTGACAACTATAAAACTTTCATATTTGGATTTAATGACCTTACAAACTTGTTAAGATTTACCATATATCATTAGGACCGCCAGATAGTATTCAAACTCAAAACCATATTACATATGTAATGTGAGTAATACTGTATTACCAACTTTGCTGAACAAATATTATAGCCTTTATATACAACTTCCAAATACCAGTCCTTCTCCAAACCGATCACCTCTTGAAACCAAACAAAATGTCCATGTACAGAACCCATCCTAAGCTACAAATGATTCTTGTTCTATGCATGGTCAGTTTGGAGAAGTCATGCAGAATTATAATTACTGATATACTTTTTTTTAATAGGTATTCCTTATATTTAACATTCATTCCTTACATCTCCATGTGTATGAATTATGTCACTTATTAAACATATTCCAGTTGCCTATCCTCAAGTTCTCCTCAATGCAAACAGCCACATATATCAAATAATTAGTATATGCTTACGGCTTGCATGAGTATTTAACATCAATTTTCCGAACATGATTAATTCTGGTCCTTGAAAATATGATCATTCATGATGCAGTTCAATAAAGCTTCATTTTCATGGATGTTGTTTATTTCTATATTCTAGTCAGCACCTTTTATCAATTGAAAAAAAATGGATGAACACTCATTCATATATGAAGAATAATGTGAAATATCAATAACATATTATTTAACGTTGACTGAAAATAGCATCAAGTACATATATAAAAATATCAAACTGCAGATGTCCTGAAAGATTTGTTAGTTAACAATGCATAACAAATCACTCACTAAGTAGCTATCCTATTGTTTGGGTTTTGGATATTCAATTTGACATGTTACTAGGTTTATTGTTAGAATAAATGAAAATTGGCCAAAAACGATTTATCTATATAAACGTATCATTTTATGCTCCTATCTAAAGAAAAGTTTGTAATACCTCCATTGATCACTAGTTTGTCTATCAGTATCATTATGTCAAATTTAAATTAACTGTCTTAAAATTAATTTGCTTGAATCACTAGGGATTAGCACAATATCAAATTAATATTACTAATTATGGTAATTAATATATTTATAATATATTTGCTTGAACACATTAGGAATAATGTAAATGGAAAGCCTATGCTGGTTCAAAACTATGGTAGCATAATCATTGCAAAAAATGTACACAATAACAATAATGCAAAATGTGTGCATATTAGTTCATCAAATCTTCCCGGTGTCTTAGATCAGGTAGCCTTATCAACCAAAAATACAACAGGTATGGTCAATTCATAAATATTCCATGTACAGAGAAATGCTCAGCCTAAAACGCCTCTGTCGAAGTTCTTTTTTTCGATCAAACATCGGGTACAAACTACAAAGATACCGATATCCACAAAGATACTGTAAACAAACCAGAGGTGACTAGTTTATAAATCCTATCTAGGTCAAACAGGTGAGTCAAGATTTCAACACATGTACACAGGTACGGTTTAAGTTAAAATGATGCTTAAGATAAAATATGGAAGAACAACGGTTAGAGGTGTTTAGGATGTAGACACATAGATGAATTGGGGGATACAGACAGCGATATGAGTCAAGTAACATTCCTGAGGATGACACTGGAATGCGGACCATCCACACACCCTGGAGTGTCACCTTTCATGTATACATGAAATCAAACAACTTTCAATACACGTGAAGTAGACAAGTTTGTTTAATAAAGAGGAGGTTTACTGCTGAGCAAATAAAATACATAATAGCATACCTGTACACCGCAAAGGAAACAAAATTTACACCTTTTCAATCTTTCCTGTCACCAACGCCATTTTGGAGAAGTTTACATCCGGGTAATGAATAACCTAATTTTTGTCCGACAGGTGTCGCTTCAATTTGTTTTCCTGCGACATGTGAAACCTGTGGCGGACACGTGAGAACTAGAGAAAATTATCTTGCATTCTAGCGTATGTATAAAAGCAGACACGATAATGCGTTTTCAGCAATTTATATATATTATGACGTCTTGATTTTCAAAACATAGATCGAAATATACTGTAATGTGCAATACAAGGGACATGGCGATGTGAGAGTTCAAAAAGGACCTATCGATCATGGATAGACCGATATATTGATAGATGATGTGTTGAAACCATAGAGGCCATTAGAATGTTGCTGATTTTGACAAATCCCCAACCCACCCGAAAAGGTCATATATTTCTTTATAACCAAACTAGGATAGGTCCATATTCACAGAGGTCTATATATGCCATGCGGATAACAAATTCCAAGGTCCTACGTGTGGTCAAATTAAGTAAACATGCATATGTACAAAGTCATGCTTGTCTAGATGCACAATTACTTATAGATATAGACATATATACTGTATGTTAGTTTGAACTGGCTGTCAAGAATGTGTCATATGTCTTCACCACAGGCACTTTGCTCACTGATTATAATTATTTCACAAACATTCAAATCAAACAATGAAAATTGAAACCAAACATCATAAATACATTTCATTACAAGAGATGATGTATTTTTCGTCGGCAAGTGACACAGGTTCTTTGCTTGTTGAAAATCATATTTCACAAAGTTTTTGGTTACATGTATTTCAAGTCATTAATGTATCAACTTGATGAATGTATTTGAATTATTTAAGACTGAAAGTTTTAGTATGTTTCCATTTCCGTGTGAAAGCTTGAAAAGGCATTTGTTGGTTAACCGCACAATCATTTAAATAAAATCATGTTGACAGTTTTCATTCAGTGCTGCTATGAAAGTTTTACTGACAATCACTTATGCAATTTGTTGATTAATCGTTCAAAACCATACCATAATACCATAAAGCACTTGCTGAACCAACTATCACCTCCATTTCAATAATTATATAATCCTGACATTTTACTTGAGCTTAGATCTGAAAGATCATTTGCCTTCACATTATTATGGGAATGTTCCTGGCAGAACCACCATCAACATATGTGAAGGGAAAATAAAAGTATTTTGTAATGCAATTTAGTTCTTATAACTGGTGAATTGAACCTGGACATTGTTTAAAATGTGATGTTAATCTGTTTGTTTAATTGGTTAGTTTGCAGAGAAAAAACAAAAGAGAAAAAAAATATTGTACAAATCTGGTACTCAGCTGTCAAAAAGGATTTAACAGAATTTTATATAAGTTTTAGTGTTAAAAAAAACCTATTTCAGGTGTCTTTCCATACAGATCTAAAACCATGGAAGGAAAGTATAAACCAGGTGCACTGACAGACATTATTGTTCAACACTCACAGCAGCACACAAATGAAGTAAAAACGACCAAAGTGAAAGCCAAGTTAGCATCACTCTTTAGTGAGGAGGTAAGCTTTATTTTAGTAGATTTTAATGGAAACCTAAACGAAAGATTTCATTGCAGTATGCTATATACTAAATCTTCATAAATAGTAGGATATATCTTAAAGTGAGTGTAGTATATCTACAGTAGGAGGCAATCAGTAATATTAGAGATGATGAGTATTTTAGAGTGATCAGGTGCAGCAGTTCATTGCTAGGGGCTTATAGATTTTATGTCAGGATTTGTGAAGATAATGCATGTTTCCTATACAATTTCAGAAACAATTTATGAGTTGAGTTGTACACTTAGCTATGAAATTTTAGTCTGGTTATGTCTGTTTCGAATGAGGAGTATGTACGTTTATAGCTATTATTTTCTTATTTTAATTTAGGAAGTAGTTTTTGATAAAGGCATATAATCTAGGCTTATGGTTCTCTTGGTTTTTATAGAATGTTATCTTTACTTTCAAATACATACGAGGGCTGGGATAACATAGTCTGTAGAGCATTGGCTTACCTGACTTAAGGTGTAGATCTGAGGTGCAGGGTTGGACATTCCTTACCCTTGGTGGTCTGTGTTTCTCAGGTAGCTGAGAGACTGACCAGCCTGTGCTGACATGTCCTAGAACAAGACACTTATCCCAAGATGCTCAAGATGACATGTGTCAAGTAGTATATATAGGTATCACTTAAAAACCCGTTGTCTGAGAAATTCATGCATCAAATCTTAGTTAACATCGGGCCTACTTTTTTGGTTGCTACTAATTACTTTGGTATGTTATATTTTTTATGATCTTTAGAATGCAGCACAGAATAAACAAAAGAGGAAACAGAAAGTAACAGAAGAAAGCGATTCACCATCTGGCGCTGTTGAAGGATATCAACCCCCACCTGGCATAGTTCATGAAGCCTTACTGAAAAAGTATCATTCTGCTTTCTTAATCATTATTCATTCCCTGTGTAAATTGATACATCATGTTTGTATGAAGGGTAGCTTGGTAATGACTAAGTCAGTGTATAAATACACACTACATTATTTTATCACATATATATTCTCTTCTGTCATGTGATATATACACCTCATAAATACTGAATGTCAGGTGTAATAATACTTCTGGAATACATGTAATTTGCATCATAAATCCTACTGTTGAATGTTCCTGTCAAAATAGACCTGTCTGGTAATTGAGGAAAATGATTAAGGAAATATGAATGAATTTCATTTTAAACATCAGTTGAGTCATTCAAGAGGGATTTATTGAATGTTTTTAAACAATTTGACTTGACATATTTAATTTTTATAATTTAATCAAATTATTTAAATTGTTTGATGAATTTCTTTATTATTTTGACAAAACTGTAGGGTTTTCAGATTTAATGACATATGGTTTTTTGTATAAATACATGGTACAGTATATGTTAGCTCAATATGCATGTTTCTTTCATTTGATAACAAAATTTTGGTTGTGTTCCAGAGTTTTCATTAGAGACAGCACATTGGAAAAAAATCTATAGAACATAGATATTCCTTCTTTATTATATGAATTGAATTTTTATGGAAAGTTGCAGAATAAGATATAATAAAAGCAATAATATCATGTTAATGATGAATTACGGAGAGAGCAATACCATGTGTATCATCCAATATACATAATCACAGGTGTTACAATATGGTTACTTCTTTGTTGGCTGAATGCAGATCTAAACAAGGTTCATATTTCACGCACAATGTATTTCTCAACACAGAGATATAAAGTTATACAAAAGTGAAAGTGTATTGTAGCATGTGTCAGAAATCTACCTGTATAATACCTGGTATTTATTTAACATAAAATTGTATTTTTCTTATTCATTTGATAGAAAGAAAAGGACAGACACAAAGAAAGAAAGAAGTAAATCAGAAAAGGAAACAAAAAGAAAAGAAGAAATAGAGAGCAGCAGGAATTCAAGGGAAAAACAAAGAAAAAACAGGAAGAAGTCAGTACAGGATAAAACACGAGACTTGAGAACAGTTTTTGTGGGAAATTGGCCTTTATCACTACAGAAAAAGGTTGTTGTTGTTCCTTAAAGTTAAACTGTATAATACAATGATCAACTTTGGCTTATACATTAACATTAAACAATCTTGATTTTTACAATACCACTCAACAGAGATTGACCTATACAGTACCACTCAACAGAGATTGACCTATACAGTACCACTCAACAGAGATTGACCTACACAATACCACTCAACAGAGATTGACCTACACAATACCAATCAATAGAGATTGACCTATACAGTACCACTCAACAGATTGACCTATACAATAGCACTTAATAAACCCATGATCTCTACAATACCACGCAACAATATTGACTTTAATATTACCACTGAACAATCTAAATCTTGACAGTACCACCAAACAACATTGATTTATACATTTTCTCTCAACAACCTTGACATTTAAAATACTATTTGATAACATTGATTTATACAGTGACAGCCTTAACCTACCATTGTATTTTCAAATGTTTCTGAGACTGTCATATAGTTAGTTGACAAACTAAGCTTTGCTATCTGTAATTGGAAGACTTACTTAAATGGTACTGACTTAAGCTTCATCAAACATGATTTTAAGGAATAAGTCTTTAGGTGAGTCGATTTTAAGTGATTCTTATAATCTAGTATTTATATTGTAATGTCATAATGGATTATTTAACTGCTGTTGTTACTTTTAAAAACAATGGAGATTTCTCCTCTTAATCTATATGTAAATTATTTTGTTATAGGATCTGAGGAAACTCTTTAAGACGTGTGGAAAGATAGATAGTGTGAGATTTAGATGTCCTGTAAGTATATAGCAAAAGACGTGTGGAAAGATAGATAGTGTGAGATTTAGATGTCCTGTAAGTATATAGCAAAAGACGTGTGGAAAGATAGATAGTGTGAGATTTAGATGTCCTGTAAGTATAAAGCAAAAGACGTGTGGAAAGATAGATAGTGTGAGATTTAGATGTATATCAAAAGACGTGTGGAAAGATAGATAGTGTGTAAGTAGTATATAGCAAAAGACGTGTGGAAAGATAGATAGTGTGAGATTTAGATGTCCTGTAAGTATATAGCAAAAGACGTGTGGAAAGATAGATAGTGTGAGATTTAGATGTCCTGTAAGTATATAGCAAAAGACGTGTGGAAAGATAGAAAGTGTGAGATTTAGATGTCCTGTAAGTATATAGCAAAAGACGTGTGGAAAGATAGAAAGTGTGAGATTTAGATGTCCTGTAAGTATATAGCAAAAGACGTGTGGAAAGATAGATAGTGTGAGATTTAGATGTCCTGTAAGTATATAGCAAAAGACTTGTGGAAAGATAGAAAGTGTGAGATTTAGATGTCCTGTAAGTATAAAGCAAAAGACATGTGGAAAGATAGATAGTGTGAGATTTAGATGTCCTGTAAGTATACAGCAAAAGTAAAAATATTGTTATCAGCTCTTCATAATCTTTAATGAAAAAAAAGTATATAAAGTATATAAAGTTTATCATATACAATGTACAAGGTTTCCTTCATTCATCCTTCTGTGATTTTTAACAATCTTAGAATCAGTTTTGTATATGAACGGTTATCAGTATTTATCATTTAGATTTTGAGCTCTCTTGTGGGTTTTGCCTTAATGTACTCAAAAACATTGGAATATCTGCCTCCACATCTGCTAGAAAATTATAAGGCATGCCAATGACTTAATCCGTACAAAATCTTAATAATTCATTTCAGCCGACTAAAGATCCCAGGATATCCAAAAAAGTAATCTCAATCAAGTAAGTAAACTCACCTGCTCTGAAGGACTGATGATCAAGCTTACATGGTAGAACCATCTGTCTGTTATCCATTAGTCAGACCCTATAATATCATACTTCTTAATAATATCAATCAGCTGTTGGCTGAAGTATGCGGAGTGTTGCAAGCAAACAAATAGATTCCAGTCTTCTTGTAAATCTGATGGATTTTATCATCAGCAGGACAAAGATATCAAATACTTTTAATTAAATGAAGGCTATAGGCTGTAGATAATACCAAGATAAAGATTAGGCAATTAAATCTCAAGAAACTTTCAGAATTATACAGATTTGATAATATATTTGATCTGATGTTAATATTTCTTTTCAAATTTTTTACAAAAAGTTTGAAAGATGAGCATTTGGCAAAAGTTTTCCAAAGTGTAAACAGCCACGAGTGATAACTTGCGAGACCTTGAGTTTTACTTATTGGATATTTGTATGAACCTTGGTGGCAGACACTGTTTTCCTCAGTTTGTTTTCATTTTTGTTTTACTTGACAGTGTGTATGTTATAGTTTATGTTTTACTTAAACGTGATGGACTTGTAACCTAATGCAGTATCCATTTTATTTTCAGGAGAGATTTTCACCCTGAGAGATCAACTATTGTTGGATTTGTTTGTTTTGAAGAAGAGAAATCTGCACAGAAAGCTCTCCAATTGTAAGTATTAACTTAATGTATTCTTATATCACACTTCCATCTACATCACACTCCCCATTTACAGAGTATCCTGCTTCACAATCACAACTTCTCTATCTATAAACACTCCCCATTTACATAGAGCATCACCCTTCACAATCACAACTTCTCTATCTATAAACACTCCCCATTTACATAGAGCATCACCCTTTATATTCACAACTTCTCCATCTACATCACACTCCCCATTTACACAGAGTATCGCCCTTCACATTCACAACTTCTCCATCAACATCACACTCCCCATTTACACAGAGCATCACCTTTCACATTCACAACTTCTCCATCAACATCACACTCCCCATTTACAGAGTATCACCCTTCACATTCACAACTTCTCCATTAACCTCACACTCCCCATTTACACAGAGTATCACCCTTCACATTCACAACTTCTCCATCTATACACACTCCTCAATTTCTCACTTGACAAGCTACATTCCTTTGGTTTTATTTTGCTATATTCTGCTTGTTGCATGATATCAGCCTTAAGCTAATGACATATCGAATTATTGAACTTGTTTTATAAATTCCATATAAAATTTATATCAGTGTGATATCCCCAATACATGTGAAACATGTTCTTCATTGTAGAAATGGAAGAGAGGTTGAGGGCCGTCACATCAGAGTGGACTTGGCATCTAAAAGTAAAGAGGTAAGAATGTAAACAAGACAAAGATTTAAGACTGTTTTTGAATTGTCCAGGTAGCCCATAAAGTGTTATGATAGAATGCACCAGTACTAGATGCTATTGTTGTAAGGAACATGCACAATTCCATCAAATATATAATGCAAAACAAAAAATTTGATATTTTCTTTACTCAAGCATATAGAATACACCTGTAAAATTTACAGAATTTGTTGTGCAACAATGTTTTTCAAGTGTATGTTCCTTATTTACAATACTGGTACACATGTATACTGTGAATATTTCTACATTTAGAGGTTACAGATAGTTGATTTAAGGTTACATATGATATGTTTGTAATGTTTTTTTTTCAATTTACACTTTAAGGATGCACATTCAAAGCTATCATTGTTATTAGCCTTTGCACAAAATAGATTGGAAGTTGCATATTTGTCCTTTTGTAATTATTTTCAAGTCATTTTGAGATCTCAAATCAGTTTTAAGATAGCAACATATTTTTTGAGATAATTAAATTTTAACAATTTTATAGACAACTTGTACTTTCATTTGATAGACATATTTCATGAATAAAAAAAAAAGTCCCTGTGTCTGTCCTAGAAGAAATTTATCTTTTGACTTTATTTCATAATATTTTACAAATTATGCAGATCAATCAAGTGAGAATATGTGGGAATTTGTCAAATTTATAAAATGATGTGCTTATCATTCTTACCTGTGCTTTATTTTTTTTCCAGCATAATCACAAATGCTCAGTGTTTGTAGGAAACCTGGATGTCAGTAAGTGGAGTCAATTTATCTAACCATATAACGTATCAGGTGATGAAACCTGACCTCAAGGTTAAAGGTCAAATATCGGGTTAGGTGAAAATTTTCAGTACATGTATGATTCTTCCTTGACAGTATTATAAACATATGAATCTGTGAAAAGGAAACCCACAGACTGACAGGTGGTGTACATTGCTCTCAATGAGGTCATTTGTGACCTTCAGCTCAAGATCACTCTCTAAAAATATAATTATACTCCTTCAGTATTCAGTTGCTATGGTGATAGTCAAACTATGATGTGATTTTAGGTGGAGGGTAACCTGTTAATTTTTTTGATGTCTGATTCAAATTTACTCTGATGTTGTGTTTGTGTGACAGAGATAGATGAGGAACAGATCTGGAATCACTTCATGGACTGCGGAGAAATTGTCAGTGTGCGTATCATTCGTGACAGCCAAACAGGACTAGGAAAAGGCTTCTGTTATGTCCAATTTGAGGTGAGTCACGATCAAAATTCTGCCTTCACATTCAACAGCTACAAAAAAAAGACATGTTCAATTAACGATGATTGAACGAATGATGAAATTAGTTGCAAAATAATGTCTGATTTTTCTATTGTGTTTGGAGACTTAGTTATACCTTATATATATATGTTTAAGAGAGCATGTCTACTTAATAGATTTTACCTGACAAATTTTTCATTAGAAAATGACTTCAGACCTGAATACATAACTTGTCATTGCAGTCCCCTGATGCTGTAGGCCTAGCCTCTCGCTTGAACGGCAGCCAATTGGCAAGTCGAGAACTCCGAGTAATGAGAAGTCAGGAGAACCCTGTCCTACCAAAGAAAACTGGAGTATCCTTTTAAATTCTGCTTGATGTTTACTCTTAAGACATGATATTGAAATGAATGAATAAATTGGTATCATTTGTAATAATACAACAGCCCTGATCTCGTAGAGGGTTAAACACATTTCAGGGTAATTTGTGCCCAACATGAATTTCTGTATTTGAGTAAATGAAACTTGAGTTATGACTGTGTTTCTTATTTTGAACACAGTCTTTACCTGGGTATTTGTTAATCTACAGTTTCCAATGAAAGGCACATTTACCTGTTATTGAGAAACATTACTGGAACCTGTGCATAAGCTGTTGTTATGACAAGTTGGTGAAAATAAAACTGAAAATTACAGTTGTATGGAGTAGACCCGTTAATCCAACCTTGGTTTATGAAATTCACAGGAATATTCCTTAACACTGTTCAGATTGAGCGGAAAGGAAAACCGCAAAATCCAAAGAAGAATTTCAAAGATAAAAATGAAGGAACAACTGTCCACAAAGGCAAAACTGCAAAGCAACTGAAAAAGGACAAGAAATTTAAGAAACAGAAGTCAAGTGCTGCTAAAAAAATCAGAAAACATAAGGCAATATTCAGCAACAGTTTCAAGAATTCGAGAGAAAATGACTCAAAAATGAACAAGAATAGTAACTCTCATAAACCAAGAAATGAAAAATCTAAAGGAAAATAAATCTCTTCTTCAATGGCTGTGTTGTGTGACTGTTTTTGTGTTGCCTGCCAAAGGCGACATATAGGTATTACTATGTCAGTGTTGTCGTCAGCAAAGGTGTTTTTGAAATAACTTTAACTCCTATCAGTTGATCAAGCTAAAATTTCATACAGTACTTCCTTTCCATAAGTGATTGCTTGGGATTGATTTTTATGTCCAAAGGTCAAAGGTCATGGTCACTTTTATTATCAATAGGATATTGCGTTTTTTGCAATAACTTTAGTAGTCTGCACTATCTTCCTCAAACTTCAAAAGTGCTTTCTTGGTATTGCTTTCAAGTTTTGAAGGTCAAAGGTAAAGGACTGTGTTACTATAAATAACAAATTTGTTTTCATACAACGACCTTACCAAAGGTACTTGCTTGGGATTGCTTTTCAGCTGGACTGTCCCTGTTCCTGCGTATTTGGAGCAAAACAAGTTATATAAATGGAATGAATACAATGTCTATTTTTCCATACGGCTCGTCTCCAGAAACCTTGCTGGGCAGGCGACACATCCACTTCTGTGGAATTCTTGTATCAATATTCTTAGTACCCTGGAGAGTTTTCAGAAGGTGAATGTTCATATATACACAATCATTCTAGAAGATTATTATTTAACAACTGTGCTCAACACATTTTTGTATCTTGACTGTGAAAATTAATTCAAAATAACTTTTTCACCAAGGCAACAAGAAATTGACAGGAGCCCTCCCAAAAAAAAAAATTCAGATGTCATGCTATCAGAAAACGCAGTGTAAAAAGTTCCAAAGGCTAAGATCACTGTTATTTAAAGTAGAATCTGTTTTATTCTGTCATAAATACATCATATATGAGCCTTCCAGAAGGTCGAACTTTCTGACATTACAGTAACATGCAGACTGGCAATAATTGTTTGAAATGTTTCGAAGGTAAAATAGAAATAAAAAGAGTTTATACTGTTAACTATGTTATATATGGCCGTTCTTTAACAGTGGCATCCGCACTCCTAGTAAATTGTGTTTATTATATCTCTTCTTCAAATGAAGTGATAGATATTATATTTGTACCAGTTAATATGGTTCCGATAGATTCTTGTTGGCAGCATTACCTGTAAGTTGTCGAAGATTAAACTTGCAGTATGCATACATCTGCTGTTGGGTCAATGTGACCCTGTGATCAAAGATCAAATAAGTGTAATTCTTTCCTTTTTTCTTGTCTGGACTATAAATTTCAAAAGATATCTTAATGAAAGTTGCTTTATACCACTGTCACCCACAAACCAAGTCAATGCTCCATCCGTGACCTTGACCTCAAAGGCCAAATACATACATTTTTCCCCAAAAATAATTCAATATTCAGTATTTGAAATGATTCACTGCAATGAAGCAGATAAGCAGTAGGGTTGTTGAATAAATTCTAAAGGTGTTTAAGTGACATTGATAAAAGTGTGACCAATATAATAGTCAGAGAGAGCAGGGCCCTTTCTGATGTGTCATTGGTAAAGTTAAACAAGGTTGATTATACCTTGAATATAAAACAAACAAATGTCTTAGTATTTAAATGTTTAATGAGTCAAATAAATTATATATGATGCTTGACATGAACATAAGAATCACTATGCAATCCTAAAAGGCCTGCTGTTGTCCAAAACCTGGTTTATTAGAAGTACATCTATAACTTATTAACACTGCCTTCAGGATTTGGTTATGTAAACGATCCTTTACATACTAAGTATGCATTGGTAACATTCATACAAATACAAAATTGAAATATCCAAACATCGACTTCTAAGAAGCGTGGTATAAAATCAGAAATTGTCTAGAAGTACGAAACAGTTGTATGATGCAGTTTTATTCATCGATAGGGTATACTGTACTTACTCTGAATTATGAAAAAGTGTAAATCACTTGTGTGTCTTTTGTACAATCTTACAGCTTGCTTCAACACCAAGTTGGTTATCTGGTGATTTGGACGATTACAGTATCGCACCTGATTTTACAAGTCTTTACAAATACAGCTTTACAACGAACTAATTTCAATACAATCATTTTTTTTTACTGTGAAGACTGATTAGGCTTTTGGTAGGTAATTAAAATTTATGTCAGAAGCTAACAGCATTATCTGTCACTTCGAAGGTCACAAAGCCAAGAAATATGATTTTAACATGCATAGATGTATCAATATCAGCAATCTAGATTTTAAAATAGAGTTCCATCTTTTGTGATTAAATAACATATCATTAAATTTTTTGAAGTGTGTATAACAGCACTGATGTTGTAAGGCTTAATTTTCTTTTTAGTATTCAAGCATCATCCTTGTGGCAAGCAGATAAAAGAAAATGTTCCTAAATATTGTGGTAAATTAATGTAATGAAAGCAATCCCTAATGCTGCCATAAAGTTGGAATATATTATTTTTGAGTTGCATACAATGCACAAGAAAACGTTTTCTTAGACACAGGTTTTGACTATAAAAGATGAATTTGAGAGATCATCAAAACAGGAACATTCTGATGAAGATATACCATGTGAATGGCCAGAGTTTCATGGTATATCTCTAAATTACTGTCAAATCTATGAAAATATTCATTTTGTCATGAGAATGAATTTCATTTTCTGTTGCAAAATCTTGGCAAGCAAGGTTTTGTTTCCTTGAAAACTTTTGCAAATGATCATGTTAACATTTAACGTCACTTAGAAATATAGTAATGATTTCTGCCTCTTGGTTTTTAGTCGAGCTCTGCCAGAAATATAAAATGTCTTACTTTTTTCAGCTGCATAGTTAAGAGACTGTAGGAGTGGTATACCTCCAAACAAACTACGTAAGTAACCAAGAATCATTCTGGTAAACAAAAGTTTGGACCTAGATTTTACCTCTGACTCGAGTTGATGATCAATTCTTTGACAATTTTCTCATAATTTTGGTTGTAGTTAGATAGGATCATGCTTTGCAATATATCTCTTACCACTTCCATGGATTGTAGCATGTTTTATACTGAAAGACACCATCATAAAGAGATATAACTGTTTTTCCTCTTTGCATGTTTTTATGAAATCTTAATCTGATCAATTTTGCACAATTTTCATTGTTGGAACTGCTTCAAAAATCTTGTGTTATGGTGTTCAGGAGATTTAAACTTATTTGTACATATTCAAAGAGAAAGAGGAGAGGTCAACAATTTTGGCTTTAAACAGGTCACCATCATCAGATGTAAAGAATCAGATGCAAAATTTAAAAACCAGAAATACAGTACTGACAAAAACTTTCATTTTATTTGCTATGTATATGTTGAAAATATTTGACGAATTTCTATTCACAAATTCACATTTATATGTAGCGACACAAAATGACGGGGAAAACACATCACTTAAAGGGAGAAAACTGATGATATGAGATCAAAATCTCGTGGGTATGGCATTTGTGGAAAATATTCACAGAAAATAGCACTGTAATGCTAGATATAATAGAGTAAAGCACAGTTATCTGTTACCAGTAACAGGCTAATCACATACACTTCACATCTGTATCAATTTACTCCTCATATAAAACCCAGCATGGTCTATCCAGTGTTATCAGGGATTTCTTGCTGCGATATCAGAGTTTTATTAACTGAAATTATCTAACAAGTAATTGGAAAATTTAATTTTCCTGATAACCCCTCGATCATCTGCTGTGATAGCAAAAATTTATTTCAACCTGCCAGAAATATCCAGATCCTTTCCTAAACCATACAGAAGACTACACATTCATAATGATTAATTAACTGTGCATTATTGATTCAACCAATACATGACCTTCGGGAATGTGTAACCCATAACTATCAGATCTACAGAATGAATCTCAGATTTTGTAAGCATCACAGCATGCTTTGGTTCGGATTTCTGGTAGATAACCTTATATTGGCAACCATTACACCTTAAGAAGTCAAGAACATATACAAGTTTAAAAAACTGCAAGTACTGGGTATAAGGATTACCTGGTGATAGAGAACTGCATGATAAGTTACTGAATCTAGTATTTACCTATTTGAGATTTTGACAATACATATTGCTTGATGACGAACTTCAGTATGTTGGCACAGCACAAACATTCTGATTGGACCAATGAATTCTTACCATTGCAAAGGTCAATTCATTTTTGGCCTCTAAGAAAACTGATTTGACAGAATTCTACCTTTTCTAAAAAAAAACATCACAAAGAGAAAAATAAAAACATCTACTTAAGGTATTTTCTATATGGTTTCAAATACACTTAACTTAAAAAAATATTGACCTTTTCTATTATCACACAATTCATCCCCCACATACACTAACCGGGATATCAAGAAAACATTGTAATTTATCTAAATCTTTGGAAAGATTTCAACAGTATCACAAGCTTCAGAATAACATGTTGATATCACAAATATAATATTATTGCTCATTTCATTACGTTAAAGAATGCCATCGTATACATTGTACTCATCAATAAAATTGACACATACAAGAGATTATGACTGGTATTCCAGCAATTACAGTTAATAGGGTAATATACAAAACCCTCTTCATATTTGAATAGCACTTTAATGTAAGTCCTCAGTGCTTTGTCAGATTATATAAAAAAGAGAGATATCTTTTATACTAGTTACCACAGATAACATCAGTAATTCTAGTATTTGGAAGACTCAATTTCAGATTCGTTCTCTTCTTCCTCTCAGTGATGTACTACTGTTGTTATAGTTTTACATGCAAGATTAGGTTTACCTAGAGAATGATTTATCCCAAATCTGTTCTTGACAAACATAAAGGCCAATCTTCAATATTTGAAACTTGCTTTTCAGACAGAAGTTAGTGGAGTACTATCTCAGTTCAGTATTACTTTAAACTACTGGTTTTTTTAACGATAATCCAAATACACAGAAATTGATTTGGTTAATCATTTGTATGTTTTGGAGACATGTGGTTGGCTTCACAATAATCTTACACCAACTACAGAGACATTGAAGTAGATACAATAGTTCAGGGTTATTATGATGTTTATGTCCTACCTGTAGCAAAACTCTGTTTACTACCAAAATTTCCTAATTTAAGTGATTCCTGTTTTAAAAAACTCACACGAAAACATTGTGATTTTATACAAAACTATTTTTCTTGTAGAGAAAAAATTATGCTGTACTTAAAAAAAAACAAAAAAAAAAATCCATATGCTCCATGTTCCATCTTTCATACCATTTGATTTTTCTAACTGATCATTTTTCTGATACATACCCACATACTGTGTATAAAATTGGGAGTCGGCCATACCCGTACGTTGTTGATTGAATATTTCATTGTTGATTTATGCAAAATTGATCTTTGGACATTATATCAAATCAGGGTGAAATATCTCCTGCATAATTTGCATAAAAAATATCACTTTTGTTCCCTATGATATTAAAGGTCACAAATCCTTTTAAGGGGTATGACAGGTCATGCTTTTTCTGGTGCTCAAAAACTAATACAACAAAAACAGTCAAAAACAAAAATTCTGTAAAAATTTTATATTTGTCAAGTAACAAATAAATAAATAAATATAAAAATTTTCACACATGTTCTGCGAAATCCTTCATTGCAAAACATTTATGATGTACTTTAGTACTGTATTGCCATATACAGTAATAGCAAAAACACCCTGTACAGTCAGTAGGTTGCTATACATTGCACAGTGGACTCCAGTTTTACTTAATGCTTAAAAGATATTTGTTCAAAATGTCAACAATTCATGTATTCATAAGAAAATCACAGCCGAATACTGCTGCCTTGCCTTCTGATTCTCTAGTGACTACTTTTAAGTACAACGCATCTTCCCTCCTACCAACCATTGTGATCAGGCAGTTGATGAAACCACCTACAATATCTTTGGTATGTGGTCTGTATATATATCTTAACTCTTTGCCCCATGAAATTGTTCTGTATTGGTGGTGAAAAGATGAATCAAAATGTCCCCTGAGAAAAAAATAGACAACTCCTACCAACTAGGTTAACAAGAATTGCTTTTTAGCTCAATCTTAGAATGTAGAACTTCCTACAAATAAAGCGGAGTTCAGAGGGTTTCTTGTGGATGTTTCCAAATGACTACCTCTGTAATGTCAGTAACTGGTAAACCCAGAAAATATTGACAAAATTATTCAGCCATGCCAACATATGCACCGCTGTTACCTCTTAAAATGTATGGTCGACAAGTTCATACCTAAAGCTGAAGTAGTTAACCAGGTAAAATATTGATCGCTTCCTGCAGATTCTGCTAAGGAATCAATTTATATATTTCATTTAAAACAGCACAAAAAAGTACCTCACAACTTTATCCACAAGTGCATTGCAAATAACGACCTTGGTTTCATCACAATTCTCAAAGTTAACATATCCCCACAATTTATTCAAACTTTCTTTTGGACTTTTCTGAAGCCATAATTCATATCTTAAAATTGAATCATATTTCTATTAATTTTCCATTTTTAAAAAAAGAATAATTTGCAATTCTTTTTGTTCAACTAAAGCAGTAAAGCTTTCACAAATCTTACACCGAGATTGTAAAGGGGGACAGGCATCAGGCTGGGGAAGTGTCAAACTGTACTTAAAATGGGGCAAAGTGTTAAAATAACAAATAAAGTTAACCACAGTTAAAATACATCATCTGAATTAAAACATATTGGTTAATTTATCCTTACAAATGACCATTCAACAAAATATATGCTTGCTTACTGAAACATCTCTTTCCAATGTACTTGAAAATAGAACATTTGTGGAAAAAGAGATAAGAGGCTACCTATAATTTACAAACATCTGTAAATTGTACACATCGTAAAATGCACCAACCATGTACAAGAAAAATGTTCAGTAGTAATAATGTATATAAATAGTTAATGATATTTATCCCAGTTGTACCGTCCACATGCATACCATGGAATAGCACTGTAACTAATGACACATCAGTACACAGTACTCTGCAGCATGCCGTAGGATGGCAATCATGTATCATTATGAACAAAAGCATGGTTTGAAGATGGTGATGAGTGAAGATGATTACAAAACCTCTTGATACTGGCCCTGTCACCGACAATATTCGGTTTCAGCTGCTGTGGATGAGTGCTGAACATCTGCAAAGTAAAGAACAACTACACGTTATCATAATGTTTATGAAATACACCTATTGTACATTCTACTTATTCATGGGACATAAAAAAAAACAAACTGGGAATAATTTATAGAACTCACAATTCATAAACTGTCACATCCCAGCAAAACTTTCATTTCAACAATATCTAACAAGAGTACCACAAAGCGGAACAAAATACGCCCGTGAATATCCAAAAGAGCAAAGGGGCATAACTCTTATTCAAATAGTCAAATCAAAATCCCGTTCAGGAAAACACAATTTCCTATCATGGTGATTAAGCCTACCAAGTTTCATATAGATCGGCTGAAAAATGTAGGAGATCTCCAGACAAATAGAAGTTTATGACCGACGGAAAGCGCCATACCATAATACGTCCGTCTTCCGACGGGCGTATAAAAATGTTTCTTTGGTTACAACTGTAAAATCTATACAATAAAATCTCACATTACAGACAAAAGTCTGCAAATTCTGTGTAATTAAATGCCTTCTATGTATCCAAGTTTGCTATTCTCCTTCTCACAGACATACTTTCTTTTCGTCGTGCTCGCTTCCTTCGCCTGTCTATACAGGCCACTTCAGCTTTCAAGTTCATATACACTTTGCGTATTTCCTGAATTTTCTCCATCAAGAATGCTATCCTTTTCTCACCCTCCAGGTATTTTCCCTCCTCTGAAATCATAAACAAAATTTTTTATCTTGATACCAGAAACTTATCAATTATTACAGAAATGTGAATTTGGTGGATGGTGAACTTTATATAAAATGTTATCTACCACTGTAATTAGTTATTAATGATGTTTACATCAACAAAACCTAATCTGCCCTTTAATTTTCAACCACCATAGGTTATAGCCATCAACACAATCAGCCCTATCATTTTTTAATTGCCATGGGTTACAGAAAACAACTCAGTCAAACTTTGCCAGTAATGTGAACTTTAACAATGGATAAAGGCATCAGTTATATACTGAAACATGTAGATGAAAACTTACCAAGATTAAGATTGTATCGGGATGGACGTGGTGAATGACCTGAACCGGATAAATGTGATGTTGATTTGCTGTTTGATGAAGCAGAGTCTTGATTGCATCCTCCCTCGTTACCCTCATCACTGTCACTACCTACTGGAGAAACCATACATGAGGTTGTGGTGATGTAGTGAATGGACTAAGAGCGGGACTTAGGAAACAAGAGACTCCGTAGGTGGGATCTTAGTGTCTAAGCTGGATTTTTCTCTATGATGAATCAATCAGTTATCCAAATCCAAAATTGCCACTGACAGTCATCATGGAATTCTTATTATTCTCAATTTTGTGATGTACTGCAGGATTAATGCTTAACACATTTTAGGTAGTTCTCAAAAAAAAAATCAAACTTTAAAAAGTTGAAACTCCAAATGGCCACTTGGAAAGAAATATCAACAATGTATTCCTCAAGACAGTAAACTGGAGACCACTTTTGAAAGCTTGTTTTTTCTGTACCTTCATTTTGTTATGCAGCTTTGTATAGAATACAAAAATTATATCATAAAGCTATTTTATAGGAACCAGACCAAAAGTGCATTCTAATTTAAGAAGTACATCGCAATTGGCAACAACAGAACAAATTTTACTTTGTTGAAATATTGAAAGAAGGCTTGCTTCCAATATGCTTTAAAATTATTTAGGATGTCCTCATGTATAATTAATACATTTCCACAAAGATGATTTTTTTTTCTTACATAATTCTGGTTTAGTATATATACACAAGTGCATAAGTCATATACATGCATATATAGGCAAATAGATATTATTTCATTATGGGTCAACTTAACAGGCAAAGACCACAGAAAGGAATGGTGATCAACGTCTCAATTACATCTAGTAATGACTTTTCTACCCTCCTAATTACAAACGTAGTACACCATACCTGTAGGTTTTGATGTTTTGCGTTCAGATGTTGTTTTTGATTTTCCTTTCCTCTTCTTCTTTGTTGGCGTAGGCTCTTCAGATTCTTTTCTCCGTTTTCCGAGATTTGAGGATACTGGCACATCTAAATTGCTGCTCTCAGAGCAAGCCACATTACCACTACCAACACTGCCATCGTTTGACGATGGACTAGCGTTACCATGAGGGGATTCCCCCCCTACTGATTGCCGGTCATTTTCAGCACCATTGTCAATTTCAGATTTATTTTGAGACTCTTGTGATGAGGAATGATCCCGAGTAGCACACTGAGCACCATCTGAGTCATCATGCTCAGGTGTGGTAGGTGGGGTGTTGTCTAACACAGTATTCACAGCAGAGCTATTACTCGCTTCCTTTGAAGGATCCCCAAAGTCCATTCTACCACTGATCACCTCGCTTGCATTCATTAAAGCTATACCTGACAAAAGTTCCACGCCCGAAAGCATCTGTAGGTTACTGTCTAAAGAAGGATTTATCACAGCTTTAGTTTTATCACTGCCCACATCATGTGATGAATTTGATGGAGACATTGAACACTCATTTTTACTGTCGGTTTTGACTGAAGTTCCACCTGAACTGTCCATTATTTGTTCCGTTTCTCCTTCGCCACCTTCTCTATTCTTTTTACCTTTGCCTTTATTAGGAATTTTCTCACTTTTTACTACCTTCAGACCTTTACCAGATTCCTTCCGTGTCGTCTCTTTTTTAACCTCTGGAGTAACTGTTTCTGCTTCTTTTTTCTTTACTTTTTTCTTAACTTTTTTCTTTTCCCCCTCTGTCTCCTCCATCACAAACTCCCTGGCTTTATCACATACACTGCTGATCACTTTGTCTAATGTTGACATGGCTGTCTCAGTAGATGCCTCGGGAATCTTCTCCACTGGCGGTTTTTCTTCTTTCATTTTTTTCTGTGGAGGTTCATATTCAACCTCTGGTGTTCCTTCAGGTAATATAACCATTTTTCTTTCTGCCATGGTCATCTTTCCTTTTTTTACTTCCTTCTTTTCCTTTTCTTTACATTCTTTCTTTTCCTTTATCTCCTTCTTCTTACCTTTCACTATTCTCTTTTCCATCTCCACAGCTTCTTGCTTCAGTTTTTCCTTCAATTCTTTCTCTGCTTCTGCTCTTAGGTCAGGTAAAGTTATTTCTTCCTCATCATCCCGAAATTCAAATTTATCGAAAACGTCACTAACAGGAGCTACTTTCTCTACTTTTTCTTGTTGCTTCTCTGTGATAACTTCAGGTCGAATTTCTGGAGCTGGTTTGTCAATGTCAACATTCAAAACTTCCTTCTGGTCCACCTGTTTCTCTAAAACAGGTGCAATCACAGGTGGCATATCCTCATCATTTTCCACATTTTCTGACACAATGTCCGACGAGGTATTTTCAGGCTCTTGTAAGGAATCTGCAGCATCAGCTGCAGCTTCTTTTGTTGTAGCTCCGTCTCCCTCATCCTCGTCTATGTCCCATTTAAACACATCCTTTTTTGACGAATTTACTTCAAGTGAGGAAGTATCCTGGCCTTCTGGTTCTGCTGCTGCTTGCACAGGAAGATCCTCCACTGCCTCTAACAGAGGAGCAGATTCCAGGGGGTCGTTTTCTGGTTTTTCCCCCTCCTGCTTATCGACCTCTGCTGTTACAGTGGTATCATCATCAACTGTAACCTCTACATTATTAGATGTCTTTATGACTTGGGATTTTGATTTTGGTTCTGCAGAGACATCTTTGATTTCTTTTAGATTTGAAAGTTCTGGTTCATCTTCCTTCTTTTCCAGCTTTGGCATATCTAAGGATACATCGACCTCCCTTTCCTTTCCCTTGTCTTCATCCTCATCAAACGAGTCCATACTTGTGTCTTTCTCTAATTCTTCCATTTCTGGTGAACTTGCAGACATATCCTCCTTTTCATCTGCATCCAGGTCAGATGGATCAAAGTCCTCTGAATCTGAACCTGCACAATGACAAGAGAATTTGTTGTTATCACCAGATAATGCTGGAAGTCTCAATATTACTGATTCTATATCAATAGCTCTTTTCGATGTTACCATTTATTTCTAATAGTCTAAATTTTCCAGATTCTATTACATTCAAACTTCTACAAATTGAACTTTGATGATTCAAATTTCTCAATGTATCATATTTTTTGCCTGGTCCTGATTTTATTCCTGTATCTTACCACTAATATACCCCTCTATGAATCAAAGTTTTTTCACGCATATTGTTAGCGGCAACACAGTAATTGACACCATCATGATTTGAACATAACACTTAGCTTTATATCCTGTACAGACATTTTTGCCCTACGACAGAATTTCACACATTTCAACAAAGAGTGCTACCTGAGAATGGATTACAATAGCGCACTGCTACTTAAGTTGTGTTACAAGGTTAATAAACGATTGGACACACATAAAGTTATTTGTATACCTACAAGCTTTGACATTTAATAAAAAAAAAGTGTAGTCTATTTTATGGAATTTTGAAAAAGTGCTGAGGAAATTCTGAACATTTTTACTATGATCCCATCCATTCTCAAAGCATCACATTTCAGCTTTCAGCAAAAAAGTAAGAGAAATCATGTGTTCCCCTACTGATCTAGAATGGCCGTCATTCAAACTTCAGCAAACACCCTTGTTATTTTCATCACCTAAGATTTGTGATGTTATTGCTGATGTGTCTGGACAGAATATGTTGTAATAATAATGTATCACTCTTTAAATTGTTACTCTAACATATGATAACCACTTCAGTAAGATACACTAATACTTTCATAAAAATAAACACATCTTTGTTCCCAAATTAAAATATTTCAATACTTCATAAAACTCCTATTGTTCCTATATATGTAACATTTACATCTCCCAACTAACCTTGAGAATTGACATCAGATTCTGTAACACCGGAGTTTCTCCTTGTCCGCCTCCACTTAGCTAAAAATATTGAAGGTAAAGGTTAAAAAAGTGGTTTGAAACCAATATGCAACAAAGATGTAGTCATTCCAAGTGTAATTAAGATTTTCACTGCTTTACAAGGTTGAAGGTTTACATTCAACAAGTTTTAAATGCTTCTGCACAACCTCTTGATCTGTGATTGCTTATAATTTCAGTTTGCATATCAAACAACGTTGTTCTTTTTCCAAACTGCAGTAATAGTAATATAGAGTAATACACTTACGTGGTAATCCATCTATGACTTTAAATTCTACACTGTTGGATCTGGTGGGTCTGGACTTTGGTTTTGTGCTCGATGCTGGTGACCTGGGTTTCACAGGTCCAGGACGCGATTCCACGATGATGGTGGGCTTTGGTGGGCTAGGCTGTGATAGGGTTGAACCAGGCCGGCCTCTCTTTTTATTGATAATCTGCATCTAAAATTATTATAATGAAAATAAACAAATCATCAACGACCACTGCTACAGCAATGCATTTTGAAATATTAGAAACAAAACTGATTATTGCTGTAGATGTCAAAATCAAAATACCGCAGATTAGCGCAAGGAAAAAAAGTAAGCAGTCAATATAGAATATGTGTGACTTAGTTTGTTTCTCCGGTCAGAGTCAAATGACATAGCTGTATGGACTTCCTGATCATCATAGTCACATTTCTCAATTTATTTATTATGATAAAGAATCTACTCTAATTGTTTCACAATGATATCTCCACCTATGTGGTATAAGTATGGAATTTCCAAGTCTTGCCATGGGTTAAAAGTAGATATTTCTTGTTAAAACTCTCAAGATAGGAAGTATTTATTGTCGATTACTCTCCAAATGAAATAACAAGAGGCCCATGGGCCTTGACAGTCATCTGACCAAAATGCAATGTTGTTTTTCTTCACAAAATATCAAATGAAAAAAAAAAAATAAACATGAACAACACAACTATATTTAGGTATTGATTGCTCCCTCACAATGATGTTTCTGGCCAACTATGGTTAAAATCTGTCCATGCATATCAGAGCAGAATAATCTTAAAGCTTAATTCTCCTATTTCCCTCAACTACCCTTGCCCTTTGACCCTTAGCCATAACTTAATATATATCACGATAGACCTTCCCCTTTGATGTTTGAAGCCAAATTTAGTTTGAAATAGAAGCTTTGGGGAATAGAAGTGTTTTGAAGTAAAAGTTTTTGCACAGCAGATGTTGACAGGAAAACCATGATGGCAATAGGTAGTTTTTTACCTAAACCGCCTATAACACCTTTACAAAACAAAAATTGGAGTAATGAAATATCTGCAGTCAATGTATATTATTTCAAACTCATGTTCTCAACCTCTTGTGTCAAAGATGTTCGATAGTAGCTGCTGTGAAGTCAACAGGCCTATTGAATGTTACTTCTAACCATCTCTCAAAAACTTGGTCAAAGTCAAAACTATATAGTCAGAAACGTTATATACCAGACTAAGTATCACCATCACTGTCTCTCATCTTATTCTTGATTTCAAATCAATTCTACTCCTTAGACCTACTTTTAAAGCATGTCAAGGCATTTACTTGAACAAACTGTGTGGCCAAGAGGTTAGTCTAGACGAAAGCAATGTTTTGGGTATGTTATTGTATTCGTTATTTTCAACACACCTGCTGCTTTGATGATTTTGGTGAACAGTCCTTCATTTTCTTGTCCGAGTCGGGCCTGTTGATGACATTCACAATGCGCTCAGGCTTGATCCACTCGTCATACCTTTAATAGAAAAGGCAAAGTTTGCTGTTTAACTTCTCTGTCAATACTTCCATCCTACACAATCTTCTGGTTAGTCCAGACATCAGAAAACATTGTACGGGGACAGATATTTTTAACTAGAAGTATACAGTATTTGCAATGTTTTTCTAACATTTGTACAGGATATAGTAGACATAACATAAACACTTTTTTTCTCCCTTTCCTGCAATGTTTTCATAAATTTTATAAATTCCCATTCAAATGTTTTCTCTTAAATGAAACATCAATTAGCTTTCTAAGCATTAGTAACACCTAGCAAAGAGAGGGAAATCAGCTTCAAATATATCTGACTGGTCTAGACAGAACACTGTAACATCCAATGAGAGTTACAAACCTCATGTTCCATCCTGCATAATGTACCAAGTACTGCACCTGCGAACTGTCCAGACCTGCTTCTACAACCTAAAACAGAGATACAAAACATCAACACAATAAAGTAACACTACATCAATATGAAATAAGCAAGGTATTTCCCCCCCACCATCAGATTTTTTGGTACCACAAGAAAGGACAAGGTAAGTTTAACAAGCATGATACATGTAATGGAAATCAGTAAATTGAAAATGTTGATAAGGCACATAGTTATAGGACAAATTCTGATATCAGTGAAATTTTCATAAATAAAAAAAAAAACATACATGCATCATAATATCAATTTATGACACACCTTAGCTATTTGTTTACTTATGAAACATTAATTCTAAGCACGCTAAGTTTGTTAATTCCATATTTAAGAGGAAAATTCACAGCATACCTTAGCATCATAAACCTTTTGATTTCTGCCTCGTCCGTAGCGAACCTGAAGCCTAGTACCGTTGGGAAATTCAGCATTGATATCGGTTTTGGTTTCCACATCTTCAGCCCTAAAAAGGAAATACTGACATGGTAGAGAAGATATCCCACTACTTATTAAGAAGTTGACTCAAACCTTTAAAATGAACTGATAGTATTCTAAATCTGTCAAATTGTTAAAGAACTATAAATGGACAATTTGCCAGACCAATTTTCTTTCCTCTAATAATGATTTGCCAAAGCTACAGCTTTCATCAAACTAATGACGTGATACCAAACTACGGCAACCATTTAAAATCCCATGAAACTGATGTCTGTGATCAACTACTGGTTGGAATTACGGAAGATTTTTGCAACTGAACAATGTATCACAATTTTTTATCAGAAGTTACTAAGGACATGAGAACTTTCAAGTAAATATTGCACGTTATGGACAACGATCATTCACCAATATGCAAGTACAGAACTGTTTTGAATTGAGGATTACAACACTGAGATTATCTTGTGATAACATCTTCAGGAAGGGTTCTAACTAAATGTCAATATCACTTTAAGATCCTTTCTATTATTTAAAACATGGAAGTTTGTAAAACAGAACTTACCATTTCCTTTCTGATTCAGACTCATCACCCTCCTCTTCCTTATCCTCATCTACCTGCATTTTCTCTATCCTGGCTTCCTTGATTTCTTTCTTAGATCCACCAGAGCTTCCTTCATTATCCTGATCCTCTTTCTTCAGCACTTCCTTCTTCTGCATACCTTTTGGCTTCTCTGACTCACTTCCCTCAGACTTATCTTCCTCTACTTTAGCTTTCTTTCCATCTTTCTTCCCTACCTTAGGTTTCTCAACTTCTATTTGTTCCTCTTCTGCTTTGGCAACTTTCTTTAACTCTTTTCTTGTTATTTTCACTTCTCTCTTGTCCTCTTTCTTATCTTCCTTTTTATCTTTCTTATCTTCTTTGACGACAAGCTTAGCTTTTACTTTAGTTTCTTTCTCAACGGGTTTCTCTTTCTTCACCTCCTCTTCCTTACAACTTTCTTCATCGCCTTTCGAGTCCGATTCTTTCTCATCTTTCCTCATAGACCGTCTCCGTACAACCTATCAAAATAAAACAGTATGAATTACAAATACCGATTTACATTTTAGAGAACAACATTAATAAACTTGCTTAAACATGAAAACATGGCTTCTTTGCATCATTTTCTGGTAAAGCAATAAATGCACTACATTAGAAACAAACCTTTTTTTCCTGTGGAGCTTTCTCCTTCACCTTTTCCTCGTTTGCCTTTTCCTTCTGCTGATCTGCTAACATCTCTTTCCTGGCTTTCTTTTCTTCTTCCTTTTCCTTTTTCACTGTCTTAGCGGTCTTTTTACCACTATCGGGATCCTTTTTTACAGTTTCTTTTTTCACTATTTTCTTTACAGGTGTTGATTCCTCTTTCTCAACCTTCTTTTCCTTTACTTCTTCTTTCTTTGCTTTCTCATCTACCTTTGGTGTTACTTCGTGTCTCATGATTCGCTTCATAGGTGAACGTTCCCTTTTAACTACTGTCTCCTGAGCCTCTTTTCCCTCTATCTCCCCAGTATCTGACTCAGGCTTTTCTTCTGACTCCTGAAAATAATACATTCATATATACCACACATATTAATCTGTTATCCAAATTATCATTATTTCCAAAGCAGACATTTCCATAATAACTAGTCTTCATTCAATATGTCTCTACCTTCCTCATTTTATACTCAAGAATATTAGTACTGGCATCAAATCCACAGCATTATGTCAACATATATTTCACTAAACAGAAATGCCACTCTTAAATCAAAAGAAAAAAATTCAAATATATGTTTGTGCACGAAATTCATTACCTTGACTTCGTCCTTCTTTACTAAATCTTTTCCTTTCTTTTCAGGTTCCTTCTTGAAAGGTACATGTATCCCCCTACCAGAGTGACTTCTACTCCTCCCAGGCCGGCTGATTGTTCCCATAGAGCTACCAAGTTTACGATAAAAATCTTCAAATGCATGAAGGTACTTCTTATATGCATTCTTGATTTGATGTGAAGCTGTGTTTGAAGGGGGTAGACTCATCTTTGCATAAACACCTCGCCATTTCAGTTGGTTTGTCACCTAGGGAAAAAATTCTCTGTTAGATAACTTATTTTTCATTTTTTTTTCTCTAATTATGAGGTCATCAAATATATCTATTGAAAGATAAAAGTAAAATAAGCAGGCGATGACAAAGACATATCCCACCCCTTTATCAGAAAAATCACAACGACATATCCCACCCCTTTATCAGAAAAAGTACAAAGACATATCCCACCCCTTTATCAGAAAAATCACAACGACATATCCCACCCCTTTATCAGAAAAAGTACAAAGACATATCCCACCCCTTTATCAGAAAAAGTATTTAATACTCCTTATCATTCCTTGGAAATTTTTACTTTGATAATGTGAATTTGAACCTAATTGACATTACTTAAATCATATGGTAAAATTCATTATTTCATCTACATGAGAGGTTAAAAAAGTGATAAAATTCACCCTTGACATAATAACATTGATCGCTTACCACAAAAATCTGATTCAATACTATTTTACCATGATAATATTTTGAACAAACCGTGTAATATAGTTAAATAATCATTACAGCAAATTCTTATTGGATGAGATGATGATATACCTTGTTATATCCACCAATATTCTGTACTACTTTAAAGAGCTTATACAGATTCAGGTCTTTATTTCCAAGTGTTGGTCCCTTGTTGATTGGGGTACCTGTTGAAAATATTAAACAAATCATTAAGTTATGAAATTATGAACTGATGAGAGCCTTTGTTTTAATGTAATCAGAGAAGGACAGAGTTACAACTATCCTATCTGACTGATTCACAATTAGTTCTTCACATTAGTAACACTTTATCAGTATTTAGATTTAACACATGGGAGAATATGTGTCTCAACTTATAAATAGTGGTAGTTTCAAATGCACAAGCTTATACAAGATTTGTATCAATCTCAGGTTTATTCAATTACCTACTTCAAAGAATAAGCCAGCAGACAAATAGACTTGCAACACTTTTACATTTGAGTTAAGTTTAATAAATTTGAAGGATATGAAACTGAACTGAATCATAAGATGGGACTCCATCAATAATCCAGATATGGGGAAAACAAGTGGATATGAAAGTTGATATTCTTACCTCTGTCATCCATAAATTTGTACAGCTGAGCTACAAATCTGTCCTTCTCTTCACTTGGCTCATCATCAGAGGACTTAAAAGAAAGAAAGAATGGCTGCATAATATATGTGTAACAGTACTGATTTTGAGCTTGAAATAACAAAGACCAGTCACTTTCAGCAAGTAAAAATCAATAATTCATGATTAACTTCAATTTATTTCATTAAGTCAGAAAAATGCTTTTCAGACTAAAACATCAAATTATGTAACAAATGAATTACCTCTTCATCATCTGTTATTTCTTCTTCATCTGTTCCCAGGAGCTCATCTCTCTCCCAAGAGGTCGGCAGGTCTTGGTTGTCATAATAGGCGATGCATTTCTCAAAAGCTATTGTATGAAGGAAAACATAGGTATTTGGTATTGATTGAATGGATAGCATTGGTCATAAGACATTCATTTGACAGTGCCATTGGATTCCAAATGTATCTACTACCTTCACATGTTCTGTTACAATAAAGCCTTTGCATGACACTGATTTACAATCCATATCATAAATGTGTTTTAAAAAGTTTTTTTTTATTTCCAAGTTTGACAACAAATTTCACGAGATAACATCTTCCTTAATCAGAAAAACATGATTTTCAAAAATTAAACTAACCTGCTTTCAAAGATTTATCTTCATTTTTCTGCACTGTATCCTTGGAAAACTCCTTCATGTCTTTACGAGCCACTGAGTAGCTGCAAGAAAATGACTAAATTTAACATGTGACTAATTGTTTGTTAAATATATCCATGTTTTTTAAAAGCCAATACCATATAACTTGACAAATTGAAATTTGCTAATTTCTGTACGTAATGTTATCAAAACTACTTACAATTTGCCATCTTTGAATGATTTGATAAGCAGGTGATCCTTGGTGCGTAGTTCAGTGGTGTGAGCATCTGGCAGAACCACTAAGACAGGCACCTGTTGTTTACGCTTGTCTCCCATCTCAGTCAACATCACCTTCCCTACCAGATTCTGTAACCTGCCCTTGTACACAGCACGTTTAGGGATACTTTCATCAGAGCTTGTATCTTCTTCTTCATCATTTCTGGTGTATCAATATAAAAAAAACCATATACAAATGTTACCAAAAGAAAATTATCTAAAATATTCTTTGTGTGTGTTGATTTTTAACTGCCTATGTATTGCTATAGACAGATCAAGAAAATGCCCCCATCAATACATGGCCTCACCAAGGTGAGTCCATACCCCATGTCTGAAGTTCCAGTGACAATATGTAACAGTAGATAAAGCTCTGACAATCTTTCCAATTTTTCTCATGTAAATCAATGGTCAAAATATAGAGCGTTACGATACATGACGCAACATATAACCAAGGTTAACCCATATTCCAAGTATAAAGTTCCACAAACTAGAAGTATTGAAGATGGAACTCCGACAAAATTTTTATTTAATGTAGGTCAACACTAAAAATGTAGGTCAGAATGAGCAACAATTGATAAATGATACATCAAATTGACAAGGTGAATTAATTCTCTAATTATGAAGTTCAAGTGGGTAGCAGTGTATGACTGGAGACATAGTCTGGACAATTTTTTTTTGTTTCATGTAGATCAAATTGAAGGTCAGATTAAATCTTTTTTCATTTACACACCAGCTCAACAAGGTGAACCCATGCTCAAAGTAAGAAATTCCAGATCCTCATAGTGGTTCCCAATGGGGTACTCATAGAATTTCAAGTCCTGTATGTATGTCTTTAAATGATAAGCAGTTGAATTTCTGGCAAGGAATTAGAAACTTCTTACGATCCTTTAATCTATCAAAGCAGACCTGGTGACCAACCCATAAACACAAGTGTTTTCATATTTTGATGCTGACAATTGTACTGTAGTAATTTTGTGATATACAGTCAGTGTAATTTCCATGAACATCATTATCAGCTCCACTCTTGTTTGTGTTCTTTTCACTATCATGGACACTAAAGTCTCTCATTAGACCTATCCCTCAGCTTCTTAATCCTTGTATATGCCTTTTTTTAACCATCATGAGTCTGGGGAACCCTCACCTTTACCGAGATAATTGTGTTATGTTAAATTAATGCTGCTGATTTTTCAACTTACCCCATGCTATGTCTTCCTCCACGCTTCGCCTTTTTGCTGTTCATCACAGGAGTTCCAAAGTGTTCTGGATGAGACAGAGGCAGATTGTCCAAAGTCTGTAACAAATAAGCAAAGGTTTTCAAATACAACAAGCTGACAAATAGAAGTTATGCAATGCAAGCAAATGTGTTTCTTTCTGAAAAGAAAATAGTAATATTATACTAGAACCTATCTAAGTCTGTCCCAAAAAATGGGGGCAGATGGTTATCAATAAATGATCATTTCAAAGAACCTGTGTATAGGGACAAACCATTATTTTTTTAAGACTTACCTCACTTTCAATGAAATGCTTTTCTCCTTTTAAACAGAGTTGAGTCCTCCTCAGTGTTTTCTCATCACCATCATCAAACACTGCAAATTCAAAATCGAATAAAAAATTGAAAAGACATTTACCAATTTCAAAGTGCTTTCCATATTCGACAAATATTACCAGCCAAAAAGATAATGCAATACTCAAGATATTAAGGAAAAACATCAATAGTGAATCATACAAAAAGAAACCATCAATATATTTAATATTAAGTCTGTTACTAATACATACCAACAGTATACATGCTGGTGTCTGTAAGTCTACTGATGACACCTTCGGTTAACATGCCTGTCTCCGGATTTTTAACTTCTACTGTAGATCCATTCTATATAAAAAAAAAATTCAAATATAAATTATCTTTCTACTTATACTTTCATTTTCTTTATAATCATAATAAAAATATTGAGTTATTAGAAAGGAAGATTTAAGACAAAATTACAGCAAAATAATTTTGAAAATTCATTCCACAATGGACAAGAATCTCTGAAAATAAATCAACATAAATACTGCACATTCCTTGCATAATAAACAATGAACAGAAGAAAACAGTTATGATTTAATTATTAAATAATTATTTTAATGCAGAAAACAAAATTTACCTTCAGGATTCCTCTCACGCCATCATCAGTGACAACAAGTGATGACTGGGTTTCCTTCAGAAATATCTATACAAAAAAAAATTCAGCATCAGTTTGTGTCAGTTCCCAAAGATTGAATTGGTTGAGAGCTCATACCTTAAACAATTACTTTGAACTTGCTAATTTAAAAATTTGTTCCTGTTTTGAACACGAACATAAATCTGTCCTGAAAATAATTTCATCTTTAAAGTAAGCTTACCTTACACTTCACACATTTCACCAACTTCTTTACTTTTGCTTCGCAAAAGGCTCCTCGATATTTCGCACTGACTTCAGTTCCTACCACAAGGAATGGGGGATCATCCCCTGCCTGAAATCAAGAGCATTAATTAATTATATCAATTGATCTCTGCTAAAACGTTATCTTGTCTTTGAACACCAAAAGCTGGCTGATCTGCAATTGAAAAAAAAAAATCAACAAAAAGCAGAAACAGCAAAACGATAAATTTTGAGGAACCTCTTGCAAATTGATCAATTAACACTGACACCTCCTAGCTACCAAGATAAAATCTGCAATACTCATAACAATATTAAGATCATGTTCCTTTCTTCAACTTTTCAATATGATTTTTGTCGGCCGTGGAAGAGTTTATATTTTGTTCGAGTTTGGAGGATGTCTTAACCACTTAAAAATAAATAAACATCTCAAAATTGGTGTCCACTGCTTACTTGGAGTTTGTCCTAAATCTCCTTAAAAAGATTTTTATGAATGGTTATCAAGATAAAGACAGGAAAATCTTCGAAAAATTACATATTTGATTTCTGTCTTTTCCACTGGCAACACAGAAAATTGCAAATATAGAAACATTGCAAGTAGCAAAAGGCATAACTACAACACTAGCCTGGAAAGGATACAAGTTTCACGGAGATGTCTGAATGGTTATGTTGAAGTCTGGTAATCTTGTAAACAGTAAATTAAGGTTTCTGACATTGTTTCCGTAGCATCAGAAAAAACATCAAGACTGAAAGCAAGCCAAAAGTGAAAGGCACAACTTGGGTTATAGTTGCTTAATGTAAATGAAGTTTTATAAAGATCAGATGAATGTCTTTCTAAAAACTTGGTATACACATCCCAAATTAATATCATTAGCAATGGCTTGTAATTGTGGAATATTGATAAAATTGACACAGAAGTTACAAAAATTAATGCCCTCTATTTATACACAGTCTTCATAAGGTTTTCATCTTTGTTGCCTCGGTCAATATAAGAGAAAAGAAATGGTCTTGGGACTACTGACCATGTTTTTGTCTGTTTAGATCTATGTAACGTTACAGTTTCTCCCTACTGCAACATACTCGAAGACCATGTCATATTTCTGTAAGATGGAAATCATTGAATAGTTGTTGGTAAAGGTTGCTAAGCAAAGGTTAACTCTGGTGTTGTCTGAAAATCCTCTGCAGCTTTCTAGACACCCCAACCATCAGAAATTCTTAGGCTGTTGTTGGTGAATTTTCCCTGTGGTCGTTTGAAAATCCACTCAGGGTGTAATTCCTTCAATGGATGCTTTTGTGGATTTCCTAATGATGTCGTTGATCATTATGTCTAAATCAGAACTCAACACATTAACACTAGTGGACACAATCCTTTCTTATTTTCTCTGTTCTCAAAAGGAAGTTGTAACAGATTACAAGAATGGTCAATTTGGCTGGTACATATCCATGTGAAGTCTTAATGAACATTTGAATCAGGAAAAACCGAAATTTATCTACAAGGCATTAATCAAACTTCTAACTCTTAATAACAATTCCACATTAGAAATATTAACTAAAATCAACTTGTGACCAGTCATGAATATACCCATTACAATTTTTAAAATAATATTCAAATACCTCAAAGTTCGGTTTAAGAATATGTTGATATATTTTTAAGTAAGCTCTGCCCTGCTGAAAAAAAAACTATTATAACAAATCTAGTGACATGTTTTGTAGTCTGATATTTGCTTTCTTTGTCTTCCTGAAGATTAGTCATCACAATGCCAAAAGAAAATATATAAGCAATTCAACTTTATTGTTATTAAGTCCTTTATTCAGCGGATTCACAAATTTCCAGGTGACAGTATCTACTGTGTAATGTGTTCCAATTAGCCTTATAAGGAAATGACATAAAACAAAGATATTACTCTACACTCACTACAGAATAACACAATTCTTAAGAGTATTTCTGAAAATTGGGGGGAAATAAAGATGAAATAGTACACAGTTTTTTTGTAGCAGCCCCAGCACAACCGATATCTTTTTTTTTGGGGCTTTATGACATGGCTGCCATAAGGGCTACACAGCTGATTGGCCTTCATGACATTGTGAACAAGTTGGGATTAAATCAAATGACCCAATATGTTATCGCTTCCATGTTTCAGACTTATAAATGTCAGACGGCGCAGTGCAGCTAGCAGTTGCTGCACTCGATTCGCTGTGGAGGTCACTGGGCTACGACAACCGGCGGATCTGCAAGGTTGTTTACATCGGTGCATCCCAGCTGCCATAATGTCGACCAAGACAAAACTGCTGACAGGCCAGCGATGTTACGTGGTTAGACAAAACCTAACACTTCGTCGGATAGCCGTTAATTATGTTTACATATAAACGCATAGTGTACATAGAACCAAACTACCTACATTTATAACGTATTGACAGAAACACCAGAATAACATCAATCGAACAAGACATGTTCGTGGTTATAAGAACCATTACTGACGCGCCTAAACTGACTGACGATCGAAACCAAAGCAGAGAGAAATGACGGAGACTCACCATCTTGATTTTTCACGGAAGACCCTCAAAGTCTACGGAACACTTCCCACAAGAAGATATCCTATTGGATCTTTTTGGCTTTTGATATATTTCAATCAACAAGTTCAGGTACTACCGTCATCGTCGGCGATCCACTATCAACCACGGCTGAACAACAACTTGTCATAGGAAAATTCTGCACTGCGATTGGTTGATTATCACGTGGGCGAGAAAAATTACCCATAGTTCCGTCGGTGCGCATGCGTTGTAAGCCACGTAATGGCGGAAACACATGATTCAACAGTGGGAGAACAAGCACCAAACAGTACCATTTTAACACACATCTCCTTAATGTTCACATGTAATCACTTAAATTTTAACTCATCATTGTTCATGTGTTCATTTAGGTTAATTCTTACATTTGCGCAACTCCTAATAGGAGAGTGATTAACGTTTGTCTATTGATGACATTTGGAAAATTGTCTGCGAAAACAACATCCGGGGAATTCATGTTAAGTAGCTGACAGGGGGCGCTCCGAATAATGTCAATAACACCAAATTTTTTTTTTGAAGTTTGAAGTCTTTTTAAATCCATAACGTTTGATCAAACCATCATGTGACTATATATACAAGGTCACGTATTGTGGTACTGGAACCGCAACTTAAATCATCTATTTTGTTCAAACATTTATTTCTAAAGACTTGTATTGCGAAAGTGAAAGTAGGATACATCATAGACTTGCACAAGTTCATTATGCTATTAGTGATTATAGAAATATAACTGGTCAACGTGACGTTAATTCTCCAAAAGGTTGATACTACATTTTATTTATAGGCTCATGAGAGTAATTTGATATGAAACAGACCATGCCTGAAAAGAGTATAGTGTTGCCAAAAGGCTGACCGTTATATTTTAACACCAGCATATTGTACCTGCGAAACAGTAATTCAATACGCGTGATTAAACATAACAAAACTTTTTAAAAAAATATGTCTAGGTACATGCTGGAAACTTGTGTTGTATGTATACATTGCAATATGGATACATGTCAAAAACGACAGTAAGCCGTACATTGTCCCCTCCCATATTACACACAGCATGTTACTGATTACCCACAATTAGCTTAGATCAAATACAAAGCGAATGTAACAGCAAAAATCTTTTTTTAATCTGTGTTTGATTTTTATAGCATTTAATAATAGAAATGTTTGTATTTTCTGTGTTTCAGTAAGCAATTTTTGTGCTTGTGTATATGTTGTACTGACATTGCTAATGATTGGCATTGTCATAACGGAATGTTGTTTTTTACCCTTTTAAACAATGGAAATTTTTAATTACAATTAGATTGGCTTAAAATGTTAGTTAACATACAGTTATTTTAGGTAATTCTGTAAAGTCTTTTGTGTTTGTGATAAAAGTACATCTCCCTTCCGTTCAGGGGTATTCTTCAGATGTCTTAGGAATACTGTCTTTTCAAATTAAGGATTGTATGATTATCTTGGATAACGGAGGCAATTCTGTTGATGGTTAGAGGCATTATTCAGTTTTAGAAAGAGCTTCACTCATGTTTTCGTGGCATCTCAGAGCTGGGCTCTTTATAGATTGAAATTATAACTCCTATAATTTGAATTGATTTGATATGGACATGCTATTTAGCAATTTATTTAAAATCAGGTTGTTCATGCAGGGACCATATCTAAATTGCTATAACTATATTGTTATGTTCACCAAAACAGCAAACTTTTGTTTTTCTAAAAAGTTGAAGAAGTACCATCCGTCATCAGTATGAATGTCCAAGAAGTTGACAAGAGAGCAGTTGTTGTGTGACATGTTATCTCCATTTCAGGTAACCCACATAGATGTATGTATATATATATATTATATATATTTATATATGTATGTATCTCCAGGTAAAACTGTAACCCACTGGGAATTTAGCTCCACAGGGTTTTAAGTGTGAGTAATTTCTTCAAAGAAATCTTAATTGTCAATCAACATTTTTTGGTTTGAATTTTACTGGAGGGGATATCTTGTAAAAATCCATGAAGTTAATCTGTAAAACCTTTTATAAGTAGAGAAAAAGCTGAATTGGTTTCCTATAGACTGGGTTCTTACATATATATGCAGGCCAAAGATTGTATACATACTTGCCAACTTCTCAAAATTTTCATGGGGGAGAAAAGTGTATGAACAACATTTTTGACTCACCATGATGCCTTGCATGGTGCGCCATTAGTCATGAAGGAAAAATTAATTAATGTATCTTTAATCAATACTTTTAGATAACTTTAAATTGATAAAGTGCATGCTTCACTATACTATGTCAATTTAAGAAATATCTTCTTTTTGGCTCAAGGAAGGATCAAGTTGGAATTTATTGATTTTAATTTTAAGTATTCATTGAACTTGCACAATATTAGATATGAAGATAAATGATTATACAATATAAAACACACACCAGGGAATGATATGATAAAGAATGCTTAGATGTTGGACAGGGTTGTTTACAGGTGTCGTAGAGGTTGTTTACAAATATCACAGAGGTTTATTTTCAAGAGGTTCTATTTTTCACGGATAGAATAAAATCACTGAAACCAAATGTATCAAGAAAATTGTGGGCAATTGCATAACCCTGCAATTATTCATCTCTTATTTCATCCGAAACTACAAAAGATGCTTGTGACTCATAACCGGGCATGGGATTATTACTCTTATAACATGGTACTGAATTAATGAGCATACATGTAATATATTTGAAATACTAAAGACACATAATCATAGATATTATGAAATGAACTATAATTTTGCTTGACAAACACTACTGTACAAGGTATTTTCTATCGGTAAAAGATAACGTAACTGGGGTTCTGTAAGTATGATTGAATTTGAATATATTTTACAATACTAGGAACATTATTATTAGAGTGAACTTTTGTTTCATTAGTAAATATGCTTTTATATACTTATACAATTTGAGGAGAACTCTTAAATGCTGGATATACACAATGTACCTTATGTACATCATTGTATGAAAATAAATGGAAGTCTTTTGTGTTTCCTTGGTAACATCTGTATAGTGGATAATGAATGAAGAAGCTGGTCACTAGTATTACTACTGATAGGATCTTTGCCCATGATCCATCACAGCTGTTCATCAAACTTAACAAAGCATTGAATATAGTCCAGAGAGATGTATTTTGCACAGGATTTTTTTGGTGTGTAAAAATCTGATTTTTTTTTGGAAACACATTTCATCTAGACTGGGTTAAGCTTGATACCCAGCATAAATTTCTTGGAAGTTCATCAAGGCGTTGTTCTATTTGCAGAACTGATAATAAGGGACCGGCCAGCTTCACAGATTGACTGGAATGTACACAAAAGTCGGTAAGTTATTTTGTGTTGTGTGAATATGATAACCAAACGGTTATAGTTTGGTCACTCATCATAATGTCTTAAAGCTGACTGTAAATTTAACAGTGGTATACATAAGTTGGTCACCAGAACATCATAAAGGAAGACAATGTTGTCTGAAGCTATTTCATGGCTTTGTTTATCCATTATATACTTTTGTGCCTCTTTCTTTTAAAATATCTTGTTTTTACTCTCTGGTTTCATGTCTTTTTCTTTCAATTTTCAACTGATCTCTTTTGAACTTGTTGGACTTGGTTTGAATATTTTCTTTTAAGCAATAGGATGGTTTGAAAAATTTTTAGATATCCCTCATTGTTTTTAGCCAAGTGATTTCAGAAGAAATTAGCTATTATTTGCCAACAAAAATGTTTGGTAATAATTTTGAAATGGACTTGAAATATTGGTTTTAAAAAGAATGCATTTAGGAACATAAAAAGGAGTGATTTGTTTGGCTGTCATCCATAAAGTTTCTACACTTTAAACATTTCAATATCCAGAGTCACATATAGTCCAAAGTTGCCTAGAATGGTCCCGAGATGGTTATGACAAATTGGTGTTATTTTTTGGGTTAGTCCAAAATCTGATATGGCTTCCATCTTAAAAGACATATTTGATTAAGCTTCTCTAGGTCAACTTGGTCCCAAGAACTGAAATTCTGTGAAAATGTTAAGAGCCTGCTTGAAGAAAGCAGATTTTGTTTTTCACATTGACTGCTAAAATTCAAAATTTGTACCCCTACCACTACTGCTGTCATATCATTTACTGGTCTTTTACAGTCAGATGACTACTAAGGCCCATGGACCTCTTGTTTTATTTGACATGACATCCTAATGGTCACCAAACATGAGATATAGCTCCAGTATTTTGCGGATTTCTTCATTAGTATACATGGAAGTTTTCTCATACTAACCCCAGGACATACCTGGGTAGCCGTTATATTTTCCAGATCCCCCCATTAATATATTGGATGGCTTCCTTGTTACTTAACATAATATACAACTTCATTAAGTTGCAGATCCCCTTATTAGTATGACTGGTGGTTTTCTTGTTCCTAAACAGGAGACATTACTCTCATATGTTCATGGTTACTTCATTACTATGGCTAATGGGAGGGATCTCTCCAATAAGTTCCAGATCCCCAAATTAGTATGCCTGTTGGAAGATGTAGCTGTTCCAGGTTACCCCATTACTTTGCCTGGTGAGAGATGTAGCTGTGATATGTTCCAGGTTACCCCATTACTTTGCCTGGTGAGAGATGTAGCTGTGATATGTTCCAGGTTACCCCGTTACTTTACCTGGTGAGAGATGTAGCTGTGATATGTTCCAGGTTACCCCGTTACTTTGCCTGGTGAGAGATGTAGCTCTGATATGTTCCAGGTTACCCTGTTACTTTATCTGGTGAGAGATGTAGTTGTGATATGTTCCAGGTTACCCCGTTACTTTGCCTGGTGAGAGATGTAGCTGTGATATGTTCCAGGTTACCCCGTTACTTTACCAGGTGAGAGATGTAGCTGTGATATGTTCCAGGTTACCCCGTTACTTTGCCTGGTGAGAGATGTAGCTGTGATATGTTCCAGGTTACCCCGTTACTTTACCTGGTGAGAGATGTAGCTGTGATATGTTCCAGGTTACCCCGTTACTTTGCCTGGTGAGAGATGTAGCTGTGATATGTTCCAGGTTACCTTGTTACTTTGCCTGGTGAGAGATGTAGCTGTGGTATGTTCCAGGTTACCCCGTTACTTTGCCTGGTGAGAGATGTATCTGTGATATGTTCCAGGTTACCCCGTTACTTTGCCTGGTGAGAGATATAGCTGTGATATGTTCCAGGTTACCCTGTTACTTTGCCTGGTGATAGATGTAGCTATGATATGTTCCAGGTTACCTTGTTGCTTTGCCTGGTGAGAGATGTAGCTGTGATATGTTCCAGGTTACCCCGTTACTTTACCTGGTGAGAGATGTAGCTGTGATATGTTCCAGGTTACCCCGTTACTTTACCTGGTGAGAGATGTAGCTGTGATATGTTCCAGGTTACCCCGTTACTTTACCTGGTGAGAGATGTAGCTGTGATATGTTCCAGGTTACCCCGTTACTTTACCTGGTGAGAGATGTAGCTGTGATATGTTCCAGGTTACCCCGTTACTTTACCTGGTGAGAGATGTAGCTGTGATATGTTCCAGGTTACCCCGTTACTTTACCTGGTGAGAGATGTAGCTGTGATATGTTCCAGGTTACCCCGTTACTTGTCCAGATCCTCCCTATAAGTATGCTAGGTGGTTTCTTTGTTATTACTCCGCAGCAAAAGATGCTTATCTTTCCTCTAAACTTTGTCTTATTTTCTATATTTACAGAGGTAATCTTAACTTTATATTGGTTTTCTGTTCCTCTTACAGATAAAAAGACTAGTTATTGATTTAAGCTGACAACAAAGATGGAGAAGAGTCCTTCCTATATACTGAATGACTACTTGGCAGGAGCCATTGCAGGTAGGTCAGTTCAGGATTTTATTTTTTTCTCCAATAAATATCTCTAGATTGTTATGTTGCATATTTATCATTGAGGTAAAGGTTGCTGTGGCACATTTAATTACAAGAGAAAAAATAACATCCATGTTAGGTTTTCCATCAGAGAGTTACTTCCCTTCATAAGGAAGGCGTGATTTCCTATCATAATCACAGGAACTTTGTTTCAGGATTTTGAGTGATGTATGACATCAATTAATAACCACAACACAATAAATCCAATATGAAAACCCAATAAAAATTGAGTGTATAAATGTCTTTCATTTTACATCGATACCCCATATTTTTATAAGGTTTAGAGTGTGTATATATTAACCGATGTCAAACATTACTCAATATCTTGACAATAAGTCTAGGTGTAATGATATGGAAAGTCCAATGTTTAACCTGAGGAATTACTTGGTTTTATCTATTTATTTATTATGTTTCAAAAATATCTTCATTTCAAAGGGTTGTGATACTCTTAAAGTATTGAAGAAGTTCAGGTGAAATAATTGTTCGTCTGTAGAAAACCACTGTCAGCTGTCATATATAATCAACCATATGGTACCAAATGGGCTTGTCCACTGAAAGACCAAAATGCCATTGTAGCTGATGTAAAACTTGTTGAACACAATAAATTAATAAACTCATCACTATTATTTACCACTAATATAACAGAGAATACTTGTCAATGAATTTTTGATTTTTCTGTTTCATAAATGTATTAATGAAGGTAGTGAGGATGGAAATGAACACTCCGAAATCTCTGTTTAAGTTAGATGTTGATTTTCACTGTGACTTTATATGATTTATGGTTAATTGGAAAATCATCACTCATTCTTGTTTTGTGTGTCTCATTGATTTGATATGTTTAGGTTCTGTGGGAGTAATAGCTGGCCATCCCTTTGACACTGTAAAGGTAAGTGTACTCAAGTATATGTACCAGGATTTTAATGTACGTTGTATGCAGTTGTGCAACAATACATTATATTTGTAACATACTACGGTATGGCATTATGTCGTACAATATAGTTGAACCATGCATGTCATATTATATGTATGTGTTAGGCAATGAATAAAACAGGAAAAAGTGACTGTTCACTGTAGTATAGATTGCTGTAGATATTTAATCCCTTCCTTTAATCCCTTCAAGTGTAGTATATAATGATTAGTGAATACTATATATAATGATGGTGACAGTGAATACTAACCTACTATATATTGCGTTACTATAGGTCCAGTTACAGGTTCAGTCTGTAGAGAACAAGTGTAGTATATAATGATGGTGACAGTGAATACTAACCTGCTATATATTGCGTTACTATAGGTCCAGTTACAGGCAGTAGAATATGTAGTATATAATGATGGTGACAGTGAATACTAACCTGCTATATACTATAGGTCCAGTTACAGGTTCAGTCTGTAGAGAACAAGTGTAGTATATAATGATGGTGACAGTGAATACTAACCTGCTATATATTGCGTTACTATAGGTCCAGTTACAGGTTCAGTCTGTAGAGAACAAGTGTAGTATATAATGATGGTGACAGTGAATACTAACCTGCTATATATTGCGTTACTATAGGTCCTACAGGTTCTGTAGAGAACAAGTGTAGTATATAATGATGGTGACAGTGAATACTAACCTACTATATATTGCGTTACTATAGGTCCAGTTACAGGTTCAGTCTGTAGAGAACAAGTGTAGTATATAATGATGGTGACAGTGAATACTAACCTGCTATATATTTCGTTACTATAGGTCCAGTTACAGGTTCAGTCTGTAGAGAACAAGTGTAGTATATAATGATGGTGACAGTGAATACTAACCTGCTATATATTACGTTACTATAGGTCCAGTTACAGGTTCAGTCTGTAGAGAACAAGTGTAGTATATAATGATGGTGACAGTGAATACTAACCTGCTATATATTACGTTACTATAGGTCCAGTTACAGGTTCAGTCTGTAGAGAACAAGTGTAGTATAAATTGTAGAGAATGATTGTCATATAGAAATATGGTAACAGTGAATACTGAACTCTCTCCTTTATATTACAGGGCTCTCGATCTGCCAGATTTGGGGCCAAATATCGGCCCCATTCCCGATGCAAAATGGTATCTTTTTTTCCCAATTTAGACCCCAAGTTTTCCCAATTATAAGGAAAACACCATTATTTTTACCAATTCTAAGGCCCACGGGCCCCAGCCCCAAAATGGGCTGTGAGAGCCCTGTATTATTTCAGGTCCAGTTACAGGTTCAGTCTGTAGAGAACAAGTGTAGTATAAATTATAGAGAATGATTGTCATACAGAAAGATGGTAACAGTGAAAACTGAACTCTCTCCTTTATATAATTTCAGGTCCAGTTACAGGTTCAGTCTGTGGAGAACAAGTACAAGTCGTTATCAGACTGTGTGTCTACAGTAAGGAAACAGAAATTGGTGGGTACTTGTTGAGTGTTTTGTTGTTAATGAAATTCGATTGATGATAAATCACTCCCAAACAGGCATGAAGACATTGTAGTTAACCCAAGGTCTAGTGTTTGAATATCAGGACCATGAAAGTAAAGGCAGAACTTAGTCTGGGCTAAACAAAACCTACCCTGATTTGAATATTATATATTGTTTAAAAAAGTATGAATTTTGTATCATTTAGGTAGAGAGTGTAGAGTCAACCCGTCATATCCTATTTGACAGATTTCTGTTTCTGGACCCCACTTAGGATACCCTAAGGTATGAAGGGTGTTTGATGGAAATGTAACAATTTGGGTCTGGGCTCATGAATTAACTTGTGTCACCCTGTTGTTTGTCCTCCTTCAAGACATATATGTTACCACAATAAAATACTTTATAATTGTAATTTCATGGCATCTCTTTAATTGTAGACATGCTTAACTATAACTGCTTTTCTGATGCCTCCATTTTAACATCAAGTTATTTACTATTTATAAGTCTAGTATAGAACCAATGTTGAAGTGCAACAGGTATTACTTTTTAGATATAGTCTGTCTTCAGACTGGTTGTGTTTTGATAATTGTGTGTATAAAGTTGACCTCTTTTGCTAACTGCAAAGGTACACTTGATAGAATTGTTGTATAGTTGATGGTTATACAGGAGGAGGAAGTGCCTCTCTAAAATATGGCCAAATGAGATCATTGTCAGCATACATTCACTGTCTAATATAGCTTCCCCAAGGTTATTCTATTTACAAAACAGCCATTGAGTTCCCATTATGGTAAATATTGATACAGTTGTTGCATACAGAGTGTTTCTTGTGCTCTTGTGTTGGCCTACAGGGCCTGTAGTTTCCATACTACTCAGTTGTCTGGTTATGTTCACTGTAATTCATATAGATCTCTCTCTGTTCTGACTTAGGTGTAAAGTAATCATTTTGCTTAAGATATCTTAAACATACATTTGATATATATATACCAGTGGTCTAGACTGCTTATATGCATAAGTTCTCAAATATTGCTCTAAAAAATAGTTCCAGTTACTTTTGTAAAATCGATGGAATGATATGTAATATGTTACCCAGCCAAACATCTGCCTGCACATTTCAGCAAGTTTTCTTCCCTAGCTTGTCCTTATTTCTTCATCATTTCAGTGCTCTAATGTTTGTTAGCTTTTCCTACCATTGATAATTCTGATTTGTACAAGTATTTGCCATCGATGAAATCTGACTTACAGAAAATTAATTCTGTTTGTAACCTGAATGTTTTTTTGTGAAAGGTGTATCATTGGTTTTGTAAACATATGTGGTGAAAGATATCTGTTAGTGCAATGGAAAAACTGTTCTCACAGCTTATATGCAAGGATTCAACAAAAGATATAGACTTAGGCGTAAAGTCAAAATAACATTTTACACTTTTGGACTTTGGGAACAACTTGAAGTAAAATAATTGAAGATATTGGTGACCAAAAGCCTATTGCAGGACTGGTCAGTTTCTGTTAAAAGTGACCACCAACAGGTCCAAGTCTGTTAGCTATTTGATATGACTAGGACAACATGTTAATGCATTCTGATACTTTTTGCAGTCCAAAGGTTTTTTTCGTGGACTTTCCTGGCCCATGCTTTCTGCAGGAGTGATCAATTCAGTTTATTTCGGAGTGTATGGATACACGCTGAAGGTACTTGGTGGAAACAAGGAAGAAAACAGTACGCCTCCCTACCTCAAGATATTGTTTGCAGGTTGTTTAGGAGGTGTGGTCCAGTTGATCCCAGCATGTCCAGCAGAGGTCATTAAGGTGGTCTTACAATCACAAATACCTCATGGCCACAACCAAGGAGGTTAGCATTATATATAGGTGAAATTGACTGTATCTTGAAATTTGTGTCAATGCAAAGTGTTCATAACTTGATGGTGATACTTACCTAGTAGTAATAAGGCCACCCATGTCTATTGCAGTTCAGTAAAATGCTAGTTGTTCATTGTCCTTCAATAAGCCCACACTGGAGTTTAACGTGTTTGCCCCTTGTTCTGATTTGTGATTGCTGCCCTGTTCTCTTATACAGAATGAATCAAGAAGAAAAGCCAGAACAAATATTATCAAATATATTGGAAATTAGAAATATTAATAGCCTATTAATCAGAACTTTTGAAATATTGTTCATAGCTAACAGATTGATATTGTATCTTCTCAACTTAATGTATGAGACACCATTCTGTTTTTGCCCTTTATAGCCAAATTTTACAAAGGTCCCTTGGAGGGTGCTGCACACATTGTGAGGCAACATGGTTTAAGAGGAATGTACCGAGGCCTGCCTACACAGTGTATCAGGGATGTTCCAGCCAATGGTATTTACTTCCTGGTGTTCGAGTTTCTTACCTTCAATGGTTCAAGTAAGCTACCTTTTATACCCTCTGCTGTGCAAAATTTTTTTGCTGGTGGTATAGCTGGCGTGCTGAGTTGGATGGCTATCATGCCTTTTGATGTGGTGAAAAGTCGTCTTCAGGCTGACTGTGATAGCAAGCAGTTTAAAGGTTTTGTAGATTGTACAAGAGCTTGTTACAGACAGGATGGTCCATCAGTGTTTTTCCGAGGTCTGTCCATGGTTGCTGTGAGAGCATTTCCAGTCAATGCCGTCACATTTATGGTCTACGCTGAAAGTATGAAACTTCTTGGAGAGGAAGTCAGTTATGCTTAACTGAACTAATAAGTAAGTATATTAGAATGTAGCAATGCTTGTTTGTTTTCCTAATATTGATATTAGTATACTCAGCATGTAAGTCGCTCCAATCCCCTGACCTCTCAAGGGACCATTAGGGTCACAGAGTCCAAGTTCTCAGGAGTCTAATGGGGATCAGAAACTATACACAACAAGAGACTCTACTCCAGAGGGTTTTCTGGTTGGGCCATTAGGGATCACTGAGTGTAAAATATTTTTCAAAATTTTAGAAAGTGTTGGTCATATTTTTATGAAACTCTACAGAAATCATTGATATGTAGCAACAGTCAGAATCTATACTCATTTTAGTGGTCATAGCTCGGGGCGCTGAGGGTCAGTCATTAGTGGTGGTCACGGCTTAGGGTGCTGAAGGTCAGTCATTAGTGGTGGTCATAGCTCAGGGTGCTGAGGGTCAGTCATTAGTGGTGGTCATAGCTCAGGGTGCTGAGGGTCAGTCATTAGTGGTGATCACAGCTCAGGGTGCTGAGGGTCAGTCATTAGTGGTGGTCATAGCTCAGGATGCTGAGGGTCAGTCATAGTGGCAATCACGGCTCAAGGTGCTGAGGGTCAGTCGTTAGTGGTGATCACGGCTCAGGGTGCTGAGGGCGAGTCATAGTGGCAATCACGGCTCAGAGGGTGCGGAGGGTGAGTCATAGTGGAGATCACGGCTCAGGGTGCTGAGGGTCAGTCATAGTGGCAGTCACGGCTCAGGGTGCTGATAGTCAGTCATTAGTGGTGGTCACGGCTTAGGGTGCTGAGGGTCAGTCATTAGTGGTGATCACAGCTCAGAGTGCTGAGGGTCAGTCATAGTGGCAGTCACGGCTCAGAGTGCTGAGGGTCAGTCATTAGTGGTGGTCATGGCTCAGGGTGCTGAGGGTCAGTCCTAGTGGTGATCATGGCTCAGGGTGCTGAGGGTCAGTCCTATTGTTTATCACGGCTCAGGGTGCTGAGGGTCAGTCATAGTGGCAATCACGGCTCAGAGTGCTGAGGGTCAGTCCTAGTACTGATCACGGCTCAGAGTGCTGATAGTCAGTCATTAGTGGTGGTCCTGGCTTAGGGTGCTGAGGGTCAGTCATTAGTGGTGATCACGGCTCAGGGTGCTGAGTGTCAGTCATTAGTGCTGATCACGCCTCAGGGTGCTGAGGGTCAGTCATTAGTGCTGATCACGGCTCAGGGTGCTGAGGGTCAGTCATTAGTGCTGATCACGGCTCAGGGTGCTGAGGGTCAGTCATTAGTGGTGATCACGGCTCAGGGTGCTGAGGGTCAGTCATTAGTGCTGATCACGGCTCAGGGTGCTGAGGGTCAGTCAATAGTGTTGATCACGGCTCAGGGTGCTGAGGGTCAGTCATTAGTGCTGATCACGGCTCAGGGCGCTGAGGGTCAGTCATTAGTGCTGATCACGGCTCAGGGTGCTGAGGGTCAGTCATTAGTGGTGATCATTGCTTAGGGTGCTCAGAGTACTGAGGGTCAGTCATTAGTGGTGGTCATGGCTTAGGGTGCTAAGGGTCGACATTAGTAGCAATAGAGTCTTGCTTCACTTCATTAGTAATAAAGACAAGAATCCTATATGAAATACCTGACTTGTATGATATATATAATGGCTGTCATAACAATCATCTTGAAACCCTTGTTATCACTATTCATCCTGAGAGAAAGGGTCTACAATAGTTAAAAGAGCCTGTTCCATGATCTTAAATTCATATATCCTTTTGCCTCCTAAGTACATAATTATACAGAAATCAGATTTCCATAAGTAAAACACCCTAAGTGTAATGATAGGACAGATCCAGAGTTGGTCCTAGATGAACTTTGGACCCATGTGACCTATAAGGTTGTAATCAATCTTTGAAAAAATTGTGTTTTCTACTTTATTTATACAGAAAGTCGTATTGAGGCAGGACTTTCAATAATGAGGTTATAGACCAAAGATACTCCGAACTGAAGTTTTGACCTGTGTGACATTCAAAATGGTCCCCATGGTTTGGTCCACAAAATTCCCATTAACTTCAATTAGGACCTTATCATGTCCATCTTGAAAAACTACTTTTTAACAGAGAGTCGAATGAAGTCAAGACTTTTATTACAATGTATTGACTGTTGTGTCTGGTCAACAGATGGTCTTATTAAATTCATACCATCGGGATATATTTTGATATGAACATGAGAAGTTGCTTTCTATGTAAATTGTAATGGGGATTTTCAACAAATCATGTCTATAGTAAATTTCCATTTAACATTTACCTGCTCTCAAATATCTCAGCCAACCATCAATGGGCTTTCTTCAAAAATGTTTTGTGTCTTATACAGAAAGCATTAAAAGAGGGCACTTATGCAGAGGATAAATTACGTTAATTTAAGATTCATAAATGACAGGTTTCAGTTGGGTTTTTTTTAACCATATTTTTATTTAACTTTAAACATTGTATTTCAGTCTGAGTAGGATTCCCTACAAAGCTGCTTGTTTGCGGGCCTAATTTCCTAAGATTGTCTCTGTTTTTTCTTTTTTGTGTTTTGTATAATATTATGTTGTTTATGAAGTTTTTACCTTAGGTATTGTAAACTTAATTTGAAATGGCACAGAAATGTTTCAGACATAGTCCCATCATCAGATACCTACAATGATTTAAATATCCATGCTTTATTGGCAGAGAAAAAAGGAAGAGATCTTGGAAAATTAAGTAAAAAGTTTGATAAGTTGAAATTTGAGTTAAGTATTTTTGGGTCTGGTGAAATATACCATGTCCTTTTTTTCAATATAGTGCATTAAACAGATCTATTGTTATTTTTATTGTAACCTTCTGAGTAAGTTTTGTCTCATTTAAAGAGTATATTATTGAATTGCAGCATTTTCAAAACTGAAACCTGTTCCCTGTTGTAGTAATTTTACATTATAAATATGTAATCAATGTTGAAACTGTTTTATATACATGTAGTCAGAGTCTCAGTAGATTAGTTTTGGTATTGGGAAATACTAATTTGCTAAATTACTAATTTCGTGGATTTTGTTGTTGAAATGTCCTAATATCATCCAGCTGCACATGTTAAGGAAACAGGAATGTCCAGATAAACAGATAAACAGATAAACAGATAAATAGATAAATAGATAAACAGATAAACAGAGATGAGGGCGACTTGTCATATTTCTATTTTCTACTTTTATTGTTAAAGTAATATTTTTCCTAGTTTATATTTTCATGGGTTGTCTATTTGTTGAAATGTAAATCTGACTGGTTTTTAAAATTGTTTTTTTTACCTTATAAGTTTATCGTTTAATATCCATTAGCTACTCTTTATTATACATTCGTCCAACAAGAAGCATAGGATGTTGTCCTTTGTAAAAAAAATCTCTGAAGGTGTCCAGTCATAATATACTGTACAAATATGAATGATGTGTTTTGTTTAATAGATTAAAACAGAGTACTATAGCATTATACTTTTTATTGAGATATATAATTTTGTAAGTTCATCTAATATATACCCACTAAGTAGCATTTGGAAGCCAAAAATAGCCAATTCAGTACTTGTAAAATTTATTTAAGATATGTAAGACATTATTTCTATACATCTATATGGTGCCTGAAGAGCAAATATGGTGTTTTTCCCCAAAACTGTTTAAATACTTTGTAATGTACAATCAGCCAAATATTTCTGTTCCACATTTTAAATGTGCTACAGACCATGATAGTCAATCTGGAGTAGTTACCAGTTATTGTTAAACTGATGTTTATATTACAGACTGTATCAAATATATACACTAGCTGTGACTAACTGTGATAACTTTACCAACATATATGTATATTATTTATTTCCAGCCCATGAACTTGATAGTAAATCTGATTGTCTCACCATTTTTAATAGAAGAAATCCATAGACTTACCATTAATCCAGTTATGTTTATGATACTTGTTCATTGTTATTTTGGTTTTGATGGTGCAACTGTCCAGGTAATATAGCTGTTTAATATTATAATATTATGGTACTTAAAATGTATACTTGTTCAGGAAATACCATTTCACCATTTTTAAGATTTTTTTATAAGACAATCCCAAAAATCACTAGATGATCTCATACTTTTGTTTGAAGTGATATTAATTCATGTTTATTAAACAGCAATATCTAAATTGACAATATTCAGCTAAAATGTGAATATTTTTTAATTTAATAATTTAATTTTTATTATAATCTATAAAATGTTAATACTTTCACTTTTATATAGCTTGTGAATATAATTACATATATAATTATTTCTTCACTTCCAAACCTTCCATTAATTGGAATAATTTGATATAACAGTTTCTATAACCGCAGTTTTAATTTTAATCCAATGTTAAATTTTGTCTCATCCTTTCTACTAATTGTTGTTTAGTGTCTTTCAAAGAATTATCAGTGTTAAATTTTGTCTCATGCTTTCTATAATTGTTGTTGAGTGTCTTTCAAAGAATTATCAGATTGTGTTAAATTTTGTCTCATCCTTTCTACTGACTGTTGTTTAGTGTCTTTCAAAGAATTATCAGTGTTAAATTTTGTCTCATGCTTTCTACCCCTTGTTTACATTTGAAGATTCATTTATTTATCTATACTGGTCTTTCTGTGTGCATAGAAACCAACATATTTCAAAATGATGTAAATAAATCATGAATAATGCATGAAATTTGTCCAGTGAACTTATACTGAAGTTTCAATATCACCAAAATGATGCACATCAAACTTTATGCATATGTAGTGATAATTGATAGCTTCCAAATGATACCTTTTAACAAATAACTGGATACAGTGCAACTCTTTGAAGCTCAAGCTTAGAACTGGCTTTGTCACCCCACCCAAGTTTGTGTAGGTGACAAATCTACTTCCTAGGAATGTCAGATTTAATGGTCACTGCTGCTATGTCCTTCATTATGGTGTTAAATGTGATTACATTTTCTGAGGATTATCATCCCTGTTTTTGTGTTTTGTTTTTAGTTTTATTTTGTTTTGTTGTGTTTTTCTCCCATTTATATAATTGCTTTTTGAAACCCTTATCCAATACTGTCCAAATAACTTGTAATTAGTAACAAATGTTTGCTTTACAGTTTACTGCAAATGAAAAGATGTGATGTTTTTCCTTTCATTACTTTTCTTTTTGTGATGAATTTTACATATGATTTCTCTTGGCCAAATAAGTTCTTGTTAACATTTCTTTACTTAGAGCCTGGTAAAAGTCTCAGATACGTATCAGGAAAGGTGAATGAATATGAAATATAAATAATTAGTTTTAATTTAATCAGAGCTGTGATATTTTATATTGCCTAAACTAAACTTCATAAATATTGCAGATAAATTTGAAACAATTTAAGATAAAAAATTGAGTTATATATTACTGATTGCTTGTTAAAGTGTCAGAATCAATTAGGTTAATTTGTAACACTGTATAACTGTATTTCTGATAAACAAATACAGAAAACGTTTCTGTGGAACTGTAATGATTTTTGTTACTTTTTTTCCCCCTGTTGAGAATTTATGATGACTAATTACACTTATGTGTTGCTTATTTTAATGATACTGCATGCTGGTTGTATGTTAGGGAAAGTATTTTAATAAAACATTGTTTAGTTTCATTTACAGAATTTGTTTTCTTTTTTTAATCTCCTAGTCCAAACAGCCAGGTCAGTTTATGTGGAGGTGCAGCATCCGTCGTCAACTTTTCTCTTTAAACAATATCTCAATAACCAATGGACCAAATGTTTGGTATTTGGCTGGTTTGTTCCTAGGATGAAGCCCAACAAAGTTTGTGAAAAAGAAATGACCTTGACCTTTATTCAAGGTCACAGGGGTCAAATTTGTTAAAATCTTTAAATGGCTTCTCCTGAACTAAAAGTGCTAAAGGCATGATATTTGGCAGGGGAACAATGCAGGCCCATTGGGCCTCTTTTTTTTTTTTTAAGAATGTTATTTTCCTGGGTCACAAGAAATGCCAGATTGACAATGTGATTGATAAAAAGACACCCATCATTCTGAATCATGTTCAATTTCAGCAGGTTTGCTTACAATGAAATTTGTTAAATTCTTTACATACATATGGCTCCAATCACACACCATCTAATCTGACCTAAAGGTAGAGTTTAACAATTTAACCTGCTGTACCCATTGCATGATCATTGAAGATGAATAAATGTGGGATATTAATATCTTCTTAAACATACTTTATCCTTCGTAATGCCTTTCTTTGCATTTCCTCACTTTTGGTCATAATGTTGGGTGTGGTAATGCACTCACTTTTCACCTCTTTTGTCCTGGGTTCGATTCCCAGAAAAGATATGAAAATACAGGTGGTAGATTCTCTGATCGTGTCCTCTTTCCTCCCACAGTATGTCCCCTCACATGCTTACGTCTGGGCCAACAAGTGTTTAGTATAAATTGCTGTATCGTTATTTACAAATGTAAAATAAATAAATTTTATATCTATTTTTATGTTGGATGTCCATCAACAGTCCATAAATTTGATTTAAGGTACAAGAAGACTGCATTGACTGTATAATTTGACCTCGTTAAGCATCATGCTACATTGTGACCTCATCATCATTAGATACCATCTTAAAATGACTATAGTGATTTGAAGAATATAAAACCATGGAAGTTCGACAGAGTATGTGGTTAACTACAAAGTGTCAGAAGTTTTCTATATATCCTGTAAAAAACACCAAGAGGTTGTGTCAGCCATGGGTTGTTTCAAAATTTATTTAGTTTAATTAGTAAGATTATCCACGATAGTTTGTTATCAACACATTATGCATCAATATCTCTTTTGATATCACAAAGCACATTAATCTTAATAGTTAAAAACAAAACCTGCTTCTTTCATCAAGGTGTGCTCAAATATCCACTTCACAAGGGAGACCTTGTATCTGTGTAAACAGAAAAATCACTCTTCATTTCTGTTACATGAGAGAGCACATACTCCTCTGACTGATGTTCCTATGTATGCCACTGATATTTCCATATGTGGACATTGTCCCCAACTGATTCTTCCATCCTCTTATTGCCACCTACTATTTTTATTCTATTTGTTGGTGGAACATCTGACCTAGACACTGACCCCTGAGCAATTGACAAGTTGAGAATTGATCCCCACATTAAGGTTATGTTATAAGTTCAGTCCTTAGTCAGTACTCGAGCCATTCCTTCATGTAAACACAATTTGTTGGTGACACTGGACCTCCTTCACAGCACTGGTCAAATACCTGTAGAGGAAAAAGCAGATGTATTTAGTCTCTAGATGTATTTAGTTTCCAGATTAATCAAATTAAATAAACTAATCCCCAAACATCTTTCAAACAAATACTTTGAACATAAACCACAAATGAATACGAGTTAATTACTGACAGTGAAAAGGAGTAACAATCATCATTATGGGCAATGTAAGGCATGAGAGTTAGATCACTTCACAGCAGTCTTCCAGGAACCAATTTCATAACAAAAGTCACCTGGCATGACAATTCATCCCAAGTCTGGATATTTAAGGAGTTGATTTGACCTACAAGAACTGGGGTGATTAAATAGAAACCAAAATGGGACAAACAAGCATGATATGATCCCCTCAAATTTTCATCATAATGATAAAGTTACTATTTCTGGACATTTTTTTAACTTGGTTAAACTATTCATATTACTAAAGCAATATTTTTTTATCGGGTGATAAAAAAAAGTACAGCTCTATCAAAATTGATTTTAAGTTTTAACATTATGACATTTTACGAAAAATAATAAAAATTGGAAACTGCAAAAGTAATAGAAAAAGTAATTAGGCAAAACAATACCATGTATACAGTGAAAATCAAAATTCTTCCTTTATGAAATACAGAAGTATTAAACATGGACATCATAAAAATATCGACATACAGGACAAGATCCGCAGGGCATCCTCATAAGCCCAGTGGTAGGTACAAGTGGTTTTATTGCACGGTACAGCTTGGAACTGGCCTCTCCTGTACTAGATGATGCTGTCACAGATCGTTCCACTTTCCCATCATATATAAGGGTATCCATGATTGTTTCAATATCATCCACAGATAGCTGAACCTGAATAAGAAATTTCAGATTTTAGCCTTGCAACAATCATTGATATCTGTAATATTTGAATATATTTTACGCCTGTTTTTATGTATCTTTCAGTTGCAATATTTCGATGACATTATAATATATCTTAGCCAACTATGTATTGTAATAATGTTTGTTCTACATTGTATCTTATAATTAATTAATATTCATAGTTTATGTATTTTATGTACCGGTAACATCCAGTGTAACATCTTTCTGTGATATGTGTATATATTTTACGGCAGGGCCATATTGTAAACTAGACTTGTCTAAATATGCAACCCTGGATAAATAAAAGATATTATTAAGATAAACAACAATATTAAACAAAAGTAAACTAATAAACTACATGCCATCACCATACATTGTAAGAATCCCACTCACATCTATATTAGTTTAGTTTCACTGGTTTTAGCAAAATTGCAACCAAATGTTTAGAGTAGTTTCTATTTGTTCTGAAGGCTTAGTCCAGGATAAGCATGGCATCAATTTTAACACACAGTACACTGTTGAGTAGCATTTACTCATTTTGTAATACATTATCCTGTTTATTGACTGATCAAGACCAAAGAAACAATATTGTTTCTATCATGCTCTGTGGGTCTGGAATAATTGGAGGTCAATCATTTATTGGACTTCCTTTTAACTTTTATGATATCTTAACACAAAGAGCTTTTCTTATTTGAGGAAAGAAGAACATTAGAAGAGTTGTGCGTTAATAGTAAACAAAGTCTCATTGCTATGGAATAAGACTTTCATACAACAGAAGAGTTGTGCATCAATAGTAAACAAGGTCTCATTGCTATGGAATAAGACTTTCATACAACAGAAGAGTTGTGCATCAATAGTAATCAAGATCTATGAGTTTACCTTACTAATGCCTAGCTCTGAGATATATTTCCAGACATCAGATAATGAAGTAAAGGCTGCATTCCTCTGTGCTATTGGGTCTACCTGGTTCTCCCTGGCGATGGCAGCCTGAACACATGAACATGGATACAGCATATACCATAATATCACAAATTTTCTGCTATGTGCCTATTCCTTTTGTTTCTGCATCAGTACAAAAGATGGCTGACTATAAATTTCTTTTAGAACTTTGCACCCTTTAATAATGCCTATATTTACTGTGTGTGTTACCACCTTGTCTTGAACAATGTGTATTCCTATCTTCTTGAACAATGTGTATTCCTATCTTCAAAAATGGAAGAAAAATGATTTGTCCTTATATCATCTGAAAGCATCTTAAAGCACCTTGCATTAAATGTCAGGCAAGATTAAAATGAACACCACACCTTCTGTTCCAAATATTTGAAGCACTGTTGATTAAGAACCTCTACAAATTCTGACTCGAAGTCTTGGTCACTATACCAGGCTCCTCCAGTCACTGTCCGGTCTGGCTCCAAGTTGTATAACATGTAGACTTTCTTCTTCGAGGCCTACCAGACAAGTTCAGAGACAAAACAAATGGGCTGTTAGTAAGGAATACCCAAATGTCAAGTTAATTTATAGAAAACTGTGAATAACTTGAGAATAAATGGGAATTTGGGAAGATACACCAAATAAATTTCTTCCTTTTGGCAAAAAAGAAGAAAGAAAAAAAAAAAAGAAAAGGAAAAACAACATAAGTGATACATCCAATTTTCTGCAGTAAAAACCTGACAAAAAAAGTTTTCTATCTGCAAATTATTACCTGTTTATATTTCATTAGAGGTAAAGCATTGTTTTAAAATGATATTTATAAGAAGAAACACGTGATCAAATTGTCTTTAAATCACACATCACATCCAAGTAAAGCCTACCGTGTATATTTTCAACTTTCATAAAAGCTCTTTTAATTAACAAGAAAATTATAGTTGAATTTGAGATGAATGGGAAGATATTTTTAAATAATTTGTTCACATTCCCAACAATAGATAAATGTGGAAAGACATGGATACCTGCACTATTATTCATTTAAATTCTATACAAAAGTAACATTTTTAATTAACTTTGATTACTTTGCCAGAGTATTGAAAACTTACCGCCACAGACTTTACAGCTTTTATCAATTTCTTGCTCTCTAAATTTTTCAGTATCTTGTTGACTTGTGTTAACAGAAGGTTGCACTTGTATCTGATGTCCCTAATCCAAATACCTGTGTTAAAAGACAAAGTTTCTCTTATTCTTGAACTTAGCAATATTACTTAAAGTGTGACTTTCAAAGAGATAATACAATAACATTAGGAGTGGGTTGGGGCAGTGGTTTACCAAACATTGAGAACTTCATTGCTGAATCATTTCTTGTAAAGATATCTACAATGTCAGGATCAACAATACTAAAGGTGATTGACAACTGTACCAGATATGTAAAGAAAAATATCATGAATGTAATAATACTTAATCTTCTAAAAAGGGTGTACCAATTCAAAGTTCAGTTCAGAATCACAGTGGTTTTGTGAGTTGTCACAAGATAACTTCATAACTTCAGAAGCACTGAAAATTTACCATGTGTTTACAAAGGTAAAAGTTTCAATTACTTCTTTAGAGACCCAACCCAGCAGGGAGAAAATATTTAACTATTGTATTGGCATTTTAAATTTCCTCCTAATTCTGAAAATACTTTCAGATAACTTCAGTTTAAAGTAAAATTGATAATCAAAAATGTTTTCAAAGTTAATAGAATGACAATTATGCAGAATGTTTTCCGGTGCACTATAATATCATGTATTCACATTATTAATGGAAATTATATTTTATAATCAATATATTTAAATTTTGAAACGTTTAAGTGTTTAGATATCATGTCTCAATCAAGGAAAAACTAATAATTACCTTTGTTGCCAGCATCCTTTATAATCTGATAGACCAACTTCTCTTGGTTGTCAGACCCTTTTGCTTGACTGAAATAACAAATTAAATCATCAACAACCTCTCTAATCTGAATCCTGTATAATCAGGAAGTCTGTGTATTCTGAACCTTCATCACTGAATTATGACAATTTTACATGTAACCTACACATCACATTTCATATCTCTAATTTAAACATCAAGAGACAAAACATGCTTCTAGCCAACAGCTTTGCCTATCTGCACCGAACAAATATCTGGGCAAATTTCTTCAAGTGTGAACAGGTGTTTTAAATGGTATTTAAGTAAGTAGCCTCACAACCAATTCTATTGCTTATTTGTATATAATGGTATTATATGTTATGGTTCGACATTCATTAACCACTTTCACTTCTAAATTATGATTTGAACAGGTCAGATCAGATTGATTTCATTAAATCTGAGGAATTGGCATCTCTTCTCTCAGCAATCAAGTTTTCCTTAAGAACCACAGGGACAGGAGTCAAGACATACATATGGATCATAACTTATTACAGTAAATGTGGAGAACTATATTCTGTTTCAATGCATTACCAAAGCCAACTTGACATATCTTGTACAATTTATGCCTATGTGCCTTAGTATCAGTGTCATGAAGATATTAGGAATTCACTAAGCAGTTTACTTGGGTGGAGGACAACTCATTTTACTTAAACAAATTACCTTGAATTTATCATGCTAAATTTTAAATCTCAAATGATTTCATGTATTAAAGCATATGTGAATCCTAGAACCCTTTGCAAATTGATATTTGAGCTTTCAACATAATCCGTCTACCAATACAGGCTGTGACATTGTGTTGATCCAAGAAGTCTGTGATGGTTTTTATGATGGGTACATATGAAACACCATGATATAAATTGTTACCTGGCAGCATCCGGATCTTTTAGTTTATACACCAGTTTAGTGCCTCGCTTCAACAAATCAACTTTTCCCTGTAAACAGACATAGCATCAAATGAGCATTTCCATTGAAAATATAATAAATGGATTTCACACCAATGTCAAATTACATATCAAGGATAGTTTAACAATCTTTTCTAAGTAATGAACTGAAATTTGTTGTGTAAGAGGGGTTGGGAAAGGGAGGAGTGTAAATATTGATAAAAAATGTTACAGAGATAAAAATATGGTCAAAGTTAAAACAACTAGGAGTAAAGTATATGTACCCTCTCAATGAAACTTGTGACTACAAGCTTGTGCCATGCCACCCCAATAAATCTCAACATCACAAATCATATATGACCTTTTTAGGGTGCATGCATCAATATGGGCGCCCGTGCCTTTTTTTTCAGGAAAATTTCTTGGTTGAGCATCCAGTTGTGTTTAGAAATGATAAAAAGAATTACTACACCTACTTTTTTTATTCAGAATATATAAACAGGCCTATTCTGAGGATTACTATGACTGCACTGTGGACACTGAAAGCATACCTGATTTCAATGTCCAGGGCTAGTACAGTTGTTTCAAATTTCTACTTAATCTCAGTTGAACTGGAAGCTGTCTGCTACATACATATCACCTATAGTTCATTTCAAAAAACTTCCAAATTTTAAGTAATATTAAAGGCGCCCTTGGTCTTCAATCACCCGCACCCTGCACCCTTATTAGGTCATATACAGTATGTCTCAAGATAGATTTCATACCTGTACTCACCACGTCTGAAAATCAAAATGTCAAATGTTTCAGCCAAAGAGAGTTTTGGATTGACCATAATGACCATTATCATATTTGATACACATGTCCCTAATTTTTCTCTGAAAGTATGTTCATTGTTGCATAAAACAAAATTTTTAATAGCACTCAATGTCACTGACCAATTTTACTTAATCATACCGTTGACAGTAGTCTATTGATGGCAGTAACCCGCTGCTTGGCATTACACTGTGGAAATTCCTGTTGTATAATTTCATCTGTTATCCCATCTGTATACGTCTGACAGAGCTCAATAAATCTAGACAATGAAAAATAATTCATATTCTCAAAGCAGTCTATAAATATCTCTCTCTGCTATTTGAAGAATCAAATTCATAAATCAGTACCCCCCTCAAAATATCAAAAAGGCCCATACTATGGTATAACATTGTAATAAAATTTATATTTTCATATCAAAAGATACATAGTTTGTTAATGACACATTTATAATTGTTCAATATAGATATCAAAATTTCTTGTTTGTTTGGTTGGTTTTTTTTAGCAATTTCAATATTTTTCAAACTGTCGTTGGAAGTTGTAAGCTTTAAAACTTTCTTAATATTTTTCAGTGTTTTTTTCACATCATGTAGATTGTAGCGAGACGATTGTCATGGCTCTTCTGTACAACATAGAGTCTTTGTGAGTTTAGTGACACTGTCATCAAAAGGGATGACAGTCACAGGTCTGAAACACATATAGACATTCTTTGCATATGTTTTAAAGAGCTTTGTGTGTCTTAAATATCAAGCTCTTAACAGGTTAACAACACTAGGGGTCCGATACTGATGCAAAAAAAAATCGCCCGATGCATGTGGCACATAAAACCCTGTGACATGTAACATATTGTCACCTTGTTTCCAAATCTATAGCTTCATCTGGTTCTTCTTTGACAGATACAGACGTTGCCATTTTTAACTTTCAGCGTTTTCCGTCATCTTTTCAATCTCCGGCTGTTTACTTTTTCACCGGATGTTGCATGTGGTTTATGCCATCGCAGAAAACAAATATCATTTTATAAAATAAACCTTTTGTCAATTACAAATATGAATATCTCTTTTTTGTAATATCTTGATGACAAAGGGGGGTTCAATATATTTTTTGGTTGAGCATTTTAATATTTTGAATTTCTTCCATTTACTGCGTTATCGCTATAAACATGACTGTAATGGCGGAAGCACAGGTACGATGATAACAAAATATTCATCGGTTTGGGTGTTTTTGTCGCATTAAAATATAAAGTAGATTGTTTCGTATAATCAATATATGTTTTTTCTTTCAGCTAGAACTAAATGAAGGGTATAGACTACCAGTGCTTCTCAATAATGGCGACGGATGGCGTAAGTTTTGAATATTTCATTTTACGTACTTGTTCGAAGGGGAATAACTCTAAAACCGGGTTGGGAATGTAGATTAAAAAGTTGACAAGAAGTATGATTTTCAAACGAAACTTAGAAATTATGTCAGGAAAGGACATGCAGCTGAGAGAAAATACTTAACATTTCTGTTACGTTGTTATTTGATTTTACACGCTTACTAGGTTGATTCAGCAGTTGATCAACATGCTTAATTTTTCACAAATGAGTTGATTTAGATAAAAGCAACAATCATCATTGCATTATGAAAACTGCTGAATACAATTAATCACAAAATCTATAACCACGAAGAGTGTACTTTGTCTTATGAACTTACCAAATATTTGTAATTGACATACACTAAAATAGTAAATACAATAAACGTATCTTGCATAGATATTCATTTTCTTTGGATGCAAAATGTTTCGCAGATTAGTCTACCCCAGTTGCTGTACCCCTAGACTAGTGTCTATACCTTTGCCAACACCAAAGAGTTAGAAATTTCCATGGAAAGATTTATTTTTCTAATACAGGACTAAAAGGCTATTCTAAAATATGATTCTTCATGTTTCAGATATGGCAGAGATTCTTGGCAAGAAAGAATTCCAGGGAAAACATCTGTATTACATCCATTATGAAGACTGTATGTATATATTTATTTCATTCTTTTTTTCTACCTATCATTTCATTATTTCAAGTGATTCTAAGATTTCTTGCATATGTAGACAACTACAGTCATTAATTTATTTTCTGAATTATAATAATCAGTACTACCTAATATAAAGCAATTTAATATCCCCCACAAAAGCTCTCAGGGTAGACATTAGATTAGACTTCTTCGATTTGTATGTCTCTGCATGACCAGTTTGAGATTAGAGCTCTGAAACCATGAATACTCAAACTTTGTACAGTAATAATTCTAGCACTCAAGTGATGCCTTTTTCTTTGGAGATGTTCTCCATTTAAATTCTTTTTCTGTTACGAATTACAGTGATAAATTTGATAATTTTCAGGACTCTTAATATGTTCAAGATAGCTACTCAAAACTTGGTACAATCATCAAGCCAATATTCTGATAGTTCTTTTTTCCTTGGAGGTGTTCCCATCTTTTTCTTATTGAAACTAGCAAAACTAGAAAAATGTTTCTTTAGTAAAATATCAAAACTGTTTAAGATAATTACAAGAATTTTTTCCACTAATCCTTTCACTCTATTCATTTTTCTTTCTGCTAATAATATAGTCAATAAGCGTCTTGATGAATGGGTCCCAGAGGAAAGAATGGACATTAGCAAGGCTGAACTACCAAAAAAAGATCCTAAAACTCCCAAGAAAGAAACCGGAAAACTTGGAGGAGGGGGAGGAGGAGGAGGAGGTGCAAGTGCAGGAGGAGGTGCAGGAGTTGGCGGTGGTAAAGGTCCAGGATCCAGGCCTGTTACTCCAGAAAAAGAACTCTTGGTAATCTTTAGTGGTTTGAATAAAGGGGCTTGTGACAGCCAAATTTTAACTAAACAATATAATTGTAGTATAAAGTTTGGCACAAATCAGCCCACACCTTGTATAAGAATGAGAGCAATACATTTTTTTATTTATTTCATTATATCCTAATGATAACCAAAGATTATCGCTAGCTGAACTGGGTCAAATGTTGTCATTCGCTATGATTGAAGATAGGCTCTTTAAAAGTCTTTCTTGAATAAAGCCAAGAGTTAAGATATTTAACTAATGATTAGGTAACTTTTACCAACTTAGGGTCTAACAGAAATGAGAGAAGTTTCTCTCTTTCTTTTAGAGTTTGCCCTAAGCATAAATAGCTTGGCATGAGCAGCACACCATCCTGTCCCTACAGCATGGTGTGCTGGAAAGACACTGGAAAGAGCAAATTAGGGCCCCTTTTTGCCCCTCCAAGTGCCATCCTGCACTATTTCCCCCTCCCCATCCCAAGGCAGTGGTCTGGAAAATGTATCGGGGTATCTTCTTTGACTAGTGTCTCAAAGTAGTGTTATTGCAAGCCCACACACAGACTCTGGGGCACTGGCTTAATTACAGGGTTTATACACAAAGGAAGTGTGGAACCTGTAATCAGCCTAACCTGTTTAGAGAAAGAGGACCAATTGGACACCTAGGGTGGCAAGGTCTGTCTGGCAATTCTCAGAAAATTCAGTTGATACTATCACTTACTGATTAGTAAGAAAATAATCAGGGTTCATCACTTCAAAAACAAACTCTGGTTATGGCATTCATTCCGTTACTTACATGATGAAGAAGCATATATACTCTAACATCGTAGCTGTCCGCTCAAACTTGGCTACAATATTGGTAAGGCATTAGAGTAATAAAGGAGCTAGAAATCGGAATAAAAATCTTGATTTTAGCAAAGGTTGATGAAAATGTTAAAATAAAAAGTAACATGTATATTATAAAGATACCAATATACATGATGTTTCTGCTTGCTGTAAAGTGCCTCTATTTACTAAGTTTAACCAGGCCCTGAGTTATATTTAGAATCCATCATTTTAGGTTACATTTGCTGCCGTATTGCAAGTGTTTGGTAGAAAAATGCTAATAAAAATGTATTTTTCTTCTTCTCAGAATGGCACAGCAGTGGCTTTAACTTTATCAAATAAAAAGTCATCTGTAAGCAGAAAAAGGAAGGGTGCAGAGGAAGAGACTATGGTTGGTATTTCAATGTAAATTTGATTTATATTTTTAAAAAATCAATTTCAGGATTCATCAGTATTGAAAACTAAAAAATCTTTGCAAAAGATCATTTGTTATAACACTTCATTTACGAAGAGTAAACAAAACTATCATTGAATTTGGGTTTATATGTTTACTATTGATGGTTGTTTGTGGACATATTTTCTTGGTAAGCAAAACTCCTACTGATTATACACCAAAACCTACACTTACTTACAGATATATATCTATACATAATGTTTCTGATTTTGTGTTTTATTAACATCAGTTGAGTGTGACTGTCCCTTGTCCAGTTGGAGATACACCAACCCACAGCAGGAACTCAACACCAACTCCAAACGTACAGTCACAGACACCTCTTCCCTTGGTAATTATATTACAAATGCTGTTTACCTCTAAAAGCTATTTCTGTAACAATCCTATAGAGACGATGAGAGAAAAATGTCCATAGATCCCATGTTCTGTTGCACAAAATGAGCTGATTTACTTATTCCATACCATACACGTTTAATTTGCTTTGAACTTTTAAACACAATTAACTTTGCAATGAAATCAAGTAGTAAAATAACAATAAAATGATTTATTACATTTTTAGCAGTGAAAAATATCACTTTTTTGATAGTGACAGCGACTAGGATGGCGCCATACTTTTTCATGCGTGGAAGAATTTATCAAACATTGTTTTTATTTTTTCAGTTAACATTTAAACCATTTTATTGTGTATAAGTGACATCAATAAATTACAAAATCCATGTCCAAACACAAATAAACATTCATTATGATTTATTTATAAGTCTGTATATTTTTACTGGTTTTTCATAAAATGGACTATTTTTTGCCGCGCACAACATGGTTGTATAATGAGAGAGTAGTGTCTGGAAAAGCATGGTCAACTTACCCATTTTATAGTTATCAACTTACCCATTTTATAGTTATCGTAGGTTTACCATTGTTTTGCTTTATTTTTGCGATGAAAATGTAATAAACACAATATTTAATAGTGTCTTCAGTAATAACAAATATTTTTCACTCGTGTGGCTAATATTTTTGGTATCTTTCACGAGTGCTTATATTTGTTATTACTGAAGACACTATTAAATATCCTATATGTATATTTGTATATCAAGTAGAATAACAATAACATTGCGAGATAAAATGATTTGGTGACTGGTTTGACAGAAATTGAATATTTTAGAAATTACAAATAATATGTTACAAACATTCTCTCACAAAGGTTATTTACTTTATCGCAGGACCCTCAGGAAGCTCCCTCAGGTGCTAAAGTTCCTCGTCAGACAGGAAGTATGGTGGCTCACCATGACGATATCATTACAAGAATGAAAAACATAGATCTTATAGAACTTGGAAAATATAGAATAAAACCATGGTACTTCTCTCCTTATCCTCAGGTAATTTGTTGTCACTATGAAACACCTTTACAGGTAATATTAATTTGGGCACCATCTGTCTGTCCGAGGGTTATTCTGGGCTGTAACTTTAAAACTGTTAACTCAACTTCACCAAACTTTCTGTATATATTAGGTTAGTGCCCTACATTTGCCTTTTGCTGTTGACAACATTTTATTTTTAATATTTTTTCCATTACCATGGAAACATAGTCAGTATACTCAAAATTAGTGTAACTTTCCTTTTTGGGGCTACATCTTGGAAACTATTCCACTAAACTCCACAAAACTTTCTGTATATATTAGGTTAGTGCCATAGTAAAATTTGTTTTCTGCTAATATGGAAACTGATAACCCTCATCATAATTTTCAGTTTTTCTAGACCAGTGCTCGGAAACCGTTCAAGATAATTGTTTAAAACCTTTTACACTTATTAAGCTAGTGGTATCTTTTGCTCTGAGAAAGTTCTTCATTTAAATACTTTTTCTGTTTCCATGGAAACAGATAGGCCAAATCACAAAGTTCAGTTTTCCAGACCACTTAAATGAAACTGTTCAAAGTAATTATCAGTTACTCACAGATTTGTTCAGGCATCAAGCTAGTACTCTATTAGAAGTTCTCCATTTCAATACTTTGTATGGAACAAGTAAAAATAACAAATAGAAATTATATATGATTGTGTACTTTTCTTTAATACAGTTGAGCACTGGGGATAATGGCATGCTTTGTGTTATCTTGTTTTTCAATATCTTTGTGAAGTTACAGGGCTCTCACACCCCATTTTGGGACTGGGGCCCGGGGCCCTTAGAATTGGGAAAAATAATGGTGTTTTCCTTAGAATTGGGAAAACTTGGGGTCTAAATTGGGAAAAAAAGATACTATTTTGCATTGGGAATGGGGCTTAATATCAGTCCCAAATCTGGCAGATCGAGAGCCCTGAGTTATTCTCTAATACATGTAGTTTATCAATTGTTAGTTCTCTACATAAGGTCACCTTCATTCATCATTTCTGTTACCATTTCATACATGTATCACACACAGAAGATTTCTGTGTTATTTGGGTTTTTTTTCCTGTTTTGGAGATTGATAAAGTAAATTTGTAGTTTTATTTTCATGTATTTAGTTGCATTTAGATTAACAGATGTTTAGATATTGTATTTTTTTTTCAGGAATTGTCTGGTACTCCTATTGTGTATATCTGTGAATTTTGTCTGAAGTATGTCAAAAGCAATAAATGTTTGGAACGACATTTAGTAAGTAAAAAATACGATACATTGTACACGCAAGTAATATGCTAGACTGGCACCAGTCTCTGTGTTAATGAATGAACGTACCCCGTTTACAGTATATTGTACTGCAGGTTTAGATGATAAATTTATCTGATACTCTTTATTGACTTTAATAAACACAATCATCTGCTTATTGTGTGACTTTTGTCCACACATAGGACTAAATTTTAGAGGTTATCTATGAGTTATTGTTTATTGTGGTACACTTTGTAATGTCACAACAATTTGCTGCTGGTTAGCTTCTGTTGATTGAGATTTGTGAACTGGAGTTCTACTCTATTCTACCATTTCTGTTCACCTAAGTTACCATATTTTGTACCATTCTTTATGTTTCAGGCAAAATGTCTTTTAAAACATCCACCAGGAAATGAAATTTACAGAAAGAGTAACATATCCTTCTTTGAAATTGATGGCAGAAAGAGTAAGGTTGGTATCCATTAACAGGCTTTGTTTGCTCACAGTTAGTTTTGTTCTGGAGTTTTTTTTTTCTTTTCCAGTGGGAATTTGAACATAGCTGTTGGTATCCTTTACTTTATTTTTTTTTTTTTTTTTTTTTTTTTTTGTAATTGTTTTATTTTTCAAGAGCACAACACAATCAAAGAACAAACATAACAATATATCAGATGGATTTGATTATCACTCATCATCACCTATTTGAGAAAAACACACGTCATCATCAGCATTCTCATCACTCTCGATCACACTTTAGCTCATATAATCATCATCATCATCATCATCATCATCATCATCATCATCATCATCATCATGTGATCATCCATCATCATCATCATCATCATCATCATCATCATGTGATCGTCCATCATCATCATCATCATCATGTGATCATCCATCATCATCATCATCATCATCATCATCATCATCATCATCATCATCATCATGTGATCGTCCATCATCATCATCATCATCATCATCATCATCATCATCATGTGATCGTCCATCATCATCATCATCATCATCATCATCATCATCATCATCAACATGTGATCATTCCTTATCATCCATCATCATCATCATCATTACGATCATCATGTGATCATCCATCATCATCATCATCATCATCATCATTTCCACTCAACACCACCATCATCATACATACATACTTTACACCTCATCACTATCATCATTCATAATCCATCATCATCATACACACCTAATATTGTCATTCATCCAAGCCTTACACCATCAGCATATTCTTCATTTTCATTGTGTGTGTCCTATTTTTTTTTTTTTTGAAAAGAAAAAGAGAGGGTAAACAAATAAATAAATAAGTAAATAAAGAGAGAGGGAAAGAGAGAGACAGACAGGATAAAAGTCAATAAAAGGAAAGACAAAGATAAAGATATAGAAAGCGAAATAAAAAGTAGAAACTGACGAGTAAAAAACGGGGAACAAGATAATTTATCTTGGGGTAATTTTCAAAATCTCAAGGAAAGATGCAGATTCAATATTTCTTAAAGAAACGTTCATAATGAAACTGTCAAGGGTATTGGGGAAAGGTTTTAGAAAAAATAAAAAACTATCATCAAAAACACAGAAGAATTATTTATAGAGTAAGAATTTTTTCCCATTTCTTCCATTCATTCTTAAAAAGTTCAAGAGAGTGGTCTCCCTTACCAGTAGCAATATACTTTTTAATATTATGATGATCCTTTATTAGATTTACAAGGGCATTTATGTTCAACTTACTGTTCAAGCATCTAATTTTATAGATATATTGCTTAATGATTATATTAATCTCATTGTCGATTTTACTATACACATTTCTCGCAGAAAAGAAGCCAAACAAAATGGACTCTTTGTTGAGAGTAAAGGGGATAAGTAGTGCCTCTAGAAGAATTTCAAAGCTTTGCAGAAAGTTTTGAACCATTTCACATTCCCAGAAGATATGATTGATAGTTTCTGTTTCAGATTTACAGAAGGTACAGAATGGACTGTCAACTATGCCTGCTTTATAGAGAATAGAGTTTGTTGTTAAAATATAATGCAAAATTCTGTACTGAAACCACTGGAAGTTAGAATTATTTGTTATTTTAAAAGGTAAGGTAAAGATATTAGCCCAGATATGATCTTCAAAATCGAATTGTTTGGCCCACTTTTTCCTTCCAGTGGGAATTTCATTGTTTTCCACAAAACATTGATACAAATCTTTAGTGCCCTTTAATTTAGAGAAGAAAGGTTCTATGCTACAAGGGATAAATGGCAAACAGAAATCAGAGTCTAAAATTCTCTGCAAGTCAATATTATTCCGAATAGAGTTCAACAGCCCTTGAAATCTAAGAAAGTTTGTTTTTAACCCATATTTCTCAATAAATTCATTAAAAGAATAAAAAGTAATTGTACTTTTATCTTTAATCATATCATTTACCACCCTTATTCCCTTAGTGAACCAATCTTTATAAAAAACAGATTTCCCACCAATAGTCAGCTGTGGATTATACCATAGAGGAGTTTTAAGAGGAGACTGCTGTCTACCTTTCTCTTTAGACTTCAATATCAATAATTGCTCCCATGCCTTAAAAACATCACACCAAAACTTATTTTTACATTTTTCTTTACAAATCTTAAAATAATCACTTCCACAATTCATAGCTATGTCATTATTTAACAATCTAGAAAATAAAATTTTCCACTTGCTCGTAGATGGACTTAAAAATCTCCGGAGCCAACCTAATTTCAGTGCGCTAATAAAGGCTTGAATGTTAATCATCTTTAAACCACCTTCAGAAAAATTCTTGGTGATGATATTTCTTTTCACCTTATCAGTTTTCCCACCCCACAAGAAATTGAAAAGGATTGTATTTAGTGAATTAATGAAAGTAGTATTTGGATTAGGAAGAGCAATAAATAAATGATTAAATTGAGAAATTAAAAGTAACTTTATGATTTGTATCTTTCCTATAGGTGTCAATATCCTTTACTTTATGCCCTAAAGGCAAATAGGATAGCTGCAGATTATATATCATTGTCCACCCAATATCTTTACTTTTTCTAAATCAAATTTGTTCATTACCCTCATCTGTTTAGTTGCATTCTTCACCTGTGCTGGACATACACTTTGTAGGAAAAAGTCACCAATGAAAGTAGCAAAAATGAAAAAAGAGAATCCTGACGTAAGTGCTGGCCCTGTTGCTGTTGGTTCTGTGTTATGTCCCCTGATAACAGTAAATCACAATTTGTTTGTCATGGGATGACAGGACTCTCACACCCCATTTTGGGACTGGCCCGGGGCCCTTAGAATCGGGGAAAATAGCAGCGTTTTCCTTAGAATTGGGAAAACTTGGGGTCTAAATTGGGGAAAAAAGATACTATTTTGCATTGGGAATGGGGCCCAATATCGGCCCCAATATCGGCCCAAATCTGACAGATCGAGAGCCCTGGATGAATAAATAAGGTCATGTAAGCAACTGAAATACGTGTAGAACAGCAAAATACAGCCACAGAAACACTATTTTATTTATGTGCCACTTTATGATATTGAAAGATATTGAAATAAGCTTTTTCCTTGTGAGCAAGAAAATTGATGGAAACCTATAAATGATGAAGGGCAAAATTTGTATGATTAATCCAATTGAAGGAAGGACGAGAAAAATCTCTTTAAAAGGTTCATTTATAGTGATGAAAGTCAGGAGTTGGATTCCCTTTAGATTCAAGTTACTCATTTGCTGATGAATCAGTAATATTTTACATTAAGACCTATAAAAACACTTTATCATAGTGATGTCTGATATGTCAAGATGTAAATTTCTTTCAGAGATTTATATAAATTGACTGAAATTGCTCATTGAGACATTAGTAAATACTGATTTGTACCAAAAATGGTATACTCCTTCTTTTCTCTTTTTTCAGAGTTATGCTCAGAATCTCTGCCTTTTAGCAAAATTATTTCTAGACCACAAAACACTATACTACGATACAGACCCATTTTTATTCTATGTCATGTGTGAACAAGACGTCAGAGGATATCACATTGTGGGGTTCTTCTCTAAGGTGAGTCAGATATTGTAATGATATTTGATAAGTCAGAATATTCTTCAAAAGACTTTTTTTTCAGTGGAGTAAGATTAGAGTTTTCATGAAAGAGGAAAATGTTTATGATAAAAGGTAACACCGGACACATTTTAGAGCTACATGTATATCTATGCTTACTAGGAACATATGATATGAGATGAAAGTTTATTAAGTGGTGTGAAATTACTTTGATGTCCAGTATTTAATATCTGGAAAAAGGCCTTTTAATCATCCTCAATGGAGTTTAATGTCCTGTCCTCAATGGTGTTTGAATATCCTGTATTAAAATCTAGGTAAAGCCCATTACATTTCCTTTGCCTGTTACACACAGATATATACTATTTATCTGACAACATCATGCCTGGTGATCTAATCTGTTTAATCTATTGCTGTTCAGAAGAATTACAAACAAGAGTTTTTTCATTGTTCCTTTTAAAGGCACACCTTTGAACTTTGAGTGAGAATTTGTATATCTGGATGCATACAGTAATAAAAGGTTTTTCTGTTTTACAGGAGAAAGAATCAACAGAGGACTACAATGTAGCGTGTATATTAACTCTACCACCATATCAGAGGAAGGGATATGGGAAACTACTAATAGAATTTAGTAAGTCGGATCCATTAAAGCTGTCACTTGCTGTACATATATTAAAGAGAGGGGGAGAATCACATGTATAACTTTGTAATCAGATGTATGTGTTAAACTTTCAACTTATGAGAAAAACTAACCATAGATTTCAAACTGTTTGAAAATATTCACTGTTGCTTCCTCATCATGTGAGATTTTACAGAGGAAAGCCTTTCTACATAATGATGGAAAGTGTTATTACTCTAAACCTGCTTACAAAATAAATCTGTTTCAGGTTATGAATTATCCAAAGTGGAAGGGAAGACAGGTTCCCCGGAAAAGCCCCTGTCAGACCTTGGACTTTTGTCTTATAGAAGCTACTGGTCACAAACAATCCTGGAAATTCTCATCAACATGAAGCCAAGTGAAGGCACTGACCGCCCTATCATTACAATTAAGTATGCTATCACATCTTGGTAGATTTATATAGATTCAATACAGATATTTTATGTCAAACTTCATATGCCTCCATCAATAAGATTCCATCGTCTTAATTCCCTGAGGAATTTAAGGTTGACAAAGTATCAAAGAAGCCTGAATTTTTATTCTATTTTTTTTTGTCTTTTCCAGTGAAATCTCAGAAATGACCAGTATCAAGAAAGAAGATGTTATTTCCACTTTACAACACTTGAATCTCATTAACTACTACAAAGGACAGTACATCATCACATTATCAAATGAACAAATAGACACTCAGCTTAAGGCCATGGCAAAACGCAAAGTGAGAATAGATGCCAAGTGTCTGCATTGGCAGCCGAAAGACTGGAGTAAACGTGGTAAATGGTGAAAGTGAACAGTGACAGTGAATGTGTTAGGGGACCATTGATACCAGACAGATGATAGAACCTTGTTCATTATCAGATATACTTGCAATGTTTTATCAACTTATTACTGAAAACTTCTATACCAGTAACATTTTATATTGTAACTCCACTGTTCTGTATTCTCCACACGCAACAGTTGTCCAGCTTGCTGATTTATTCCAGGATCATAGTTAAACACTAAAAAGCACTATGGTTCAAACTTATTATTAAAAGGGGGAAGGAATCAACACCAGTCCAATAGGTAGGTAGGTAGGGTCCGTTGGTAATTCAATTGCTGAGGGATGGATACCAATGGGTATGCAGGGAGTCACTCAATAAAATTAATGAGACATCATAGGTAGGAGTGAGCTCAATATCAACAACCTTCAACAAATTAAGTAGTAAATTTATTACTTTTTTGCCGACCAGTTTCGCCAGGTACAGTTTGTCAGGGAAAAATTACAACAATTTCTTGCCCCTGAAGTACACTCAAAGTGGCCCCCTCACATGACATTATATTGTTTCATTCTGATGGGCATGGAAACTCTAATTACCAAATTATTTTGAAATGTGCAATTATAACAATTATCAAATGTATCATTTTGATTAAAATGCAATAATGCTTATCTATATATATTAGTATCTTTCATCTTGGCACTCTGTTCCTCCACTCATGTATCCCAATTCTTTGTAGTTAATCATTTCCCCTTCTCCTTCAGAAGAATTAGGGACGGAGGCTGTGCTCTCAGAATCACTCAGTTCCAGATCCTTTTTCAGCATCTCCATCACTGTGTCTAGAACCGCTCTTGTTTTGCTGTGACAGTCAATGATAGATGAACTTTGTGCCTCTGTTGGTCTCCTCAGCGGTTCTGGTCTCTCTGGCTCTTGTCTAAAAATCTCAGGTTTGACATGGTATCCTGGGTGGTCTGTTTTCATATGTGTGCATCCTTCCTAGTAAACGACTTCCTTCATATCTTGCACTTGTACCATGTGGCATAAGTTATGTGTGCATGACAGGCATGTTTCCTTAAATTCTTTCGGCTTACATACAATTGACCACATTGTATACAAGGTATCCTTAGGTTCACTTTTTCCATCTTCCATGGCATGGTTTTAACTATTATGCTATGATATGATGTTCATTCCCCACGACTGCTCGGTGTTCAATGTTAGAATCCATGTTCCCTCAGTTTGTAGCCTATTGTTGACGTCGCTGACGCCCATTGTTATGCCAACAACCTTGACGTCATTGACAGTATTCTCAGGTAACGTGAAATGTACTGCTACTGGTTTATACTTATCTTTGTTTCGTATATGGTAAAAATGCCCTCTGATTCTGACGTTTAAAGTGTTAGAAGTTTGTCCAACATATTGGACCTCCCACTTGTTATGCATTATCAAATGTACTGTGTTGACACTTTGACAGTTTATGTGACCTGGTATACTGTTGTACTGTGTTGACACTTTGACAGTTTATGTGACCTGGTATACTGTTGTACTGTGTTGACACTTAGTTTATGTGACCTGGTATACTGTATTCCTTCCCTGTGGTATGACTTTTGAATTGTTGACTCGGCATCATACGTGGACACATTTTACAATTTTCCTTATAAGGATGACTGCCACTTTGTACTTTGATTTGTCTTATATTGTACTGACCAATATGTTTCTAATTGATTTTTGGAACAGTGTATACAACTCTAATCAATGTGGTAATACTTACTTCTTAATTTGTTGAAGGTGGTTAATGTTGAGATCACTCCTACCTATGAAAACTTAATACTAGATATAATCAGGACACAGAATTGAGCTTCAGAATCTTTTTAATATGTACTACCTTCATGAATTAAGTCTTGTTGTTCATACCCAGTAATAATGCAATGTTGGTCTCACCAGAATGACTCCTTGTGTTCACCTTTCATTATCATATCAACTGCAAGTGAGTCAGTTTTCATAGGAAGATGAAAGGTAGACCAATCGCTCTAAGAAAATGGTCACCAAGTAGTTATATGTGAAATTGATATCACATGTTTGGGCTGTAATCTCTAACCTGATGATTAACAAATGGGCTTAACTGAGCATTAATGTTATTGTCTGATTTGTGTATTCCAGGAACAGCTAACACAAGGTGTCATTCTGATCAGACTATGTGTCTACTGTAGATCTTAATTGTTGATCAAACACAACTGCACTTCAATTAATCTATTGATGACTTCCAGTTTGTGGTTTACCAGGCTATGTATTACTACATGAATTCTGTTGTATTTTTTTATGAAGCATTAGCCACTTATTTTGGAAGAAATCATGGTACGAACTTTTCCAAATTTACATATATACGTACATAACCTATGAGACCGTATAGATAAATCCTGGTCAATATTTTGTGTAAGTCGAGGTGAAAATGGGTGACTCCATATCCCAAAAAATGTCGATAAATTCCTATCAAATACATATTTTCCAAATGCTACTTCATTCCTCTGTCAAAAGTGACAAATATTTACAGGTAAAATGGCTTGATAGACAGTCTCTCCACTGCTGTAAACAAGATATACACATGCTCACTATCGTTTCTTTGATATGACTGTGGTTTTAACACTGAATGACAAATGGTGAGGAAATTGTATTGATGTGTAAAGAGGCTTAATGTGTTACTCTTTTTTAATCGTTGGTGATGTTAAAAACTAAGCTATTTTAGTTTTTATTAAGGTTGGTCTTCAACATTTGTCGATATGAATAATTACATATACTTAGCAATCAAGTGTGTTCAAGATTATTGAATAAGTCAGAAATAATTGACACGTCTTGGAATAAGAAATGCCATTGTACCATTGTTTCCTAGACTAAAGATACAGGTAGTTCCTGTATAAAACTGATATTAGACGAGTAAAAGAATGGGGGGAGGGGGGAATGTTTTATTCAACTTATTGATGTTGTGCAATAAGTAGTTGCATTATCACTTTATATTTAAAGTTGTAGTTTTGAATGAGAGAGATTAGATTGTAAATCTACATGGTTGATGAAGCAAGAAAGTGGTGAGGCATGCAAGAACATTGTACATGTAGAAACATTGTTTTAACATGGGTGTGTAATGAAAATAAAATAAATTATAAACATGAGTGTTTATTTGGTATCTGTAACATCAGTCTGATGTCACAATATCTTACTGCTGTGTTCATCCTAACAAGTTCACTGCATGCTAAACAAACACCGCAGGGAGGCACTCCATTCATGCAATCCATGTGATACCTGGATATATTTCTTTTTTAAAAAAACCCAAAAGGTGTGAACTTTTACAACTTATACAAAACCTCAGTTTTTAACCCACTGTTACCAGATGATGGGCTGTTAAGTTCATCCTGCACCTGTAGTCCGCCTGATGTCAGTCCTAAAACAATGTTGAAGTAGGTGGCTATTGTGAATTTTCCTACTGAAAGTTTATTATCACTATTTCTTCAGAAGTACTGGATGAGTCAAATTTTATATGTAGGTTTCCTTTGGTCCCTATTTGTACCCTTTTGATTTTGGGACTGATTAGGGAAAAAAATGGCAAACGGACAGCTTAAATTTTCACTATGAAAATTTTTTATCACTACTTGAATATCTGGTTAGAAAAAAAAAATGGCAAACATAAGGCCATCTTGAATTTTTACTATGAAAGTGTGTTATTGTTATTGTTATTGTTATTGCTTTTGAAAATCTATTTTCATACTGATTAACTTATTTCACCAATTTTTTTTTTTTTTTTTTGCTGTTCATCCTAATTCAAAATAACAAAAAACACCAGGTAGGTCTAGGTTGGGGCAGAGGCGGGGGGTCACTTTACCGTTATGTACTGAGGAACATGATTAAGTTAACTACTAAAAAATAAGTGAAGAAACAGCAATTGAAAACAAAATATAAAGTGGCTTCACTTTACCATGGGCTTCAATTTATCATACTTCACCAGTACTTTTTTTCAGGTTACTGATGTGACACTTATTTTGTGAACTGAATCTGAATCACGTATTATTGATATAAGAAAAAAAGACATGATAATTGCATAGTCCAAATAATGTTAACATATAGCTTGGATGACCAGCAGATTACTTCTAGGTATATAGTACTACATGTACTAAAACTGCTCAGTAGGATTATGATCATAACCAAATTATGTTGATAATCCTGTGTAAATTTCACTGATCTTTAATCTCTCCAATAGGATTACAGATTACCTCTAGTCAAAAAGGCAGTAGTAGATCAGGATTGTTAGTACCTTGGTGAATAGTGAAAAGTTTTACTAGTGTGTGTAACATACAGGCCACATACAGCGTCCAAAGATGTTGTTATTTATTGCAATGTATAATAACAGAATCAAGCCTTATCATGGATAGTTGTGAACCTCCACTTTTCAATAATCTTCTTAAACTGTGTGACACTAAAGATGAAGATACTTCATCAAGTAAAGTTCCAAGGAGAGGGAATCCGAGCAGTTTGGATGGATCATATTGTGCTTCCTGTTTGAGACTATGGAGGGATAGCAGATACTACAGTTGGGGTTCTTTATACACACGCTCCTCCCTTTGTGCAGAATGTCAAAAAGGTAGGGCTAGACAGGACTACATCAGTTACTGGGGCTGCTCCCAATACAGAGTTGGATCATGGAGACTGCGACAAAAATGGATGAATCCAGATTTTGGATGGATGTTTACAAGTCGAACAGAAGCACAGAAGTCAACGGATAAAATATCAAAGTCAGAACTGAGCACAGAAAGGTCATGGTCCAAGGATTTTACAACAAGGTCATACTGTTCAATATCAAGGTCAGAATTAAGTGCAAGATCAGAGGTATTAACACCAAGGTCACCTGATTCCATCACATGGTCAAAATCAAGCCCAAGGTCACAGGAGATTACTCCAAGGTCACAGCCAGACCTATTTACAGGAAATCATATAATCACAAAGTCAAGCTCTGCTAGTAATACTGGCCAAGGTAAAGAAAGTGAAAACTATGACAACGCAGACATTTCTGTTGATTCTCGTGCAAGTTGCAGTTCTCCGAAACTTCCACAAGAGAGACGTCAACGAAGTAAGAGTCCATGTCTACAAAAAGTAGATGTAGCATCAAGGAAACAAATGTTTGAGCATTCAAACAAGCAATCAGGAAAGATGGCATCTGGTCATGCTATCAAGAATGAACCAACTGTAGATGACGGTAGGATAGACATACCAAAGCTAAATCTGGATGATTTGGACATCCCTTACAACAGTCCTGTGTACCACTTTCCTCTGACACCAAAACACATACCAACTGTTGCAAGGCCTAACCGCTGGGTTGGATAGTGAGTGTTGTTTTTAACCCCCATGGTATCAGTGTTGGTTACGTATATAAATGCAGATAGACGAATGTATCTTGTATGTTAGCAACCCAAAGTATTATATTTGGCAAGGTCAAAGTCACCTTAGCTGGAGGTCAGATCTGATGCAAAAGCATTATCATTGTGGTATATTTAAGGTAGGTATGTTTTCCTGAATGGCATACTGATTTCTGGATTTTTTGGATGAATTTTAGCTCTTTGTGTTTTTAAATTTTCCAAGTAGATCTGGGGATCTTCTGTTCTTCAACGCTTTAACATAAGTTTTGCTTTGTTGAGTTGTATTTCAACTGTCTTGAAGAGTTGTCTTCTAATTTGCCTCTCTCTGTTCCATATCAATCTTGTAGAAATTCTAGCCACATTGCAGCATTGAAGAATTCTGTGCATGCTATATTAGACATTGTGATTGGGTAAATTATTGTTACATTTCCAAATCCGTTTTGTATTTTGATTCAATAATAACATAGGACGAGCCAATATTGTTCTTTCCTATAGGTAATTAGCCTAATGAATCCGAATTCTATTCTCAGTGGTTACTTCGTTGGGACGGCAGAGCTGACTAGTGACACTGGACATCTGCTGTGGGTTCGTCCACGTGGCGAGTTGCATGTTATCTTCAAATATGCAGACACTGGACAGGATTTCATGTAAGTTATATGATCAAGAAACAATATAACATTTCTACATTAGTAAAACCATACACAAGGCAAATTAAAAGCATTGAATCAACACCCACTAGACTGCTACACGTAGAGTATTACAACAGTACAGCTGTCACAATTAGCTGATTCTGCGTTGGCCTATGTAACCTCAGATGGAGGTGAGAGGTGTGTAGTTCAACACTCCCTACAGTTGGCAGGTTGTGTTTCTCAGGAAGCTGAGTTACAGACTGATCTGTGCTGACATGGTTGTGTCTGAAGGGGAGACACTTTACCCAAATGGCTCTAGATAGAATTCAGTGTATTTCCTATATATTGTTTAGTGAATTAGCAACCTGTTACTACAAGGAGACCAAGTCTCAAAACGACCTTGGCTATTAATGAAGTGATACACCTAGCTAACAGACAAAAAATCCTTGATATTTGGGCAATACACCTAGCTATCAGACAAAAAATCCTTGATATCTGGGCAATACACCTAGCTAACAGACAAAAAATCCTTGATGTCTGGGCGATACACCTTGCAAACAGACAAAAAATCCTTGATATCTGGGCAATACACCTAGCTAACAGACAAAAAATTCTTGATATCTGGGCAATACACCTAGCTAACAGACAATAAATCCTTGATATCTGGGCTATACACCTCGCTAACAGACAATAAATTCTTGATATCTGGGCGATACACCTAGCTAACAGACAAAAAATCCTTGATATCTGGGCGATACACCTAGCTAACAGACAAAAAATCCTTGATATCTGGGCTATACACCTAGCTAACAGACAATAAATCCTTGATATCTGGGCGATACACCTAGCTAACAGACAATAAATCCTTGATATCTGGTAAACTCGTAAATTAGTCTGGTATATGTTGATATCTGTCACTTTTGAAGAGCTGCAATCATTTCATGCATAAACAAATACAGAATTTGAACAAAAGAGAGTTAAATTTTGTATTTTTGTGAATTTCCATGTAACCTGCATGTTTGTACTACTGCTTGATCGACAATGATTTTTCAGGTGTTTTATTGATCCCCAGTATACTGGTGTCAGACTTTGCCAGAGAAAGCCAGACGGAGAGTTAACAGTTATTCTTGATGGAAGAGAAAGTCCACAATACAACAACAGTTGTCAGCGTGTGTCGTCTGTGACTAGGTATCCACCACAACACAACTTTAAACTCGTGTCTTATCTGGGAAGGATCGAGCTGCTACTTCAGGCCAATAAAGACAATACTTTACCAACTGCTCAAAGATTTAAAATCAACTTTACAATGACTTTGTAATATATTTCTTTCAAGTATACATACATGTTGTTTGAAGAAGATCAGGTTATCTCAGAATGGGATTTTCATGATGTATCCAGTCACAGGGCACCAATTCTCTATGCTTGTTCCATATATATATTAGTTACACTGTGTACATATATATGGACCGTGGGTTGAGAACTTGTGCCATGTCACTGTGTACTGGGTGAAGACCTACGTTAATGGAAGAACCAGGCTAATATCTATTTACTGACAATAAATATGTGTACATATGGAGTTTCTGGAGTTTTTCATACTAATATCTTTTTCTCCAGTGTAAATACTGATGTTTGCTGAAACCTACTGCCATATGCTGTGTAGGAATTTAAATATTCGTATTACACAGGTAATTGATTTTACTAAATAGACTGTAAAGTGTGTTTTAGAATATCATAAAACCTGTTATTAAATGAAAAGAGATGAAAAGCAAGATAATGTTAAGGATAAATGCATTTTGAAACATTTAAAATTAACATGAACCAATACTTGTACCTATACCTTAATAGATGTATAATATATAACTGTTGTAAACACAGTCACGCCAGACTTCAGATAATTTCTACTTTCACTTTTAGTTTTGTTTCTAAGAAACAGGTTTACTGAAGGAAGAATTGATTATTGTAATAAAATATTCAGTTAGGTTTACATATAATATTAATCATCATCATTTTAATTAATTCAATAATAAATTAATTAAACTACTAAATAACTTGGTAAATCAATAATTTCTGTACAGTAAAACACCAGTAAATACTATACAAGGTCATGTCTATTCAGAGACAAGGATGTTCACATAATAACATCGAAACTGGCATTTGTTATGGCACTTTATTTTCTATAAACATTTAAAATTCTTTCAAGTAAATAGCACTTACAAAATCATTCAATTTGGTGAAATCAACATTTAATAAATCATTTGGATAATGACAATATTCAAAATTGTAAAGTCAATCAACCATGAAATAAAAAAAAAACAACCATATAAGGAATATGGAAATGTAATAAGCATGGCCTTTTTGTCATCAAGTGGCAGCTAATATAGTGGACAGCAGTCATCTGGTAGCCCAATGTATATACATAATGCTTTATTGCACAGTAAGGTGAAACATGCTTGATAATCAAAACTGGTTTTTCCTATCCATTTTATCCTATTACTCCCAATTTAGGCCTCAATTTTTACAAACATGTTCCTCTTGCAATCAAATATCTCCACTTTAATGTAATATGATTGACTCTTAACAACAAAGACTACTAGAATGCCTGTTTAAGATGATGGGAAGAAGGTCATAAGTACAGCTATCATATTTCAGTGTCACTTAAACAGCAAGCAATAACTACAATATTTTTTTTCTTCTTAATTTTGTAAGGTCTTATTATTTTCTTTTTCTATCTAAATAGGAAATTAGTTTGAACTGGTACGAGTTATCATGTTATATGTATTTACACAAAATGCAGCCCGTTGAAAGGTTGAAATAAAGACTTGTAAATCACAATATAGTAACTCATTAGCATTCTGTGTATGTGCTTTCAGCAAAACAGAAAAAAAAACAGAATAAAAGAATGTTTACAATTGATAAAAAAAATACTATAATTCATTCATGTCTATGAACTTTGTAAACGGCCTGCGTTATGAGTAACATAATATTGCCTATGCAAATAGATGTGATATAAAACTTGAAGAAATTTACATTTTTACCTTGCTTGTGAAAAGATATTTTGAAATCTGTTTTAAATTTCTAAATATATTTTGAAATCTGTTTTAAATTTCTAAATATATTTTGAAATCTGTTTTAAATTTCTAAATATATTTTGAAATCTGTTTTAAATTTCTAAATATATTTTGAAATCTGTTTTAAATTTCTAAATATATTTTGAAATCTGTTTTAAATTTCTAAATATATTTTGAAATCTGTTCTTAAGAGTCATTGGACTAGATTACACACTTAGTATACACTGTATAGGAAATGTTTGATATAAACCTGTTAAGATGAGAAATCAACATCGGTAAACTCCTCTAGAATCATGGCGATGTGGGTTTATTATCATTATTATGATTTCATTTCTATTTATAAATGTGCTTAAAGCAAATTATTAACTATTCCTAAAAAAAAAATAAAATAAAATAGAGTTTTGGTTAATTATCATAAATTTTATGTTCAAGGTTTCTTATTTTTTCAGAATTTATTCCACTTTTAAGAATATGGAAAAGTCCAAAACTCAAAAACAGCCAATTTTACAGTGTATGAGACTGAAACAAAAAGGCTCTGTAGCACTTGTGTGATAACAAATCAACAATTGTCTACAGCAAATCAGACACCAAGGCTTTACTTTTGTATTCAGAACTTGATAAAACACCGATATTGCTAAAGAATGTCAGGTTGACTCCGACAGTACCAGTCATTACCATGAAAACGTTCCCATTCACTTCTTTTGGAGGAGACACTTTTCATAGCTTTAGAAAGCAGTCTTACAAGTAAAGCAAAAAAAACATGCAAAAAAAATTATTATATTTAAACAAAGAAAGGAATTATTAGCAGACACCAGTAATGTTTAAAATAAATCTCTGTACATGCAGTGCATTGAGCAACACAATGTATCGGTTGTAAGATATCACATTTTGGATGTCCCAATCACAATTCAGTCATATCAATTTATCATTTGAAAATGTCTACAGAATGACAAAAGACATCAGGTTAGTCAAACCAGCAAAATCTGAATGTCTAAAGTCATTTTTGACATAGGATTAAGACCTAACATAGGGAAGGCTTGAGATAATTTACATGCTAGGACAGTTTGTCAGAGAAAGAGATCACAGCCCAATTTCCATTGATCATCCACTTCTCATCCTTGGCCTTGACTTCATCTGCCTGACCGTCCCTCAGCCCCGTCACTGTGTCACACTTTAGGGTCCTTAGAGTACACAGAGGAGCAGGCTGGAAACCCCTCAGACTCACATGGAATGGTGTAGTGAATGGCCAGGCAAGATCTCCTACCAGCTTTCTGTAGTTTAAATCCCCTTTGAGAAATAAAAAATCGCTTATGGCCAGCCGTGCATGGAGATCTGGACAACGTGTTTCCATTTCATTAAACGGAAAAGACAAAGTCCAAAAGTCATCCACACTAACTTGCCAGGTTTTATCCTCTAAGTATTGCTTCCATATATTGGCAAACTTGGACATGTGTGTATTATTTGAGGCGCATAGCTGATTGATTGTCCAATTGAAATCATAGGTAGTCACATCTGAAACAAACCATGGCATTGCTTTCACATGGAAGCAGATCTTCGATGCTAGACTTGAAGCGATGAGAAATTCAGCAAAACAAAGATCTGTCATCAATTCAAACCCTGCATTATCCAGAATGATGTCAACACAGGCAGGATGACCTTTAGTGACCTTGATTCGTTGTAGGCAAGTTAACACTGCTTCTGAGTTGTCTACTAGGATGTTAGGTTCAAACATTTGTAGCTGATCAAGAGGTGAGGATGTCTGTGCCACATCTTGACCAGCAGATATGGACAGGTCACATTTGTTCCCCCACAAAGATACCTGTAAGTAGAAAAAACACTCAGTAAATCAAAGTCAAATGTTCAAACTGAGTTGGATTCCCAACAATGACACCAATAAATGAAACTTTTTTAATCAGCATCAAGAACATTAGCTTTTTATACGCCTGTCGAAAGACGGACGTATTATGGTATGGCGCTGTCCGTCCGTCCGGCATAAACTTTTATTTGTCTGGAGATCTCCTCCTACATTTTTCAGCCAATCTTTATGACACTTGGTAGGCTTAATCACCATGATATGAAATTGTGTTTTCCTGAACAGGGTTTTGATCAGACGATTTGAATAAGAGTTATGCTGTTTTGGATATTCACGGGCGTATTTTGTTCCGCTTTGCGGTACTCTTGTTCTTGTGATAAAATCTGGTAAGGCAGTAATTTAAGGCACATATTCCCCATCCAAGGTTCATATATTATATGTCCCTGTTTACATTGGTAATGTATTTTTTTTCAGGTGGTGAAAACTCGAATGCAACACTCAGATGTGAAGTTGTAATGAATTCCTTCAAATTGTCAAATTTTTAAAATAATGAATTAGATTTTTATTGAAAAAATTCAAAATCTATTTGATTTTTTGTTCTTCAGATATAAAGCATTTTAATCCTGGACTGGATTTTGGGACTGGAACCAGCTTTAGCGTACGATAATCGTTGGCGACATAAAAGAAAGATGGGAGTTGTTGTTAAAGAAAGTGATGGGGAATTTCTACAATGTTCAAGACATAACAACATCAACGGCCATTCTGTGTGGACATGGTCATGGGTGCTCTATACCACCAAAAGCATAAATTTCACAATTTCGGGATAGTTATTGAGGTACCAATTAGTGAGGAGAGGATGTTTCAAACAGACCGGAAATGTCCGCCTAGCCATTTATATATATATATTTCAAAAGTCAGGTCATAACTTGGTCAATACTTGGCCAATCTCATTCAAATACTCGTTAGAGAGATAAAAAAAATTCACTTCAAGGTAATGTATGTATTACAAAGATCTCTAGCCCTTTGAATATAAAAAAAAAAATTAAAAACTAGAAATTGTTAACAATTTGGCGGGCTTTTCACTTCTTTGGCGACAAGTTGACTGGAAGTTGACATTTTTCCTGATAACGATATATGAGAAAGGTTCCTTGTTTGTAAGTCTCTACAACATATCCAAAGATGAACTTTGAATCTTGAAACGTTAAGGAGATATAACTACATAATAACGAAGAAATACACTTTTTAAAGGTTCAAACATATTTGACCCCTGTGACCTTGAATGTCAGTCAAGGTTATTCATATTTGCAAGCCTTATAATGTAACATCTGATGATCAATATATCACCAATATTAGTTCTCTAGACCTTGTGAGACTTGACAAGAAGATTGTTGAACACTGGTACCCTATTTTGTATATTTGAACTTTGACCCCATTAAGAAACCGGAAGTTGACATTTTGAGGGAAGTTTTCCTTATGACAATCACTAGGAAGTCTGCACAGAAGGTTTATAATCAATTTTCATCATTGCATGCCTTCTAGAAATTGAGAAACTTTCATTTAACGATTTTTAGTTAATTGACATCTGTGACCTTGAAAGTGGGTCAAGGTCATTTATATTATCAAACTTTGTTGTCGGTTACATATCCTTCCTGTATATGAAATATCAAGCATCTAGACCTTCCAGAACTTGAGAAGAAGTTTTTTCAAAGATTGGTACCCTAAATAGCTCTTTCCCAGTTTTTGCCTTACCGAAAACCGGAAGTTGAACTTTTAAGGAAGTTTTTCTTATGACAATCAATAGGAAGTGTCTACAGAAGGTTTATAATCAATTTTCATCATTGTGTGCCTTCTAGAAAGTGAGAAACTGTCATTTAACGAGTTTTACTTAATTGACCTCTGTGACCTTGAAAGTGGGTCAAGGTCATTCATAATATCAAACTTTGTTGCCAGTTACATATGCTTCTTATATGTGAAATATCAAGCCTCTAGGCCATCCAGAACTAGAGAAGAAGTTTTTCAAAGATTGGTACCCTTAATAGCACTTTTCAACTTTGACCTCCTACCGCAAACCGGAAGTTGAATTTGAGGTACGTTTCTCTTATATCACTCGACAGGAAATGTCCACAAAATATTTATGTCCAAAGTTGAAGACTTTCGGCAGCTTAACAAAGGAGAAATTACCATTTAACGATTTTTACATAATTGACTCCTGTGACCTTGAAAGTGGGTCAAGGTCATTTATATTAACAAACCTGATAGATAATTGATCAGACATCTTACACATGAAATATCAAGACTCTAGGCTTTGCAAAACTTGAGAAGAAGTTTGTCAAAGTTTGTAACCCGAAATTGCAGTTTTCAACTTTGACCCCTACCAGAAACCGGAAGTTCACCATTTATCTAAATTTTTTTTTCTGACGAAATATGTTTGCAGGGTTATGTTTATGAACTGCTTTAAGCTTAAGTCAATAGCTTGGGCCGTTATTGAGTTACAGCCAATTAGGTAAAATCGGATATGACGTCATGGCGGCCATTTTGTTTTTCTGATGATTTTGTAAATGACACTAAATGGTAGAGGACATCGGGGGAAACCTTTCTGATATAAATTATTCCAAAAAAAGCCCGTTGGTAAAGATCTAGATCGAGTTTTTCCAAATTGTCGGCATTTTTAAAAGATCAAAGGAAATTTTCAAAATGGCATACAACGGAAGTGATAAACGTTACAGAAAAACTAAAATCACTAAATTCATCGGAAGGACATTCTGCATCGATGTGTTAAAGAAATTTTCAAGAAAAATCAAAATTGAAAAAAAAAATTTGTTTTCAAATTTTCAAATTGGGGTATTGACATATTTTGTATTATAATGGCATGGGGAAAAGTTAGATAAGGAAATTGTCTACAAATAACATAATTTGACGAACTCTGTACACTCAACGGTTTTCGAGTTACGGCCGTTTTAAAGTTTTTAACTTATGACGTCATAGCGGCCATATTGGATTTTTGACCTACTTAAAAAAATCTGCATCGTCACCTTCCAGTATGTACCTATAACATAGTCAATACATATTAGGTGTGGTCTTTACCGTTTAAAAGATTACGAACCCACAAAGTTCGCAAGAAAAATAATAATAATAATAATAATAATAATGATAAGAAACATAACAAAAACAATAGGGCTTTTCACCATTTCACCAAATGGTGAAAAGCCCTAAAAATGCTCAGTTTTCCCTTCCCTTGTCACTATAATACATATATATGGCCCATGGGAGATAATTCATCAGTATGGTGTTTACTACCCTGATATGTATATTTACAGGTTAAAATCATGGAGAACCCAAGATGTAGTTATTCCATAGAAATACATGTATCAGTACCTAATGAAGTATGACTTCCTCTTGTTATGGCCTTATCACATTAATTATCCTCAAGAACAATTATTGCATTGATAATTCTAGAAAACTCTCCATCAAATGGCAGGACTTTCCCCATGTTACAGCCTAAGCCAACTGATAATTCTACAGAATACTCCATCAAATGGCAGGACTTTCCCCATGTTACAGCCTAAGCCAACTGATAATTCTACAGAATACTCCATCAAATGGCATGACTTTCCCCATGTTACAGCCTAAGCCAACTGATAATTCTAGAAAACACTCTATCAAAATTGTTACAGCCTAAGCCAACTGATAATTCTACAGAATACTCCATCAAATGGCAGGACTTTCCCCATGTTACAGCCTAAGCCAACTGATAATTCTACAGAATACTCCATCAAATGGCATGACTTTCCCCATGTTACAGCCTAAGCCAACTGATAATTCTAGAAAACACTCTATCAAATGGCAGGACTTTCCCCATGTTACAGCCTAAGCCAACTGATAATTCTACAGAATACTCCATCAAATGGCAGGACTTTCCCCATGTTACAGCCTAAGCCAACTGATAATTCTACAGAATACTCCATCAAATGGCAGGACTTTCCCCATGTTACAGCCTAAGCCAACTGATAATTCTACAGAATACTCCATCAAATGGCATGACTTTCCCCATGTTACAGCCTAAGCCAACTGATAATTCTAGAAAACACTCTATCAAATGTTGTGAGTTTACCCTGTTATGACTTTGTTGCATGTTGATACTTACTTTGAGAAAATTTTCAAATAGATGTTTTAAATCCACTTGTTGTCCTGATTTCAATTCTGCTACAACATTGTGAAGGTGTTCCATTAGCACAAGTATGGCTTGTTGAGAATCAAAAAACGATTTCTCCTTCTGATCACGAAACACATCAAAATCCTTCAATGTTTTGCTGGAAATAAATATTTCAAAATGTAATTTCAATGTAACGGTAGATGTAATATATCACTATATTGTTAGTGTTGGTGTTTTATTGATAAATCTTGTTAACGCACACATGGCAAATTGACAAATATAAATACATTATCATTAAATTGCCACCTCAATGTCTTAAATCCAGTGCTCTACTGAAACAAGTGGTCAGAAGTCTTTACTGCAAATACAGAAATTTAATCAATTTGCTTTTTTCCACTGCATGTTCACATGTCTAAAGTAGACAATCATCTTAAAATGTTTACCATAGCTCTGCTGCCTCTTGAACTCTGCGATACATATAGCATTCTACATACAGCCATGGTGACTCAAACCATCTTGGAGGGGTTCCTGTGTTTGTAATAATTTCCGTCAGGTAATCATTCCATACTGATACATCAGTGCGGCCATCTTGGATCGGAACTACAGGTTTGTCAGTTTGAACTTCATTCCGTAGCTTTGCAATATAGCCAGCAAGTGATTTCAAATCTTCTGTCCCTTCCTGTATCAGAAAATTAATTCCGCATGTTTTTGATCTTAAATTAGATTTAATGAGAGTCAGGAAAAAACTCAACATTTTTACAAAATCACCAGAAATACACTGACCACTTATGAATATATTTTTGGCAAAACAAACTATTTTAAAATGTTTAAGATTGAAATTAAAAAATAACTTTCACATTTAAATTTCAATAATGCAGTGTCTCGAAGTGTATATCCTAAAATTAACTAAATATCAAAAATCTTTTTCTATAGTCCAGCTTTACTGTTCAGACCGATAAAAATTGTATAAGGTCTTTATCTAACCAGTAAAATCTAAACTAGAAGGCTAAATAAATCACTTATTTGGCATACAAACAGACTTACTTCTTTACTAAATATTGGCTAGCACTTTCAATAACTTATTACACTTACACTTAGTCCTCATAGATTTTTGGGGTTTTTTTTAAAGAAAATATGAAGTTTCTTCTTTTCAAATATCCTCCAATTATCATTAATGTGTACTACAATTGTTGAAGTAAATAAAACAAGTCATTACAAAAGATATGTATATACAGTAATTACTTTAAAGGTCGTATGCAATTTAAAAACAAATCATCATCATAAGTAATTGGTTCATCCTGCTTAATGTTCTTGTGTTCTGTGACATGGCACTTCGTATGCTTACCAGAACGTATTTGTATTTCAGTTTTCAATGTCACTGCAAAAAAGTATATGAGAGATACATTGGACTTATATAATGGTGAATTTAAATTTCTATGACGTACCTCACCATGTGACTCTTTAATTTTTCCCTTTAACCTGTAAACACTGTCTGCAATCTTGGACAAGATCACAGGAAGCCTGTCCTTTATGGTTAGGTATGCAAAAGAACTGAAATAAGATTTAATAAACAGGTGTAAACAAGATGTACACGTATGTGATCATTTTCTCACTTAGCAAATATTTCATTATTATTATTTCATAATTGCGCAAGTTGGGTGGGCTTATTTCAGAGCATGGGCTTGAGACCGCTAAAAATACAGTGGCCAACCGTTCGTTATATTTTATGACCCATCTCAGCAGATATCATTTATACTCAGGAAGATCAGAGACCTCTAGATATCATTTATACTCAGGGAGATCAGAGACCTCTAGATATCATTTATACTCAGGAAGATCAGAGACCTCTAGATCTTCGTAGCATTATGTTGATCGTAATACATATATGTAAGCTAATACACGTGAATCATCAATGATAAGATCCTGTTTGATGACTTTGTAGATTTTTTACATAAAATTTCATCATATTGTATAAAAGTCCGTGGTAACTACCCATTCAAACAATTAAAAATATGTAAAATATCATATAAATTCAAGTACAAGTTTACATGTTAGTTTATGTATTGGTAACAAACGTTTTATCTTTCGCTGAAAGGGGAGACGCCTCCGTAATCCTGTTCATCGCTTTGGTTGTTTCTTTCGTCTAGCTCTCTTCGATGTACTGGTGACGCTTATATAATTCCTGTTTAATTACCCATATGAACTAAACGTTTGTTCCGTTAGGATCACGCACGCCGGCTACTTCCTGTTTGAAAATCACGATGTAAACAAAACGTGCAGACGTCTGTAAATGCCCTAAAATGGAATTAACGACAAGGGCGTTGCATGATTATCCACAATATTTGGAGGAATGTGCAGATATTCTAAATGAAGAGTGGCCACGAAGTAAAGCGGCGAGGTATCGTATTTAAGGTGGTATTTAACCGCCCTCACCATGAACAGTAGAAAAAATTTAGCCCAGTCAGACTGATGATATGAAATGATACACATTTTCAAACAGTTCATTCTACAGAACCATGAGGTATACAAACATGATGTTTGAGTAGGGGAGTATCAGTCTTTTTCATTATGATATTGACCTATTTTCAAGACACCTTGTCAAATTTTGATATTAAAGACTAATAGTTAAAGAATGAAGGACTGTTAGGCTTCTGTTTTATTTTCGATAACTTTAAACATATATATAATATGCATGTATAATGATTTGACAATTTACATGCCCATACTGTTGTTATTAGTTCATTGATCATATAATATACATTTTTAGTGTTTTAAAATATAAGCTGTATGTTGGAGAAGGCGAAGGATACTGCAAGTGACAAGCCATTTTGTCTTTCTGTCCAAAGACTTAAATTGCAAGTCATTGACCATGTGTTGTATTTATGCTGCAACACTGACGCTGTGCTGAATTGCTTTGAGTGGAAATATAGTTCCACACTTCAATGGATGTATAGAAAGCAACTTTTTGAATTTTATGGACATATTGCATCAAAATCATAATGTCGTTACCATGTCAATAAAAGTACCTCCTGAATATGGCTGCTTGGCCTGAAAATTTAAGCAAACTACCATGTTGATTTCCATCTTTTTCAATATACATATTTAGATATATGGTTAGTGAACATACATTTGTTTTCAGACTGCACAGTCTGCAGAAGTCAAATGAGAAATTCCCAATTTGCCTAGTACTGGTCAGCAAAGAGGATGGAAAAGAGCAACTCTTGGGTCACAGCAAACTATCCATTGTATATGGAAAGGAGAACTGTTGTCTTATAGAATCGGGTAAGAATAGCATTGATAAATGGAATTTTCTGAGTTTAATCTTTTTCTTTAATCCAAGAACATTGTATCAATCATTCATCTTTGATAATCCAGGGGTTACAGTAACTTTCACTCCTGCATCCCTGGAACATGTCATTGCAAAATTGAAGGTTTCATATGGACATATTGTGGACAAGACGAAAATACTAATTTAATCCTTTTATGTACATCAAAGGAATCTGAAGGTTGCATAACGGTATATTGTAATGGCTTTGAAGTTGGGTGTTGTTCCTTTTTTGTAATCTTCAAAAGGGGTGTATTAGCTTGTGTTTGGTCAGTTTTTTCTTCCTGGAACCAATCATATTTATTCGCTTGTGCCTTCAGTTTTACCATGACATGTTCCCATGGTGCAGAAAGCGAAAGTGATCATAACTCCTGGAATATCGAGGATGTACGTCATTATGCCCTTCATTGTGTGTTCATTAGACAATATCAAGCTCCTGGCTCTTCAGCAACAAAAAAAGATGCCTTATATACTTATATATTGTTCATAGAGTGATTTACATATGTTCAATCTTACCTGGTTCAATATCATAGTAAAAAGTTTTTACACCCCTGCTAAAAAAGGGAAGTTATGCATTAATCACTTTGAGCATGAGTTTATGCATGAATTCCTCTGTATGTCCGTGAGTTCAGGGCCCGTATTCATGAAATCGTTCTCATGCTTCAGCAGAGAATGGTGTCAGGAATACGGATGTGATAAATTTGAGTACCAGATATAAGCCTGAAAAGACCTTGTTCTCACCATAACATCAAACCAACAAGGTCTTCACCTGATTAGATTTTGGTAAAAGTTGTCAAGGTTGAAGATCAGTGGCTATTTTATATAAGTTCTCCTGATTGTACACATTTAATTTTTACAACATCATCAGTAAGTTAGGGAGAGTTCTCAAATTTCATGTAGATTTCATTTGCTTCTAAGTTTTGAACACCAGATGGCAATCTTTGATTTTAATAGTTCACATTAATAATCCACTTTTTCTCGGATCCAGTCCCATCTTTCTCATTTAACTTAACGGATATGTGCTTAAGTTTCATGATTAAATTGAGTGACAGTTTGAATGTGTTTTGGCACTTACACAAAAAAGTGCTTGAAGAATCTTTTTTCGGTATCACACCGGTATATTTCTCTCAATCTTTAGTTGGGAGTCTACACGACAATCAGCATGTATAATTTTAGGATTTCACGAAGACAGATACTCATAGCTATTGATAGAAATGTAGAAAATATATGGTTTTACAGTAGATGTTTTAGTTATAAAATATGTATACATGTCTAAAATTAGAGTTAAAACCAGGATGATCAGAAATGGTGAGCAGTTATTATATATTTAAAGCATTTTTCCTGTTTTTTTTAAGTTTGTGTGAGAAAGAATCTTAGAGGAAAAGGATATGGGAGAGCAATGATGGAAGAATCAGAAAAGTATGCCAAAGGGTTTGTATTTTCACATTTATTGCAGCTTTTAATTTTTCAAATATTTGTGAGCTCTTCATTTTCTTATTGATGTTATATAAAATTGTAGATTTTTCTTCAGTTATGAAAATCACCATCATGCTTTAGCACTAGATTTTGTAATGGACAAGTCTTTATATATATATAACTAAAAAATGTTAGAACATTCCACAGCATCAGATTAATCAAATCAGTGTGCTTGGAAATACATCATGATGAAATTAATTAAAAACATTCATCTGAAAATCAAGTTCATCCGTGACATTGTAGAAAATGTCTTGTGAAAGAGTTGTATGTCCTTGTCTTAAATATTAAATCATATGGTACAGCTGCTGATCATGTGATGTTTTTGTTTACAGTCGCGGCTACTGCACCATGTACTTGACCACTCATGATAAACAGAACTTCTATAAACATTTGAACTACACCTTTTGTGATCCAGTCATCAGTTTTGGTGCTGATCCTAAACTTATACCAGACCATCTAGTAAGACTCAAACTTTTTCTTTCATGTCTTATTTCTATTAAATATTTCTCAAATCGTAAAAGAAAAGTGGTCGTAGACATAAGGAAATAAAGCTAAATGGTTCACAAAATTACAGTTAAAGGGGAATACTTGAATCAGGTTACCGCCAGACAACAAGAGTAAAATCCCTTATTCATAATGTATCATAAAATTTGGTAAACATGATCATTGGTTATTGATTTATTTATTTTTTTATGTTTTTCTTCAGAGTTATGTCCCTTCTATAACATCTACTGTTTCTTATTTTCCAGTTAAAACAGCTGACAGCTGCAACCTTGAGACCTCAAGAGAAGGATCAAGAAACGACAGATAAACAGAATAATGCATCAACAGATGAACATAGGACAAACATACCATCCCCACCTGCTGCCCAACCACCCCCACCACCCCCACCACCTCCCACGGCCCCACAACCTCCACCTCCCACTGCCCCTCCACCTCCTCCTCCACCTCCACCTCCCACTGCAGGGAACAATAAACCTGTTTTGGGTCGACCAGAGGTCGTGAAATGGGACCCTAGACAAATATCCTGGATGAAGAAGGATATAAGTTGATATGCTTTTAGGTGCTGTGAATACTCCTAATTTCTGACACATACGACATGTGTTATACCTTTGAATGTGCAATACCAATATTTTGATAATCATCACCACATTCTATATTACATACATGTATGTGTTTATGAAATTAACATCTGGTCTATACTGATTGGTGTGATTAATGGAATATTTCATCCCCTTCGGGAAGAGATATAGGGGAGAGGCTTGCAGAGAGATTGCCAGCTTAGGATTCAATTCCGGATGATTGAGAACTCACCAAAGCTTACCCTCAAGATGATGAATTACTATTTTTCTTTTACTGTTTTGGATTTCTGTACATGTGATGTTGATACAAGGAGAAGCATGGATACACCTGTAAAAGAAAATGCTATGTACATCCGATAAAAAAATAATGTTACACTGAAGTTTTCCTGACACAGTTTACCTACAGGAACTTTTCCACATATGGTATATAAGATGGGCATGTTTGTGTAAGTTGCAAGTTTAACATTTCATTTGAGTGATGATCCCATTTATTCTCCAGATCTATTTTATTACATCAGTTTTGAATACACAAGATGCACAATACCGCCCAGATTTGTCTTGATTACACTTGTCATTATGTCAATGAAAATTCAGCATGCCGACCGTCAGTTCTTAATAAACTGTGAGGGAATTCATTCCCAATTTAACAAAGTTTTCAGTCTTGATCGTTGGTTTGTTGAATGGATGTGAAATCTGGGTCGACTGAAAAATCAAAAGGTTGATGTCCAATGATGTGCTTTGTGAACCTGCCAGCTTACTGATATTTAATCTCACTTAGGGTTTAATTCTGTAAATCATCTCTGTGCGAATCGTCAATTCATCTCACAGGATGGAAGTATGACAGACCAAGGGTCTAGTATGCATATTATGTTTAAAACACAAGCTATGGGTTCAGGTTTTTAGCCAGTCATCATCTGATAGTGAGCTATTCAAATCGCCCCATGTCCATTGTCTGTGCGTAAAACCATTTTTCCTATTGTTAATTGTTTAGAAAAAGAAGATGAATCTTTCTCCAATTCCATGTGTAGGTGCCTCTTGGTCAGTAGTTATGCTTTTGAACTTGGCACTGAGCAGAATAACAAGTTGTTGACAAGCAGCTACCTTGGATTTTGACAATAAAGGATTGTTATCTCTATTTCTGGAGAAGTACTTGATGGATTTCGCTTAAATTTTGCCTGCAGATTTCTCTTGGTCCCTAGTTGTACTTGTGCGATTTTAGGATTGATCAGAAAAACAAAATGGCCACAAAGTCATCTTTGATTCTGATTATGCAGTTCATCAGTATTTCTAGAGAGGTACTGAATGGATCTTTCTCAATTGAATGTTACTCTTGGTCCCTCATTGTGCCAATTTGATTTTTAGACTGATCACAAAAAACATATGGCAGACTGGTGGCCATTTTGATTTGACAAAAGTTTGTTATCACAGTTTTTAAGAGAAATAGTTGAAGGATCTTTCTCAAATTTCATACGTATGTTCCTCTGTCCTTTGTTGTGCTAATTTGATATGTGGGCTGATCACAAAAAAAACAAATGGCAGGCTGGTGGCCATCTTGGAATATGATAACAAAAGTTTGCTATCTAATGAAGATCTAAGGATGGTGGGCACTAAGATCTCTCTGTGATCTTTTGTTGTCATTTCTCTACATGTATGCTTGTAAATAGTGCGATAAATGTATACTGGAGTATGTCCAAAGGGTTTAAACTATCGGGGTATGTAACAGGGTTGTAACTTACAGGATATGTAACTAGTTAAAAACAAACCTTCAAAGATGTCAACATTTCTGGATGAAGATCTATGAGACTCATATAAGACTATCTGTATGCCATATTTTACTGGCTTTAATATTCTACCAAATGTTGAATGCAATGTTCAATAAAGTCAGAAGGCAAACCGAGATTCAGTTTTATTTCATAACACCAGTAAAATTTCAGAAAACAAATATGTAAATATAGGTAAGTGTAAATATAATTCATGTGTGAAGGAAGACATTCAATTCATCATGTTGATCAATTTGTGATAGCCTGATCATCTGACACAACAAAAGATCAAACTGGAATCTTATTATTCATCTTTATACTTATAAATATGTGGTTTGTTTAAAAGCATAAATCTCCTCTCTAACATTTTGTACAGTCAAACCTACTTGTATGTTATATACTGTTGACTCTTAGTCTTAGCTCTTTGTCTTCATCATACCCTGCCATTACTTGGAGTGATATGGTTAAAACAGACAAGATTTTTCAAATTGTGTTTTCTGCAACATATGCGTCATGTCTCAACACATTTCATTTATCACTTATCGGTATTCAGTGACAACCTCTCCCATCCCCCTCCCCTCCCCCTCTAAATTAATTTGCCTTTCAGTAAGCACACAATTAATCTGATTATTTTTTCTTGCACTGTTACTCTCTGCAAACATAGGATCTGATAACATCCAATAAGGGGTCATGTTTTGGTGACTTTTTGCATTAGCCAATCAAATTAACACTTACAGAATCTTGGAACTAATGAAAGTAGTCGAAATAGCTTGATTAACCCTATTTCTGCATTTAGAATTTCATCAAATCAAGTTTTATATACATATTGTGGCAAAATTTCTGCATTTAGAATTTCATCACATCAAGTTTGTATACATATTGTGGCAAAATGCCAAGTGATATATCAAATTTACAATAAAGACAATTTGTCATACCTCTGAAACAAATATCGTGGAAACGTCACCAGAACATGACCTAATGTGGGATGTTGTCAGATCCTTCATTTAGCAGACAGGGAATAAGAATGTACATTTTTATTAGATCAGCACACAATTCACTTTTTTGTCAAAAATGGTATGTTACTTATATACTGAGAAGAGGTATGTTACTTGTATACTGAATCAGAAGAGGAAGTCTTAAGATTGAAGATTCTGTTTCTCTAAAAGCACCATGTAATTATACTCGTGCACATCTAGGATATATACCAATAATCACATACTTTAACCATGTATGCCATAATTTATGTGAATTTACCAATTTTCTGCAAAAAGAAAAAAAAATAGTAAGCAAAGGTGCCATGACACTTAAGGTATATGGCTATCTAGATTCTTTTGTTGAAGTTTGATCTCCTTCTCCAGTTCATACAAATGGGGATCCTCCCTGCCTGGTGCTATACACCTCATAGCTTGAGCAAGATTCAATACATAGTCAACATTTTTCCCACTAGGACCAACAGACACAAGCACTTGTTTGGCAATCTCATCAATAGGAGCTGGTCCCAAGTAATTATCATTTTCCTCTGTGGCAAGGTATAGTTCAAGATCAATCGGTAATTCTTTAGTATTTTCAGGATGAAATTTAACTGAGGTAAGACTGTATCCTCCTTTCTCTCTGAAGTTTAAATGCTCTCTGACCTTGGTCTCATCCTCCTCAGCAATTTCATATGCCACACCCCATACTTTTTCCTTCAATGAAAAAATATATGTATAAATATACAGATGTATATACAAGTTTTACATCCAGGCAAACATTTTTTTGGAAATATCTGATATTTTTCAAGAAAGCTTGAATGTCAAAATTGTCAAAATTTAGTCTGAAGCATCCTTAAAGGAATGGAGCAAAATGTGATAGAAATGGATTGTTTTCACCTCGTAGAGCCTAACAGGTGACATGGAGGAAAATCTTGCTAATATTTTAGATAAAGAAACTGACCAAATTTGTTTTTTGAATGAAAGGATTCCAATATTGCAGAGTAGGGCCCAATAGTGAAAGGTTAATCATTAAAACCTCCTTTTACACATAAAAGACTTTGCCCAAATTTTTTGAGGGCAAAGAAGGTTCAATGTTGTGTGAACTGAGGGTTTAGCTAACTGGTTGGTCAGAGAAAATAATTTTTTTTATCAAACTTGATCTGGAGAATCATTGGTGAAGGCAGCTCAATATTGTATTCATAAACAGAGGATCAAGTTTCTAGGGGGTCATGTGGAGCTTTGTAGGGGAAATAAACCAAAATATCAAGTCCTTTTAATTTGACGAAGTGAATTTTAACTTTAGTCTGCAAGGTAAATCAAAGCAAACACTATAATTCTGTTTGGATAAGAGAGGATTTAGACTCATGCATCAAATGAGTAGGACCTTATTGGAAAAATATAAATTACTTTCAACTTTCAGTCTAGGCCTGAAATTATATTTGCAAACACATAGACATTTCCATGTCTGATCCTGTTTTGTTGAAGATACCTTAGACTCTTCTGAAGCCTTCACCAGTGTCACCACTCTACCAGGCTGAAACAGATCAGATCAATGATTTTTAAATAACAGTGAATGCATCGTACAATTGATATTTTCAACATCTTTGGAACCAAGTGTCACAATTATTCTAAATTTGCTACAAAAATTCCAAAACATTGATGACTGTGCAGGACCTTTTTCCATTTTCAGTTGGCCCATTTGGCTTGGTGAACTTAGATCATTTAAGTAACTGATATATCAAAAACGGGACCACAAGGTCAATGTTGGATGTGAATGGATCTTCTACAAGATTTAAGCAAAGTTCGGTTGAAAGCTCTGAAGTTGGTACAGCAGATAAAATATGCTATAATATTTCATAAATTGGCAAGGTTTAGTCTTCCAAAAATAACTTCTAAAACAAAGTATACAGTACATATATTCCGTTCTAAGAACAACATGACAGATGCTATATAAAGATATCTGTGGGAAATACAAACATACAGATCTAAATGAAGAAAGAATCATCAGAGGCCAACTACATTTGTGTGATAGCTTCCCTCCAAAAACAAGCGTTATTTTGTGGCATATCATGCAAAACGTTTGGAAGAAAATGGATCAAAACAATAAAATAATTTGACTGGTAATTCTTGAGAATGTCTTAGTGTCCACCACTGTATGGTATCATAATAGTTATATACTGACATGTTTGAACTTTTCTCTTTTCTTTCATATTAACCTGTTTTTATTAGTTGTTATATTGAAACAGACAATATATATACAGTAAAACCCCACTTACTCAAACCTGCATTCCTCGAATACCCTGTATTCGTCGAACTGCCCGCTCGGTCCCTACCGTTTCCTTATATATTCTTTATTATAAAACCCCAGATTCCTCGAACCGCTATTCATCGAATACCCCCTTTTCGTCGAACTCATATTTATCCCCATTCCCTAAAATTACCATAGTATATTCCCATGTTTTCGTCGAACATGTAATCCACCCGTGTCACACTTGACTGCGTTAACGTGAGCTGATCGGCTCTGATCACTGCCATGTGTTTACACAGGTGTGCGACATGACAGCAGCCAATTAAGGGATTAAAAGACAGGTTTACCTACCTGTGCTGATACTTCACACCTTATGCAGTAATTTTATCATTACCTTTCTAGTACACACATGGTTTAGCTTGACTTAAAAAATTGAATATTATTGTAACAGAAGATGTCAGCGACGATGATGCCGACGAAGCCGACCAACTTCTGCTACCTTCGATGACGCAGACACTAGAGGCATTCCAGACTCTGCGACGGTACCTTGAGAGCAAGGCTGGCATTTCAGGTCAACTGTCATCTCTGTCAACCATCGGTGACGATATTCTCAAGGAACACGTCGATACGAGACTCCGTCAGTATTCAATCAGAGACTTTTTACAGTAGTTCTGGGTATTGATTCCGAAATGTGTGAGATGTTTCGCTTCTATAAGACTTCAATCAAGTGTAATTGTTCGTTAATGGATCGATGACTACTTACTATGACCAGAGACGCACCATCACGGTACAAACTATATCTCACACACGATCTACATTTTGACCAACTTCTGATTACTCGAATACCCTGTATTCCTCGAACTATTGACACAGGCCCGAGGAGTTCGACTTAGTGGGGTTTTACTGTATGTTTTACGTCTTGCATATTGTTTTCTGAAACAGACTTTAGTTCTGTGCCCACTACTGTGCAGGCATTATGCACTCATCCATTTTAATACAAATATACAATATATATGTCCCGTCGAAGCCTTCACAGGCGAAATTTAGAGTCGACACTAAATAAAACCTGAACCTACCATCCCCGACTTGTTGTGTCCCACCACTTCCTAGATTTATCATTACCCCTAGTGTGACGCCCTGCATACCCTCAGGTATCCAAGCTGTGGATGACTGCACATCACTGAACCCTAAACCACCAGCGTTGGCTCTTTCTTTGGATTTTTAATATATATGGAATATGTTTATGTATGATATGTAATAAGTATTACCAGATTTATTCTATATTTACATTGCATTGTGTTTGTTATATGTAATATATACAGTGTATGTATATATATGTTTTTTTAATAAACATCATGCATACCAGATTTATTCTATGTTTACAGCGACCTTGTCCAGGCGTGTGGTCATGTCTATATATATGGGAGAAACATGAGCATGCAGGGCAGAATCAGTTCAGATGAGAGCTTTTGGAAAAGATTTAGTTTTCGTGTGTTAATCACCAGTTATCTCAAGACCACAGTGATGGACAAGGTATTGTTTTTGTCAATGCATCTATTGTTAATATTTGTAAAGCATAATACATCCAATAAACCGAGTCATTTCCGAGTTTGGTTATTGACAGTCTCCTCCTGTCATTAGCTTGGTAACCACACTTAACAATATTGGCAGATGAACTTCCAAACAACAACATCATCCACCAACCTACATCTGAAAATGAAAAATCTCTGACCAGTGCATGTTGAGAAACAGCTGTAACAACTATCAAATCCAAATCCAAGATGGCCACTTGTTGACAATTTTCACTTTTTTTATCATTCTCAAAACTGAACATATGGAAAATAAGGCAACAGCTGAGATTTAATAAAGATTCTTTCAGCAACTTCTATTAAATGGCGATAGCCAACTGTCAAAATTGAAGATGGCGACCTGTTAGCCGTGTCTTTTTTCATGTTCAGCTTAAAACCATACCTCAACAGAACAGTGTTAATTGTCTGAGAACTAGATGACTACACAGCAGGTGGAAATAACCAACTAACCAACAATTTTTCACATAGTATATATCTATGGTTTGTTTCAGTCTGATATCCCTGTTTCAGTTTTTATGAATACATAAACAGTACATCAATAGATCAATAATCAAAATCTGTGGCTACATATAACTTCTGCTATCAGTAATAATGTCTCAGTCAGTCTCAAATATGAACATTAACATACAAATTTGAGAAAGACCATGTTTCATTTAGAAAAGTTATACTCTCAAAATCCAAGATGGCCACATGTCGGCCATTTTGTTCCTCTCTCCGACGACGAATCAAATTTAACATGCCCAAATACCAATAAGAACGACAATTAACAGTGATAACGTCTACTGTTTCAGGACGGACCACTGATGAAGGCCGACTTGAATGTATGGATGAATTTGCTAAAAAAAAAATACCTTTCCTGGTACACCCCTGTGGTCTGTGCTTCCCTGCCAAAATCGGCGTTGGTAACCTTCAATGTAGCCAACCAACTTCCGTTTGAAAGGGAAATCTACCTTCCATACGAGTGAACCATATCCATACACCCACATCCCAGCGAGTGGTTTAATATTCCGTTATGTCGAATCTCCTCTACGTGAGTCACACTGCTGCCATACGTGCGATCCACATTTTCACCACCGGATGTCTGCAAATGTTTGTTGTCGCTTATGTACTTTACAACAAACAAACAAATTAGCGAAAATATAGTAGGTGTATACGGAGACGTCTTTGGTGCATCGTACTGTAAATTGAAGCAACTGGGTTTCCGTTCCCGGCGGATATTTTTTGAAGATCTTACCACCAAACTCGAGGAAGATGTTGTCAACCAGAAACTCAATAATTTCTATTTATATTCCTGCTTTGATTTGGACGTATCTTTATTTATTATGAAATACGCTTGTATTTATACCACTGTTCATCTTTCTTGGAAAAGAAAATTCTCTTAACAAGAGAACGAAGGCGTTCTTTCGGTTTAGAAAGGGGTATGGTGATGTACAGGGTGGAAAAATTAAAAATTCTAATAGAATAATTTGTTTCAGAAGTGTTGAAGATTGGTCAAAAGCTCTGGAGTTATTTAAAATCCACAGTCAGAACCGAATACCGAAGCATATTAGCCAGTATTTCGTCTTTGGGAAGATTGGAAAATTTGTTCCGAAAAAAAATCAATCGGGAATAAATATTCACATGTCTTGTCTTGATACATTAATACAAAACGGAAAAGTAATTGAAGTGATTAAAAGAAAATCTTAATACGATTGGTTATAAACAGTTCGTGTGGTGATACTTCAGGTGACTTGATAAATACGTTTACATGTAGAACACAAAAACGAATTGATAACAAATTAATTTAATGAGAGCAACGTTAATATTATACATGCTACATGGTATGATGGAATCATGATGACATTTTTCCCCACAAATATAAAGTTGTAGATAAAAACATTGAATACGTCCACATATTTGTCTCTTAAATTGCACTTGGGGAGACCATGATTGACCTAAATATCTAGAGGGCAATAACAAGTAATATTGGAACTCTTTTCCTATAAAATCTGCAAACATGGCATTGTATCGTAGATATGCTAATCGCTAATGGACCGTTGATTTCACTTCTCTATCATTGTAATATATTTATCGAGGGGCGTTTTCTGACCCTCATCTTAGACTTTTGGTTTTTTCATAACATTGTTTACGAGAAAATTTGGTATATGATGTACATTCATTGAGAGTTTACATATGTACATTTATATATATACGTCGTTAATAAAAACGGCCAATTTCAATTCATATTAAGTCTTTGGTTTATTTACAAGTGTAAGTAGCTTGCCATGGTAGCTGTTCATAGTGGAATCGTTTATAAAATGATATTGTAAACAATATAGTTCCGAAAGGAAGCATGTTATATTCCATAGTGAACCTTAGTGAATAACTATTTACATGTATTGTTTGGAGACGAAATTGCTCAATATTGAAAAAGTAATTGAATTTGTAAAGTAAATTATTTAAAAATAAAAAAAATCTTGTTCAACTCAATAACCATTTTATGAATACACCAGTAGATTAAACCTGTATTACTTATAAATATTAACACTGTTATGTAAAATGAACAGCAGTAAAACCAGAATAGCACATTGTATAAATATATGAGTTGATATGTTTAAAGAATGTTCACACAGTCATATCATCACATCTTAAAATATTTCCCGATACGTGATTCAGAAAAATAAATACGAGTGTGTTTTCAGTACGGATGGAAATATCTTGTTTTAATTCTCTTTTATTAATTGTATTTTTTCAAAATGAAATCTACCCAAAGTTGTAAAATCCTATTGTGGCAAGCTCTGATGTACAGCAGGCCAATATATTAATGTAAGCAGAAACGTATATATTATATATGTGATATATACGTCTCTGATGTAAGTAATGATACAGATAAAATGAAGGGTTTTTTTGTAATCTTATCTGTTTTTTATTACAGTACATTTAATCATACAAATTAACAAACATAATGCATGATACATGGAAACACACAGTGCTACGAAGACACAATCTACACAAACTACAGAAAAATGTGTAATTATGACATATTCAATACAATAGAATGCATAGTATATGTAAACATATGATTGACGTAAGTACTTAAATATTTAACTCTTATTGTTTTATGGGGGGAAAAGTATATATTATGTATATATTAAATTTTCATTTGTTTTGTTTTGTTTTTGTTATTATTATTATATTATCTATAATATCTATGAATAGTTACCAATTACCAAATAAATAAAACATAACATGTAATGGTATATCAAATTAAGCAGTTTATTTTCGTGTTAAATCCGGAGTTCATTATCCTGTCGTCAGTTCGGTTTTTAGTTGTTACTTTTACAAACGTGTCGCGTGGTCGGGTGTAGCGCGTGAACTCGTATTTTGATGATGATGATGATGATGATGAATGACGATGGTTGGTCGTGGATGATTATGTTCATGTGCTGTATTTAGAAATATTGAAACTAGAAAATATACCATAATTAGGTCTGATCGACCCCAGGTGAGAGGGGCACCCCAAGGATAAGCTTGCTGACAGTGGGAGACACGGATACCCCATTATTTTCATAAGTGTACTTGGTCTTAAATCAACTGAAATTAATTGTGAGATAGCAATCAAATGCTTTCTCTCGTTGCACTCCTAAATTCTCTCTCTTCGGAGACGGCCCAAGTCAGCGCCAGCCAAGATAAGGAAATCTAACATCTTAAATAAAAACACAAATGTAACTAAGTAATTCAGGGATTTTGGGGATAATGATCTTTTACACTAAATTCTATAAAGGATGCTACTTGATATTCAGTATTAAATCAGGCTGAAATACTTTCTTTCAATACTTACCATCTAAGCTTATTGGGAATGTCAAATACCGCCTTTTAAAGCTTGGATTACTCGTGTTGTTTGCTTAATAAATACATTTTACTGATTGTGGTGAAAAATTGAATGTCAGGATCATCGCCCCCTTGTGGTAACTAGAAAGCTGAATTAGAAGAAAGTGTGTTGATAAAGTTGTTTATTACACATGGGCAACTTTTCACCTCACCTTATACCCGCGACTCGATAACACCGTGTGCTATGTCCGCTGTTAACCGAGTTACGGTACTATATAAGATCCTGTACGAGAAGCGCGAAAGTGGTGCACTAACGTTAAATTATTAAACTAGCTAATATTTTTTACCTTATGCCCGCATATAGCTAGGTAGAAGAATAAACAAGCTTTACAATGGTTTAAATTATTTTAACATAAAGAATATTTTTCTTGCTTCCATTTGACATATTTTACTTGTCGTATTTCTGTCTCATTACTTGACTGTACGGTGCTTACGGCCATAATTTAATCGGATGCAAAGAGTGACAAAAAAACATTTCTATAAATGTTATTGTTGATCAATTCACGTGGTTGATATTGAAATATATAGGCCGTTTAACCTGTTATATTCTGGTACCAGTACCATCAGCTTTATGATATATCTCAAGCCTCTTTCATGAATCAATATGTATATATTCATGTAGATGTGTGACAACCAGCAACTTCTATATATAGCAGATCTATATATAGCAGATCCACACTAAAACAGCACATTTATATCGCAAAATCAAAAGTAAACGACCAGTAACAGAACAACAATTCATGTGATGTTGCTGATCATAGAGAAATTAAAAACAACAAATAAGAATTTGCAAAAAAAAAAAAAAAAAAAAAACCCCATTCCGTTCTTATATCAAGCTGAATGTTTCCAGATGATTTCTCATTGAACGAAAACGATTTCCTCGGAGAAAACACCAATTTGCGTTTGTTTTACTGGGGAAAAGTTAATATCCACTGATTTGATTGGATGGGGTATTGTGCTTCACCATAGGAAATTTTCAGAATTAAGTTGAAAACAACACATTGTTGTTTAATTCGCTGACCAACAACCAAAACATTTCTCTCGTGTAATATACCAACGAAGTACATATAGTGTATAAAAATTACATGCATCATGTCAGTAATTTTCATTTCCTATTTGATGATCATATTTAAGTTTATGTTTACAAGTCAAAGCGAAACTAAAAGTAGAGTTACGGTAACTGCGTCTTTGACGATGCATTCGATATCGCGGGCATAGCTTTCAGCGCAATGGCTGCATCCCGTTTTCTTCTGCCATCTTGGAATCCTTGCAGACTTCGCCGCTCATTCTTCAATAGAAGATTGTGTAATGGCAGGCAGGCAGGCATTGAAGACTTTTCGCCCATGCACTGTCACATGGCTCCATCTTGGAAAACCCTCCCCCCCCCCCCCCCCCCCCATCTCTCCCAGAGTGCAACCGATTCAAAATAGTCGCCGAAGCCAAGAAAAGCTAAGAAGAAAAGCTAAGAAACATCACAGCTCTGCAAGACCTGCCTTTTCCCTTCCCTAGTTGAAATATTGTTTTGTACCGAGGTCAACTATCAAGGCCTCGGGTTTTAATTTTTACCTTTCCCTATACGTATCTAGTCATAAAATCTTTATTGATGAACACGTACAAAAATGCTCAATAAATGTTTTATTTTAACACAGTCACTTATTGCCATCACAAGCGGTACTTTTCACAAATGTATCTTCATACTGGGGTTGTCGAATAGGCACAGGAATAAACAATGTTAAAAACCAATATTTTCCGAAAACCTCCAGAAAATTATCAATTTTTGATTTAGAATATTTTCCGCCACCAACTGACGTGGCTTCATATGTCGTCTGTCCGGTCAAAGTAATTTGTAACTGCCAAAACCACAAACCGGCAGCTATTAGTCCAGCGGTTAAACAAGCGTACATCAGACAGACAAGGAATATGTATCCCAATCCAATTGGGGCGTTACTGGTCAGTTTTCCAATCATTTCAAGCAGGAGGAAAAGGAACGTCTGAGGACCATGAAATGTGACATTAAATAGCTTTTTAAGATACAGTACAATCAGAAACATTCCATAGAACGTACCTATCATCATATAAAAACAGTACATAACGAAATACTTCTGATTGAAGTAACCTACACACACTGTCATAAAGAAACAGTGATGGTCACGTTTTAAGATACAAGTTTGACACAATACACAATGATGGGATCTTGGAGGGGGAGTCACGTGACAAGTGTCACAAAAGTTCCTGTCTTTGTCGACGTCACGTTTAGCCTTACCTTCGCCTTTACCTTTTGACTCGTGTGGCTTTCTTTTCTTTGCCATTTCATGACTATTTTTCGACAAATGTCTTTTCTTGTAGTTGCTATTTTCCGCTTGAGTGGTCAGAGAATCTTCATTTGTCGTGGATAGTCCATCCAGCTTAGTGGTGAGTTTTCCCGTTTCAGCGCTTTCATCCTTGGGTTTCTGTTTGGTAACACGTTTAATACTAGTATCTGTAAAGATACACAGGACGAAGTTACCGACAGCATTGATGAAGGTAAATAAGATACAGAGCCGATGTCGGCGTATCCGGTTTCTGTCACCCATGTACAGGTCGGGTAGTATTTGCGACCAACACATCACAGTAACGATAAGGGTCATCAACGCAAAGTAAAAACAGAAGAACAAGTTCCCAAACGCCATCAGTCGAACCCTGAAAGGTACACGCCGTCCAAAAACGAGACAAAGGGATACCATGTTATCTCAACTGATGATAAGTATAACAATGTGTGCAGCACTGTCTGAGCATGCAAAGTCGTTCCGGTATACCTGGACTCGCATGTATGTCTGTGACAAGTACACGACATTAGTGGCCAGTAATCTGATAAGCAGATCAACTTTAGCGATATAAACCGTATGTGTTTATACGAACTTATACAAATTGAGTGAAATACAGCTAGTGTTTACAAATAAGCCTACAAAGCTCTCGTCTTCTATACAAAAATACAGGTAGAACCAGGCCGATCAATACGTAGAACGACCAGCACACAAGTGTTTACCGGGGCTGACAACATGCATTACAACTGCATTTATTTATGGTGCAAACATTCAGTTGAGAAGAAAATAAAAGTAAAGTAAATGTGATTGTTGATTGTAGAGTAGCTAACACTAAGGATCAAGATAGGTTTTCAACCTGTCCACAGTGTTGTCCACCATGGGACTAATTTTAAGTTCTCGCTGTCTAGACTTGCACATGTCTGAGATGTTTTAGTATGTTTCGTCCCTTTGTTATTTGCACGATGATGGTATGCCCGACTTTGATTTCCAGGTAACCTACATTTTTGTCATATCTTAAGTTGCGTTTTAGCTATTTAAAATCACGTTTTTGTCGAGTATCAATCTTTGTCCAGGGTGACATCAATGTTGTGACGTTAACAACTTCTTGAGATTTTTCTGCCGCACAGGAAATCTCATAACATTTTCTTCTGTATCTGGCCCAGAGCTACTTAACTGTCGGTCTTCGAATATATTTGATAAGAGTACATGCACATAGCCATTCTCGCCCCCATCGGCTATCAAGCTTACCGCTCTGTACTGACAGAGTGAAAACGAAGGGCAGTAACTCGGAAAGATCAGAATAACATATTGCAAGGAAAGTTGTCCCATACATTACATGATCAATTCATTAAATGAGATTTCTAATTCAGTTGACAAACCATCTCCACTGAATTATATATACAATTTTTGTAGTTAGATGTCATATTTGGTACCTAAGATATCCTATCATTTTTTCTTATTTACTAAATTGAATATATTAATTGCTAAATTAGATATTTAATTGCTAAATTAGATATCTTGTTTGCTAAATTAGACATTTTATTTCTTAAATTAGTATTTTATAGGTTTCATTTGTCAAATTTAAAATGTTATTAACTACAATATATCTTAATATCCTTTAAAATGAATTTAACTTACTGAATGAGATATTCATTAGATATCTAACTTCAAATTGCATATCCAATTTAATTGGCAGGCCGGGTGGCTCAGTGGTAACGCACAAGCCTTTCACCTAGCCGGGGTTCGCTTCCCGGAACAGACGTGAAAGGATACGGGGTCATCTGCCCACGTTGGTATTCCGGTTCCCTCCCGCAATAACGCCCCTCGCGTGCTTTCATCTGGACACATAAGAGTGATAAATACAAGTTGAAATAACTTCTAAAATATAGTTCAATTCTCTTTATAAGATATCTTATTTGCTAAGCTAGATGTCTTTTTTCAGTAAATTATACACCTCATAAACTTCAGAAACTACAAACAAATAGAGTATCTTACCAATATATACCATACTTAATAAGATTTAATAAGATAGATTAATTTTTTTTCTGATAAATCAGACATCTGATTTAATCTGGTTAAGCTGTAAGTCAACATTGTTTGAATAAATGACAACTTGGCTGGCCTACAGTGCTATGTATAGTACAACTAGTTCAACAACATCCAAATGTTCTGAATGTGAAGATGTATGTAATTGTCTGATCGAAAATGTAATATAAATCAACACATTTGAAAATCTGTACAAAGATTTTATTTCGCTTATGAATAATTCGGTTACAATGCTATACAAGTGTCACACACACACACACACACACACACACACACACACACATGAAGTTATCAATAGTTAACACTTATTTGTTATTGGCAAGTACATGTATCATAAATTGCCTCATCGCTACTGAACTGTCACTCTATCGTTAACCGACAACCAATGCCTAGCGATATGACATAAAAGATATAGGTATCTGATATAAATTAGATGTCAACACCTAATCGTTAATATATCACTCTGTCAATTTTTATAAATTGGTAACGAAGAAGGTTAAATTATATACAAAATTCAGGATTTAAGAAAAATAACTCTATATAAACGTGACTATGCTGAATAAAATAAAGCTAGAAAGATTTAATTTATACGTACGGTGATTTTATAATAAGTCTAGTCCTAGATGTTATACCACTAAAATAGCAATAGTAATAACAGCCTCAGTGGATAAATGACATGAGAAACAATGCAAAGATAATATTATTACATACGAAATTGCAGTGTTGGCAATTTAATTATTAAATATAGGAATACAACTTAATGAATAAAAGTTATCAACGTAAGTATTGCTCTGGATTATGTAGAAATGAACTGATCCTTGTCGCTACCTGATGGAGTACATCTTTATCTTTACTTGCGAGCAAGTTGACTCCGGTATGGAAGTACAGTGGCAGGTTTCCTCTTTGGAGATAGCCGAGAAGACGATACGTCATAGTGGTCACTCTTTCCGCCAGCAGTTCCTGCTGCCATTCAGTCTCAGAGGGACGATCCTCACATTCCCAGAACAATACGTTCTTAAGATGATATGATGTTAACCCCTTTTTGACACCCGGTTTGCACCACATATTTTCTTTTAGTGTCTTGAGAATGCGAAGACACTTTCTCCTGCATGTTCCATTCTCGTCAACGCCTTCCAAAAGTTCCTTCTCACAGGCGGCAAACGACAATGTCCAGTAAAATGGCGCCTTCGCTACTTCATGTATCCCGATATTCTTGATACAAGAAATCTTCTGGTTAGAAGGCCATTCGGAAGACACTCTTGGCCAGTTGAATTCACTTTTAAATTCTAATTTTGATTCAATCATAGGACATAAATCGATGCTGATTGGATACTTTCCATTCGGAAGCTCTACAGAGAAGGTGATTGCAGGGGATTCCGACAGACGGTCCATCTTGACACGACTTCTTATCTTCGGTTGGTTCACCGCCTCTGCAACAAGAGACTTAAATCTCCTTTTGACCTTAATTGGCACGATATCATTCTGAAAAGTAATGCTCGCTCCTCCGTCGTTAAGTCCTTCACGATCCCACTGATCCCTAAGACTGGGAATTACAGTAAAATACTGGCCAACGGGAGGACTTGGAAGAGCAGCACCCTTACTCTCAACTTTGTTATTGTTGCTGTCAAACCCATAGTACCTTGGCTGGGTGTCTGACTTCCAGTGTAACTGACCGACATCAACAACGACACTGAAATCAAACTCGTCGGCCCGCTTAACTTTCAGGTGAGTATGATAACTCCCCACCTTAACCGTTTGAATCATAAATCGTTTGTCTCTCTGGTTAACGTACCTTAATATATCCTCCACCAGTGGTAACACCACTTTAGTGTTCCGCTCAGTTTCATCACGCCTCATCTTTACATTCTTTTCGTAATATTGATTCAAAATCTTGTTATCCATGGTAGTAACTTGCTTGTGATGTTTTTCGCTTTATGTGAACGAACCTTAAACGTCAAACTATATACTCATTCCTGTTATATTTTAAGAGTTGACGACATATATCTATTTTTAGTTTCTTCCGATTTCCGAAAACATTGCGTATTTACCGCAATGCACTCTGGGAGATTGAACTTGCGCCAAACGTACATTGTATTTTGACCGAATTTTATCTCAAATGGAGACTGTATCTTAGATTAAGTAATCATTAAGTACATTTACTCCCAATGAAGTTGTTGGATTGTGTATTGAATTGGAGTATTGATTTATCAGGAAATCCAGTAGTTTCACTTTCGCTTTACCATGCTATTACTAACAAAACATAAATACTGCTCATTGCGTTAGGTCAACGAACAAAATTGGTCATATTTTTGTAACAAACTTTAAGTGTTGATATTGGCAGAAACCTGTCTATGGAAATAGCTACAAATATGAAAAAAACACAACCGGGCCATCAAAAAAACCACGCTTAGAATGTAGGTCAGAAAACGCGATTAGTATTACAATAAATACATAAGATTTCTTGTTCTTGTCGATAATTCGATGTGCATACATCAGTGATGTTGTTTACAAGACACGTTTACATTTTCACGACTTTTGAGACAGTTATAACGTTCTCCATTGAAACTGTGTCTAAATCAAATATATATTTAAGCCTTACTTAATGTTATTTTGTATGTTTTTCTTCAAGAAAACGCAAGCTGCGTTCGTGCAAAACAAAAAACAAAAAACACACACACACTAAAACAGAAACTCGCAGATAAACCTGACGTCAGAAATCGTAACACACTAATAAATGTAAAGGTCTCATTTTCCAGTGTTATTACAAAAATAGCTTTTTGAGTTCCAAAAACTTCTAATGGTTCAATTTTTTATTTATGAAAAACTGGCACACAAACACACACAAAATACACTAATACATTGTTTATCAACTGAAATATGTGTGTTATTCATGGTCTAGAGTTAGTAGTGCTGACGAAGGAACTAATATGCGATTAGATATACCGATAGATAAATAGACGAATTCATACATTTATACTTGTTTATCAATATTATTTATTCAATTTATTCAAACCAACCCTGTTCGATTAGAATTACAACCAATTGTACGCATAATGATGTCATTGAAATCGATGTATAGAAAATAGAAAACAATTTAATTCGATTAAATCTTATCTTAAATGTGTGTATATATATATATATTGTAACGTTACTGTTCGTCTGTTTATATTTTCATCACAGTTATTGCCCGTATGTATATATAAGTATATAGATGTAACTTAAAGATGCTTTGTGTATCGATTAAATAGTTGAACAAAATCAAATCAAATCAACACGACAAATGTGTTCCGTCTGAAGATGGCCGTTAGGCCTGAAAACGTTAGCGGATTACATTTGTCGTGTCGATTTGATTTTTTTCAACTATAAGTATATATATATACATACTATATACGTTAAAAGATTTATTGCAAAACTCTAATTACATGAGTACATACATAAACAAACGAACATTACGGTGGAAAATAACAAGTACAACCCTACCCACAAAAGTAAATCCGAATGTCTTCTTATTGTCCTGTTAAAGATGGCTTTTGAGTTCGGAGACTATCTGGTAGTTTCGTTTTCTATCTATGCACAAATGGGTAAAACTGTCTAGCCGATATATTCAAGTATGTAGTTACTTGTTAATAACTATGTACCCCTATCAAGATAAATACCAACCGTATGGATTGTAATGTCATTGTAACATGTAAAACAGGGGGAAATCAAGGTAATCAGATTAATCAAAACTGTATACATACATTATGAAAGTTGTTGTTCTTGTCGATAAGTCGACATACATGTACCGGTAAATATTTTCAGCAAGAAGTACTCAACTATGTTTTCCTGAATCACTCGAGACATTGACCGATAACAATATTTGTCGTAATCCTATGTTTTCACGACGCTAAAATCGTAATAAACACGTAAAGGTGAAAGTTTCATTTAGAAAAAAAAATATTTTCCTTGTTATGCTGAAGATGGCTTTTAATTTCCGAGAATATCTGATATTTCATTTTCTGTTTATGAACAAACTCGCACATCAACACACGCGTGCACTACAAACGTTGTTCATCGATTTAAACACGTTTGTTAGCCTCGTCGTTGTCTACAATTATTAGTAATGTCGATGAAGGAAGTGATATGCAAATAATATTCATAATTATAGCCATAGATAAATGGATCTTGTAAAACTGACCAAATAATGTAAGAAAATATGTAAATTGTGATCAATACCTTACATATATTCTATTCCTGCTTCGTGAAATTATGTTAAATAAAAGAAATCAATTATGTTCAATTAAACGATCACCATATTTGTGAACAAATAATGCAATTGAAAGATGTCGAATAGAAAAAGGAATTCAAGACAACTAAACAGTTACATGGACATTTTATACCGTAACAGACGAAAAAAAAAATAAATACTTGAATCCATGGATTTTATAAAAATGTATACCATTAATTAAATTGCTACGACCACGAAGAGTACACATGACTCAAGAAGACGAATAACTCGTTGAGTGCAATTTTTCATTATTGTAGGCAACTCCAAAAATCGTTTAATAAATACAGTCTATAGAAATGATTTTAATGAGCGATTGTTTTTTCTGTTTATAAAGCATAGTTACGATAAAAGACTACATGTAGCATACAAAGATACATTGTCGTATACATGTACATCAAAATATACAGACTTGTCCATATGGTGTTGTGAATTTGCTGTTTTGGAAAATGATTATTGTGTTAAGTGCTCGTAAATATTCCTCAATGAGTTTTGATGGATAGTGTGTTTTAAGGTTAGTACAATTATTGTCTATACCTGTTTATGTCAGTGAGGTAGTGGTAAAAGACATACATTCTTCACAGTGGAGCAAGCATATAGAATTATTCAGATTCTTGATAACGAAACTTAAAGTAATTGTAAATACACGGAACTGAAACAAACATCACGTGGCTTTAGAGGTCAAGGTCTTAAGTAACATCAAATATAGCATGGTATAGAATGTTCAAGAAAGATTAGGTATGACAGCAAAAATAGAATGTAAATTTTCAGTCATATGTTATCTGCACACAAACGTTAAACTCTGCACGATAATACCAAACATTATCTTTTCATTGTGCAATCCAAATCACGTGATATGACTGAAGTAGAACTGAATACCAACTCATTCTGGTATATAAGCGTTATGAAAGAAGAAGTTGCGCATTATTCAACATATATTCGTATGTGCTGCTAACAGTACTGTACTATAGAAAAATGGATAATTATTCTCTCAACTGCTACTGTGACGAAAAGGTACTGCTGAAAAGACAGGAAACTAAAAGGAACGTGGAAAAAGTGCTGCCTCTCGTTGATGAGATATTGAGATACGTTCACTCCCGGGATAAACGCTTTCTGATACAGCCACTGAGAGTAGGCAGTTATGACACGCGCTTGAAAGTCGAGAAAGCGGACGAATTTGACTACAATGTTATCGTTGATATCGGCAAATTGGTGTGGGCTTCAGGGGGAAAACGATACTATGGGTTTGGCAACACCAGGGACAAAGTAGTGGAGAAAAAGGGATACGCGTTTCCGGATCCTCCTGTTGGGCAGCACTTAACCGAAATCGCTTCAAGTAGGAAGAAATGGGATGCCGACAGATTAAACGATGGAGTGTCGAGCATGACATTTGATGACGATATAGTCCCAATTAAAGTCAAAAGAATATTCAAGTCACTTGTTGGCGAAGCAGTCAACCAACCAAAGTTCAGAAACCTGATATCAACAGACAAAATATCGAGTTCTCCTGCCACCACACTATCTGTGAAGTTTAGTGACACTGGTTACCCAATCAGCATTGATCTGTGTCCGATGATTGAATCTCAGCTGGAATTTAAACCCGAATTTCACTGGCCTCGGCCAAACAGCCAATGGCCTTCGCAACAAAAGAGGATGATCATAAAGAAAATAGGCGCGAATGAAATAGCCAAAGAGCCATTCTATTGGACACTGTCTTTCGCCGCTTGCGAAAAGGAACTTCTGGAAGGAATCGACATACATGGGACATGTCGAAAGAAAAGTCAACGAATCATGAAGAGACTGAAAGAGGACGTGTGGTGCCCACCTGACATGAAAAACGAACTGACATCATACCACCTGAAGAATGTGCTGTTCTGGGAATGTGAGGATCGTCCCTCTGAGACTGAATGGCAGCAGGAACTGCTGGCGGAAAGAGTGACCACTATGACGTATCGTCTTCTCGGCTATCTCCAGAGAGGAAACCTGCCACTGTACTTCCATACCGGAGTCAACCTGCTTTCCAGCAAAGATAAGGATGTACTCCATCAGGTGGCAACAAATATCAAGTCATTTCTCGATCATCCACAGCAGTATTTGTCGGTATAAAGCTCACACCTTTTGTTTGTAGACCAAAGAACCAAATCTGAGAAGTAAGATGTCGCTTGTTTAAAAACGACTACTGCAGATCAATTTATTTTCTCATTTCTATGACGCTTTTCACAAATGATTCCCAGCCCTTTAAAACGTTCTCTATATCGGCGAAAACAAAACCTATTGTCGTAGTTAGAAAAAACTCGAAATAAAATGATTTGCAGTATTCTAACGAAACATTAACACCTACTATAATCAGGTGTGTACCAATTATCATTATGGTATTTAGTATTGAAATGTATTCTACTTTAATAATCTGAGTCACACTACGTATTTTGTTTGCTGAATGATATAATTTTTACAGTTTTTACGAGGTGACAAATATCAAAATGAATGTTGAGTCTACAAATCGGATATCTTTTAGATGTAATTTTAGATGTAACATTGAATTGCAGCTACAGAATCCCAGTTTTCAGTTACTGCTTCGGTTATATAGAATACCTCAGCATAACGCATGTTAATACTTAATGTTACTCACATCTAACAGACATGTGAACACTTGCTTAGTTTACATCCCATTGTAACCACTATTATATCTTTGGTGAAATGATCTAAAATGACACCCCATCCACCATTTCTATAGCACTTTAAACACCACTGCGTTCCTTGATAAACGTAGGTTATGTCACTTTGGCTAAATGTTATTGTTTCATTACCTGTACTGTGTCAAATGTACAATTTTTCGTCCATATAAGTTCATTATAAGATCTGTTTTAACAAAAATACCAAACTTCAATGGCTCCAGTATAGGATCTCTCATCACATTCTGACAACTAATAGTAGTCTTTTTAAGGCAAAACTTGTATCCAGTCCACTTTGTAATCTATGCAACTCAGAAAGAGAATCAATCACTCATCTCCTTTGGGAATGTCAGGAAGTGCAAAATTTTTACAATCATTTGAAACACTAACAGATTCTTTATTAATACCATTCTCAGTCAACAAACGGTCTTTTATACTTGGAATTAAAAGGAACAATAGCCCTAGCTTTAGAGTTGACAATGAAGTAATTCTTATGATTAAACATTATATATATAAAACAAGATGCCTCCATGCTACTCTCGATATCAACGCCATTGTAAAGATTATACAAAATCACTATTCTGTTCAAAAATATATTTCAAATAGCAAAAACACGTCTTACAAACAAAATTTCACAAATGATTGGAAAAAATGGGAAAATCTTATCCAATTGAATATTAAATAATTATAATACTTTTTATCCTTGACAGTGCTGTCATATCTTTGTTTCACTGTCTTTAGCAAAAAATTTGTTTCAACATCCCATGGACTTCTTATGTCATTCCCCCCTCCCCATCCCTTATCTTCCTATTTCTGTTTTAATCGCTTTGTCTGTTTCTGTAATTGTAGAGAATGATTCAGTGAGAGAGAGCAATCTATGTATAATGTTAATTATTGATATTTCCTCTATGCTATCATTTAGTCTGGCTGTACTATGCTCTGTGTAATTTTTGACAACAAGGGCAGATAACAAAGAATCATCACCAGCTATTCACACCTCAATTATTTACAAAGGTTTTTTTTTTCCTTTTTTTATGTTTTTTTTTTTTAATGTGAATTACACTTTGTTTCAAACAAGCAGAAGTTGCAACATGGAAAGGCTGTTATGTGGGGCGTATCTCGCTACTCCCAATCCATGCTTGCACTTCTGGTTTGGGATTACACTATTGAAAACATATAATTTTGAATAATGTTTGGGGATTAGGAGTGAATAGATGATGATGAGGCAAAACACTAATAATAATAAACAGCTCTGTTGTTGATCAGTGTATAATGTGATAATGAGGATGAAAGGTTGATGATGAAGTGGTGATAATGATATGATGATTACGATGCTGAATATGTGTTACTGCTGCTGCTGCTGCTGATGATGATGATGATGACGATATGGTGATGATCATGATAATGAAGTGGTGATGATACGATGATCATGATGATAACTATGTGATGATGACGATGACGATGATGATGATGATGATGATGATGATGATGATGACAGCAGTCATTGAGTTTGTATTATTATTGGGGCTTGTGAATGAAACACAGTAGTACATTGTATGTCATGTCAGCAAAGAGGAATGAGTGCATGTTTTGAGTGAGTGTACATGGGTGTAGTGTGATGTGTGCCAGGGTGTGTATGTGTATGTGAGTCTAGTATATATCGTGTGTTGCATACCTTTGTAAAATCTTGAAAAACAAAATAATAAAAAAAAAAGATCTGTTTTAACTCCATAGAATGTTTCTCCTTATGTTGTATCATTAACTATATTATGATTTAAGTTACCACGACAACGGCTGATTCATCTACCTGCAGAGTTATGTCGTGTTTTGTAGATATCGTATCATTTTGTAGATATCGTATCAGTTTGTAGATATCGTATCATTTTGCAGATATCGTATCAGTTTGTAGATATCGTATCAGTTTGTAGATATCGTATCATTTTGCAGATATCGTTATTTTGATGATAATATATCTACATTAGAAATATGCAATCCACAATGGTGTATATGAAGTTTTCTTAGGTCTTGTTTGATGATCTTAAACATTTCATATTTGTTTGCGTTGCATCATAATCAATTTCTTCATGCTTGAATAAACATTTACAATATTACAATTGTGTGTTTGTTTATTGCAGTGCAGACTCAGTTTCCTTTTCTTTGGTAATAAATCTCATAAACGACATGACTCGTGTTTATATATTACTGTAAAAGACAAGACTGATATTGGCTAAGACGGCCCAGTTTTATTGCATATTAAAAAAATGACCAAGCACATTAGATCCCCGAGGGGATTTCAACGTAAACATGAAATTTTACCTCACCTTTGCAACCCGAGTGAAGAACCATTTTTTTCACCGGTCAGTCGTGGTCAACCCCTCAGTCAGTCATTCAGTTACCCATCCGCTCGATATATATTATCGATATATTTTAAAACGTATTGCATATTTCTTTTTATAGCATTTTCAACATTTTTGTTCTTGGTCCCTTTTAAAGTATGAATTTTGAAATTGAAGTTGAAACTTGTTACTGGAATTTCTATGGGATCAGTGTTAAAGCATTTGGTTCCCATTTGAACCTACAAACTTCACTCGGTAGGGTTTTTGCTCGTTGGTTTTGTTGACTGGTAAACATGAAAAGTCATTTCATCAGTATAAATTACTTTACCATCCTATTATGACCGTTACAGGATGCTGTGTTGTCGATTCTTAGTGGTATTTATATTGCAAATGCTGATAAGAAAATACAGACATGTTTGTAAACTCAAAACCGAATTCCGGAAGGGTTATCGTTATCTGCCTCATGGAGAAAAAAACTCTGCTAATTTCGGTCAATCCAAACAAGTGATGTCCCGTTCTAATATGAGCAAACGGAAATACAATATTTCACAATGAGATCAATATGGCGACCCTACAACTTCCCCATAGTCTTAATCAAACCACACCTCATAAAGTCATGTTTTGAGACTATCTACCAGCTGTCGATATCTTGAATGCAAATCGTGATTATGGCAATAAGCTCTTGATTGAATCATTTCTGACAATTAAACACCATGTGTATAGAAGCAGGTATATTACTAACAAGAAATTAAATATTCAAATCATACGTTTTTACACCAAGTATTCAACTACATTTGTATGTCAACTTACCATACATTTGGACGAAGTATACATTTGACTTTTCTTGGAGTTGACTCGAACACACAACCAAATTAACTAATAATACATGTTGACATGCAGGAGTACACAGCCAACGTCTCGAAGATTTTAACGAAGTATACAACTTTTTCTTACAAACCTTTGAAGTAAGTTTCGATTGAAAGTGGTGTACATGTAAATGGAACCAACCCAATGGGCCTGCGTTAACCAATAGTGACAACCTTTAACTACTACGTGTAACGGACAGTCGGTGTCTAGACAGAATATTTTCCTTGTTATGCGAAAGATGGCTTTTAATTTCCGAGAATATCTGATAGTTTCATTTTCAGTTTATGAACAAACTCGCACCTCAACACACGCGTGCACTACAAACGTTGTTCATCGATTTAAACACGTTTGTTAGCCTCGTCGTTGTCTACAATTATTAGTAATGTCGATGAAGGAAGTGATATGCAAATAATATTCACAATTATAGCCATAGATAAATGGATCTTGTAAAACTGACCAAACAATGTAAGAAAATATGTAAATTGTGATCAATACCTTACATATATTCTATTCCTGCGTCGTGAAATTATGTTAAATAAAAGAAATCAATTATGTTCAATTAAACGATCACCATATTTGTAAACAAATAATGCAATTGAAAGATGTCGAATAGAAAAAGGAATTCAAGACAACTAAACAGTTACATGGACATTTTATACCGTAACAGACGAAAAAAAATAAATGAATACTTGAATCCATGGATTTTATAAAAATGTATACCATTAATTAAATTGCTACGACCACGAAGAGTACACATGACTCAAGAAGACGAATAACTCGTTGAGTGCAATTTTTCATTATTGTAGGCAACTCCAAAAATCGTTTAATAAATACAGTCTATAGAAATGATTTTAATGAGCGATTGTTTTTCTGTTTATAAAGCATAGTTACGATAAAAGACTACATGTAGCATACAAAGATACATTGTCGTATACATGTACATCAAAATATACAGACTTGTCCATATGGTGTTGTGAATTTGCTGTTTTGGAAAATGATTATTGTGTTAAGTGCTCGTAAATATTCCTCAATGAGTTTTGATGGATAGTGTGTTTCAAGATAGGTTAGTACAATTATTGTCTATACCTGTTTATGTCAGTGAGGTAGTGGTAAAAGACATACATTCTTCACAGTGGAGCAAGCATATAGAATTATTCAGATTCTTGATAATGAAACTTAAAGTAAATTGTTGTGAGAAATACACGGAACTGAAACAAACATCACGTGGCTT